ATAAACTAGGCTTTTTAGGCCAGGAAGTCATTCGTAATAACTACTAGGTTATTCTATATAACCTATATCTTCTTTAAAAGTTCCGCTTATATATTAATATTAAGGTTTATATATTTATATAAGTAATTAAGTATATTTATAAGTATATATATAAAAAAGCAGATTATATTACGGTTATAATTATAGCTATAGATAATGAGATTACCCGGTATATATATATCCGTTATATAAGTTTATATAAGGCTATTTAGCGGCTATTCGAATTTTCTATATATTAGAAGTTCCCTCTTATTTAGTATCTTATAGTTTATCTTAAGAAAAAGTAAATAGTTTATTTTTCGGATAATATCTTTCCTATAGCTCTAGCTATAAAGACTACAAATACTCGTTTAATACTAATGGCCTTTTTTAAATATAATACTATATATAAGAATAGCTAGAGGTATTTATATTTCGAGTTTCTGGCTAAGTTTATATAGGTTCTAAAGATCCGGGAATAGAAATATTATTAGTAAGACAAGGGTAAGCGGATCGGCTATATATATTATTATAGTCCTATTTCGGGCGAGTAATACTACTTATGGCTCTTACTTATAGTTATTTATAGCCTATAGTTCTTTACGGATCTATATTTAATTAAGGGTATTTATTATCTAATATACTAGGCTATTTATATTACTTATAGCTTAATAAAGAATAACCAGGAATAGTACTAGTATTTTAATAAGGCTATCCTATTTATACTTACGGGTAGTTTACGGATATTATTCTTGACTAGCCTCTACTAGTAGCTAATTACGGACCTGTTAGTAATCTGGAACTGGTATAAGTACTATTTCTATAATAATCTCTAGTACTAGCTTACTTATAATAGTAATTTCCTATTTCTGCTTCTTAACCCGTATTATAATTACGGCCTCTTCTTACTTATATATAGGCTTATAGACTAGTAGTAGTTACTTGCGGACTATAGGCTCTTGTCTTTTATCTGGAATTAGACTAGTAAGTACTATTTCTTATCCGTATTATATACTCTCGAGAACTAGATATTACTTATAGTTATAATATAAGCCTAGCTTAATCCTAATTAATAATTATACTTTATAGAGATTATTATAGCTATTAAATTAGATTCATAAATAGCCCACTTCTACTTATAAAAGCCAGGAGATATAGGTAAGACATTCTTATATAAGGCGCTTTACTATTACTTTTATAAATAGAAGTAAATAGTTCTTTATATAGTATCTATAGGTATTATGGCTCTCTTACTACTAAATGGATATATGTCTTATTCCTAGTTTAAGATTTTAATTAAGCTTTATAAATTATTTATAAGTTTTATTATAAAGTAAAGTACTCTTAGATAGGTTCTCTGGTCTATAGATCTTATTATCTGAAATAAGGTACTAATATAGTATAAGTATTATTTTAAGGTTATTTACTAGCTTTTAGTAGATTTATAGTCTATAGTAGATAATATTCTTTTTAGAGAAATATTTATAATTCTCGATAGGAACTTTATCTAGATCTTTCTAGTTATATTATATGATTTATAGGCTAATATTATTACTATATACCTTTAATAATTATTTATTTAGCTATGGCTCAAGTAGTTTTGCTTATAGACTAATATATAGGTCCGTAAAGGCGAGAATAGCCAGGAGTTTATTTACTAGATTAGTGAATTACCTAATAACCCAGACCCTAATATAATAGTAGTAATTCCGGACTATATAAACTAGCTAGTATTAATTACGGATCTAATTAGTTATATTTATTCCCTAGATCTTTTCTCTCGGGCTATTATAGATCTATTAATCTTCCGTAAGTAATATCTCTTAACTATATTAAATACTATAATCTCGGAGCTTAATACTTATATCCTTAGATATTTACTAGGCTAATTACGAATATACTAATTAGTAGATTCCCTGGATATGAATAAGTCTTCGGGTAATAACTTATATAAGCTATTTATAAAGTAGCTATAAAGTATTAATCTTCCTTTCTTATTATTATCTCAGCTTACTTTTAAGATTAGGGCTCCGGTACTACTTTTACGGAACCTATATCTATAAGAAGATTTATATAATAGGACCTGGATAGTAGTTATAAGCTTATAGGTATATTATATTAAGGCCTGCTTACTTAGAGAGGATTTTAATAGCTAGTTACGGGTGATTTTACGGATTAAGCTATTTACTATAGATACTAGCCTGGGAATTACTTTTTCCTAGAAGTAGTTCCCGGTTCGTTTATATTTTATAATAATTATTAATAAGTTATAAGATTAGTTTTTTTATATTATTAGTTTGAATCTATAAATACCTGTATTTGCTTATAGGCAGTTTTATATAGGGATTTCCCGTATATTATTTATAGAAAGCTTAAGTATTCTTCTATTATATAAGAACCTGTCTAGAATACTTAATATAACTTATCTTAAAGTCTTAGCTAATTTACTTTAGTACTTTATCTCTTATAAGTGCCTTATGAGTACCAGGTAGCCTTATGGGTCGGATTAAGGGATTTGGGGGTCTGTAACTATCCGTAACTACTTATAAGTATCTATATCTGTCTATAAATAACTTATAATTATTACTTTAAATATTTTAGGGCTTAAATAGACCGAGAATATTATACTATTAGGTATTAAAAGTATATACTTCTTCCAGGTAATCCTTTATAGGATTTATAACTCTCTTCCTTCCTCTCTCTCTTTTCTTCTCTTCCTCTTTTCTTTCTCTCTCCCTTACTCCTCCCTATTCTCTAATACCGGTACTAAATAATCCGTTCCCTTTTCCTCCTTTAGTACCTTTGCCTTCTCTTTATAAAGAGCCGCTAGCTCCCTATAGAGCTTAGCAAAATAGTATATTCTCTAAGAGAAAGTAAGTAGGCGGCGGCGGCGGGCGGTAGTAGTATAACGGGCTATTTACGTATTAGTTATAGTCCGTAGTAATCCGTAACGGGTATATATATATAAAGATAGGTTACTAGGAATAACCTAGTTACCTATATAACTACCGGTAATAACCCGGGGAAGCGAGAAAGGGTTAGCGGGGGCAGGGCTGGCAGAAGCAGTAGTAGTAGTAGCGGTGGCAGTAGTAGTAGTAGTAGTAGTAATAATAGTAATAGTAGTAGTAGTAGTACCTGGAAGTATTTATTAAATTAGTTATGATCCGTAAAATATTATATAAAAGTACTTACGGAAGGAGTAGCAGGTACCCTTACTACTATAATAATAGTTAGTATAGCTTTTACTAAAAAAACTAGCTATAACTATATATACCGTCTATATACCCGACCCGCTAGTATAATATATATATCCGGCGGTATGAACTTGACTAATGAATTAGCCAAGCTTAGCCTCTAGGTTGGCAGGCCGGGCGGGGTTAGTAGTATGGCCGGGCCGCAAGACAGGTATACGGCGGGCGGCGAGGAGGGAGAGGGAGGCCATAGTACGGGGGCGGGGCAGGAGGGCAGGCAGGGCGGAAGGGGCGGGCAGTGGCGGCAGGCTAGTAGTAAAGCTTACTGCCATAGTAGTAGTAATAGTAGTAGTAGCGGCGGCGGTAGCAGATAGTAGAGAAGACATTCTACGGACTATAAGAAGCGTTACAGGCCAGGGGCAGGCCCGTAGCGGGTATGGGGGTTAACTTACGTATGTATATGTATATATATATTTATTAAAAGAAAGAAGCTTTGGAATTCGAAATTAAAACCTACCTTATTTAGCTTACCTGGAGAATTTTTAGCCTTTAAAAAGTGAATTTTCAAAGTGAATTTAAAGTCAGTAAAGCTGATATCCCTTAAATAAGTGCCTGAGGCATCTAATTAATCTCGAATCGAGATCAGGGCAAAATTAAAGCCTGGCGGCCCTACGCAAGCTTCGGGGCCAGTCTTTAATTTTAGCGAAGCGGCCCTGATCTCGTAACAAAATCACTACCTTATGAGCGATTCTAGCCGCACTACTAGTTTGAAATAAATATATAGCTGTTAGGATATCGAAAATACTATGAAGTATCAATAGGTAACAGGATTTGTAATTAATATGAAGGTATAATTAAAACCCGAATTTTTGGGGTGGGCGGTTGGCTAGTGGATTCTTCTAGCTCTTCAGCGTTATCAGTAGGTCTTTAAATACAGGCCTGGCATTTCCCTTATATACCTCAACTCTTGTTTCTCGGGTTCGTTTAGGTGAGCTCCTAGGACTTCCAAAGTATTGTCGACATGGCCTATATTTGTATACTCTATAACATCGTAAGTTAGCGTTGCCTTGTTGCTGGCCCGTAGTTTGTTGACGGTGGACTTGGTATTACGTAGACTACTAGTGCATCCACCCCAAAACCAAGCATCTCTTACCGAACACGTGCACACGAATAGGAATCTTGCCATGGTTTTGGATGGGCGGGAGGCGGCTGACGAGGCAATGTTCGAGAAACGATAGAAGGAGTACGTGCAAGAGAATGAGGATATTGTTCGTGAATATCGGGAGAGGGGGCTCTTGGTGGAGGTGGACACCGGTAAGAGAACGGAGGAGTCGTGGGAGAAGCTCTATGATGGACTGGAGAAGGACATCAAGTGGACGGAATATTATTGGAGAGAGGGCTCAGGATCGGGAGGGGAACAGCCCGCAAACGGGGACTTGATCGGTCATCACGTGGTAGCGGCTCTCGGTACGGCTAGGTAAGAAGTGTAAGGCTGACGCCCGTGGGTGAACTTGCCTGGGCATTAGCCACGTGGGCGAGACGTGCATAGGTGTGCTAGTGCCTTGGGATTTACATATTAAAGGCCGCACGTAATTCTAGCCTCGTTCTCTTCTTTGGCTCTGTTGATATATGTAGGTGATCGAGTGTCCTGGACCAGATGAACTGAATGCCAGCCAGGACCTGTAATGTCAACAAAGGCGGGATAAGGGAGGGGTAATATTCGACTCACTTGACTAATTATGTATGTTATCTCTCGTTCCGTTGGGTAGTATATTTCTCTTTAAAGAGTATTTAGAGGCTGGATAATCAGTTTATTGTAGTCAAGGAAATCGTAATTCTTGTCTATTTCATCTAGTAATCCGAAGTTTACGAACATCAAAAGCAGACCCGTAGCTTTTTAACTTCCTTCTTAAAAAGCACATATTCCATCCTCCACGTCTCCCACACGTTGTAGCCAATTTTCAGACAAGCTTGCGTACACGTGCAGCACCGAAGACAAGGAGCAAGACCAAAGGACTGTACAATCCTACGAGCTTGGCCTGCCCCCCGACCAGTTGGAGGACAGTGGCTAATGTGGGAGGTGGTGGTGAAGCTGAGGCCATTGGGAGAGTTGGCGGTGAGGCTTCAGCGACTCCTGTGTGCGAATTGTCGGCGTACATGGACTTCAGCCTCTGTTTATCTAAGTCTGATAGCTCGAGGTTGACAAGGACACAGGATCCATCTTGCGTGCAGGAGTCGTCGATTTGGTAATGCATGATGGACTTGGGGTCATATTCGGATGCATCAACCTGATCTGCTGGGTGCTGTTTCAGGACGTTCACGGAAGTTGTCTCCGAGTCCCAACCACACATAGTCTTGAAGTGTTTGTAAACTTTATCAAAGTTCCACTTAATAGGAGACTTTGGGGAGGCGTGTTCGTGTCCGAATCCAAGCATGTGCAAGCCTTCGTGGAGAATATGGGCACGCAGTTCTCGGCTGCCATCCCAGATTTTGGCACCGAGCGTCATTGTAGCTTTGTCCTTGCTAACTTGTGCATTGCCGATGAGAGATTGGAATCCCTCGCCTTCGAAAGTGATTCTCACATCTGAGCTCTTTCTACCTCGGTGGTCCACATACTCGAACGTCAGGTCGACTTGGTACTCAGCCCAACATTTCTTGACAAAGCTGTGTTGTGCAGGGTATCCATCAAGGAAGCACACAATGATAGGTTTGCCACGAGGCCACATCTTCTTCGGGAACGTGACGGCGCTCAGAGGCTCGTTTCCGTAGTCTACAGCCAACTGGAATGCTGAAACTTTGGCTAAAAGAGCAAAGTCCTTGTCATCGCTGTTTGCGAAGCTCTTAGGATCCACTGATGCAACTCCAGCGGGGTCCATGACTTCAAGTACCCTCGAGGCCATGGCTTGTTTGTCGAGGTATAGAGGTCGCAGGTCGTGATTGAAGTCGTGGAGTGGTCAGCGAGAGTCTGCTTTATTGATTAGCTTAGTATCTGTCTTTACTGTTCTTCCACCATTGAACTTACGAGGCTACTTTTGAGGTAGATTTGCGGAAGAGCCACGTTTGTGAGAGGAACGAGACGGACTTGGCTCTGAGCAGTGTGCAGCGCAGGGAGGCTGGGTATTTTGAGAGTCAAATCGAGTGAATGAAGCAGATGCTCAGCATAAAGGCAATCGCGACAAGGGAGCTTGGTGGGGGAGATCTTTAGCGCCGTGAGGATGGCAGCCGAGAGATGTCGACGTTGGGTGGAACATAGAAGATGTCGAGGGTAGCGCGGGAGGTATTATAGCTCTTCTGCGTGGGTACTTTGATGCCATGTTGAGTTCCGGTGAAAGAAAGGTCGTATGCGGCGGAAAACGAAGAAGACGAAAAGACAACTGACGACAGCGTACGTACGGTCGTTGTTCAAACCCAGCAGGGGACTGTAAGCATTCGCTCATCAGCCAATCACTTCTCTTAGATGTCTCAGTGTGAATTGTAGTTGGTTGAATACAGTGGGTCCGCACGGGCCATGTGCAAATCCACAATTTTTTCACCCACTGTACTACCGGTAGTTCCTTGCGTACTCTCGTACTCCAGGGAAATACATCCAAAATGCAGGGGGGATGCTTGGCAGTGCCGCCCTAAGAAAAGCTCTTAATATTTTGTATACCATCCATCTGCATCAATCACAGCTTTACATCGCGCTCTCATACTATGTACAAGCTCTTTAATTCTCTCGTGCGTAATCGATTCCCAAGCTTCCTGAATTGCAGCCCTTAGCCTCTTATAAGAGCTATGGACTTGAGGGTAATGCTCTTGTATATAGTCCTTCATATCGTCCCAAAGCGTCTCAATTGGACTTAAATCAGGTGAGAAAGGAGGCCATTCAATAATCCTTAATCCTGCAGCTGCAATTACAGACCGTGTAAAAGCGGAAGCATGCCCTGGTGCGTGATCTTGTTGAAAGTACAAATCAGGATATTGGCGGAGGATATCGTCGACGATTGGGATAATAATACCAGAGTAAGAGCCTTCATTGATTGTCTCCCAATCCTTCTCCCAAAAAAGCCCTCGATGGCGGCCATATCTTCCGCTTATCGACCCCCAAAACATCCATCCAATCTTCTTCCGGTACTTAGATTGTACGCAATCCTTATGATATACCTCTTCTTCCCCAATCTTGCGTGTAATCCAAGTCCGTGTATGTCTCCCAGGTTGTGTCCACGTCTCGTCACTCCAAAGGATCTCATCCCACTGCTCGTCTGTCCAATTCAGATGTTCCTTCGCCCAGTCAAGCCTCTTCTTCCTATTCTCCTCAGAAAGAGGAGGTTTCTTCCGTGAAACGCGGCGAACAAAGCCTTCCTTCTTGAATGCCGTACGTATAGCCCATTCTCCACAATTCAAACCGAGGATCCCTGGGATCTCAATCCACGGCGTTTCGCGATTCTCTTGAGAGGCTGTGGCCCATTGGATTAGCCTCTTTCTTTGAGGGGTATTGAGGATAACTCTCCGGCCGCATCTCTTCTTTTGAGGTGTGAGACGGTGAACGATCGCATAGCAAACTTGATCGTATGTATAGCCTGTTTCTAGGCAAATCTGGGATCGCGTGTGGTGTGCGTCAAAGAAGAGAGTCTGAACCCGTAATCTCTCATCGCGTGAGAGCTGAGCTTTTGGCTGCTTAGGCGTGGGAACTCGATATGTGCTGTCCATGATTGAATTCTGGTGTTTTGGCGAGGAATCACATAGTAAGGGCAGCGTTGGATCATTATAAGATCATTGGTGAAGACCCCCTGTCAGCAGGGAAGGTGCTAGAAATCTTGGCGGCACTTATTACCCCGAGTACCATAGTACTTTCATGATGTTGTGGCGGGGCAAGGCTGGCCCAATCAGCGGTGTAACATTATCACCAGGGGCAAGGCGGCACGACACGCCTGAGTCACGAGCCTTCAAACCTTACTCAGGCACGTGTCAGGTTCCTTCTTCCCCCTACTTGTATTCTGCCCCTCATTGGAGGTCGCAAGTCGGAAATGACTTCACGTCTGCCCACCAAGGCCGACTTTCCCTCCTCCCTCGTAGTGGACATCATCCCACCATCTTCGGGCCAACCGATCAACATCCTGATCCTGCTTCACGGCCTGGGAGACACAAACAAATCATTCTCCCAATTAGGAAAGAATCTCAACCTCCCCGAAACAGCATGCCTAAGTATCCAAGGGCCCAATCCAATCCCACCCATCTTCACTGGCTCGGACACACCCGCCTTTCACTGGGGAGATGATGTCCTGATTGACGAAGGGAAGGGAGAGATCGAGCTCGATGCTGGATTCGGGATTATTGAGCGAGTGTTGGGGGAGGTTGTTAAGGAGGGGTTGATGCAAAGGTGCAGCTATCCCGCACGAAATGTCTTGTTTCTCGGCTTCGGACAGGGTGGGATGGCCGCGCTGCACCTCGCAGCAAGCTCGGATGTCGAATTCGGAGGCGTGATTAGCATCGGTGGACGGCTTCCTTCAATCTCTGGCACTGGAGGAGGGAAGAGCAAAACACCCGTGTTGGTACTGGGCGGCAGCAGAAGTGCCCAGGTCACGAGAAGCGCGGTTGATGCGTTGAAAGCCGGGTTCACGGATGTCGAGTACGTTAAGTGGGAGAAGGGAGAGGATTCTATGCCCAGGAGTAGGGAGGAGATGGTACCTATCATGAAGTTCTTTGCTAGGAGACTGAGGAGTAGAGCAGGGGTGCCGGAGGGGGCTGTTGAAATTTAATGCATTTGGGAAGTGGGATGAGCGAGCATTGGATGGCGTCAGGTGTTGTGTGGAAATGCAACTGGTCAGGATCAAGGGAAAACACATTTGGTAGTAAGAAAAGTGAAATGGTGGGGCAAGGCCTCCTCCTCAGCATTGAGTTCAGCTACCCCTTCACGCAGTCGACCCCAGGGGTATCTTCTGCCTTGATGGCTTTTTCTGGCTTGCTCTCAGCCGCTTTCTCCTTCTGTGCCTGCCTTGCAGCTTTCTTCATCTGCCGTTTACTCATAACCACATCCCCTTCTCCGCCAGCCTTCTCATCCTCATTTCGTATCAACACCTCCCACTTCTCTCTTGCTTTAGCCTCATCCTCAGCAGTCCATTCCTGGGGTAGAACTGCAAACACCAGATAACTCGTATGTGTCTTCACTTCCGGCTCCGTTCTATGCACCAACCTCCCTTCTTTGTACACCTTCTTCTCAACCAAACTCTCGATGATCCTGTCTCTGTTATTCGGATTCTCCTTGTCCTTCTTGCTCGCCTCCGGCTTGTCTCCATTCTCATGGAACGCCTTGAAGGTCCCTTCGACTTCTTTTAGCCGAGCAACAGATTCCTCCACCGATGCAGGAACCGATTGCAGACCTCTCTGAGCTCCATTATCAATTCCTATCCTCTCTCTTCGAATCTCGAATCGTTTTTGTGACAATTCCACCATCTCGATATCAACCCAGCCAAGATTCCGCATGACTGAGACTGTTCTCTGGACTTGTTCGATACAAGGGGAGAAGGTGCATATCTGGACCGGTGCGTTCGGGCTTAGTGGTGATATGAAGGGCGTTGAACCATTCGTTTCCGTCTTCGGTGACGGGGATCTCGACAGGTGTGGTAGAGCAAGCCATGGAGCTGGCAGATCCAAGAATACGGCTTCAGCATTCGGACTTTCCCCATTGACCAAAAATCCCTCTTCACAAACATCCCGGTGTGTGATTTGTACGATATCTTCCAGGCCATGGTCCTGGATCTCCTTCTCAAGCTTCTCGTGCCTCTGTTCGTGGAATTCGAAGCTCCAGACCTTCCCAATCTTCCTCCGCTTCGTTGTAAACTCCACATCTTCAGGATACCCACTGTAAACAGCCCTCGCAGATGCATGCGTGAACGACCCACTGCCCGCACCAGCCTCAATTATACTTGCACCAGGTCGTGCTCGCAATCGGTGTAGAATGTAGCTGTAATCGGGAGTGTAAACCACCTGGGTTCGATGCGGCAGTGAACTCGTCCAATTCTCCGGCGTAGGAGGCAGAATATGTATGAATCCACTCGAAGCAGTGACAGCCTCTTTCTCTCCCCTCGTGGTATTCGGCGTGCTAACATCCTCCGCATCCTCTTCCTCCAACTTCGGGGCTTTGTTCGGCGCGCTCTCAGGCTCCTCGCGTTTTCGTTTCTTCTCCTGTCCTTTGCCGCGACGACCCCTCGATCCCGTATCAACTTTCGAAGCTCGAACCTGACTTCCCCATGGCAATCCAATCAACGTGCTGTGCGGAAACGACCCGAACCGAGTATTGACGACCTTCCCCTCCGAGTAGCCATCATCATCCTCATCGCGCGCCTTGAGGATTGTCGGTATCTGCAAATCTCTCTTTAGATGAAGAATTGATAAGCTCTCAGCCGTAGCAACCGGGCCCGGAAACAAGAACGGCGACGTCTTCTGCGCCATCTCTGCTGTGTTGCATCCACAACATGGACGCTCAAAAATAAAAATTCCGACGAGGCTGAGGAAAATCCAAATTTAGCGAGCCCGCCATTTTCTGCCGAATCGTGGCCTTCCGCGGTCACACAACAACCATGTGCCAGATTTAAATGCCCCCTTTTCTTCCACTACTGAGCTTCTCTGTTCCCAATTTCACGTATTTTTTCCCCATTCGACAGTTTGGACCCGGAATACGTCTTGGATTTCTCTAATTAGAGAAGCCTCTGCCTTCTGGCTTTCAGAATAATCTATTTCAAAGGTTAGCAGAGCTCTGTAAAGCTTCAATGGTCACGTACGTTGTTGTCTACGTCGGAATGTTCATCACGAACTTAACCTGCTTCCCAAAGTAATCCCGCATGATCCTGCGGATGATATCGGTCGAGACATAATTCCTGGCATGTCAGGAACCATGTCCCAGATGCGAGTGATCGTACATGGTCGGTCCGCAAGCATAACACGAGACCTTGCCCTCCTCCTTGGGCACAAAAGGCACTGGCGGCCAGACTTGAGTGAGTTGGTGGACCTTCAATTGCTCCATTGCTGCGTTTGTCTTTGCGCTGAACATCCGAAACTTGCTGCTACAGCCTTTGAGTCACATGCTAAAAGGAATCTTCCTGGTGATGGGGAGGCCAAAATGAAGACGCACCTCTCCATCCGTACCGCAGTCACGGAAGCGATAAAAGTGAACAAGACCTTCGGCAGAGTAGACGAGATGCTGCCGCCGTATTTGGATTCTTTGTATAAGGAATCTATAGACGGAGAAGATTATACCATCTTCGGACGTCACGAAGTACTTGGAGGACCAATCCATAGGAGATGCGTTGAATGTCACGAGACCGGATGTCATGATACGACTGGTTCACCGTATTCTTAATTTTCACCTCATGTTGTCATCCAGACTCATTCATTACCTAGTTCATAACTCCGGATACCCACTACCCTAAGGACAACCCCTCTCATAAATCCAGAAATCACTACATACCTGCCCAGCTCCAGTTGTAGTAGCAACGGCCACGGGCCCTCCTACACCAGGCGCTACCCCAGTGGGTGCAGGGCTCGGGTCCCATACTCTCCAACCTTCAAGCACAAGGATATTGCACACTGGTCCTTCTCTCACCCGCCAGCTCAAACATCCACCAATGTCCCCACAGTAGTACTGGCATCAAGGGGGCCGCCTTGTGGAAGCCTCCAGGCGACATTGGACAAGAACTGGCAGGCAGGATGCAACCGTGTATAGGGAAGCAGTTTGGAACTACAGTGGTGTGGGTTTGGGTTGTTGTGCTCGTAGCAGTGGTATACGTATACGTTGCCGCCAAGGCAGGTGGGGGCATCGTCGTGGCATGCACAGTCGTCATTACCGTGCTCTCGATTGAGATCTGGTAGAATGGGACGGGCAGGGGAGTGGTGAAGCAGGAGCAACCGCTGCTGACTGTCCAGGGTGCAAATTGGGAGAGGCAGGGTACTTGGGACCTGGGCTTCGATTTGTTTTTCTGCTCGTTTGATGGGCGAGGGGTAGAGGAAGGTGGTGGATGTGGCGCTAGCACTGACTGTTACTGTTTTGATTCTAGAATTCGTTAGTTCGAGATTCATGACTTTCAACTCGGGATTCGGAGTCGGGAAAGCTCACATGATTATTGCCGTGGTGGTTGTTATTGGCGGCGGTCGAACAGTGATGTCTGTCAGCGTTGGAGTCACGGTTTCAACCTCGTACAGTACAAGACGATCGTGGGTCTGATATATTGCATGCGGAACGCACTGGCGCTGTACTGTACTGATATGCGGAGAGAGTTCGCATGACAACATATGTACGTAGGCATTGCTGAGACTTGCGATGGTCGCCAGCAAGAGCAACTTCGCAGGCAAATGATGAACGTTCTCACTTACTTGGCACCCTCATGGCAATAAAGGAATGAGGAATCTGTCGGTGACATGCTTGGACACGAAATACGTTCCTTCAGCCTTACATTGGACCAGCTTGAGGAGATAGAAAAGGGGCTTCAATCAGTCAGAGGAACAGCATGTGCAGGTTATCGGGAAAATGATGAGGCTGGACTTTCAGCCAAACGCCGAAGAACGTGAAGGATTCATGGGGGATTTGAATGCTGAATCTGGGGAGGATACGATTCATCACATGATGAAGATGGACGGGAGTCGGGTCGAGGGACGGCAGTTTCTTCAAAAGGGGCTCGTGTAACCCGTCTATTCGGTTCGGAAGGTAGACATTCGGAAGGCATCAATATGACTCAGCACCTGCTCCCTCCCTGCTGCTGACTGCGACGAAAGTGAGCGCGAGCCGAGCAGGGGCCTCGCCACGCCACTACCATCGTGTTCGTTCCACCGCACATTGTTGCGGCCCAGTTTTCCAACTCATCTCAACGACTCACAGCTCGTGGCTCGCACATGCTTCTCCGCCGAGCCGCGGTCGATCGACTAGCAGGCGTGAGACCCGAAGGCAGCAAGTCGAGTCGGCCTGGAGATGACGAATAATACTTTCGGATGCGTTCGCAGTGGGCCTTCCGTCCCCAAGATTCTCTTCGGGAGCCGGATGCTCGCCACTCCGCCCCTTGGCCGCCTGCACATCTCTTTCTTAAAGAGCACAACGCCAGCACAACGCAGCACAACTCCAGCACAACTCCTAGCATCCCTCGCATTATGAGGCCGCTCCCCGGAAACTAGAACGCGCTCCGAATGCGAAAGCGCATTGATAGGCCTCGAGATTAAACGAATTTGACAAAGAATTCCGTTGCCGTGCCTGGGGCCTGGGCGGGACTCACACTACCCTGCTTTTGTTTTGGTCTCCACGACTCCATTCTCTCATTTGTTTCTTTGTCCTTTGTATTAAAGTATTGTGTCTTCTTCTTCTTCGTCTTCTTCTTCTTCAAAGGCTGCGGAGAGCCCGTTGCAGAATTCAATTGACCTTCATCCTCTAACTCGCAAGGATGTCGTTTGTTGGTAAGTTCCGGGCGCAGAAACTCAATCTTGCTGCACCCCGCGCCCGCTAACTTCCGTCCAGGAAACTTCTCTGCGAACGGCGAGCGTACCGCAGCTCATCAAGGAGTTGGGACGCCAGGTCAGAATCCACCGCGCCACAATGTCTCACAGGATTCCAACCCATACGACGAGAAGGTGGAGTCGTACAGCTCGGAAAGCCCCACCCTTACACGCGCATTGAGTCGCGAGGAGATAGAGGAACACCGACGCGACGAGGAGATCCACGAACTGGCGAGAAGATACACATCCAAATCCCATCACAGCGTGTACAATGACAACCCGTTCGATGCGCCAGAAGGCTCCCCACTCAACCCAGCATCCGAGAACTTCAGCCCACGAGCGTATGCGAAGTCTCTATTGAACCTCCAAGCCCGGGACCCAGAGAAATGGAAGCAGAGAACTGCTGGCTTCGCGTTCAAGGACCTGAACGTTTACGGGTTCGGAGCGGCGACCGATTACCAGAAGAGTGTGGGGAATGTTGTCTTGGAAGTGGTTGGGGCTGCGAAGACGCTCCTAGGAATGGCCAAACCCCGAAAAATCGACATCCTCCAGAATCTCGAAGGAGTAGTCCACCATGGCGAGATGTTGGTCGTTCTTGGCCCTCCGGGCAGTGGTTGTTCGACGTTCCTCAAGACAGTTGCTGGTGAGACGAATGGTTTCTTCATCGATGAGAAATCCCAAATCAACTACCAGGGCATCGAGCCCAAGCAAATGCACAAGGACTTCCGAGGTGAAGCAATCTACACTGCAGAAGTCGACGTACATTTCCCTCAGCTCTCTGTTGGCCAAACCCTTGAATTTGCGGCTATAGCCAGAGCTCCCCGTCATATTCCGGGAGACATCAGTCGCGAAGAGTTTGCCAGACGCTCTCGAGACGTAATCATGGCATCTTTCGGTATTAGCCACACAATCAACACACAGGTTGGAAACGATTTCGTTCGAGGAGTGAGTGGTGGAGAGCGGAAACGTGTGACAATCGCCGAGGCTTGTCTGAGTGGAGCCCCGCTTCAATGCTGGGATAACAGCACTCGTGGTCTTGACAGTGCAAATGCCATCGAATTTTGCAAAACAATTCGTATGTCTACAGAACTCCTTGGGTCTACCGCAGTAGTGGCAATCTACCAAGCTCCCCAGAGTGCATATGATGTAAGTTTTGCCTTTTTGATGTTTTACTCGGCAACTAACACTCTCAGACATTCGACAAAGTCCTCGTCCTATACGAGGGACGTCAAATTTATTTTGGTAGATGCACAGATGCAAAAGCTTACTTTCTCAATCTCGGATTTGATTGCCCAGCAAGACAGACCGACGCGGATTTCCTCACATCTATGACGAGTGCTCAGGAACGAGTCGTAAGGGATGGCTTCGAAAATCGAGTACCACGAACACCCGATGACTTCGCTACAGTCTGGAAGAACAGTCCAGAACGTGCAGCACTTGTAAAGGAGATTGATGAGTACAACAATACCTACACGCTCGGAGGCGAACATCTTCAATCGTTCAAGGATTCCCGAAGAATACAACAGTCGAAGCATCAGCGTGTCACCAGCCCATACACCTTGTCCTACGTTGGGCAAGTGAAACTCTGCCTCCGAAGAGGTTTCTGGAGATTGAAGGGAGATCCAACTCTGACCTTCTCTCAACTTTTCGGAAACTCTGTCATGGCCCTCATTATCAGTTCCATCTTCTACAACCTCCCGCAAACTACCAGCAGTTTCTATTCAAGGAGTGCGCTTCTGTTCTTCGCCATCTTGCTTAATGCTTTCGGTAGTGCTCTTGAGGTATGTATGCTTCCCGTCAAAAGGAACCGTACTCATGCTCTCTAGATTCTAACACTGTACGCTCAACGCCCCATCGTCGAAAAACATGCGAGATACGCTCTGTACCACCCATCTTGTGAGGCCATCGCTTCAATGTTAACGGATATGCCATACAAAATCACTAACGCAATCACGTTCAACTTGATTCTCTACTTCATGGTTAACCTGAATCGACATCCTGGGAACTTCTTCTTCTTCTTCCTGATATCGTTCACACTAACTCTGGTCATGTCTATGCTCTTCCGAACAATTGCATCAGTCTCTCGAACTCTGTCTCAAGCAATGGCCCCAGCAGCTGTCTTGATCCTGGCAATCGTCATTTACACTGGCTTCGCACTCCCTGTTCCGAACATGCGAGGGTGGGCAAGATGGATCAACTACATGGACCCCGTTGCTTATGGATTCGAAAGTCTTATGATTAACGAATTTGCTGGGAGAGTATTTACCTGCAACCCAGATCAATTCGTACCAACTGGACCAGGCTATGCCAATGTCTCCCCATCAGAACAAGTATGCGGAGCCGTCGGCGCCGTGGCAGGATCCAGCGACGTCGATGGAACAGCATACATCGAGTCAGCCTACCAGTATTTCCCGTCTCACAAGTGGAGAAACTTTGGAATTCTCTGGGTCTTCTTGATTGGTCTCTGTGCAGTGTATCTCATTGCAACCGAGTATGTCACAGCCAAGAAATCAAAGGGAGAGGTCTTGCTTTTCCGACGCGGCCACACAGCCCTCAAGAAGAAACCGTCAAACGATGAAGAAGCTGGGAGCACACAACTAGCAACTCTGGAAAAGGGCGCCACTGATGCCTCTGCCATCCTCACGAGACAGACTGCCATTTTCCATTGGGAGGATGTGTGCTATGACATCAAGATCAAGGGCGAAGGTCGCAGAATTCTGGATCACGTCGATGGATGGGTGAAGCCTGGTACATTGACAGCTTTGATGGGAGTTTCTGGAGCCGGCAAAACGACTTTACTCGATGTGTTGGCAACCCGGACAACAATGGGTGTCATTACGGGAGGAATGCTTGTTGATGGCCGAGAGCGTGATGCGTCGTTTCAACGCAAGACTGGTTATGTTCAACAGCAGGATCTCCACTTGTCAACCAGCACCGTTCGTGAGGCTCTGAACTTCAGCGCCCTTCTTCGACAGCCGGCCAAGGTTCCCCGCAAGGAGAAGCTCGACTATGTCAATGAAGTGATCAAGCTGCTTGACATGCAGGAGTATGCAGATGCCGTGGTTGGTGTGCCGGGAGAAGGTCTCAACGTCGAACAGCGGAAACGTCTTACCATCGGAGTTGAGCTCGCAGCTAAGCCGGAATTACTGCTTTTCTTGGACGAACCTACCTCTGGTCTTGACTCTCAGACTTCGTGGGCCATTTGTGATCTGATGGAGAAGTTGACCAAGAATGGCCAAGCTGTTCTTTGCACGATTCATCAACCTTCTGCAATGCTGTTCCAACGGTTCGACAGACTTCTCTTCCTGGCGAAAGGCGGCAAGACTGTTTACTTTGGGGAAGTGGGGAACAACGCCAACATCTTGACCAAGTATTTCGAACGAAACGGCGCATTTCCTTGTCCTCCGGACGCAAACCCCGCCGAATGGATGCTGGAAGTCATCGGCGCGGCCCCTGGCAGTCACACTGATATCGATTGGTATCAGACATGGCGAAACAGTCCCGAGTACAAGGGAGTCCACCAAGAACTCGACCATCTAAAGGAAGAGCTTCCCCAAATCACACAGCCATCAACTTCCGTCGACGACAAAGCAAGTTTCCGTGAATTTGCAGCACCGTTCGCAGTTCAGCTATGGGAAACCGGGAAGCGAGTGTTTGAACAGTACTGGAGAACACCTTCATACATCTACTCGAAAGCCTCTCTTTGTATATTCTCCGTAAGTTGCCAGCTCTCGTGTACCATATATGCAGCGCTAATTCTTCAGGCCCTCTTCATCGGCTTCTCCTTCTACAACGCAGGAACCTCTCAACAGGAGCTCCAAAACCAAATGTTCGCCATCTTCATGCTCTTCACCATCTTCGGCCAGCTTGTCCAACAAATCATGCCCCACTTCGTCACCCAACGCGCCTTATACGAAGCCCGCGAGCGCCCTTCAAAAGCCTACTCCTGGAAAGCCTTCATGATCTCCAACATCGTCGTCGAGCTCCCATGGAACACGCTCATGGCAATTCTCATCTTCTTCTGCTGGTACTATCCCATCGGGCTGTACAAGAACGCTGAACCCACCGGCGCCATCACTGAACGCGGTGGCCTCATGTTCCTCTTGATCTGGGAGTTCCTCCTCTTCACATCCACCTTCACAACCATGGTCGTGGCCGCGATCGAGACCGCAGAAACAGCAGGCAACATCGCTCAGCTCATGTTTTCCCTCTGCCTGGTCTTCTGCGGTGTGTTGGCATCTCCCAACGTCTTCCCCCGCTTCTGGATCTTCATGTACCGCGTGTCCCCCTTCACCTACCTCGTCGACGCAATGCTCTCGGTGGGAGTAGCCAACAACGCTGTCGTGTGCGCGGCGAATGAGATCCGTCACTTCGACCCTCCGTCTGGTCAAACTTGCTTCGAGTATATGCAGACGTTCATCAACAGCCCGTACGGAGGCGGATACCTGACTGACAACAACGCGACGAGCAATTGCGGGTACTGTAGCTTGGGATCCACGAACCAGTTCCTGGCGGCGGTTAGTTCGAGCTATGCGCTTCGGTGGAGGAACTTCGGCATCTTGTGGGCGTTTATCATCTTCAATGCTTTCGCAGCAGTATTCTTATACTGGCTTGTGAGGGTACCCAAGAAATCTGGACGAAAGGTCAAGAAGGCGTGATTGTTGGGCTTCGAGTTTTCGGGTGGCAGGTGGCACGGAAGTCCACTTTCGCTTACACCCCTTGCCGGGCAATGGCGTGCTTAGACAGCGCTTTACGTGCTCCCTTCCTATACTTTGCACTACTTTTTCCTTTGTTTGGCGTTCATAGAATTGGTTTATACCTAGATTTAATTAACCACTTAATAGATGTAGATAGGCAGCTCAGGGCGCGGATGATAAAAATGGATTTTTGTTTATTGAGGCGGTGGTCTAGAATCCCTTCCCTTCCGCCCGTGATTTCCTCCAGCCGGAGTCGGAGTTGAGACAGTAGATTTGACTAGAACTCTCTCTTGAATAAAGTTGTGAGAACGGAGAGGCCGATGAGTTACGAGAGTGCATGCTCCACGGAGGAAGTTCTCCGGGTACAATGAGAGCTCAATGTGTGTGGAACAACTTCTGCGAACCCACCGTGAGCTGCGGCAAGTATCAGTCGAGGCCCAAGGCAACAACCCACAGGAAACCCGCAGATTCCTCGCCACTGCGGCCAGCATGGTTGAGGGGTTGAAGACAGCCTCCTCTCCAGCCCAGAACAACTTGATATGGAATGGCATTCTGGAGATCACGGCACAGGAGCGTACCTGCCTCACTATCTGTCCATAAAGGACCCATCAGCACCCGTGAAGCACCACAACAATGATCAGCACGGTGTGATTGTTCCTTATGGCAGAGAGGACGTTCAGTCCACGCCCATCTCTCGATCGACGAATAGCTTTGCCAGGTTTCACACTGTTGGTAGATCAGTGAAGTCGATCTAGGAACCCTGGATTCTATCTCCAACCTCCCAGAGACAATTTAATAGCGCCGCTGATGACGGGACACACGTTTGTCTTGTTGTAACTGATGCCATTCCCCTTTGCTATGAGATATTCATTGACACCCAGGCATGTTTTGCCACGGTCTAGCGCAAATGTTGTTTATTTCGAATAGCTTTAAGAACAACGAACATACTACCTCTCTTGGTTCGGAGTTCTGGATGAATCCAGAGTTATGCCATGCAAGCAAGCCATGGCTGTGTCACGGCAGGACTGAATATGGACCCCCACATGTCCATCCCCGGGAAAAGCCAGCGAAGTCCAAGCAAGCATCGGGCTCGGCTTCGCAAGGAAGACACCCCCTTGCGGGGAAGATGAGTTCTCGATCTCGACCTGCTCCTCGAAGTGGACCTTCGGCATCGTTCTTGGGGATTCAGTTCAGTGCTGCTGATGAAGGACGGAGAATACTTCTACTCCACTATCCACATAAACCCGTAACGAGAGGGCGACTTTTCAGTGAGACGGGGTAAACGAACTTCAAAGGCGTGGCGAAGGCTGCGTCACGTCCCTGAAAAGTAATTTGTCTCGTGTCTTCTGTGTTTTGGAGCGTAGGGGAAAATCATGGTTGGTTGTTGTGGGGGGGCTTCGGCGGCTATGTTCCCCGGAAGGCAGGTAGTAATTTTGTGTGCTTGCTTCCCCATAGTTTTTCATACGATGAGATGAGACATTAAAGGCGGTGCATCGGCCCTGAATCCTACAGAAAAGGAAAGTCATCGTCTGATGTGTTCATGTTGGTATTCGTTTAAACGTGGCGAACCAGGCTGGCGTCGAGCACTGTTGGAACTTGGCTTGGGGACCTAGCCAGGGACGGCACTCATCAAGATCCACAAGCTGTCCGATAGTAGCCCGTGGTGCCCGTGTCACGGGCGTGTCCCTCCCGGATTCCAGGGTTCAGCTGAGCGCCTGGGAAAGCCTCTTCCCACTCGCAGGGTCCAACACTCCACTGTCTGCTGTGCACTTCCCTCGCTATTAGTTGAAGAAATCTTCATCCCACGCTCCACCAGAGAGCTAAAACAGTCTCGAACTTCTGGACGTGAGAAGGGCTGCACTTCTTCTTCTTCTGGAATTCATATATATCCGCGTCCGCGCTTTCAGATCCCGAGAGTGTCTCTGGATCCTACCCTTGTACGACCTGTCAGCGCACATGTTCACTACAGGCCACTGACCGTACACTCAGCCTTGTACATCTCTTGGCCAACCTATCGGCTGCCATGTCTCACCATCAGAATCTCCAACACAGCGGCTTCGTGCCCTATCCTTCACATCATCCAGTGTATCCCGACAGCATAGACTCAGACTCCCATGACAGCCTCTCGACAAAAGTAGGCCCATTCGGGGACGAGAATACTGCCACAGACGAGCACTTCTTCGTTGGGGATCCGGACCTGGAGCAGTTGGACCCTTGGAGGGGGAATGTGCCCAGTCCCATGCCACGAATCGCGGATGCTATCACTCAAGGTATGTTCTACTGGTCTTCTTCGCCAACCACTGTCTTCTGTCTTCTTCACTGCTTTGTCTCCTATCAGATCTGCATCTGCAGCATCAACAGTCTCTGCACCCCAGCCTCCCAGACCCAGTGGGTTGCGGCAAGCTCGCCAGCCGAATATCGAGCTTCCAGAACAAGGCCAAGGAGACACTTCGCCGGGACGAAGCGCAGACCCGCAGACGCTGTATTTCGGCAAGTGACGGCCAGCCTGCAGCAACAAGATTGCATACTCTGTTCTTCAGCACTGCTTCGAGCGTAGTGGCCCGCTGTGAACGGCGCATAACGATGTCGTGTTCGCAGCTCAGGATGGTGACATCCCACGTGACGTTCATCGACCCCCCTGAAACGTCCCCAACCAAGGCGGGGGCATATCTGGAGGCCGTGTCCCCGTGTTGATGGTGGAAATGGAAGCAGTCTGCAGTTCGCTGTATCTCTCTGCTTCGTGGACGAAGGTCGAATTCATTGCATAGTCTGTTTTGAGTGTTTTCGAATAAGCGGTGGAAACTGTACTGACAGAAGACAATAGTGTTAGCGGAAGCAGCACTTTCTCCCCTCTCGCCAACCATCTACAGCCCATGGGACGGTGACTTCGCACCTCCGGCTCCAGGCCTGGACGAATACGCAACCATGCAAGCACAATCAAGAGGACAAGGACCAGGTCGAGTTCCGCCTCCCATTGATCCCCAACTGCAACCCCAATCCGAAGGTCCGCCTCAATATCAAGAAGAGCACCCCCTTCAGCCACCAGACATCTACTACCGCTACCCCGAAGCCTCGTCCTCCCTCCCAACCGCGCACACCCAGCCCTTCACACCAATCTACATACCCCACAATCCTTCCCCCACAATCCCGCACCACCACCACCAACATCCAAACCAATACGCCTCTTCCATGACCAGCGCCTCATCCCCCGCCCCCCTCTCAGACGCCGAAGCAGAAGCAAAACGGATCCGCAACACGGCTGCCAGCGCCCGCTTTCGCCGGAAGAAGAAAGCGCGGGAAGCGAGCCTGGAGCGGCAGAGCCGGGAGAAGAGGGAGGCGCTTGCGAAGCTGGAGGATCGGATCACGGAGCTCGAGGACGAGAATAAGTTTTTGAAAGGGCTGATCTTGTGGAAGAGGGAGGGGCGGGAGGGGGATGAGGGGAAAGAGGTGGAGGAGAGTATTGTTGTTGAGTCGGAGAGGAAGCGGAGGGAGAGAAAGGATGGTGTCGGGACATGAAGGGGAATGGGATGGGTGAGTAGATACGTGACATGATCAACGCGAATATGCATCACTAGGAGCAATTTGGGTAAACTTGGATACCGCCAACACTGGTGGCAATCCAGCGCACTTGCAGAGCTTGGCTTGGATAACACAGACATGAAGGATATGCACGGCAGGCGTTGAATTGGTGAAATTTTGGCGTTGGATTTCTGCTGACGGTTGATCATGGAGTTCATTGGATCGGCACGCAATCAATAAAGCAATGCCATATATCCCAAGGAAATCTCGTTCTTATAGACTTTGTCCACTGTGTTCTTCGCAATCATCACATTTCTATTCATGTCCCATACCCATAAACCCGTTTCTCCTCGACTGGTATGAGTGTGATTACCTCTTTCGATCCCTGGCAATGTCAGCGAAATCCAATCCACGCAGAGTACAAACTTACGTGCTCAGCCGCCTTGATAGTAACTGCAACCCCTTATCATTATCTGCGGCATCCCGGGCTCTCTCAAGCGCCTGCGCTCTGCCCTCCTCGCTCTGTCTGGTGACCTCTTCATGACTTGGTGGCAATCTCTCGTTCTGCAAATCGACCTTTCGTGCGTCTTCGAAACTGCTGATGGCATTCTTGATACCTTCAGCGCCAAGCATCAACGTTCCAGCAGGAAGTCTGCCTCCAGAAGCAGTCTTCAACTCAGTGACCCTTTCGGACTCTTCTCGCAAGACTTGGAACACACGTGACAGACGACCAATGGCAAGAATCTTGTTCTTGATGGCTCTTCGCTTGTACTCAATTGAATCTGGATCCATTGGAATATTGGCATTGACAGGTGGTGACACTGGACCTGAGACTGATGCTGGCGTCGTCTGGTCTTCCTTGAGTTCGTCCTCGGAACTCACGCTCAAGATTGCAATAAGCATGTCGGTAATCTTCTCCCCCACGAATGGAAGCGACCAAGTGAAGACGTCCATGAAGTTTGGTAGCCAATAAGGATGAGGGGTGCAGTTAAACTGCCTGATGTTCATGACATTATTCTCATACTTGAGGACGGCGGCTTTGTTGTTGTACACATCCAGATAATTGGGTGCTGAAAAGATGGTCATCACACTTGGGAATCCTGTCGTTCGCGTCTTTCGATACATCCGATATCCTGCATCCTGAGCCTCGTGTGCTCGGATAACGGACAGAAGGTTGTTTTTCTCTAAGAAATTACATGCGGCTGGATAGGAGAAGAAGTAGGAGCAGCCTCGGACATGGTTGTGAACGAAGTACTCGGAAGTCTTCTCTTGGCCGAATTCTTCCAATGGATCTGCCCACAGAATGTCGCACATGAGGCCATGAGTGGGAGGTTCCCGGAAGCGATCAATCTGACTTTGTCAGCAGAATCCCGTCTACAACTTCGAAATACACACCTGCTTCAGATCATCCAGGGTATGTAATTCCGGGCTCAATCCACCGTGGATACACAAGAATTGCTTGTTCATGACCGCAGCCAGAGGGAGGGCGCAGAAGGATTCCATGCATGCTTCGTAGATCTTCTCAGAATACTTATGCTTGCATTCGAGCTTGAACGTGAAGTAGTCGGTCAAATGCCTGCACTCGTGGTTTCCTCGGAGAAGCCATAAGGTATTTGGATACCAGATCTTCAAGGACCACAGGTAAAGCACGCATTCGATACTGAAGTACCCTCGGTCGACGTAATCGCCGAGGAACAGGTACCGAGTATCGACAGGATCACCGCCCACTTCGAATAGCTTCATCAAGTCATAGTATTGCCCGTGAACATCTCCGCACACTGTGATCGGTGCATCCATCTCGAGAAGATTCGGCTCCTGCTTCAAGACCTTGGTACCCTCCTCAATGATGTACAATGCTTGAGCCTCGGTCAGGCGCCCTTCTCTGTAGAAGTGCTGCTTCAGAAATTGAAGATTCGGCTTCGTGCTGTCCTGAGGGGAGAAGAACTGTTGGTCTGTTGGTGGGTGCATAGCAGGGGCTTGTACATCTATCATAGCACATGTGAGCTAGGCTGACACGGGGCGAAAACTGGCGAGGCATAAAAAGCGGTCAATACCTTTGCAAACCCTCTCCATGGTGCTCACTTGACTTCCATCTTCCATGGTATGCAGACTGAAGTCGATTTCTGGAATCGGCTTCTTCTGCTGGAGAGCTCTTAGAGCATTGTCTACCTGGTGACGGTTTTCCATCCCAGGCGGGAGGGGGCTTTGTTGCGCCGCACCGTCCATGATCGCGACTTGGAGAACCGAAGGGAGGATCTGCCTGGCCTGCCGTCAAGCTCGGAGATTTATCGGAGGTGTGAAGGTCGAGATCTCGAGGATGGAGGGTTCTTTGGACGTGGGGAAAAGGGGAGGCAGGCGCGACGAGTCGGCACGCTTTGTCAGCGCAGAAAGAGAGAATAAATAGGCGCGCACTTGCTCGAATGTTTCCTTGGAGGTTTCGTCAGCTCGTTGTCTCGTGTGCGCTTTGCGGGGCGTAGGGCTGAGGTGGAACGTCTGGCAGGATGGTTTGGGTTGAGAGGTCGTGAGGCGGCGACAAGCTCGATGATTTGACTCGGCACTAGCGAAAGTTTAGCGTGTGGGATGGAAATGGGGGGGTCGACCTGACGTGCGAAAGGGGGATGGGGAACGAGCACAGCAGGGAAGCCAAAAGGAAGGGTTCCTCGTCCTCCTGTCAAAACACCAAAGCTGCATCCCCTCCGCGACCCCTCGGATTAGGTGAAACGCAGCCAATGACTCGACCCCGAGATTGGAACATCCTCTGGCGATAGGAGCCACGACCGAAAACACATTACCTAATCGGGGATACAGAGCACAAGAAGGATCTCGGGCATCGCTGGCAACCTGATATTGGACGGCTCGGACGAACGACTGCATATGCGAAGAGCCTCCAGCTGCTCCATAGCTTGCGACTTGGGTGTTGAACAGTCTGCGATTCGGATCCGTCTCCGGGAAAGGTCTCTAGCTTCTATTAAGAGCCGCATCTGATACACAGCCACAACGATGCACGACAACCGTACTTCCACCTCCCCGTCCGTCTCTGCAGCAGCTAACAGCTCCAGGGACGCATCCTCTCCTTGCGCAAGTGCCTCTGACGGTGTCTCCGTTCGTGTCTCTGCCAACTGCAACTACCCTCCCGTACACATACAAGACCCTGCCGTCAACGCTACCCCCCTCCTCGACGGGAGGATCTGGCGAAGAGAAGTCCCAATACGTCGTGTCTTCCTCTGGCCATGCGGCACATCCAGACGAGATAATTGCATCATGCAAGGCATTACAAGCGTATATCCAGAAGGTCCAGGATGATGCCGACCGGGAGTTGAAGGCGTGGGAGGATGTTATAGCTGCCAGAGAGCTCGCAGAGAAGAGAAGAGTGGCCCCAGGATGGTTGGACAGTGAAGCAAGGTTACTGGAACCAGAGAAGAGAGCCAACTCTTCTGCCCAAGCTGGAAACGCTAAAGGGAATCCGATGGACGTTGATGTGTCAAGTCCCGAGGCATCAGGTTTACGGCATACGCCCATGCCACAACCAAACAGAGAGGGAGATGAACTGGACAGGGCGTTCGGAGGCCTAGGTCTGAATAAGTAGTTAATTAGTTAATGCAAGAAATTCTACCAGAGTTGTGTTCATGCATTGTGAATGGCGCCCTTTTTATATTGGTGCCTCACATTTCTGGCACAACATACCTCAACTTCCAAAATTCAATCCAACTCTTCCCCGAGCATCACAATGCCTCCGCGAATACCGCGGCTTACAATTGGACGGTCCAGCATATTTGGATTGCCAATTTCTGCCCCGAAACAACGAATATGCCCAATTTGTTCCTTGGCCAGGGCCTCTCCTCGACCCAGCAAGCGGCCTCGAACCTCACGATTCGAACAGCTTCGAGTACGATCCCAGAGTCAAACCACCGTACCCAGCACATCTCTAACCGACACTCTGACCCCCAAAGCATGTATAGATCCTAGAACGAACTTGCGAAATGCCTTGGTCGACTTACAACAAGATGCTGCAAGCTTCGTCAACATCTCGAGACTACAGCTTGCAATCCGGGGATTGGAACAAGAAGCTGGACAAGAAACGATCAGAATTGGAATACTAGGCTTGGCAGATGGAGGGAACTCATTGAAAATAGCTAAGGAGCTTCTGCGGTTGCTGGTAGTGGATCCATTGAAACCGGAAGAGGAATGGGAGCGGATATTGATCAATGATCCAGAAGGGAAACCTGTGCTGATCAAGGTTGGACACAATGGCACAGACGAGATTGGGAGAAGGCTGGTACAAGAATTACACGTCTCGTCTCCACTACTCAATGGACATAAGCTGGAGCTCTTGGTGCTGGAGATGGACCCGCCCGGGGAACCGGAAATGTTTACGGATGCAGTCATGGTTCCTACGATGGAGATACCGACTTCGAGTACAGGGAGATACACACCAGTTACTACGCCTCTGCACAAAGCTTTCATTGTTGCAGATGGTCTGCTTGGCGCGGTGACTCTGCTGAAATACCCTCTTGGTGTCGATCGGGAAATCATTGGCGGCGCTGTGGATCTGCCGACTGGGACACCTGAAGAGAAGGCCGCTCTTCCCTTTCGAACTGTGCATGTCAGATTAGGTACTGAGGCTCTTGAAGCCTTCCGGCAGAGCGTTGACAACGCTCTTGCTTATGAAAAGAGTTGGTTTGCTAGTGGGATACCTGAGATCCAAGAATGGATCAAAGCCGGAACTGCTGCAGCGGATGGAGGAATGAAACTACCGGTTCTCCATCTCATCCAGTCCCTTCTTGAAGATACATCTGGAGCAATTGCTAGTGAGCAGACCCTTCGGCTCAATGCATTACTTCAGGCAAAGGTATCATCCACGGACCTGCAAAACTTGCGGCGAGAGCTATCTCGATGGGCAGAGCGAGCTCACACAGAGCTTCGTGATCATCTCGATATAGCCTTCAATGGCCAGAGATGGAGGAAGCTAGGCTGGTGGAAGCTCTTCTGGCGGGTGGACGACGTCTCCATGATCTCCACAAACATTCTGCAGCAACGTTTCCTCACAGAAGCGGAGAAGGAAGTCATTTTCTTGTCTGGCCGCATAGCTGAGACCGGAATCATAGAAGAGCTCAGCTCTCAAGGTGCCCCGGCGAACTGGGCGTATAAACCTGTCCTCGAAAAAGAGACAGAAGCACAACTAGGCTCCGAACCACCACCACCTGTTCTCAAGGACTTAGTCGAGCCTCGTGATCATTTACCAGTCAAGCTCAAACTCCAGCCTTGGCCTCTTCATATTCCTGCAACGCGTAACTACCTGGCACAAGAGACAGTCCCTGCGCTACAAGCTCTGGCACAGAAGCTGGTGCTTCAAGCCCTGAGTACATCCTCTCTTGCTTCGGTGTTTGCAGGCCTGATGTACGTTTCATCGGTTTCGACAGGGCTGTATGAATGCGGCGCAGTTGCAGCTTTGGGCATTGTGTGGAGTTTACGAAAAATGCAGGGCAAATGGGAGACTGCGAGAAAGTTCTGGGAGGGAGAAGTAAGAGAGGAGGGAAGGAAGGCTGTGAGAGGAGTGGAAAGTGTGGTTGGCGATGTCCTCATCACGTCACAGCCTTCGTTGGGAGGAGATGCCGAGCTTCAGAAGGCGCAAGAAGCTGTGGATCGTGCCGAGGCTGCCCTCGTGGCAAGTAAATAGTGTACCATAGCTTAGACGTGCAATGTAATCTCTACTGCTGTACGGAGCACTTTATCGCCAGCTACCTTGGGGGTTTCGCACGTGACTAATTGATCCTAATTCCCCATTTTAACGCTAAAAATGTTTGGTCTCGTCATATTTGCTTTTCGAATTTCGACCTCCAACATCAAGCTACTCACCGCCGCAGAACAGCATACACTGCTAGCAGCTACATTTCTTTTGTCGGCCGGGGTATCGAATATCTGGCGCACTGGTGTTTAAGGAAAATGGCTTCGGGTGCGAATGAGGGCGTGGAGGAAAGGGAAGCAGCCTCGCGGCCACGAGGTCAGGATGTTTCCCCCAGCACCAACGCGGACCTCGAGAAGCGCGATGCAGAAGATGATCTGAGCGAAGGAGAGACAGGGTCCGATGGCGAACACTCCGAAGATGGCGGCGAGGACGAGAGCGAAGTCAAGACTTCACGGAGAGACGCGAACTCGGTGGAAGACCACAACGCTGTGAATGAGCCTTCAAGCGCAGACGGAGCCGCAGAAGCACCTCCCCTCCCTGCAGAGGAGATTCCTCCGCTCCCCACAGAAGAGCCTCCAGCGGCAACAGGGCAAGATGACGGCTGGGCGCCAATTTGGGAGGAGAGCGCCCAATCTTTCTACTTCTACAATCGGTTCACAGGCGCGACGCAATGGACAAATCCTCGAGTACCTGAAGCTTCACAACCTCCTCCGCCAGGCGTTGCAGCTGCTGCCTACACGCCTCCCGTGCCTGCGCCAACGGAGAACCCGCCGACCTCTGGATACAATCCTGCTTTACACGGTGACTACGATCCTACAGCCTGGTACGCACAACCTGCTGCTCCGCTTCCAGCAGCGCCTTCAGAAGCACCCGCAGATCCAACTACTCAGTACGCAGCCACAGCACAATTCAATCGCTTCACCGGTCGATTCCAGAATCCCGACTTGAACCCCGAGAATTTCAACGACGAGAACAAGAGCCGGAGGCAGATGAACGCGTTCTTCGATGTCGATGCGGCGGCGAATAGTCATGATGGACGGAGTCTGAAGGCAGAGCGAAGCGGCAAGAAACTATCGAAGACGGAACTGAAGCAATTCAAGGAAAAGCGGAAAGCGAAAAAGGAAGAGAAGCGGAGAGCTTGGCTGCGAGACTGATATTTAAGATACCACGGGACGGGGCAGGCATGGATTGGCGTTGCATAAGGGTTCGGTTTCTTGCTTTGGGAGCCGGTTGGCTTGCATATAGGTCTGTACAATGGTGGAGAGCATGGAGGGCCATATTCAGCATCAATTGGAAACAATTTGATCCCTCGATTACCAACTTTGGTTCTGATGTCCCAATTCGAGGTTTCCCGTCTGCAAGAGATCACGGTCCAGAGGGGCTTTGTGATCCGTGAGCACATTTGCATTGCCCTTCACCATGCAGCAGGATGACTCGAGCTTCGCCGATAAGCATGAGGCTCCACTGCGGGGTTACACGGGAACCGAAACAACTTTACCGAAGTCAAGAAAAGGTAATGACTCGCATGACCACATGTGTCTTTCCATTGCAAACCAGATCCACCACAGTGTGGGGGACAGGGTCCCGAATTTCTAATTCAGCTCGTGTTTGTCAAACATTCAAAAAATCTACTCGCAGCAGCTCCTCATTTGACCAGGGGAGAAAAGGGGAGTGAAAGCTCGGGACGCAAGGTGGCTCGTGCAGTTTTCGAGATACCCGCCTCAATCAACCCTTGCAAAAGTGGAAGCGACAAGATCAGTATTTAAACAATTTCAATGTACCAAGCAAGGTCTGGCACAAAGTGGAGTGTTCTAGCCAGCAGTTTGATTGCCTTGCAGCCGCAAGAGATAACAACGCTGCCACTCAGCTGCAGAAAACATGACTTCGCATTTGAGGCTTGCATGCAGCCATGGATCTGGTCACGAGCATTTTTCCTATCAGACTTTCTCCCCTGTAACCGCGGTGGCGCTGAGAGACCGGCGATCGCTCCGCTGAGGTCAAGGCCCTTCCTGCTCGGCACTTCTCGCAGATTCCTCTGGTTTGATAGAATGGAGATATTGTTGCGTAACGGTCCAAGGATGTCTCTGCAAGACAGCCATTGACCATGGGTACCGAGAGTCTTCAAGGAGCACATGAACTTGAAGTTTCATTGAAGAAATATAAAGTGTCTGTGAAAAGGAGTACTGCACCCGCTCCGCCTGATCACACCATCCCGAGTCTAAAGTCGCCATCGTCGCCTCGCCTCAATTGCAATGACGAGCTCGAACCGTACCTTAAACCTCACCAATAACGATAGAGACTATGGGAGCGAGCATGTTCCAGATGAACGGATGTTCCTGTCGAAGAAGGAAAGTGCCAGGTTCGATGATGCTATCCCCTATGTTGCGGAGATTGATGAAGAAGCTGGGGGGGTTGATCGATAAATCGGCTCCGGAGGAAGAATCCGGGGACATTGCTAGCGTCATTTCCATTCTGTTGGTAGGTGTGCCCATGATCTCCTTTCTCAGAAGAAAGGACCATTCTTCTCTTCCTCAAATGCAGAGGAACTCTGGTTTCAAAGCTTCGGCTAACAATTATTTTCAAGATTTTTTATCGCAAATGCAGACACCTCGCTCGTCCTTGTCACAAGTGGAGCAATCAGCAGCGAATTCAATGACCTTGAGAACGCGGGATGGCTAATCACTTCGTACACGCTGGCGATGTGAGCCACGCAGTCATTGGTAAGATTGGAAGAGAAGCAATGACTCGAACAAGTTTCTAACTGCTACAGCATGGAAAGTTAAGTGATATCTATGGTCGAAAAAGCACGATCCTCGGAACGGTATGTTTTCTCGCGGTCGGTTGTGCGATATGGTAGATCTAGAGAGTCGAGAACAGTCACTTGACTGACATAATGTAGCGGGTTAGGACAGAGTCTTCAACAAGTTGTCTTGGGTAGAGTTCTTGCTGGAGTTGTGAAGGTGGTATCCATTGCCTAGTCTCGATTGTCATTGCGGGTAAAAATTCTTCTTCAGCCACTTTTGGGCCTTGATCTGACTTGTCCACAAATCTGGTCGCATTAAGAGATGCCGCCGTTGGGAGGAGCTATGAAAATACCACTACAACGACCGGCAGGAGTCTGGGAGGCCCAATTGGAGGCTACCTTACTGACAAGATCGGATGGAGAATGTTTGCCTCTCAATTTGCCCTGAAGTTTACTTATCTAATTTACTATTTGCAATTCTTCCTGGGGAAATGCCGTCCGACGTGACTAGCTCTTGCTCTCGTTGCTTGGAAACTCCAAATATTGTCTCGCAACGACGCCAACACAATCGGCCCTCTCGATGCTCCGCCGAGTTGATTTCCTCGGAGTGGTGTTTCTATGCATCTCCATTGTCTGCGGTCTTCTGGTCCTCGACCTCGGAGGGCAACGGATGCCCTGGACAGATCCGAAAATTCTGCTTTTGCTAGGAGCTTCTGTGATGGCTTTGAACGTTCTTGTTTTCGTGGAAACAGCCTGGGCAAAAGAGTCGATTTTTCCACTTCGTCTTCTGTTACATCGAGATGTAATCACGTCATATGTGAATACTGTATTGGTTTCCAGACTGAAGCGCAAGGAGCTGTGAGTCCTAAGCAACCATGTAATTGAAGTATGCTAATTATTGTTCTAGATGATAGTGCTCATCCCATTGTATTTCCAAGTCCCAGCGCATGTTACACACAACGCCGGTGCCCACTTGATGCCTTCTGTGATAGGCAATGCAATCGGTGGTCTTCTGGCAGATTTTGTTATCAAAAGGTATATTCTCTTCGAATCCACTCTTTTTCTGCTAACTACCCGAACAGGACCGGAAGATACAAATTAATCGCCGTAATTGGCGTCGCTGCGTCCTCAACATCCTACAACCTCATGATACTTCGCTGGCACGGAAATATTTCCTTCCTCGAATCTCTGTGCATCATTCCCGGCGGATTCGGCAATGTATTGCAATATTGGCTGTGTTCGTGGCTCTCACAGCGGGAATTGAGCACTGTGAAATGGCGATTGGAAGTTCGTGGCTATATTTGAGTTCTAACGTTGGCATGGTTGCGGGAATCAGCACTGTCTCTGCTCTGCTGCAAAGTACATTAAGCAAACAGTTGAGGATATTTTTGGAAGGGGTTGATGCGATGCAAGATGTAAGAGTTCTCCCAACTTCGGCGGATAATACGTCCCTGATCAATGAACTAAGATCAACACTCGAGCGTTGTCTGGTATTGAATACGTCCGATCCTTGCATGGCCGTCTCGCGGAGCTTGTCACGGAGGCATATATCAGGTGCTTGGGGTATACTCATGATATGTATCAACCTCCATTGGTCCCATCGGGGTTGTTGTAGGCACATTCCGACTTAAATATGTAGGTGTCTCCCTTTTCGGATAGGTAGTTGCTCTCGCTGTAACTATTTGTATTAAGGAACGTAGGCTATGATCTGAACTGGGCAGAAAGAGAGATTCCCAACGCTATATACGCGGTACTAGTTAATTGTTCAAGTGGGGTTGAGTTTTATTCAAATCAGAGGGGCTATTATTGGTGAACAATTCACACAAATTCAAAGTCAACGTTTATCAGTAGTTTTGATCTTGCAGTCTGCGCGGCAAATGACAGTCCACATATCTACCTCTCATGTCCTTAATTATCTCCATGGAAACGCTTGGGGGTCTTAATTCTGTCCCTAGCACTCCAAATCTGATTTCATGACAAGATCTTTACTCTAATCCGAACTGTTGGTACTTCCACCGATCTCGTCACCCTTTTGGTGTCATTTCTTCGCCAAAGCACACCATCGATAGCCACCACCAACGGACCAACAAGACAGCATTCGAAGGAAGAATGCATCCCAATCCAATGATTTGATGCGGATCTAGACAGGCACCTGCTAATCTGTCCAAGCCACGCCGATTAACCTTCCCCAATCATGTCCTTTTGGGATTTGGCATGTGCCGATACCCGTTGATATGGCGCAACAGACCGGATCATTGTCCCAGAACAGTGTATCGCTGTGAACTCAGGAGATCACCGATGGAGCGGACATAGTCGCAGTTTGAGTTGCGACTAACTCCGAATATTAAGCTCTCCCAACAAAGGGGTGAGAATGGCGACATCGCTTGGGCTCCTAAACCATTAAGATGTCCCAAAATCGAATGTTTAATCGATGAGTCCCCCACTAACTGCCTATGCCGAGGATATAAGTATCCCGGTGCCTCACTGTCGTTTGATGTGAGATTATTTTGAGGACATAACTTCCTTTAATATAAGCTCTCCAACTCTCCTCTCTGATTCCATCGACCAAGATGGCACCTTCAGTTCAACAACTCCCAGAGGAGACACCTGTCTTTTCGACTGAGAGAGTAGTTCCCATTGTGGTGAAAGCCCCAGAAGAATCACCGAAAGTGAAGAGACAAATTGACCTTGAAGGTGGAAAGACTGATGCCAAAGTACGTAATATTCAGGGGCAATTGAAGAAACAACATTGACACTTTCCAGTACCCTCAATATCTACCGACCTGGAACCACGGACAGAAGTACCCTCCTCTGGAGCCATTCAACTACATCGAGCATGGCAAAAATGCAGACCCCACTTTCAAAGATCTCCTCCCTGAAGGCAGCAAGATCGAGAAGCTCACGCCAAGCATCGGTTCCGAGGTGACCGGCGTCCAACTGAGCAAGCTCTCCCCGGCAGGAAGAGACCAACTAGCTTTACTCATTGCCCAACGCAAAGTTGTGGCATTCCGTGATCAAGACTTTGCCGACATCCCCGCCAAAGATGCCCTTGAATTCGGTTCTCATTTCGGCCGCCATCATATCCATCCCACGAGTGGAAGTCCAGAAGGCTACCCCGAGCTCCACATCGTACATCGCTATGGACCGACTGGTAGTGAAATCGACTCGTTTTTCGACAACCGTACCAGTGCTGTAAGCTGGCATTCTGATGTGTCGTACGAAGCCCAGCCACCAGGAGTGACGTTTCTGTATATTTTCGATACGCCGGAGGTCGGCGGCGATACACTTTTTGCTAACCAGGTTGAGGCTTATAATCGCCTGTCAGAACCACTCAAGGAGAGATTACACGGACTGAAGGCGGTACATTCGGGCTTTGAGCAGGCGCAGTTTAGCAGGGACCGGGGCGGAGTCGTGAGGAGGGAGCCTGTGAAGAATGAGCATCCGATTGTGAGGACTCATCCTGCGACTGGAGAGAAGGCGCTTTACGTCAACGCTGGATGTATGTGGGCGAGAACACGAGAGAAGTAAAAGCTGACGGTTTGGCAGTCACTCGAAGCATTGTGGGATTGAAGAAGGAGGAGTCTGAAGCGCTCCTTGCGTTCCTGTTCAACCACATTGGCCGTGGTGTTGATTACCAGGCTCGTGTCAGATGGGCACCAAAGACAGTTGTTGCTTGGGATGTAAGTATTAACATATCTTGTGCGATTAGCGAGTACACTGACGAGACGGCAGAACCGTGTGACAGTTCATTCTGCAACGACGGATTGGAGGACCGGAGAACGTCGTCACTTGGCGAGAATTACCCCTCAAGCAGATGCACCATATGAGACCCCCTATGTTAAGATTGAGGAACCGGTCAAAACTTGATTGTATGTGTTTCGGGTTCGATCTATGAGATTGCGATTGCTCGAACTCTAGCTTGGACGGCGAGATTTAGGAAACATGAATTGAATTTGTTGATTTTAATCCAATTTACTTTGGATAACATTGACCTTGCGAACATGCGGTAAACAATAGATACAGAATATAACCATGAGACCCAATGAACAACATCGACGCTTCTCATCTATCTCTAAACTCGCCGAAGAAGCGAAGAATGTTATTACCCCCCTTGAAAACTTACAGTGGGTCCTTTAGTAACGCCACCCTGAAAGCCTCTTTATAAACCCCAACTAGGAAATATCAGGTGCTTTCCAGAATCGCTATTGGCTATACACCCTTGAGATGGCCAGTTCTTGGGTTGTGTTATCCTTGGGCCCACTGTTATTATTTAGCGGGGAGGGGGAGGGTTGGGGGTAGTAAGCAGGGGCATGTCGCTAAAAATAGGGGCTGTCGCTTAACCGTTTTGGGGCAAGCTTCTGCTAAATTTCAGCCTTGCGCTTTCTCCAGATTTTCTTCGAGCCTCGTCAACATCAACAACGAATCCTTCATCCATTTTCTCACAAAACACCTTTCTCCTCCACAAGAGATCTGAGTTGAGGACTCCTCGACTTTGTGCGACCACAGTCCGACACTCGCAATCATGCCTCCAACCACGATCCATTCCGCGCCGGCACTCGACTCCTTCACTGCTCTCGCAGATCATCAATCACAAACACCAACGAGTTTCTACGGAGCTAAACCAGTCCTTCATTACCATGGTGTTGGCGTTCGTGTCCTGATTGCGCAAGATCATCTCTCGAAGCTGCCAATCTTCGCAATCCCCGAAGGCGTGCAAACAGGCGTAAATGTCGAGCCTCCAACAGAAATCGTACCTGGACCAGCTCCAAAAGTTACGGAGAGCGTTGACGCATTTGTTACTTCCGAGTACGTTCTAGCACCATGATTTCACTGCATTTCGATTGGTAGCGCCATTGCTTCTCGCTAATTCGAGCACACTAGGAATCTTACCCTCTTCAACACAACTTTATCCACCGGCGTCTCAATCCCCTACCCTGCGATATCTCTCCACGCCATCCAACGACTGGCTGATCCCGCCGACTCTAGTACAGAAGTGCAAGGACTCTACATGCAGCTCGAGCTTTCAGACCCGTATGGGGTTACCGATGAAGATGAGCCTGAAATCGCCGAATTGACGCTCATACCTACGACTTCCGGCGAGGCGGGCATAAAAGAGTTGTTTGAGGCCGTCTCCAACTGCTCGAATCTCCACCCGGACCCCGCGTATGAAGACGAGGAGATGGAGGACGGAGATGGTGATAGCAGGATTGTCTTTGAGGGAAGCGTTGGTTATGATGGCATCAGCGGACTCCCTGGAGTTCAGCGAGGAGCTGCAGATGGGGGACTACCACCGCCATTTCCTGGAAGTGGGGGATGGATCACTGCTGAAAACGTATCAGAATATTTTGATGCGGAGGGAAATTGGATTGCTGGTGAGGACGAAGGCGAGGAGAGTGAGAGCTTGGGTGAAGGTGCTGGACGGGTCCGAAACCGCGAAGAACTAGAAGGAGATGGCTTGAATGGGCATAGTGAGCACGACGATGAGACCAAGCGACCACGAACGGACTAGGTAGCGAATGTGGGGTGCTCTGGTGGCCAAGGACACGCACACAAGTAAGAATCAAAACCTTGTTCGTCCAATAGTATCGGAAGCGGTTATATGATGTGGGGAGATTGTTCTGGAGAAGAGCTGACCCTTGATGGTGCCGATTGAGACGGTTCCATGCTCATGGCTGATTATTCTCCGCCTTCCATCCATTTCACGTCGTATTCGTGACCCCCCCCCCCCCAACATCTCAAAGTTTATTTCCGCCATTGACCTATCCAGGATCTGAGCAACTACGAGACTTATCGCCTACATGCTCTCTTAGTTCAGTATGCATTGAGCGGGGTAGCAAGTCCATCCCCAGATCCGGGGACCTTGCATAGCCAAGATTGACGGGAATACCTGGAGGACCTTCTTCACGTCTTGTGTTTATCACTACTTCCCCCAAGTGGAGGCCGAGTTTTGTGAGCAAGCAAACCTCGATATACCAGGAAGAATTTCAAAAGTACGCATTACTAAATCATATTTCACGTAGCCCAGGCTCACTATTTACAGAAATTTATTTTAAACGCTTCAATATGGCGGATAACTATGACCTTATTATGGCTGCCTCCGGATTTGCTAGTAATTTCACAACTCTCATCTTCCTTGAAAGCTAGGAAAGACAGGAAGAGTATACGAATTACTCTCATTAAAGTCGGCAAGAAAGCTTATATTACCTATATTACCTATATTAAAAATAAGCCAGAATCCTATATAACTATTTATATAATTCTAATATATTATTATTTGTTTCTTATTATTATTAATATAAATATCTAAATATATAATTTCTATTAAGGCTTAGATATTATAATAAAAGAGAAATTCCTTTGAATTAATATAACTATCTTTATTTAAATTCCAGTTTGTTATAAAATTAATAGCTATACCAAAAACCGTAGAAATAAAGTCGATTAATACAAAAAAAAATTGGAATTTTGTACCATTATAAAAAGTAATAATACCAAGACTGTGCCCTTTGGAAAATCTGCCAAGAAAGAATGTGAATGAGATCTTTTCTAGGCTTTGCATCCCGAGCCGCCTTTGACTTTGGTATAGCGATATTATGCGAAAAGCAAAACATTGTAGCAAAGACCCTGCATATCTTCAGCCCCTAAGCCCCTTTCCTCAGCCGCTCCCAGCTAAAAATACCTGAACACCTCCTTAAAATTGCGGGAAGATGCATTTATCAGACGAGTCTGTACAAGTAAGCCCATTCTGAAGTACGAATACATCAGTTCATTTCCTCCGTATACTGTACAATATGTTAAATTTTATTATCGTGCAGTCTCGTGAAAATTTGGATGGGATTTGAGTTGTGAAGTAGAAGTACGCACGATTACACCTTCAGCTCTGCTTTAGCGCCCGAATTCACCCGTCGAGACCACACAGGGACTTAGCTTGGAAACCTTGATCCAGAATGTCTCTGAAAGTTAGGCTTTTTTGCTGTCATGTAGGACAAGTGGCAGTGCTAAAATGCGCGCGCTGTTGAGTGATGTTTATCTTCTCGAGTCTCGTGCGGAGATGGGAATAATGAGATGTTACTCAATGGTTTTGTTGTTTTACTAGAGATATCTATCTAACTTCAACAGAACGCGTCCGACATCAGTATTGAAACATTGGCAGTATAGCCTTGTGGAGGAACTTGACTTTCAGGTGCATTCGCCATCAGACCATTCATCTCGTAACTGCCATGTTGTTGTGAAAAGTTCCAGTTGGGTATTGAACGAAAGAGCCGCAATGGCGTTGGCCTTGATGCTGAGTTCAACTTATCTCGGAGGCTCGCCATGGGTATTCGTCGCATCACCTGACGAGACCAGCCCTGGATACACATTACTGTGCTGGGAAGCTATCGTAAGAGTTGGGTGACTGCCTTGGGTAGTATTGGCATATCCTCCTGTAGTCGGTTCTGGCTGCATGTCGTTGTGATGGAGGTTCCGCTCCCCTGGGACATTCGTAGCATAACCTAATGTGGTCAACCCTGGCTGCATGTTGCTATACTGGGGAGTTCCCGCAATGGCTGGTTGGCCCATTTGATACATGCCTGTTGCAGTGACATTACTCCGTGCCTGAATCGACTGCAATGAGTGTGGCTGGATATGAGGGTTCTCTGGCACTTGGAATGAATGGCCATTTGTTGGCTGCTGGTGTTGGGGATACGGCACGGGATATTGAGCTCCACTAAGATTTGGCGCTGGGAAGTGTTGGTATCTTGCTTGAGTTGGAGCGTTGTAGTTCGCCTGGGGATTATAGAACTGTTGCATTTGCTCCTTTGGCACCCATGAACCGAGCGAATCGAATTTGGATGATATGGTTAATGGGTTTGGAAGGTCTCCTTTCTCCACAGAGGCCCGTATGAGATCCTCGGCAGCCTTTTCATCTGCGTATATCTTGTAGATGGATTTGAGATATTCGATAAAGTTGAGGTATGCTTTTGCGACCAGTTTGAAGTGCTTGACGTCAAGGCTGATAACAGCGTCTGGGTCAATGATAGCATCGTGTTGGCCCCCTTGTGCTTCGAATTCTGCCAGGGCTAAGGCCGTCTGGCAGGCATTCCGAATTTGTCGTCCATTCCATCTCGCTTTCGGGTGGCCACGCCAATAATCCGTTACATAAATAGGGATATTGTCATCCATCTTAAGTTTTCTTTCCTTCCTTTTGAATCGCTCTTCAATTCGATCGAGGTTGACTCTGAAAACCTTCCGGGTCTGATCTTCATCCAGTGGTTTGTACTCGAGGCTGATATGGATTCGAGATGTAAAAGCTTCATCGAAGTCACCTACTCGATTGGTGGTAAGAAATAGAATACCAGCGTAGTATTCTAAGACACGAAGAAATACTAAAATCAGTTAATATGGTGTTTCTTAGAGGCCTTTTGATGAATTTGACCTGCAACAAGACCGTTCCGCACAAAGTCCAAGGTGGTTCGTTTGGCTAAGAACACGTCCGCTTCATCGAGGAGCAAGATGCAGCCCCATCTATTTGCTAGTTCGAAGTTTCTCTCCAAGGTGCCTTCCACCTCCTTCGCAGTTGTTCCGAGATCACCTAGGGCAAAGAATGTTAATACTTTAAATGTCTTAAGACTCAGGGGACGCAAGGCACAAACCACAAGTTATCTGAAACAGTGGCTTTCTGAAAAGCTGTGCCACGCATTCTGTCGGGCTCCTATTAGTAACAGCAAGCTATACACTAACAGGCAGCCTAGAAGCTACAGCACTAACCTGCTGTGGTGGTTTTACCAACGCCGGGGGCACCGTGGAGGAGGAGGATCAGGCCCTTTCCTGAATAGAACGTAGGTTAAGTCTCGATCACAGCTTGCTGAAGAAAAGTTATAAGGTTCATACCTTTGCCACGAACAATATCAGCCTGATCATTATCCAAGCTCGCCGACTCTTTGTCTCGAAAATGTTGGGCAATGAGAGACAGAACCATCCTTTTATGTTCGTCTGGGATGACCAGTTGGTCGAAGGGAATTTTCGACTTCTCGTCCTCCGAGTTTTTCTTATTCGTCTTCTCACCGTCTTCAATTGTTTGGATATCAATTGGCTTCAAATATGTGAGATCCAGCTTTGCTACTCACATTGTCAGCCGTGACTCCCAGTAGCCAGTCAATGACTCGTTCAGGCGACGGTAAAACTCACCCCATCTTCGACTACGGAGGAGGAATCCAAAGACACGATACGACATAATCAGAAGTTCGGCATCAGATATCTTGTTCTCCTCCGTTTGGCATTCTTTTAGAGGGCGAGGAAATATAGCGACGGACGGCATCTTAGACAAAGTCCATGCAGGCGGGAACAAACTGTCTCTGAATTCATCATTTCGTTCTTTCTCCACGTAAGCATCGTCGTGAATACAGTCGTCAATGCAACATTCCTCACGGCAAGATTCGATCTCATAATCATTGCGCATCGATATCGTTTGGTCAACTCTGGGCTTCCAGCTCTTGTGTTTCGTAAATGCCTCCTCAAAGTCAATGACCACCTGACTGTCAACTTCATCTCTTGTTTCAAGCGTCAGCCCAGCGTAATGCATATGCTTAATTGCTGCCACTTCGAGGAATATTTTCCCTCTCTTAATGAGCTTCTGCTGTAGGTTTGGATCCCTGGCAAAACTGAAAGGGTATATCTCTAAAGAAATAGCGGTCCTCTCTCCCTCAAATCTTTTAATAGTGAAAACCTTTGCCACCGGTCCAAGTGCTTTACCATCGAAGTCCACATGCACGCAGAGAATTCGAATAGCAGTCTCTTCCACCTTCTTAGTCTCGTCGAGGTAGTTTCGATATGGGCTGGTCGCCCTGTGTCCGGTGCTGGTTACAATGATTACCTGATAAGCTTGTCGTTCGTTCTGACCGATGACGAAGTCGCCAGGCTTAAATAGGAGCCATATATCACTAAAAGTAACTCTTTTGCAGTTCGGGCTCTTCAGATATTTAAGCTTAACATCCAATTCAGTGTCCATGAAGTCGATTAAGCATTGCACCTGCTGGAGAGCTGCTTCAGAGTTTACGTCAGAATCATCCGTAAGAGATGAGTCGATGCTTCCCTCTTCATCCCCGAATTCAGACACACTCTCATCAACTTCCTCGGAGTCGGAAGCTTCTCCATCGCTGTCTTCTTTCGTGCTCTTGTGCTCAGCCACTTCGGGAACAGTAGCTCCAGCACCATCGGCCCCTGATTGAGATTCTTCAATGCCCAAAGTCTTAACATTATACTTTTCAACCAGCTTCTTGTACCAATCTCGGATTTTTGGTTCATGGTAAATCAGGGCCTTGAATGGTCTGATGATAACGACAGGTTGGGTTATCCTCTCATCGTCACGTAACTTTTCATCATCATCACGTAACTTCTCTAAGATCTTGATGATTGGCATGGAATTAATTCGAATGCGTTCCGGAAGCGGCGCCTGCCCGGGTAAAAGCTGCAGCTTCGTAAGAATTTTGCGCTCCGCGGAATTTGTATTCAGATGGAATCCGAAATTCATAAACTGGGAAGTGATGACCGGCTCTCCCATCAACACATCAATTGCAGAGGGATTCGGCTTCGGCTTGAAATGTCTTGTCGAATACCTCTTGAAGTCATCCCATGCCACGCGGTTCAGAGCGGGTTCAGTATTTGGCAGTGGTGGTGGCGGCCAATCCGGAGGAGGTGGCGGCGGCGGCCCGCTCCAACCCGGAGGAGGTGGAGGTGGACCCCCAGGATGGTGACCATGCCTACTATGAGGGCGGCCAGATCGAAAGTCCCTTCGTCGTTCTAGAACCCTCATTTCATGCTCAAAATCCATTTCCAGCATCTTCCGGCGAAAAAGGTATACATCGTTATCGATTGCAATATTTCCGTCATCAATCTCAACCCGCTGACGGGAGTCGATGTCTCGCGCGCGATCAGCTGGCTGAGTTGCAATAGATTCTGCGCTGTCCATCACACGCTGAAGTTCCTGTCGGACGCCACTTGATTGGAGCTCGATTTCGGCCAGTTTCTCTTTCAGTGCAAGAATCTCTGACTGAAGGTTGGAGGTTTGGGTCTGAGTCTTGTGAAGCGTGTCTATGCTTTCATTATCGATCTTATCATCGACCTCTCTTCCTTCCCCGCCACTTCCTTTCGAGTCACATTCTTTACTTAAGAGATCGAGCGGAGGCTTTGACCGATCGTTCTGTTGAGCGCGTTCAAATTTGCTGATTGGGCTTGAAGTTGCTAAAGACTCATCTCTAGAAGGGGTGCTCTCAGAGCCTGTTATCGTGGAACGCAGGTCAGCAGAGGCAATAGACAAGCTCCCATTCTCAGTTGCTCTCGTGTTTTGAGACGGCTCGGCCATTTCTGATACAAGTTCCCATTGACGCAGGAATATCTTTCAGGCAAGCCTCCAGCAAGCCGTTTTCAGGACTGCACTGTTGGGTTGAACTTCGTTGGAGGGTTCTTTGTAGCTGCAGATGAGAACAGTTGTTGTGGAACGATAGCAAAGCGCTGTTTTTTGGGTGGGAAGGGGGGGGGATCGTATTCGAGTTGAAAACATGGACGGGAGGCTGTCGTTGTCTTTATGCAAGCCACATTACGTCTTATGTCGAAATCGAGGCTCTTGCCAAAGTTTTCTATATGAACGCTGTTCGCCAATAACATTCTGGATACAAAACGTGCATCCTCTGTATTGGAAACTTTGTGTAACCATGGCCCATGGCATCCACTTGGAGTTGAGTTCCTGACCTCTCGCTACTAGAACCCACAGATCGAGAGGCCACAAATCTAGTCGAAAGTGGTCTGCTGCGTGACGTGTCACCACACCCGCCCTCGCCCTCGCCCTGCTTTGCTGCCCCGCATTATTTCTCTCCTATCATTTACGGCCACATTAGCTGACGGAGGACCTCACGGCGAGTTTCGTAGCTAGTCTATAGACGAAGCTGCCTACCCATTACGCCTCGCTAAAGCAAGCCTCCAGTCAGGACAGCTATGCGGGTCCCACCAAGACAGTGGTTTCTTCGACTCCATTGCTCAAACGGCCTGATAAGTGGCTGGCACACCGAGTACCATTTTCGGCATCAGACAGCGGCCACTCGCGATAGGCGTTATTTACAACCGCCTGCCAGCATTTCACACAGCGTCTTACCTCCGTAGAATCATCCTACTCAATTTGATCCCGATTCTGGAAATTATGTCCCTCGTTTTGAAAAGCAATATCGCGCAAGCTAGCGCTATGCGACCAATGTCCCAAGGCGAGCCTCCGCCAGTCAGAAAATTTCTACCAGCAGTTGGCGCCATGAAATTTTGGGCCACAATATTCCAAAAGTCAATGGTACTTTTCAAGGAAAGATACGAGGAACCCAGGCCGCGAATCATTGATAAACGTACATACTGTATTCGAGGCAAGACAGATTGGTTGGGTGTCTATGATGAGCTCGAAGCAGCTCGACAGGTGTGGAAGGGGAAAGGCTTTATGGGAGACGTGAAGAAAGGCATGCGGGCAGTTTTAGAAAGAGTTCAAGTCCTACGCCAACCCATTAACTTGGGATCCGACATAGAATTTGTGTCTCCCGTCTTTGCGGCTATACAAATCATTGTAGACGTACGCCGCCTCTACATGTCCAACTACTTAAGAGTCTAATCGTGATTAGGCTGCGAAAGAGGCTTCCAAAGTACGGGCCGGAGTTTCAGATGCCTCAGGTGGTGATCTGGAGGAAAAGTTTGGACTTATCGAGCAGTTTCTCGCTATATTTGAAAATGATGAAGTTGTCGAAGGCGCGTCCGTAAATCTGATAGCGTCCATATTGAAGGCAGTGGAAGATGTAATTGGATATTACACAAAGAATATGTGTGAGTTCGGTGCTTAATTTAATACTCCTTGCATTCTACCTCGGTCGCTGACTGGTAGCTTGTTTGAATAGTGCTGAAGGGCGGAGCCGCATTGCTTCGTGGGGAGGATTACTACAAATATCTTAAAGAAAGCCAGGAACGGATCAAATTGAGTTGTGAGAGTCTCATTCTACAAGCCAAAACCTCTGACATGTGTCGGACGCGACAACTATGGAACAAAGTGGACGAAGGTGCGTGGTTCAAATTCATCCCGATATTTGGCGAGATACTGAGATTGATCATAATGACTATTCTCTGTCCAGGCTACAGAGAACTGATGGCAGAGCAACAGAAGCTTAACCACGACCAACAAATCGTGAAGGATAATACTCAGGAGATATTAGAATACCAACAGCGCGAGGCGACCAAGCTGAATGAGGTGATAGGCCTACTTGAGGGCTATCAACGCAACCTAGACCAGCACCAGAATTTGCTACTCCATGGAAACGGTAAGAAACCATTGTTCTCAACGTTTATAACATGGAGAAGCTTATCATAATGTTTTAGGGCAGATTAATGCACTTAACAAGCAGACTGCATACTCCAACACTCCTTCCATCGACGCATTGGACATCAAGCGTTGGACGCCGTCGCCTCAGCCACAGCTGGCTCCAGTTGTGTGGATAACGCAACGTGAGCTGCGGACTCTTCTTGGCGTTCTAGACCTGGACGAGGTTGACACGAAATATATCAAACAACGAGGAGGACAATATCCTGACAACCACCGAGCACGAGTCGAGCAGCTCGTCACTACCGCCCAATTCCGTGAATGGATTGGTACCGCTGCTTCACACATACTTCTAATACATGGGGACTTTGGTGAACCATCTAAGCATTATGTCTCGGCTCTGTCGCTGTTCTGTACCACCATTGTAGAAGCCTTGAGAAGAATGAATCGATTTCTTCCCCTTGTCTTCTTTTGCGGCAGCCACCTTGATACCAGGGATGGCCCTATAGGTGGCGAGGGAATCATCAAGAGTCTAGTTGCACAGCTCCTTCGACAACAGATTTTCGACACGAGACAGCTACACCAAGAAATCGATCTAAACAAAGTCAACAGTGGAGACGTTGTTGAGCTCTGTGTCTGGTTTCGCTGGCTAGCTCGGCGAGTTCCCGAGAATGTAACGTTGTTCTGCTTGATCGATGGGATTATTCTATACGAGCGATCCGACTATGAGTACACTATGGGACAAGTTTTGGCATATCTTCTGGAGCTAACCAGAGACTTGAGCATTCGTAGTATCTTGAAGGTTCTCATCACTAGCCCAGGGGCAACTGCCAAGGTACGCCAGCATCCAGCCTTTTACGGTGGCAATAATATTCTCTCAATGGCTACCATGTCACCATTGGGACAGGGTTCGAGTGAAGCGCGGCTTGCAAGACAGCTGGGAGAGAATTTGGGCGATCTTCGCCCGGGGAGCCTTCTTATCGGCTCTTAACCTGTTAGAATCTCTACGATTTCTCCTTGATGGCAGTTTCTCCTTCATAACGTAGTACTTAGTCGATGAGGAAACATATTGACAACACCCACACCCCGCCCCAAAGTTGTTTATACGGAATGTCACGCGGTAAAATTCCTTGGCTACTCAAATTCGGCTTCGAGGGTACATCACACTCGTGTACTTCACTCCTATCATTTCAGATGCTTGACCCCTTTGAACAAACTAAAGACAATCTACTAATGAGAATTGGATCATGCTATGAAAGTTGAGTATTTCGTAAAGGTTTTATTACTGTGTGAAAGCTAATAGTATGAAACTCGCGAAGTGTTTATCATAATTAGGCACTTGCATCATAAAATATCAACCAACTCAAATCCTCTTCGAAACTCATCTGTAACCAATTCCCCTCGCATGATTCCAAAAACTAAGCATTCACCGACGAGGGTAAATTGATTTGAGCTTGGATCCTTGCGAAGAACGTGCGGCACTATTCCGCCATCGAGCAACCAAATCGTATCGTCAACCTCTATGGTTTCAGGCTCGTACCCATTCTAGGTAATGAAGGGTGGTTTACTTGCTACTGCTTTGAGATGGTTCAATATAGCATACTGAATAATGGGATTGAATGCGTTTCTAGGTGTTGTAAAATGTGCTGTAAGGTCTTGAGTCATGAATCCATCTGCAAATGAATTAAAAGCTTTTTTTTATTTAAAAAAAACCTCAAATTTTTATATTTTAAGAATTAAGCAATTAGCTCTTATTAATTTTACATAAATTATTTTAAAGACTTTCTTTACGTCTTGTATTTATTACTACTTCCTCTAAGTAGAGGCCGAGTTTTGTGAGCAAGCAAGCCTCGATATACCAGGAAGAATTTCAAAAGAAGGACACATTACTAAGCCATATTTCACGCAGTCACCCAGGCTCACTGTTTGCAGAAATTTGTTTTAAACGCTTCAACATAGCGGATAACTATGACCTTATTGTGGTTGGGTCCGGATTTGCCGGCAGCTTCACAACTCTCAGCTTCCTCGAAAGCTAGGAAAGACGGGAAGAGAGGGAAGCGATGTGGGGCTCTCAAGCGGGACGATGGCATAAACCTCAACTTCGACAAAGATTGGATGAAGGGAGTGAAGTTGGTTAGCAAGCACTTGGTTGATCTCGAATACTACGCAAAGCTGGGACAAACCGTGCCACTGTTGGCTCGGTATCTTGAGGGCCATGGCGTCACTCTCAATCACTATGTCGAGAAGACGCGTTGTTGGAATTTGATACAGATCAACGCTTCGTCTTTTCCGTGGGCGGTTGCAATGCTATTATTCAGAAATGTTCGAGCAATACAATCATACAACAATCTCGACATACTCCGGGAGACAGAAGCGACGAAGCGGCTGACTTCGCCTCAAGGAGCAATCAGTGGTGTCAAAGTTCGCAAGTCTGATGGTCTCCTGTACGATCTCTCCTCTTCAAATGTCATGTGGCTTGTGCCGGTTTTGAAGCCAACCAAGAGATGCTCACCAGATGCGTTAGCAATCAGACTGTCGACCTTTCCTCGACCACTCCTAGTCTCAAGTATAGCCGAGGAGCTGGCCTCATCATACCTCTGGAACGCGGTGCTGGAACTGCTGGGTCCTTCGTGGTGGGTTCTTCGATGGGATGCACTGCGAGTTGGTCGATACTCGGGACTACGCCAGATGCGGTCGTGTGGGGACACAAGTACGGAACAGTCATCAACAAGGACTGCAAGAGATTTTATGACGAGGGTAAACGACACTTCCTCTCAACGCTCGAGATGATAGCTCTTGAGACCTGGCGTGATCAGACCTCCGAAGCCTACTTTGTGACGGATTCTGTGATGATGGATCCCTTCCACCTCGGCTGGGTTTATTACGTTGGACCCTCCAGAGCAAACCAGATTGCCGGGCTCGCCAATTTTCTCAAATCGATCCTCAGAAGCTCGAAACCACTGTCAATGAGTTCAACGTCGCTGTCAATGACAAGCCGTTCGATCTCGTAAGTCTTGACGGCAAAGCCACAACCGGTCTTTCACCAAACGAAACCGATTGGGTCAATCCAATCAGCAAGCCTCCATATTACGGTGTTGCGATGACTTCCCACCTAATACTCACTTCTGCGTTCCGAAGGTTGATACTAATTCGAGAGTTTTGCGTAGAAAGGGTGTTCCGATTCCCGGTCTTTATGCTGCAGGTGAACTCACGGAACGTTTCTATCATGGGTACCCGCATGCCACATCTTGCTTGAGATCCATGGCCTTTGGACGAGAGGCTGGGATAGCGATATCAAAGAAGTTTGGTAAAGGTGTGCAGACCAACGGCAGGCACAAATGGAGGAGGACGGGCGGTGTTCTATCTTTGGCTACATATCGACTTCAATTGAGTTCAATTGTTCGCCGTGGCAAAAGTTCATTCCGCTTTCATTCCAAATCCGGAACCGGGTGTCTAAGTGGGAGCCGAGATTGATTTCCAAAGTCTGGACTCTGGACTCTGGAGGTGTGTATCTGTCTCACGTAAGAGTGCGGGTCATCAACATGCTTGGGATCAAGTGATCATGTCCCACTTTCCAATCATTCCTCAGATACTGATACACACACCCACTGGCTTTTCCATACATCTCGAAGATTTTTCAGCGGGATTTACGGGCTTCTCACTGCAGTGTTCCTCGAATTAAACCTACACCTCCGCGTCAAACAACTGTCAACAGTGTACTAAACTAAGCCAATTGGATCAGGAACCCAGTCTCTACTTGAGCGGGATTTATCATCGTGCAATCCCTTGAACTTGCATCGGTGATCATATATTGAACCGTGTAACGCGTCCCGAAGGGGGAGATAAGGACCCAATTCGGACCCCGTCGTATTCGCGCAGCGGAAGTACCCGCCCCCTTTTATCCGGAAAACACTGTAATTTATCTGTCAGCGATCGCACTCCATGCCTTGACATGCGGTCAGCCATCGAATGAAGGGAGGTGTGGGCCCGAACTCGCTTCGTCGATCCAATAAATGAAAAATTCAGGACACACTCTAGGGCTGAATACCATGTGATCATCACTGCTGAGTTCGGACTCGATGGAGGCGAAACGACCCATTCGGCAGTAGGGACTCTGACGATACCAAAACGGCTGACAACCGGAAACGGACTACGGAGGTACCGTAAAGAGGCGGCTCCTGGGGTATGAAGCCTCCAAGAGGCTGTCACCGCTACGATACCGGTCTCCTGAATGGTCCACGCCAAAGCGGAACTGCTGACAATACTTGCAAGTGTCAGCGCTGGGCCGCGTTACCGATGGGTTGGGTCCAAAAATGGGATCGCAGTGCGAGTCGCTAAGATATCTTGGGGACGGGGGGGGGCAGGCCTGGGTGATCCGGTGGATGAAGCAGGGAGGCGAGAGTTCAGGCAAGTAATAATACCCTTAATATTCCCCTAACTCAGGAAGTATGGCCAAATGACGGTCTGGGTGTCCCAGCATGTTGCAGCAGCCACGTTTTGGATCGTGCGAGGAAGAGGGGCCACAGTGAGGCCATCCCCGCTGGTACCAGTGTACCACCAGATATCGTATTGCCTGGCTGGAAGCTCTCGTTATCTCGCGAGTGATAAGCATAGCCTCTGAGGTTTCGAGGGCCGCCGTGCGAGTGGCCAGAGGGACGGGAGGGAGGGAAGGGGAGCCCATCGTGGGACAGGGAGTGGATGCGCCTGGTGAACAGTGCTCACGGTGCGGAACGCCGTCCAGCACCCTGTGAGTCCTGGCCCCCCGGCCCTGCGCAGCACACCTCTGGGGGTCTGCACCCCTATGAATCATGATGCCCATCTCGCGTGCATACATGCATACATGCATACTCCGTACTTACAGTACGGAGTACAGTATGTACATGCTGTAAGCCTGCAATCTTCGACAGCGGGAGTGCTCCCTGCTGGCGAGCCGTGCTTAGCTTCCTGCCCATGCGAGCTGCGGCACGGCAGCCAGTGACGGCCAGCGCCCGTGCCACAACTGTGGGACGCTGTGGGCAGGACAAATGAGCGCCGGGGCCAGAAGGGCGGAGGGTCGGGGTCGGGGTCGAGGTCGAGGGCGAGAACGCTGTGGAGGCCCCCTCTGAGCCAGCCAGAGCCAGCCAGAGCCAGCACGGAGCAGAGCAGGGGAGCATGCACGAACTTCAGCTGCTGCAACGACTCCTCCTCCTCCTCCTCACGTCCTGATCCTGATTGCGAAAAGCCACACGCACACAGAAACTCTACTCGTTATCGTCTCCCGCCGCCACGCCGTTGAGCATGTCTTGAAATCAAATATGCTCTGCTCTTGCTCGCTCTCCCTCTTCACGATGCTTCGAATCCCCATCGCAACCCATCGCTGCTGACGAGCGCGGGCCGGAGCGCAGACATTGACGGCTTCTGGATCTGGAATCTGATCTGCCCCCCCCAACCGCGAGCGCCGTTCACGACGATACGATGTCGTACTTTCCGAATGGCGTCGAGGGCCGCGATTTGAAGGCAAGTACCTCTGAACTAGTTTCAAACTCGGACGCCTCCTCGGCCACGGCTGTCCAAGACGGCCGCTCCAACGCCTCAAGCCAATCTGTGCAATCGCCCAAGTCGGATTATGAGATATTCAAGGAAAAGGCTGAGGCTCAGGCTCAGGCTCAGGCGTCATCGCAGGAAGTCAATGTCAATGGGGAGGATGCGCCAGAGATCGACGATGCCGTCGACGAGCTTCCGTGGGCAGTGCGGCGGGTCGTCAGTTTGCACGATGATACCACGCTTCCCACCATCACCTTCCGATATTTCCTGCTGGTCTTCTTGTTCGTCTCCCCCGGAGCCTTCCTTGAGCAGATAAATCAATATCGGACAACATCAGCCCCGTATTCGATATTCTTCGTCCAAATAGCAGCCAGTTATGTGGGGGATTGGTGTGCAAGATTCATCCCAGCTCTCGAGGTCAAGATCCCGTTCACAAAATGGAGCTTCAACACCAACCCAGGCCCATTCAGTGTCAAGGAGCACGTGCTCGTTGTCATTGCTGCAAACGCTGGAGCATATTACAATCTGGCATGGACTCCTATCTCTCTCGCAGAAGTGTACTTCAATCAGAAAATCAATCCGGCAGTGTGTTTGTTCTTCATGTTGGCGATTACCTGGACGGGATATTCGTATGCAGCCATCGCCCGTCACTTCCTGATCTATGACCCCCAGCAGCCGTGGTGAGTTCTCCCGATCCATATCTAATGACGTCGCTGACATTCTAGGTATCATGCGTGAGGAGCTCTTCCCAGTTCATGTGAAAACTTATGCTGATTTTTATAGACTTTGCCAAACAGCGTTGTTCGAAACGCAAACCAAACAACGGGAATACCCTTCCCCGGTGTCAAGAAGACAGACGATTGTATTTTTCTCCGTGATTCTTGGTGTCACGTTGTGGCAATTCCTCCCAGAGTTCATCTTCCCCTTTCTCTCTTCGCTTGCGTTTCTCTGCTGGGTTGCACCAAGAAGTGGTGTTGCAAACTTCATTGGCTCGGGACTTGGAGGCATGGGCTTCCTCAATTTGACCTTTGACTGGTCGAATATCAATGCGATCGATGGGATGGGCAATTTGTTTGTGACGCCTTGGTACACGCAAGTCGTTGCCTTTGCCGCGTTCGTCGTCAACTGTTGGATTCTCCTCCCAATCGCAAAATGGGGTAAACTGGCTGTCTGGAACCATCATTTGATGTCCAACGATGCGTTTCTGCGTAAGATATATCAACTGACCTTCTTGGAATTAGCTGACATTCACAGAAAACGGAACCACTTACCCGGCTACTTTGCTTGTAACACCGCAGATGACGCTGAATACAACAGCTTATGCGGAATTCGGCATCCCCTATGTCGGTGCCCAGCAACTGTGGAATATGTTTTTCGACTACGCTTCCTACACCTCTGTCCTGGCCTGGATGGCATTCTTCGGGTACCCTCACATCAAAGCAACCCTCAGCAAATTCGTGGAGCGATGGAGATCCCGCGGGAAGATGTCGGTTTATGACCAATATACTGATCCTCTGAATGTCCTCATGCGCTCGTATGAAGAGGTCCCACTCTGGTGGTACATTGCTCTGTTCCTCGTCTCGTTTCTCATCATCATCACACTGCTCGCTTGCGGCTTTTTGTACATCCCTGTGTGGACGTACTTCATTGCCTTGTTAACCGGAGCCGTGGTTGTCGTCGTACGTACCCCCTACTCAATATCTTCTTTCATCACTAATATGTCTAGCCACTGGGATGGCTCTACGGCATCTCCAACTTCCAACTCCCAACCGGGACAACCAACCAGCTGCTCTACGGCCTGATGGTCAACGGGGGGTCCGGCCACAGGTCCCCCATCGGCGCCTCCATCTACGGCTCCATCGCTGGCGACGCCTGGTACCGCGCCCAGTACCTGCTGCAGGACCAGAAACTCGGGCACTACATGCACATCCCTCCAAAGACCGTCTTCTTCTCCCAGATGATGGGGACCATGGTCGGGGTGCCGATCAATTACGGCGCGATACGATGGGTACTGGATAATAAGATGCAGTACCTTAACGGCACGATGGAGGATCCGAATCATCAATGGACGGGGCAGTACCTTGCTGGGTCATTGACTGCGGGCATTCAATACGTGCTGGTTGTAAGTTGCCCTCCATTCTCGTTTCAAAATCCAGCCTGACTCTTTCTTCAGGGCCCAGCAGAGCTCTTCCGCCAACAAATCTACAAGCCCCTCCCCTACGGCTTCCTCCTCGGCGCCCTCACACCCGCCACTCTCTACCTCCTCTCCCGCCGCTTTCCCAAAGCGCAATTCCACCTCTGGAACAGCACCATCTTCTTCTGCGGCCTCAGCAACTTCTACGGCAACATCAGCACCGGCTACCTCTCCTCCATCATCGGCGGCTTCATTGTCATGTATTGGGCGTATCGGAAGAAATACGAGCTGTGGGCGAGGTACAATTATATCCTGGGCGCGGCGTTCGACTCGGGGTATAATCTGAATCAGCTCTTGATCTTTTTGTTTCTGGGGAGCGTGAAGACTTTCCTGATGCCGAATTGGTGGGGGAATAATGCGGGGAGTGTGGAGAGGTGTTTTGCGCTACCGAGTGATGAGTAGAGAGGGGTTTTGCAGGGTGAGGCGGTGTTTTTTTCCCCCGGTTCGGTTAGCGTGGAGTTTCGTGGGTAATATATCAGCGGCGTTTTGAAGAGGTGTTATGAAAAGCGAAGGGCAGGGAAGGGAAAGGACGGATATCTTGTTGCAATATGAGGGTATGGTGTTTGGTTAGCGTAATAGAACTGAGTTGGTGTGAGAGTATCGGCAGCTTTAAAATGAGAAGATTTATCTCTCTTCCTCTTATCATGATCTCTAATAAATGATATGCTATATTATACTGTCGTGTGCAACCGCTCTTTATTTCATCTTGATGTCCAATGCGATCTATGCACCTAACTTCTGGTCCGTCTTACCACCTTTCCCATCTATGCGCTCTACGTCTCCTCGTCTACACCGCTGGCTGCGAAGTCTTCGCCTCTAGCGCGGCCAAGATAGTCCCAAACATGGAACACATCCTCCAACACCCCATCTGTCTCAACGCACTGCTCGCCTTCCGGACTTGCTCTACATATTGCTCTTTCCGCCCCGCCACATCCAAGCCAAGCCTCAACTTGCTGAACGCCCAACACACCATGCCTCCCGTGAACAAACACACCGCCACCTCGTAAGAGCTATCCGCCACGGCGCCGACGTTGATGCAGTGGTGGCACAGCTCGAGCATGGTGTAGATGTGTCCCATGGTCGAGTCTGCGATCTCGCTGTTGGCCCAGTACTTGAGATTCTCTTCGGCGAACGACGCGTCGTTCTTGTTTACCGAGCGCCCGGCCACGAGGTGCATGTCTGAGAGGGAGACGTCGAGGGCTACATAGCCGAGCTGGAGGAGTAGGGAGGCCTGGGGTCACGTCGGTCAGCTGTTCTCCTCTTGTTGGAAAGTAAGTAGGCGAGAAGGTTCGGAAAGGGGGCACGAGATTGGAGGATGGTCCATACCCCGGCAGAAGTCCCAGGACCGCCGTAGCATTCCGCGAAGCTATCTAAACCGTCTTTCAGCCATCTGCGGCGTTCCCGGAGGCCCTCGCCGATGTCGTACGCCGAGTCGACGTTCCCGAAGGTCCCTTGGAGACCAGTCGGGTTCAGCATCGAGGTGCTTTGTCGCCATTCAAACACGTGCGTGTGCAGGGCGTACATGAGGACGATTTTGCCTAGATCCCAAAACCCCCAGGTTAACATTGCTTTCACAGATATTGAGTTGGCTTAGACCCAGTAAACGAAACGATGCTCAAACGGATTACCACATACCAAACTCGCTGGTCGGCACGATAGGAGGTGGCGGCTTGATCCATTTTCGTAATAGGCAGGAGTTCAAGGCGTGAAGGTAGAAGGTCACCGGCGGTGTGAGTGCCGGTCCTAGGGCCATTTTCCAGGATTCAGCGGTAGGTGCGTCCCAATAAGCCGCTGCGCAAGGGAAAGCGCAGGTTGTAGTCTCAGCCTTGCTGACGTAGGGTTGGTTGTTGAAGAGGGTGGGGTATTGGCAGTCGTAGATCTATAGCCATGGTTAGCAGGAGAAAGGCTACGAAAAGGAGAGAGACGCACATAGATGGACAGCCCCAATCGTTTTCGCTTCTCGGTCTCGGCCCAGGCTAACCAGGTAGCTTCTAATTGACTTACCCCTGGCCGGAGGTAGCTTTCTATTTCGACGCTTGCTGATGGTCGACAGTCGAGGAGGCGGCATCTTCGACATGCTGTAACGAGAATCCCACGTCCACCTTCGGCGAATTCGTATGAATTCTTGCTTCCGCTCCATGTCCCAGCCAGGCAGAGGAGGAAGTACGTGAGAACATTATCTACATCTCGAAGCTAGGAACGATTAGCTGTGCTATCTATAGGAGGCGGCCCGCTTACGAATTTCTTGTCTGCTTCTTGTATTCGGATAACGGCAACTCTCATATGCTCATGGAAGAGACGAGAGAACCGCCCTTGATCCGTCGTCGCATGGCTAGAGCCAAGGAACATCATCGTGATTAGGAGCAGCGGAGAAGTATTGTACAGGTCGAATGTTGGGAGGTGGAGGACTGGAAACCTGGGTTGGACGTATCTCATGTACAGTCGAATAAAAAAGTCTAATGCTTCTGCTGGAGGGAACATGACATCGCTAATCTCTGCTCCTGATATCTCGTTTCTGAAGTTCGGCCCATTCAGAGAAGAAAGCATCACTTCTCGTAAGTCATCGTTGACGGAATCGAGGGGCCTGATGGTTGCGGGAGAGAGCCCACTTGCTCTTGCTTCCTGGAGAACAGGTTCCCAGGATATTAGTTGATGTTGAACAGGAACAACACGAGGAGTACGTCTTTGTGAGCCTTCGGGCCGTGAGGCTTTGTCCGGCCAATCCGTGGTATCCTCCTCGTCTTCTGCCTCTGAATCATTTTCGTTTGGCGGGGCTGGGGGTTCGTATTGCAAAGACTGGAACTGGTATGGGTTGTCGCCGAAGTCATCGAAGGTATTCATAAGATCATTCTCGAGGAGGTAGTTCGGAGACTGCTCCGCATTAAAAAAATGAAAAGACATGTCTGCGTCGTAAGATCCCATGTACGAATTGTTGTTCTCGCCGAATCGCATGAACCCGTCCCATAGCAACGGGTTGATGTTCTCTCCAGGAGTGAACGATCCAACTCCTTGGGGGGCCAGAGCCGCCTCCATAAGGCTCGTGAGCCCTTGAGTCTGGGGCGCCGTGTTGAGCATTGTGGAGTGATGGCCGGGGGCCTGATTTTGCTGAAACGCGTTTTGATACGCATACGTAAGTCCTTGAGGCTGAATTTGAGTTTGGTAAACATTGCTCGGAGCCAGACTCGAGAGATTGCTGGGCCCATCCTGAGACGTTGACCTGCGAGCAAGCCGGTTGTCAAACCCTGGGGCGGCGGGTCCTGAATAATCGCCCTGGGTCACGTGGGACTTGGGCTCTTGCTGGGCGCCATGAATGCGGCGATGGCGATTAAGAAGGTCACTGCGAGTGAACCTCTTCCTGCAGGTGGGACATGCGAACTTCCCCTGTTCTTCGTCTGATGTTGTGTTAAGGTTAGTTAGCTTGCCGTGGGTTCAGAATCCGGGGAAGCGGGTTTAACTAACGGTTGGCCTGGTGCCGCGTCAAATTCTCAATGCGGCTGAAATTCTTGGGACACCGCGGACACTGGAATCTCTGACCAGAGGCTGTCGGTGTGGCCTTGAGCTTTGTGAGATCTTTTGGCGGCCGATTTGTGGCACCCTTGGTGATGCTTCTCCCCGCAGCTCGACTGCTGCTGGCGCTGGGTGTTCCCTCCATCTAGGATGACGGGCACAGTCATGTGGAGAACCAGCGCGAATTGAGTTGTTCGTGTGGACGAAGAACGATATGTCGCCAGCGATGGCACATTCTGGGGTGATCATTGGGGTCGACGAGGAGGCGGTGGAGTCGAGATGTTCTGACAAGGTGGACGCGAGTTCGCCAAACTCAAACCGCGCCCGCCACGACGCTACCGGGGGAGCTGCACCTGGCCGTTCGTTGCAGGAAATCTCTCGGGCCGTGTTCCCTGCTGTTCACCGTGACAACGGTCGCATTGGGATATCCCATGAGAATGCAGAGTTCTGCGCATGGCTGAGAATATATTAGGGGGTGAAGCATGACGAGGGCGAGTGAGAATTGTGAAGGTTGGAACAGCCATAAGACTCAATCAGTGTATCACTTCTAAGATAGCTGTCGATGGAAGCTAGCGCCCACGGAAATAGGTACAATAATTCGTCAAGGCATGTCAGGGCGTGTCAGGGCGTGTCAGGGCATATCAGGACTCAATGCTGCAGGTGTCGCGAAGAAAGGGAGGCGAGGTGTGAGTTTGTAAGCCAGAAGAGATGTATCACGTGCTCTCGGCTCACCAGGGGGTTTCCCCAGATTGATCCACCAGATCAGATATTCAAATTGATAGGCCGCGTCTCGGCTTCGTTTCGTCCTCCCCCAGCACGCGTCACACACACCCTCGCATGCTCTTCGCACCTCGGTCAAATCCCGCCTCGGCAGATGCGCACCCTTGAATACGGTGACACGGCGCGGGTCATCGTACCGCTTTCTCCAGATCTCGTCCCGAGTTTACGAGCAAGGAGTCCTATCATATCATGGACTGCGACCGCCCCCGTCACTCGCCATCGGCCCCATCGACGCTTGAGCTGCAATTCCCAAGGCCAGCAGACGCGTCCCAGGGTGACACAGCAAGGGTCTCGTATCAGAAGACTTCAAGTGACTGATTTTCGTGGCCAATGATCTCCCTTTTATGCCTTCCGTTCTTCAAATTCCGTGTTCCAACCAGATTGCTGGACTGCCGGTTGGGACTCGGTAGTCTCTGGTGACTGATTCCGAGGCCTTTTTCTGCCAATCCAGCTCTCCAGGTTGGGCTGATGTGTCTGGGACCCTGGCAGCCCGAAACCTTGCATATGTTTCTTGAGATGGGACAAGGCTCTCATTTGATTGTTCGCTCAGCCGAACGAGGCTATCGGTCGAGTGCATGTTCTGCCTGAAATCTGGCTTTGCTTGTGGCGATAGCCTTCAGCCACGGCGAACCTAAGGTTGGAGATTTATGAGCCATATCATCTCTGACTTGACCCCCACTCAGCCTTACGAGATGCGTCAATCCCTATCTTGGCTTTTGCCTCAGTGGAGTCATTGCCTGGAGAGGGACATCTACAAGATCATGAAAGTCATCGATCAAGGTGCTGATGATTTAAGTCTCCCGCTGTCAAGGCCCAGCTGTTGGCTATCTGAGCTTGTCCATATACTATGATACATTGGTACTTCGAGGGCCCTTCAGACGGGTTACATGAATACAGCACCGCGCACAGATGTCGTACGACCAACGACTCGCCAGACGGCAAGGCTCATATCAACCGTCACCAAATCCTAGTTTCAGTAACCCAGACAGCATAGAATTGAGGTGAGTCTCTGGCCTTTCCATCTTGACTGATTGTCTGATTCGACTGGGAAGTGCCTGGCAATCCCCGTCGGCTCCCTTCTTTGAACCGCCTCCCCACACCTACCACAGTGCCGAAGAACTGCTTCCAGAGGAAAATGAACGCCTCTATCAACTATCTCCTCGCGGTTCCGCTCATGGTGTGGAAAACAAACCCAGAACATGGAAGGGTTGGCAACGCGGAGCTGCCGTTTGTTTACTGGTCGTCACCGCAACTTCGATCCTCAATGTCACGGTGACTGCATGGGCTGCCATTGCCTTCGGTCTGTCTGGTGGCATTGGAACCATTCATCGAGGACCATGTCATGCCGTGAAGCAGACTGGGCTTTGGTTGCACATTGGAATCAATATTCTGAGCACCATGTTACTGGGCGCGAGCAATTATTGTATGCAATGTTTGTGCTCGCCGACGCGACAGGAAGTTGATAGAGCACATGCCAAGAAGGCCTGGCTGGATATTGGGATACAGAGTGTGAGGAATTTATCAAAGATTGGACGAATGAGGTTGATCTTATGGATCATCCTTGCAGCGAGCTCAGTGCCTCTTCATCTGATGTGAGATTCAGATGAACCTCCCATGTAACTCACTAACTCGTGGTAGGTTCAATTCTGCGATCTTCGTCAGCCTCACCGCCAACGAATACATGATTGCTGCGGTCACGCAGGACTTCGTCAAGGGCGCAAATTGGACTTTGACCGGATCCGACGCCTTTCATCAAGTTCTTCTGACGGAGATGCAACGGAACATTTCAAGCTATGAGAGACTCGACCAAGCTGCTTGTATTATGGAGTATGGTGTTGATTATCTTTCGTCAAGGAGAAATGCTCTAGTTGTTGTGGACGGCCAGCTCTCTAACCCTCTGATGGGCACCCTCGATTGGACGTACAATGCGCCACAGAATTCCTGGATATGCGGAACCACAGTGGGGTCAAACATGACTCTTGAGACGATACCCATTGATAACTTCGATTGCAACATCCCAGTGGCTCTCAGCAATGATACCTGGCTCATGGGCAGTCAACAAGTCGATTACTGCTTGAGCCAAACCGTGGAAGACCAATGTCGACTTCAATTTGCTGTACCAATCATGGTTGTTGTCCTGGCCTGCAACTTTTTCAAGCTCCTGGCTGTGGTAATGACGCTCTGGAAATGCAGGGAACCAACACTTGTGACCTTAGGCGATGCACTCGACAGTCTGCTCGAGAGTCCCGATCCGTATACCGTGGGGATGTGTATTGCAGCGAAGAAGGATTTCCGGGAAGGCGCTTGGCCAGTTTCTAAGGCAAGGCGGTGGATTCCTAAAAAGCATTTTCTGTGCGAGGGTGTTGGAATTCGTCGTTGGGTACTGTCAAATGCGGTGTAAGTTTTCCCCGTTGGTGGTGGCATACCTGCTGACTGCCTAGCTGCGCTGTGGCAGTCATTTCGTTGTCTGTACTGCTCCGATATGCAATTGCAAATACAACGACAGCGTAAGTCTCACCCGATTGTGGTTTCCACCTTCCTAAATCTATTTCAGAAGCGATCTCACCACTCTCTGGAATTTGGGCTTTGGAGCAGTCACAAGTAGTTCCTTGATCCGCTGGAGCAATCCCATCTTTGGTAGTCATGGCCTGATGAAAAATGTTCTGCTTGCAAACTCACCGCAAATACTCTTGTCACTTCTCTGTAAGGTCAACCTCACCATTTTGAAAATCTCCTCTCATCAGCACTTAGATATTCTGTACAATCGCATGTACACTTGCATGTCTTTCTCCAAAGAGTGGAGCAACTATGGATATCGGCGTCGGCCGCTGAGAGTTACATCACCAAGAGGAGCTCAGCGGTCAACGTATTTCCTTTCACTTCCGTATCGATATTTAATTCCCATCCTATCCGTCTCGGTTGCCACTCATTGGATCCTCTCACAGAGTCTCTTCCTGGTAGCTATTGATGTCTTCGACGAGCATGGAAAGTTTGACACTTCTCAGTCTATACTTACTTGTGGGTTTTCTTGCATAGCGATGATTTTCCTCGTTGGCATTGGGTGGTTAGTTTTCATTGCAGGCGTTGGAATGGGCTTGAGAAGGCACCGGGAAGGAATGCCGCTGGTTGGCAGTTGCAGCGCGGCAATAAGTGCCGCTTGTCACCCTGCGGCTGACGAACCCGAGGTGGCTTTGGTCCCTGTGAAGTGGGGAGTGGTGAGTGTTGCGGATGGAGTTGGACATTGTGCTCTGAGTGGGAGATATGTCAGCCCGCCGATTACTTGGCGGTGGTACAAGGGGAAGATGGAATAGCTGGATAATTGGTCCTTTGAGCTGGCCTCGGGACAAGGTATCATGAAATGATCTGTCTGTTTCCCTCCAGCCTCACGAGAATGATTGTCAGCCTGTATTCACCGCGTGAGAGTCCCCCACACCAAAGGAAACTCAGCCACAACGGCTCGAACGATCCCCCGATATGATTGGTTGAGATACCCCTGATGGTCAGCTCCACCTTTGGCGGGAGCCACCTGAAAACACAGCGGCGGAACGTTTTTAACGGTCCCGGGTCCTGCACAAAATCTCACCATCACGACAAACACGTGGCCTCACTTTTTAAGCAGAAGGGAGTGCCATATCTTGCCACGAGCTGGTCCCTTCAAATTTACACGACTTGATCAGGATTTTTACCCCACCTCAACCCCGCGATTTACCCCTCACCACTCCACCAAAATGTCTTTCTTCCACGATGCAAAGGCGGCGCTTCACAGCTTCGCCACGGATATCAAGCAGGAGCTAAACATCATCGAAGGGGCTATTGAAAATGAGATTCATTCACACACTCACCTGAACGAGGCATGCCACAACCTGCATATGCACACCCGCGACAACCGATTCCACAGCTTCGCGCCGGCGAGGAGAGGCAACGATGCAAAGTGGTTTGTTGATGGCTGTGGCTACTTCTGGGCTGTTTCTATTGCTCTCGAGGAGGCAAAGGAGAGCATCTGGATCTTGGACTGGTGGTTGAGTCCAGGTGTGTTCAAGACTTCATTCCAGAGGCAAATCAGCTGAGTTGAAGCAGAGCTCTATCTGAGAAGGCCCCCGTCGCAAAATGAGCAGTATCGGCTTGATCGAATGCTTCAAGCAGCAGCCGAAAGAGGGGTCAAAGTCAACATCATCGTCTACAAAGAGGTGTCCGCCATCCTGACACGTGGGTTTTCAGCCGGATGAGGGGGATTGAAGCTAACCGTTGCAGTATGTTCCGAACACACCAAAAAAGCTCTCGAGGCACTGCATCCCAACATCGCCGTCTTCCGCCATCCGGATCATGCTCTTAGTGGACAAGTAGTCGAGTCTGAGATCTTGTCCGGCATCAAGAACTTCTCCTTGAAGTCTCTCAAGCTGGCGAATGTTGGGGAGGATGCATTGCATGCACTGTACGGTGTGAACAACGATATCATCCTCTACTGGGCTCACCACGAAAAGTTGTGTCTCATTGACGGAAAGATCGCGTTCATGGGCGGTCTGGATATGTGTTTTGGTCGCTGGGACACGAACTCGCATCCTTCCGTTGACGTGCACCCTACTGACGTCAACTTGACTGTTTTCCCAGGTCAGGACTACAACAATGCTCGGATCTACGATTTTGAGGATGTCACGAAGTATATGGACAACAAACTGGATCGTACGAAGAATGCAAGAATGGGATGGTCTGATCTTTCGATGTGCTTGCAGGGCCCAGTTGTCGAGGATCTGCGAGCTCATTTCGTGCAACGTTGGAACTTCATCTACAACGAAAAGTATGATGTTCAGAGGGATCGGCGGTATCATGCCTTGACCTTGACTTTTGCGGATATCCCGGATGGGTATTACCACACTGATGGAAAGAATGTCAGGTTGGCACCTGTGGAGAGAGATCTTGATCCTGAGGATCCCGAGTTGGCTTCAAGTGAGCATCGTGGCCTCAGTGGTATGGCTAGTCGGGCTGGGGGGTATTATGACAGGCTTCGGGACGGAGTCCATGATGGAATCGGTCAAATCTCAAGACACGGAACCCTGGGCAGGGATGCAGGGTTCCACGAGCCAACTTCAGGCATGGGCATCCAGCTGGTGAGAAGTTGCACTCGGTGGAGTAATGGTGTTTCGACTGAGGTAGGAAGGCACTCCTCAACTTGTTACGTTCTAGCTAACCCTGCAGCACTCCATTGCAAACGCATACATCGGAGTCATCCGCAACAGTCGGCACTTCATCTACATCGAAAACCAGTTCTTCATTACAGCAACAAGTGATGCACAACACCCCGTCAGGAACAAGATTGGAGCCGCCATCGTCGAGCGTTGCGTTCGAGCGTATCAGAACGGCGAGAAGTACAAGGTCATCGTCTGCATGCCCTCCGTACCCGCCTTCGCAGGAGATCTCCACGCAGATGACAGTCTCGGTACGCGAGCAATCATGGAATATCAGTACTTCAGCATCTGTCGTGGCGGCCACAGCATCATGGAAGCGATTGAACAAGCGGGCGTCCCGGATGCGAAGCAATACATTCGTTTTTACAACCTGCGGAGCTACGATAGGATTAACGTCGGCCAAGCGATCAAGAAAGTTGAGGAGGAGAGCGGTGTGCAGTATAGAGATGCTAGAATGGAGCACGATGATCTCGTTGGTGCGGGGTATGATGGACAAGGATACGGGACTGGCGCTGCTCCCGGCCAGGCGAATCCGGAATATGATGCATACCAGCAAGCTGGGTCTCAGGTGCTTGATGGGAGCAAGTACGACAGTGTTGCTCCGTGTTACACGGACGGCGTTCCTTCTATCAAAGATATCCCCTGGTCCGGGACCGAGGAAGAAGAAATGGAAGCCTTTGTTAGCGAAGGTGAGCCATCTCGTTCGTTTCTTTACAGCAATGCTAATATGTCAGAACTCTACATCCACACCAAGCTCCTGATCGCAGATGACCGCATCGTAATCTGCGGCTCCGCAAACCTCAACGACCGCAGCCAACTTGGCTACCACGACTCCGAAATCGCAGTCGTGATCGAGGACCCCTCAACAATCGACTCTGTCATGGACGGACAGCCATTCCAAGCCTCTCGCTACGCAGCCTCCCTCCGTCGCCAACTCTTCCGCAAACACTTGGGCCTGCTCCCACATCAAGATTACACCAAACCGGATGCGAACTTTATGCCGATTAACAAGGACCCAAACATCTACGATTGGGGCAGCGCCGCCGATTTCCTCGTCCGTGACCCGATGTCCCGCGAGTTTGGGAATCTGTGGAATGGCACGGCGCGGGCTAATACGGAGGTCTTTGAAAAGGTGTTCCATTGTGTGCCGGCTGATAATGTGAGGAATTGGAAGGATTATGAGAACTTCTTTTCGAAGTACTTTGTGGGGAATGGAAAGGAGGGGGAGGAGAAAGTGGAGCCGAAGTATGCGTATGGACATGTTGTTAAGGAGGAGTTTCCGGGGGGTGTGGTGGAGTTAAAGGAGTGGTTGGATAGGGTCAGGGGGAATTTGGTGGAGATGCCGTTGCGGTTTATGGATGGCGTGGATTTTGCAAGGAGTGGGTTGAAGCTGAATGCGTTGACGGATGAGGTTTATACTTGAGAGGTGAGTGTTGGGGTATGTTTTCTGGATACGGGTTTAGCATGGTTTTACGTTGGGTAAAAGTGTGCGTGCAGCATTTCGTGGTTTTCGCCATCTCTTGCGTTTTCAATCCCAAGTTGGCTTCCTCCCTTGGTGGAGGTTGGGATCTTTCCGCCTGGATATGTAAGCATGGCCTTTTCCCGAGATGCATTTTCATTGGCCGGATGGAAGACGGTTGTGACGTACTTGAGCATGCAGTCAGCTTACTCCGTATGTCTTGTCATTTAAACTTTCGGGGCTCCTTCCAATCCTGACATCTCTAAGTAGAGATCAGATTCTTTTCCTCGCCGAGCTTGATTCAATAATTTCATGCAAGGAACTAAGACTGGATCAGCTTCGACGCAGTGGTTCATTGCTTCCTCTTTTTAAGCCAGCGTTGTCTCATTAGAGTTAGTGATCACCTCATTTGTTTTCTCCGAGTATAATTCGGTCTCCTCCTTGCACCATGTTTGGCTTTCAGCAATTCTTTATGGGGGCTGAAATGGTTCGGAAACAACGGGCTTTCTGCCATATTTTCACATTACTCGGGGGTACTCCGGTCCAATTAATGAATGAGAGAGACAACTCAACCTCAGAGCAGAAAGGGGACATTGAAAAGTCTAGCTAGCCACCGATTCCATTCGCACACTAGTTCGAATCTCTATACACAACCCGAAACTTAATGAAGTGGCAGCGGCCCAAATGCACGGGGTTCGACCGTTCATCCCACGCAGCCGGATCAGGCGGCTGGGTGCTGACCCGATCTGCAATGTCACTGTATAAATTACCGGCTTTACTGTAACTCGCGACATGCACACCGGCGATGGAAATTCTCAGGTCCCAATATCTGCGCATCCAACGAAAAGGCTACCCAGCCAATATTGTTACACGTGGAGCGCCCAGATCGGGAACCCAGCGCCAGCCCTGCAAGCCACTTTTCTACCCCTCATTGGAACTAATGAGGAACACCCGCATTCAGCCAGCATCTCACTTGGTGCGACCTACATAGCTCTCGCTAGCTGTCCTAATATCTAATTTAATTCTTGCGAAGTCTCTTGCGAAGATGCAAGGCATCTAATCTCTTCAAAACGCTCAATCTCTCCTCAGAATGTTTTCAAGATCGTGGACCTTCTTGTTTTCTGCAGGTCTCGGACTCACTGTCTCGATTCCTCGCAACGAAGGACCAACTGCAAAGACGCATGATGCTACTTACGTAGGCTTCACAGACACCACCTACAACGTGGATATCTGGGCCGGCATTCCATATGCAAAACCACCCCTCGGTTCCCTCCGTCTCCAACCACCCGAAAAGTACCCAGCAAAAGGTACCATCGCAGCCCAAACCTATGGCAATCGCTGCTTCGAGATTGGGACAGGGGTTGCTCCTGGTGGCCCAGTGGGAAGCAACTCAGAGGATTGTTTGGTCTTGAACATCTACACTCCGGCAAAGTGCGAGGGTGGAAAGAGATCGCTTCACCCCAGTCCGCCGTGGCCGGTTATGTTTTATGCCCATGGAGGCGGCTTTAATCAAGGGAGTGGGAATGATTATATGGCGCAATCGATGGTGAATCACAGCGTTGAGCTCAAGAGTCCGGTTGTGGTGGTGACGATAAATTACAGACTCAGCTTCTTTGGATTTTCCGGTAAGACCTCTCCTCAACGGTACTTGGCGTGGGCTGACTTGATAAGCTGGGACTGATGCAATTGCCAACAATGCTCTCAATCTGGGTCTTCTTGATCAGAGATTTGCAATGAAATGGGTGCATGATAATATTGCTGCGTTTGGCGGCGATCCAGAGAAAGTCACGATCTTCGGTCAATCAGCAGGTGCTACGTCTGTGGGGCTGCAGATGACGGCTTACAACGGGGCGCATCAAGACCTTTTCCGCGCCGCGATTCTGGAGAGCGGAAGTCCAGCTGATACTCTGCCTACACCTCCTCCTACTTGGCCGACCTATCAGCAAGCTTGGGATCTAGTTGTTGAGGGAATTGGGTATGTTCTGGATGCGGGAGAGAACTGCAGCTGACGGGTGTCACAGATGTAATGGAACCTCAAATGTGTTTAAATGCGTACAGGGTGCGGATACGGCTCTGCTTTGGGCTGCTATAAATGCCGTTGCAGCGAAGGCGCCTCTTCCTTCGAGCATTTGGCCATGGCAACCGGTCGTAGATGGAAAGTTTGTCGCAGATTTCCCCTCGAAACTCACTGCTGCTGGGAAATTCACAAAAGTCCCCATGATCATGGGATTTACGACCGATGAAGTTACATGTAAGAGACCCAAATCTGGAGATCGCAGCGACTGACATATTTGCAGATGTCATACCTACAGTCTTCAACATTTCGACCGATGCTTTTATCGTTGGGCTTGCACAAGGTAAATAGTTTTCCGCCTTTTGACTGGAGCTTCCATGCTAAACAACTTCAGTCGTCTTGCCGTTTATTCCCCTCTCCGTATTTGAAGAGATTGCTCTCCTTGATCCGCTCTCTGAATTTCCAGACCAGGGAGTTGGAGGAACGGAATGGAAGCGCACAACTGAGATTGCTTCCGATATCTTTGAGCGTTGTCCAGGCCGTGAATGGATCCGCAACGTTACTCAGTATTCCCACACCTGGAAGTGTAAGCCAACTCATCCCTTAGAGTAATTTCGATGCTCATGCTCGAACAGACAGATTCAATGCCATCATCCCACCCGACCTTGCCAAAGCACCATGGGAAAAAAGTAAGTTCTCCTTTATCCTCTCATTTTCTGGCTGACAAAACAGTCGTCCACGCCTCCGAGATCCCATACGTCTGGGGACCCTCAACCAAACCCAGCATCAACGAACCCCTCGATCTTGCGCTCTCCCGGCAAGTCCAAAAAGGCTGGATCTCATTTGCATCATTCCTCGATCCCAACACACTGGGAGATCTGAGTCCAGGTGTAGGATGGCCACCCTACCAAGACAATTCACAGAACGTCATGGTGTTCCAGAAACCGGATGGGAGCGGAGAGCAGGGGAATGGTGCACCTGGGACGCCGGTGGGTCAAGGGTTACATGTGGAGCATGATTTCGATGACAGACCGGTCTGTGATTATTATGCTGCAAATGATGCGGCGTTTGTGCATTAATTAATATTGGTAATGTTTAACTCGAGCCCACTTTCAATGTACAGTGTTTCAATCATGGATTTCAGTCCTGATATTTCTTTGATTTGTTGATTTAGTATCCAGGAAAGCGACCATCAAGACCATTTTTGCCTTTACTTCATTCCAACTTCAGCTTCTTAAGCACGGCCTTCCACCCCTCTCTCGCTGACATCTTCTCAAGACGTTCTTTCGGAAGCGGATAGTCATCCACATCATACCGACTTCGCAAATCCAATTTGCCAAGGAACCCATGCAGCATCAGCATACATAAGCGTATTCCCCACGAGCCACGGTCCGTCACCGGTGCTCCAAAGTATTTAGCTAGAATTGGAGGTGAATACTACAAATATTTGAAATTGAAAAAAGTAAAAGGCCGTTGAGAGAAGAATCCAACGTTAAACTGCATGCGAACGACAGATCAAAGCTCCTCCTCAATCTGATAGCCTCCCATCTTTCTCGGCGGTACCCTATTATAGAACATATGATCAATCTCCCCAAAGGTCCTCCCCTTCAACTCCGGAACATAGAAGAAAGAGCCAAGAGTAGCAATCGCAGCCAATCCACCGAAAACAAAGCCTACCTTTCCCTTCATGTTCCCCTTATCCGGATTTACCATATAAGGAATAGCAAAGTTCATCGCAATGCCAAAGAGTGCCTGTGTTGCTGTCGCCAGTGCAGTTGTCCTAGCTCGTAGCTGCGCAGATGATGCCTCACCGAGGATAACAAACGCCATGGCTCCGACTGTCATGAAGTAAACAAAGGCATAGATCACCGTGGCTGAAGCCTGAACCCACTTCGCTGCGGAGGAGGGGATGACGTCCATGATTCCAATCAGAAATAAGAGAACGGTGAGAGCACCCATACCGAAAATGAAGATCTTTCGGCGACCGTAGGAGTTAACAATGAACCACGAGCAGAAGTTTCCAAGGACCCCACAGGCTGTAACACCAACGCCGAGGTCGAATGAATGAGCGGTGTCTAGACCGGCGAGTTGGAAGAAATAAGTAGAGTACCCAAGGACAAAGATGATGCCAACAAAGTGCTGGCAAGCAAAAACCCCAGTCGAGATTCCCGTTCGTAGGAGATCCGTCCCACGGAAGCAGTCGATAAATGACGGAGCCTTCTGCATCGATTCTTCATGAACCGTGATTTCCATGTTGGCGAGCTTAGCAGATATGTCTGTGTTGTTGCCGTATAGTCTTTGAAGTGACTTGCGTGCCTTTTCGATCTTTCCGACACGGACGAGATACCAGGGCGATTCCGGGGAGAATGCGAGGCCAGCAGCGAGGAAGGCAGCGAAAAAGAGCTGGATGGCAAAGGGACCTCTGTATGCCCACCTGTCCGTCCTTTCACCGAAGCCCTTGATGACCGAATTGGAAATGAGTTGTCCCACGGCGATGCCAAGGTTGACTCCTGCAGTCGAGATGCCACGGAGGACAACGGGTGTGATCTCGGAACACATGAGAGGACCGAGTGTGAGGTAGAACCCAAGGCCGATACCAAGGATTAACTTGCTGATCAGAAACCCGACTTTCGATGTTGTGACGATTTGTCCAATGATGGCACCGGTGCAGAGCAAGATGCCGACGGCTAAGCTGGGCTTTCGGCCAGTTTTGTCGGCGACCCAGCTGCAAGAGAAGCCGCCGAGGAATTGTCCTACGGCGCTGATGATGTTGAATGCTGCTTGCCAACTTGCGGGAAGGACTGCTTCGCCTTCGAATATGTACCTATGGCAGTTGTCAACGATGCCTGGTTTTCTTTCCTTTGAAGATGTATCGGGCTTACCCAAAATCTCGCCTGAAGGATGGTACGCTGATCATTGCTCCATTGACTTGAGCATCGAAGCCCCTTCGACTGATTAGCCTTGAAAACCACTGTACAAGAAAGCAGCGCAAACCATCCAATAGCACACATAGCCCAGAAGAAAGACCATCCAATTATGGCCTTGTGATGCTTCCAAGCATCTCGGAATGTGAGCTGGTGCTCTTGATCGATATCTGCCTTCGGGAGGGTAGGCTTGACGTCGCTATGAGCAACTGGTTCGACATGTTCAACCAAGTCTGTGCTCGGGGAGGGAGACATGGAAGTTTTCTCCATGATCCAGTTCAACTTGTCTATCTTTGGTAAATGGTAGAGTGCAGAGAGGTTGTCCAGAGAAGTTATGAAGAATGTGGGGATGATCGACAGAACTTCGAGCGAATCTGTCCATCTTTATAGAAGTTATGGTTTGTGATTTCGACAGCTTGGAATCTGGGGTGTGGTTTGAGTTTGGTACGAGCGATACTCCGCTGATGGGAGCCTCCATGCAGCTGGAGTTTCCGAACCAATTTCTGGGCGATACTCCGCTTTTTAGAATCCCTGCTCAGTTGGTTCCCGCCCCCGCAGTGCGGGGTTCGAATTCAAAGCGATATTCCGCGATGAGTGTTCCAGTGCAGATTTCATCAGCCAGTAAACGAGTTCCTTGCCTCCTCAGCTTGATCTCCTTGGTTGCTGCCTTAGTGTATTAGATGTCTGGTAAACAAAGGACCTGGTTGTATTTCATCCACACTCCTTCCTATATCACGTGATACAGACGTGACCAAAATCAGTAATTGCCCGCGATATTCTAAATGTTGTTCCTCTATCCTGAATCTGCATCATACCAGCGTTGTTCTAACACCACCTGGATGTTTTCAAACAACAATGTAACCCTAATAATATCCCTCAAAGTCATAGTTGAGAAAATGGTCCGGATCCCGGTTAAGGTGTCGGCTAAACCCCAGCTGGAGACGGCTTTTTCCTTTTTCCTCCCATAGTTCCACTTCTCTTCTTCCCCGCAGCCCCCAGATTTCATTTAATGGCGACACTCCGCGCTTCCAACCCCGAGCTGCGTGAGTACGCCCGGCTGTCAGTTCACCGGAACGGACGCGTCCCCGAAATCGAATGTCCCGATTCCAGTAATGGAACACGCAGACTCTATCGGCTCTGCCCTCTCGGGAGCGCCACCATCGAATACCCCTGGATCTCAGGCGAAACGTCGGCCAGCCCCTCGAGGCACAGCTGCTTATCCACGGAAGCGCGCAAACACAGCTTGCCAAGTGTGTAGAGCTCGAAGGACCAAGTGCGACAACAAGAAGCCTTCTTGTTCGTTCTGTGAGAGGGTTGGAGCGAAGTGCATCTCTTCTCCGGCGGACCTTTCCGCCTTTGACCCCGCAAGTCTGAAGATTCTTGAACGACTAGATGAGCTCGAAGACAGACTATTATCACAACAGTCATCGCAATCCCACCTGCCCCGTCAAGAATCCTTACTCCCGGACGGCGCCACTCCTATCCAGACTGGCTCACAGTTCCATGTTCTTAGCATTGGCGTCGTCGACGTCCTCGCGTGGCCTGTTTTTGGGGGCCGATTCGACGCACGTCTGGATACCAAATCGCTCTTGCGCAGGATTCCACTGGATGCCGTTGCTTCCCCGTCGTCAGATTCCTACACCTCTGTCGGAGAATTGGATTCAAATAATGGGTTGAAACTTCTGGATGCCTTTTTGCAGCATGTACATATCAAAAACCCAATCCTAGACGAGGCCAGCGTTCGTCAAATGGTGCATCGTACCAATTTCGATGGTCTCGGTTGGGATGCCGAGTCTTGCTTGGTCCTTATCATCTATGCGCTGGGCACTATTGCCTCGTCTTTTGGCAGCTCGTCTTCTTCCCCGGCTAATCTTGGCCGGGCCACCTCCTACTTCAACGCATCTCAAAAGCGAATTGGGACATTGCTTGGAAGGGGCGGTACTCTTGAGGCTCAATGCTTCTTCTTTTCCGGCGTATTCTTGATGACAGCTCTCCAGCCCATTCAAGCCTGGAGAAACTTTGTCCAAGCACTAGCAGCTTGCCAAGAGTTTGAGTTTGCTAAGCAGTCCCTATTGCCAGTCTCAAATCGGAACCTCGAAAGCTTTGGAGGTACCACTGCCGAGGAGAGCGTGTATTGGACGTGTTGGAAGTCGGAGCTGGAGTTGAGGGTGCTTCTCCAACTGCCTGATTTCATAGCAAAGGATCTGGTTTACCCACGTCTTTTTCCCACCCCGCCAATAGGCAACGGGAACGAAGAACACCGAGCATGGTATTTTTACCTCGCAGAAATTGCGCTGCGAAGGTTGGATACAAGAGTCCGTTACGAAATGTGTCACGTCTCACGACCAACTGGCGACATGGCCTTTGTGGAGTTATCTGACACAATTCCATCCTACGAAGACCAAATTGAGAGTTGGATGCGTTCATTGCCTGACAGTATGAGTTTGCAAACACCAGAGTCAGATGATGATGTTCTCAAATTCATTCTCAGAGGGCATATGATGAACATATATGAGTTGATTTATTGGCCTTTTCTGGATGCAACCATCAATCAGCAGCAAGGATTTTTAGCTGTTGAGGAGTATGGCCGTAAAGGTTTGAACTGCTGTTTGGAAAGAATTCGCCTCAACAAACCTGGATTTAAGCATCGCCACCATGGAACGTGGTTCATGCTTCAGTCATGTACTCGAAGCGCTCTCATTCTTCTGGCAGCCACTCGCACCTCATACGCCACCGAGTTGATGCCAGACGGGTGGAGGAGTGCTGTGATTGACGTGATGGAAATGCTGAGATTTTGGGAGCATGAAGTAGGCGACGCCGGGGATCGCCTCCGGATTTTGGAAGAACTACTGGAGTCTGTCTAGTTTGGCACACGTCAATATCTAGCTCTCAAGTTGAGTTAGCGTTCTCAAGACCGTGGCATCTTTCTCACATCTGTATCCAAAGCCCGAGGAATTTCACGCGAGCATGTGCATACCCCACATCGTGAGGCTGCGAGGTTGCCGGGATCGCGGAATGTCGCTTTTGGCGTCGGGAAATCCTCGGTTGTCAAAAACTAGGAGGTGGCTGGACCACTTCCGATGGACGGCTACTATCTTCTACTTAGCTATAAAGCAGAGGAAGACACTCGGCCGGGGATTTTGTCAAGCCTCAGCATTCACACTCCACTTGAATTTTCCGGATGTCTACCCTCGTCACTGCTAGTCCTTTGACTGCAGTCCAGAACCTCTCCTTGCCGTTGTGCAATGGCTCGATCACGAAACATCCCTCTTCCGCTATGCAGAACGTAATGCCCACAAAGCGGAAGATCGACTCGATTCTGAAAGTCAACGGCACAGACATTGTTGACGCCAATGGGCACAAGGTGGTCCTCAAAGGGGCTGGACTTGGCGGTCATCTCAATATGGAGAATTTCATCACAGGCTTCTCAGGCCATGAACACGAACACCGAGCAGCGCTTCTCTCCGTTCTTGGGCCACAAAAGTACAAATTCTTCTTTGACAAGTTTCTGGAATACTTCTTTACCTCCTCAGATGCCAAATTCTTTGCATCTCTGGGGGTGAACTGCATACGCGTGCCTTTCAACTACCGCCACTTTGAGGACGACATGAATCCAGGCGTTTACAAAGAAGAAGGTTTCCAGCTGCTCGACCGTATCGTCAATATCTGCTCCGAGCAAAATCTATATGTTATTCTTGATCTTCATGCCGTTCCAGGCGGCCAAAACCAGGATTGGCATTCCGACTCGGGCAGTAGCAAGGCCATGTTCTGGAATTTCAAGGAGTTCCAAGACCGAATGGTTAATCTCTGGGTTGCGTTGGCAAAGCATTATAGAGGCAATGCTTTCATTGCCGGCTATAACCCGCTCAACGAGCCAGCAGATCCGGACCACGTCAATCTTATCAACTTTTACTACCGTGTCGAGAAAGCCATCCGAGAGGTTGACCCGGATCACGTCCTTTTCATTGATGGGAACACATATGCAATGGATTTCTCGCAGTTCCCTGCCGAACCTTTTCCCAATACCGTCTACGCATGTCATGATTACTCGATGATGGGCTTTCCGACCGGAGATCCATATCTGGGTACATCTGCTCAGAAGAAGAAGCTTCGGGAGAGCTTCGAACGAAAGGTTGCTTTCATGAGAAAGCAAAAAGTACCTATCTGGAACGGCGAATTCGGTCCCGTTTATGCATCTGCCACGGATGACGCCAACTTCCAGCAAACAAACTCCCAGCGCTTCGCACTTCTCCAGGAACAACTCTCCATTTACCAAGAATCTGACATTTCCTGGTCCATCTGGCTATACAAAGATATCGGCTATCAAGGCATGGTCTACGTTTCCCCCTCTTCGCCCTACATGCAACTGATCGCCCCCTTTCTCGAAAAGAAGAAAGCACTTGATCTCGACTTCTGGGGCTGCTCAGACAGTAAAGTTGCACACATATACGCGCCATTTCTCACGGCTCTGAAAGAAATGGTTCCGAAGCACTTACGGGACAAGATATATCCGAATGTGTGGACCTTTGAGCGACAGGTAGAAAGGAGAGTGAGAGAATGTTTGCTGAGTGAGTACATGGGATGGGAAATGGCGGAACTTTTCAGAGGCAAGACGGAGGAGGAGCTTGATGAGTTGGCTGGCAGTTTTAAGTTTGAGAATTGCGTTCTGAGGGATGAGTTGAATGGGATATTGCAGACTGATGCGAGATTTGGTGATGAATTAGGGGCTGAATCATGAAATTTTGTAGTTTGAAGCAAGTGTGTTTGAGTCAGGTACTTGGAGTTCGATCTCAGCTCTCGAGATCATTTGCGATTCCTTGTATACTACCATCGGCAGCCCTGCCGCTGTTGGACTCAATTGTAATGGCTATCGCTTGCATGACTTGAGGCAAAATATGATCGGAAGTGAGACCGTTCTAGTTTTTCTTGAAATGAGATGGTCTATTCTAAATCCTTAATCTCTTTCCGAAAATCTGCAGCACTAAACCCTATCGAAGGTATTTGGAATATAATTAAGCAACATCTACGACGTGGACTCTTTAATTCGGAGGAAGAGATGAAGGAGGTCCTCCAGGAAGGGTGGGGCAAAATCACGCTTAAAGAGATACAGGAGCGCATTTCGATTATGCTCCTACGGTGTTCGCGCCTAGCCAAAACGGGTGGAAGGCCCATTAAAGGACTCAAGTGGTAGTATAGCGTTGTAAATAGAGAAGAATGAATTTTGATAATATGGGCCATACGGGCTAATTCCACTGGTGCACGCGCCCCTCCAGCTGACTAATCAGAGCCATAAGCGAGATTCAGATAGTTCTCCTGATCATCATAATCCTCGTCCCCCAATCTAGAAATGACACCTACGTCCTGCCAGTGCACATTTTATCGCATGCGTATCCATCTCTCGCAGAGCACAAAACGTGCTTATCAGTGTTTATCATTGCCGCCATACACTTCATTCTCGCGTCCTGCTTCCACTTCTATAACGATCCCGTGTTCATTCAGCTCTACCTTCGTATCGCGTTCTCGTGTTATTCTACCTTTTATTCGAACCGCAAAATCCATCACTACATCCCCTCCTACACAACTAAGGATATCGACCTTGCGTATTAGGCCAAAAGATGACGAGGCTGCTGAATACACACCAGAGATGAAGGAGATCGAAGACTCGCTCAGTGATTATTACCTCAAGCCTGGCTTCCCATGGGGTTTCGTCGTGTACCGTGTAGCGTACGGGGATGGCACGGACGCCAAATGGTCTCGCTTGCTACAGATCCTGGCAAAGGACGTCGAAAGTGACCTAATCTCGCACAAGAAGATGGAAACCATGGGACCGAGGCATCAGCTAGTGCCGATGGATAACCAGGAGAAATTTGAAGGCATGACGACGCACGATGTTCGGAAGCATTTCAGATCCTGGGTAGTGGATGAGCTGGAGGCATGGTGGGCACATCGACCAAGCCCAGAGGAGATAGATGAAATGAGAACTGGCAATAAGAGCCCTACTAAACTCTCCGTGGATATTGGTCTTGGAACGAGATGGAATATTTGCGTTTATGTCGATGATAGCTGTTTGGGCTCGTTGGATAATCCCTCTTGGCCTATAATCAAACTAGTGTGGAAAGACTGGTGGCCCCAAGAGATGCCGGTGGATAAAGACGACATAGATACAGAGATGCCTCCAGAGGTTGATGTTGGATGGACAGATCTACGGATCGCAGAGTACAATTGGATGTATGGTGTGCTATGTGAGCAGGGTAGGAGGTTCGATGAGTATTGTATTGCGGCGCAAAGGCTAGGGATATAACGAGTACTCGAACTCAGAGTCAGGGGAGTGGGAAGGGGCAAAATATGCCCGGGAGTGAGACCGTTCTAATTTGTCTTGAAATGAGACGGTCCACTCCAAATCCTTAATCTCTTTCCGAAAATCTGCAGCACTATAATAAGCCCAAGTCCAGCGGCACAAATTGCCGCCTGCACTCCCATAGACTGCTCCGTGCCTTTCGTATTTGCCCAGGTAACCTGACGGCATGCATTCATTAGCATTCTGATAAAGACTTGTACTTTTAAATGCAGATAAGTGAGGATTTACCTGGAAATACGATATAATGAAGCCGCCAGCTGTTCGTGCAAAATTCAACCACGACGCCACTTCCCCAGAGGCCTGTAACATAGAAGTATCAGCATACCCATAAGGCTGTAAGGCCAGCTGTGTCCGCGATGTGCGGTTGGACTCTCCTTACCTCTGGATAACTGTCAAGCACATACGCATTCAAGCCCACGGTTGTAATCATAATACCAAAGACGTACAATCCCCAACCAAGCGAGGCGATCATGTAGTGGTATCCTCTTTCAAGGGCGAACCCAAGTAGCACGAGGCCAGCCAGCATAAACGGCGTGCTGAGCCAAATGACTGCGAGACGTGACTCCGATTCAAGACGGCCTTTGTGACGGAGCATATACCAACGCGCGACCAGATCGTGAAGCCAATGGCCAACCAACTCTCCTAACGTGGCAGCAACGACTGGTGTAAAATAGAAGAAGCCTGATATGCCACCCGGACTTAGTACTATAAATATTCTTGGAGTCAGGATGAGGTGTGCTGGAGACTTACCAATCTGTCTTGGCCCGAAATTGTAGAGAGGGGTCAGGAAGATAGCAAGTGTTGTATTGATTCCGACAACCCATGCGAATGTGATCAAGTAGTAGAAGGAAGCAATGGCGACAGGAAGCTTTGAAAGCACAATAAAAGGCCGCGACATGGCTTGACCAAAAGTATTGCGGAGATTCCTGCTTTTCCACTGGGACACGCCGATCATACGCATCATCCTTGAACCGCGCGGCGGTTGAGACTCTAGAGGGATGTGGCGATCGTAGTAGGTCTCGTCCACAAACAAAATGATGGCTATGAGGCATAGACCTGTCTCAATGGTATACACACCAAAAGCCCACTGCCAATTTTGAGTCGAAATAATGAAGGCAGCAAATAAGGGTCCGAAGTAGGGCGATAGGATGATGAATGCTGCCCAAACGTTGATTTTGCGGCTGAACTGCTGTTAATAGAGGAAGAGAATCGTATCAGAGAAGAGACTTACGCATGCTCGTGGAAGTAAAACATGTCTGGATAGAATCAGCAAAGAGTTCGTAAAGACGAGAATCGAGAAAGCTTTGATTACCTTTAATGAACATCAAACCACCCTAGACAAACAGTCAGCCTTACGATATTGAATCCGAGAGAAGAAAGTGCCGATTACTTACCCCTTGTGCCACGGTGCTGAAAAATCCATATAGGATTCGTGCTGCCATAAAAGACTCGAAGGTGGCAGCGGCAGCACACCAAGTTGAAGTTGCGAGTGCGAGGACAGTGAACCAGAACAGCACTGGGTATCTCCCAAAATAGGCAGACAGGGCTACGGCAACAACACCGCCTGCGCCAAGCATAAAGACATTGCCAACCTGGGAATGATTTACCTCATCTTCTGTCATTCCCCAGATACTAAATAATCCAATTCTGTTAGTAAAGATACACGAAGGAATAAATAGTGCGGAAAGGTTATGCTCACGCCGCTTGTGGTATCAGCGTCACTGCGCCAGTAGCTGATCCGTAGTCAGGGAGGAAGGCTTTGCGGATGAAATTAATTACGATTTAACTCAAACCATACATAGGGGAAAACAAACCAGTAAATGATATGACTGCGAGAATCACATTTTTCCTATTTTGACTCCAGTTCAACGGGTCGTTGGGATCTGAGCTTGGCTGGGGAATCAAAATTGTGGAGCCGTCCTTCGTGGTTTTCAGATGCCGCGACGAAGCATCGCCTGCTTGCGCATCTAAAACGTATCCTTCGAGCTCACCAATGTGGTCGAGGTCAGTGTCGTTCTGTTCAATGCTGGTTGGAGCTGCCTTCTCGGGGTCGCTTCCCGCCGTCGAATCCACGGAATCCGTTGCAATCTCTGAGGAGTGTTTTGTCGAAGACATCATACAATGAGATATCAATAGATAGCCGGAAAAACAGAGAGGAGAGCACTAAAGACTGGATATAACCAAACGGGTTTGCTGATATGTTGGGAGAAGCTTGAGAACATGGCAGACGCGGGGTCTTTAAGTCTGTCGGAGGCTTGGAGAACTAGTATGCTGATTGAGTGGCTTGTTCTCGATTCCGTTTTGTTGTTGATTGGCACTTGATGTGACATGTTGGTCATAAAATCTTTCGAGGCGGGGTCTGGCTCGTCTGGGGTCTGGAGTAGGTTGGTACCCGATCGATGGGTGTGGGGCGAATCTGGAAGCGTTGGGCTCGTGCGACGAGGTATTGTGGATTCCGTGGAGTTTTGTTATCTCTTTCCACCAAGTAGATATCCGTTAAGGACCGGCTGAGAATGCGGAAGACACCGTGGGGATGACTGGCTGAAAGCAGACACGAAGGCCCTCATCCGCTGCAGAGACCATTCTCTGCCGCACCTTCGCGTATTGGTAGGCCAATAACGACTTAAGAAAGTGTGTCATCCGAACTGTAGCCATATGAAGGTCGAAGTATAGGAGTATGACAAACGATAGCATAAGGGTTATCAAGCAGGTCATTTTCAAGATCCCTGCAATGTTGCGCAACTCTCCGCATTGTTCCGCCAACTGGGGTTACCGTCCCCACTGCCGAGAAAAAGGGGCACGGCCCCGCCCCTTTTCGGACCCGACGAAGTGGTGATGAATTGTCGGGTATTGAGAAAAAGTCTGATACTGTATCGCCTTCCGAACCCCGGCTGTATAACTTGTATTTCACCGTTGCTATTGACTAGGATAACTTGGAAAGATATGCCATTCTGCAAAATGCGACCAGTGGAGCGTTTGGGAATGCAACCGAAGATTTCATCCCCCACTCAACCCCCGAGCCGAAGCGCTGGCCAATCCCACCCCGGGATGTGATCCGCCGTGACATTGATGGGTGGCTAGATTTCGCTTGCTGACTCGTTCCAGACAGCCATCTCCGGCTGCTCCCGGGTAGCCCGGTTTGGTGGTCCGTCACCACCACACAGAAATTGAATCTTATGCCACCCCACCCCCCTCTTTTGGATCTCCGGGATCTCCCCGAAAGCCTCCCTACCCCCTTGAACGATACCGCGGGGTCTAAGGCCCCTTTCTACCCCTTAGCGAGCAACTCTCTGCGGCCTCTCCGCAATAACAGCCAGTTCGATTGCAGTCCACTGCGAAGTGCATGGCATATGGGCAAACCCCGGATTCTAACCCCGTCCGTTTTTTCACACTTCGATCCGACGTACGCGTAGATGTCTGTCAAGCAACAATGGGCCAAGACCCACAATCCTGGCACAAATGTTATAAAGTCTTCATCCCAGGCGCGATCGAAACTCCAGAAAGCCCGCTATCACTTTTACTTGTCTCCAAATTGAACTTATTTCTGCCTATCGGGTTGTTAAAATTGTTCTCGACCCCAACTCAGCTCTCTAAGCGTTACAATGGTGCTTGACCATATCAAAGGTGTGGGCCATGGCCTTGCCGGTGTCTTGCCAAAAGATGATATCCCGTGGTATAAAAAACCCCACCTTCTTCGCCTCAACTTCTCCATCCTCTGCCTCGTCGCATTCTCCTCAGCCAACGGCTACGATGGATCAATGATGAATGGTCTCCAGGCTCTCCCTCAATGGCAAGAGTTCATGAATCATCCCACCGGTGCTTGGTTGGGATTCATCAACGCGGTTCAATCACTCGGTGCCTTGGTTCTCCTCCCGGTGGTGGCTTGGTGCAATAACGCAATCGGCAGGAAGAAGACAATCGCCATAGGTTATTTCTGGTTGTTTCTCGGCGTTGGTCTACAGACTGGGGCTACAAATCACGTCGCCTTTGTTCTTGGTCGTCTCTTCCTGGGTGGCGCAACAGCATTCTATTCTGCTTCAGCGCCACTGCTCATCACCGAGACCGCTTATCCAACCCACCGTGGTATTTTGACTGCATTATACAACACGGGTTGGTATGTTGGTAAGTGCACAAGATTTCAACCCTGAGACCTAGATAAGGAGGCTGACAAAGTGCGACTGTAGGGTCCTCAATCGCTGCGTGGGCAACGTACGGCACACGCAATTACGATAACTCTTGGGCCTGGCGCGTCCCTTCCATCCTCCAATTGTTGATTCCAGTCCTGGCCCTTCCAGGCTTCCTCCTGGCGCCGGAGTCGCCTCGCTGGCTTTGCGCAATGGATCGTTCCACAGAAGCGCGCGCTTTCCTCGTACGCTATCACGCAGGCAATGACGAAACTTTGCCACTCGTCCAGTTTGAACTTGAGGAGATCGATGGAACTCTCCGACTTGAGCGCGAGTTGAGCGTGGAGACTAGCTACATGGACATGGTCCGGACCAAAGGCAACCGCCATCGCACATTTATCTCAGTCACAATGGGGATATTCTCTCAATGGAGCGGCAACGGTATCGTCTCATACTATCTCGCTCCTGTTCTCACCACCATTGGTGTAACCAGTGTGACGAATCAAACTCTCATCTCCGGACTCCTTCAGATCTGGAACCTCATACTCGCTGTAGTTGGGGCAGTTAGCGTCGATCGATTGGGCCGGCGGTCGCTGTTCCTTGTGTCTTGCCTTGGTATGCTTACTTGCTACATTGTGATCACCGGGCTTGCAGCAAGCTTTGCCAAGACCCATGTGTCTTCAATTGGGGTAGCAGTGATTCCGTTCTTGTACATCTACTTTGGCTTCTACGACATCGCATTCACACCTCTCCTCTTCGGCTATGTCTGTGAGATATGGCCGTACACCCTGAGAGCAAGAGGTGTGGCAGTGACGCAGGTTGTTACCCAGCTGGCCGTTTTCTTCAACATTTTCGTCAACCCCATTGCGCTTGAAGCAATTGCGTGGAAGTACTACCTGGTCTATGTGGTAATTCTTGTTCTCATCACCTTAACCATCTACTTTCTGTATCCCGAGACAAATGGGCATAGCTTGGAGGAGATGGTTGCTGTCTTTGATGGAAAGGCTGCGGATACTAGCTTCAGCGTCAAGATCGACAAGACCGAGGGAGAGGAGGAGCAACAGGTCGAGAAAGTGTGAAATGATACCTATGCACGTGGGTATTTCGAGTACATCGGGAGGCCCTTTCCTGTTTTCCGAGGGACGGATTTTGGAATTTTTTGCAGATCTTAAGTATCTTCCATTGTCCGCAAGACAGTACGCCTCCGCAACTTGCACATCATACATGAGTGTTTCAATTCAGTGACATTCAACGTGAGTTTAATACGGATGATCTTTTAGCCAATTCGTCACTGGACTTTCCCAGGTCCCGCATAGGCATTCTGTGACTCAATATGCTCACCGTCCACGAAAATGACAAATCTCGGCGATCAGATCACTATAGTATCCTTCCTAGTAAAAAAATATAGTCAACTTAACATCGCATGCGTATTGTGATGGAGTCTAATATCTCTAGGAAATTTGCACAGCCTTATCGCCACTGAGCTGCTCCAGAATATCCATCAGGACACATCGAAGTGCCCGCACGTCCGAAGCTTCCATCTCCCAGAACATGCATCCTGCAATAGTCGTCTCGACCGCCTCCCTCCATGAGTTAGAAACGCGAACTTTGCCACTCTTAACTGCAGCCAGTAGCAGGAAGCACATTGAGACGCATTCCCGAATCTGATACCAAGTTCCGTGATGCCTGTGCCGTCGGATTCCCCGGAGGGTGTGCTTGAGACACGTTTCGATATGTTTTTGAACATATGGTCTCAGACTCTCTTGGATTGGGCTGTCCAGGGGGTGATATAGTGCAAGGTATAGGAATGGGCGGTATACTCTCTCTGTAAAGCCTAGCAAGCGGCCATGGAGGTAGAAAGTCAGCTCGTCTGAGCGGGCACGATCAGCAAAATCGCCAGCCGAGTGCCCAACTTGTGGCAGGTGGTTGACCCTAAGGAGTGATTAGTTCGGAAGCTCCACTTTAACCGGCCCGAGAAAGAAGATATACCATTGTGTAAGTTGTAATTCAATCTCCGTGGCAATCCTGATCAACCGCTCGAGTGGAACTGACAACCACCACGTTTCGTCATGTTGATAGAAGCAGCCCATCAGGCGGTTCCCTATTCGGCGGACTGCGAGCTCTGAAAGATAGAAGTTCCAGCTTTTCTCTATAGCTGCTCGATCCTGTTCGCCATGAGGCTGCACAGAACTAGCCGGCGGCAAAGGGAAGATTTCTCCATAATTGAGTGTTGCTAGGCCTGAGGGGGGTAGATCAATTTCCATTCGAAACTCCCTAGAAGATGTCAACAAATAGGTTCATGTTAGGACTTGATGCGAAACTAACCACTCTGACTTCAGGCAAGACCAGTAGAGACTTCGCACAAGGCTGCAAGCAGCATCTGCAGTCTGGATTGACTGAGCCTTTAGGTACATCTGTAGAGTCTTGGAAGCATTGTTGAAGGATGACCAAGCTCGGAGGGGTCGTAGAGAAAACATTTCGTAAACCCCAGAGTAGAACTGACATTCTGTGGCGACAATCGAGTTTCCAAGAAGACCGACCCTTTTCCTACAAGCAATATAGTAGGTCTCCGCACTTGCATAGTCCACGGCGTCAGATACACTACTTATCGGGGTGGGACCGACGAGTTGACAAGGCTTAATAAAATCTTCAGTAAACTCCGTGCAGAGGCTGCCGAGAGCACAAACAATGAGCTATGTAGAAGATTAGTTTTTTCAAGTATCAAAGGAGCAAACGAACCATGAGGCAAGACCGCTCGTCCCATCCAAAACCATGCTCCATCACTTCCCTCGCTATATCAAACAAATTGTGTTCATCCAGGATTGGGTTCTTGATGTGGACATGGGACAGAAACTTGTGTGCTAGTCTTAACGCATCCTCTTCGTGGATCAAGCGCCGAGATCCGAGTAATTGAGTCGCGTTACCATTCGGCGACCGCGATAAGCAAGGCTTTTCCTCAAGCTTTTCTGTAACTTCAGATTGGAATACAAGTAGCTCTGGACCCGGGACAGGGTACTTGTTTTCAAAAATAGGCCACTGGAGCAGAGTCTCGCACATTCCGAAGGTCTGACCTGCAAGGTCCACTGACTCGGAAAGGATGGCGGTGTCTTCGAGCGAAACCTTAGTGGAGGACCTGCAGGAGTCGCCTGCATAAGGTGAAGTATAGGGTAGATCTAGTGAGACGTTTGAGTTGGGGGTTTGGGCGGCGACAGCATGACCTGGCGAATAGAGCGATGGGCCAGGAGCAGCGAGGGAGTTCCTTTCGTTTTGTGTCTCGACAAGCTGTACGAGGTAGTCAAGGCGTTCGAGGACCGTCTGATTCGTGACATCAAATGGCGATTGGTCTAAATTGCTTGCCTTGTACAGGCATTTGACCCGGAGTCTCGCGCATGATTCACAACTGGGTCTGCTGTTGTCGCACTTTGTCTTTTTCGAGCGACACAACTCGCATGCTACGAGTGCTCTTTTCCGGACCGATGCATTTGCCGACCTTGGGTCACTGCGCTCCATTCGGCATTCTTCTGATACAGAGATACGTAAACAAAAAGATTGACTGATAAAATGATATCCCCTGGAAGCAGTCGATGGAAGAGGAAAGCAAGGTAAAAAGTGGAGATTGTAGACGACTGCGGGGTAATATTTACTGAGGCCATTAGCGGGCTAGCGGACAAATCCGAGAAGCGAAAAGTGATTTTCTGATTTTCTGATTTTCTGATTTTCTGATTTTCGCGCCCACACCCCCCCCACCATACCTTACTAAAAAAAAAAAAGTATAGTATATACGCCTTATTCTCGACTACTCCTAACCCCCCCTTAGCTTGCATGGTCCGTAAGGCAAATCCCATGGATTACGAGGCATATCTCTATCTCCCTTACTCTCTGTATCCTCTATACTGCCTATATTACTCGAATTATCTATATCTCCTTCGTCCCCTTCTTCTCTAGTATCCTTACCCTCCTCTACTATAACCTCCTTCCCTATTGCCTTCTGACCTTGTATCTGTCTTTATACTTGCTTTCTATATCTTATAGGCAGTTGAGGCTTTAGTATAAAGGGTTTTACAGATACGGAGTAAGGCTTTCCAGACTTGGTAGGATTAGTATTAAGTTAATAGAAAGTATAGACTTTACTATTATTATTATATCTATAATTTATATAAGTACTATTAAATTCGCCTTCTATAACTATATAGTATTTAAAAGGGCCCCTCGGTCTCTTCTTATTACTATAAGTAATATAAGCTTGAGAGAATTCAGTTCTGCAAGTATATACTAAGCTTGCCTCTAGATTTGCCTTATCTTTCTCTAATTCCTTTAGCTCCCTGCCCTAATATAGCTCTATCTCTCTAACTTTAGCCTTATTATTAATTTGCTTTATTACTTTAGTAGTATTATCGGGTAATATAAGGAGATTAAAGTATTATTATAAAAGAGGAAAAGAAGGTTATATATAAGAAGGAGATTAAAGAGTAAAGGAATTTATTAATTAAATATATTAATAGGAGAAAATATTATAAACTAAATCTAAATTATTAGAGAATATATTATAAATATTATTTTTCTGCTTATTTATAGCTTTATTGCCTTTTTTACTACTTTTGCCTTTATTAGAGCTATTATCTAAAGCTATATTTAATATATCTTTAATAAAAAAGAGCTTTAATAATAGTATTATATATTAGAATTAAAGTTATTTTTAAAAGGAGATTAAGGTTAAAATCGAGGCTAAGATTAAAGCTAGTATAGCTATATCTTTATTATTTACTTTTAGGATATAAAGATATATATTTAATATAATTATTTAAATCTAAATAAATTTATAATAAATAATATCTGAAAATAGAAATATTAGTATTTAATAGCCCTAGATTAAGTATATTTAAATATTAAAAAAATTATAATTTTAGGTATTATAGTTATAAAGATAAAAATATAAATATTCTTTCTTTTACTAACTTATAAAAACTAAGATATACTAATAATAATTAAACTATACTTAACTTATATAATTAGCTAATTTATTTTACTAATTATAAATAATTCGAGGTAATTTAAATCTCTTTAAATCTCTATATATAGCTTATTATATAAACTTCTATATCTCTATATTTAGTAATACTATAATTATAATTTTTAGATAAGAAAAATTCCCTTATTTTAGTATATATAATTATATTTATTTCTTATTTTTTAAATATATAATTATTAAATTAGAGAGGCTTAAGAATTCTAAATAATACTTTTTCTTAAGAAATATATATCCTTAATAAATAATAAAAATAAATATAGAATTATATAATAATATAATTATCTTATACTAGTAACTTTATTTTCTATAAAACTATAACTCTATTCTATTTTTATTCTAAAACCTCTATTTTTTTTCTATATTTTTTCGACTTTATTATTAATACTAAAAGCTTCTATTCTCTACTAATATCTTCTTTATTAATACCTTTATTAATACCTTTATTAATACTTTTATTAATACTAAGAGCTAGTATCTAATTACCTTATAACCTTCCTTTTCTTCTTCTTACTTCTCCTTATTTCTTTTCCTTATTTCTTTTCTGAACTCCTTTTCTGAATTCCTTTTCCTTTAATACTTCTTCTATTAATATTAAGAGCTAGTATCTAACTATCTTATAATCTTTCTTTCTTTCTCCGAATTCTTCTAAACCCCTTTTCTAAATTCTTTCTTTAAATTCCTTTTTCTTTAATACTTCTACTAATAATACTAAAAGCTAGTATCTAATTACTACTTCCGGGTTACTTTTATCCAGAACTCCTATATTATAAGTCTTTAACCTATTTACTTCTTAGAAAGCTAAATTTTAGATCTTTTTTTTCTTTTTCTAATATTTTTTTTTTCTTTTTCTAATACCTCTTATATTTTCGGGCTTTTTGGGAATACCCTTTTTTAAACTTCTAAAAAAGAGGCTAACTCCTATTTAGATTCCTTTAAACTTTAATACCTTCTTTCCTTTTCTAATATTTTTTATATTTTCGGGCTTTTTAGAAATATCTTTTCTCGAACTTCTAAAAAAGAAACTAATTCCTATTTAGATTTCTCCGAACTTTAATATTTCCTCTTCTCTTTTAATATTTATAAAAGCCTTTAGGCTACTACTAAGTACCCCTATTCTTTATTTTGGAATATATATTAATTTATTCTTATAGGAAATAGCTCTTCTTCTTCTAATCTCGACTTTTTTAATATATATTTCTTATTTTTAGGCTATTTAGATATCTCTTTATTTATTTTTATAAAATATATACTAATTTATTTTTTAGTTCCCTTTACCTTATTTCTTTTTTAATATTACTATATATATATCTAGTTAGTACTAGTTCTTATAACTTATAGTTAGGCTTTCTATTTATTAAATATCCGGGTATTTTATTTTACTTTTACTTTATATATTTTATTTTATATATTTTATTTTATATATTTTATTTTCCTTTTATTATAGATTAGGACTTAAATAGTATTTACTTTAAATACTTATACTCTCGGGTATATAAGACTCCTATAGATCTTTCGGGATTATAAACTAGCCTATTTTAGTTCGGGAAAGCTTTCTTAAGAATATTTCAGGAATTATAGTATTTATTATAACTTTTCCTAAAGATTAATATAATATAGGTATTTCTGGTCTATTTTCTTTTTATAAAGCAAACTATTACCCTAAGTCTATATAAAAGTCCTAATTATTTCTCGAGTTAAAATATAAGTACTTTTTATTTCTATTAAATTAGATATAAAAGATAATAGGCGCCTTTGGGCTAGACTATAATACTTATTAAGTACTAAGACTCTTTATATCTATTTTATAAACTTATAGTTTAAGATATATTATATTTAATAGGGCTTCTATATCTAATTACTTTATATTATAGTAAAATGTCTTAGTATTATAATTAGGGAAGTTCTATTTTATAATTTTATTTACTACTTATAGATTTTCTAGCTAATAAATCTTGGCTAATAGCTAAGAAACTTATTAGCTATTTTATCTAAAGCCTCTAGAAATAGGAAGTTATCTTAATAAAGACTTAGTATTAAAAATAGGTTTAACTAATTAATCTAAATAAGGAGTTTATAATAGGAGTTTCTATATATAGGTAATTCTATATAATAAACTCAAGTCTCTATTCCTAGTTATATAAATAAACTATATAAGAAACTCTTTCTGGCCTATTAAAATAATTTCTATTCCTGGTTATATAAGTTATAATATATAATAAACTCAAACTTTTCTTAGATTATTTTTAGAAGAATTAGTAAGCTTTTCTAGATAAACTTATTAAGGCCTTGGTTTTTAAAGGTATTAGTCTAGTTTTTTTACTTTTTCCTTAAGTAATAGTTTAATTTTCAGGAATTATATATAAATATCGAAATAAATAAGAAGATATATTATATATATTTTCTGAATAAATTAGAATAGAACCTATAGGATTCCTATAATATTTTTATTAAATCTATAGTACTAGCTAGTAAAGACTTTAATAACCTTAATAAGATTTGAATTATAAGCCTGGCCCTCAGATTTCCTATTTAACTTAAAAATTAAGTAGTTTATAACAGGTTATCTATTATAAAATATATTATACTCTTTTCCTAAAAAGTACTAGATACTAGTAATAGTTTAGAAGCCCTAAAGCCCTTAAGATTCTTTATAAGTTTCGGGTTTTAGGACTTTTCTATAGCTAGTTAATTATATAAAATTATATAATTATATAAGTCCGGTATTAATATAAAGTAATTAGTAACTTTATATATAGATATAGTATGGTTTTTAGTATAGCTAGTCTAATATATTATATATTTATATATAAATACCTATAATTTTATTATTATAATATAATATATTCTTAATATATTCTTAATATAAAAATTCCTTTATAACCCTAGACTTTTAGGAGCCTTTTCTATACTAAAGGCAGAATATATAATACTATTTGGGTATTAAACTCAAAAAGTAAAGAATTATAAAGGCCCTAATAATTATAAGACTTTATAAACTTAAATAGATTTGAGTATTATAAAAGTATTAAATTTAGTAGTCTAACTTTTAAATTATATAAGAACTAATTAAAAAGTATTACTTTAAAGTATTAATTATAAATTTTAAATATATATATATTTATAAGAAAATAAGACCTAAAATAGTATTAAGCTAATTATAAAATATAGGAAAAAGTATATTAGATATTAGGCCTATTTTTTCTTAATTATCTTAATCTTAGTAGATATTTATATATAATTTATTAGACCTTATATAATAGATTCATTTAGGAGAAATAAGATTAATTAGTCTAGGAAGTTTAATAATAATAATTAGACTTCTATTCGAAGTAATAGGTAAAATACTAGTAGTAGTTCGGATACCTTGGGTTTTATTTATAAAGCTAAAGATATTATACCTATTAATTCTCTATATTTAATAAGAAAGAGAAATAGTATATTTATATCTCTAATATACCCGTTACTATAAAATAATACTTATATAGTCTATAAGATTAACTATAATTTCCTTTACTAGAAAAGAGAATAGTAAAATTAAAAGAGAATTTAATAGCCTATTATTATTATTATTATTATTATTATTACTATTAGAATTAGCTTTAGTAATACTTTTAGTAGTACTTTTTATATTATCTTATAGCTTCCAGAAATCGGTAAATAAAAAAGAATCCTAATATATATAAGTTAATTAAACCTAAAAACAAAAAAGGATCTATAAAAGAAATAAAGAATAGGAGCCAGAATTAAAAGAAAGAATTATATATATATTTTTATTTATCTATTAGTTTATTAGATTCCTTCTTATTTTCAAAGTCTTATATTTATACTAGTAAGTAATACTTTCCTGAACTCTCTGGACCTCTTTAGTCTATTATTTAATTTCCTCAAGTTATTATATTTTCTAAGTATTTTCTAGCTCTTTATAAATAACTTTAAAATAAAGATCTTTATATAAAGTTTCTTTCTAAGTATTTTCTAGCTTTTTATAAGTAATTTCAAGATAAATATCTTTATATAAAGTCTTATTCTAGTATAAAATAAGGAAAATTATTTAGATATCCTTAGGGCTCAGATATATATTATAATAAGAAAAATTAAAAATAGTTTAAATAGAACCTAGTAAGATTATAAGTTCTTAGGCTTTTTTACTATTAGAACTAGTATAGAATACTAGTTTATTTATATTATTAATAAATTAATAATAGTAAATAAGTCTACTAATATAGAGAGAAAAATAAGGGAATAGCTATTAAGAAACTATATTAGAAAGAATAGAAAAGACTTAATTATTTATTTCAAATTAAAAGCTACCTATTAAAAAACATTTATTAGAATTCATATAAAGAATCTAATAAAAGAAATAGGAGAAAACTTATTACTAATTTCTTTAGAAAATTAGATAGTTCTTTATTTAGCTCTCTAATTCTTTATATTATTAAATACCTATTTATAAAAAACTAGCTATAAAACTATAATTTATAATTTCATAAGATTAAATCCGGCTATATTTTGATTTATAAGACCTTAAAGGGCTTTAGGTAGCCTATTACTAGTATAAGAAGCTATAGCCTAGGTAATAGCCTGAGTAACTCTTATATTTATAGCCTATTAAGCTTATATAATAGTATAAGTACTACTAGAAAAGTAGTTAGGTCAAGTAATATAGCTTATAGTAAAAGGAAATATAAAAGAAAGTAATTATAAGGTTATTAGAATAGGAAAAGTCTGGGATAAAATAGAACTAGTATCTGGCGGCTATATAATAATAGTAACTAGAGAAATAGATATAATAGATATTTCTGGAAAAAAAGATATGGGATAAGAATATTAAGAAAAGCTAGAAATCTGAAGTATTTTAGATATAAAGAAGAGGACAGATGTAGATAGAATTCCAGAGCTATAAGGTTTAAGTTTACTAGTATTACTATTCTAGATAAGTAAAGTAGCGGCTTCTATATTATATTTATTATTAATAGATTAATAGAACTTATAATATTAGATATTACTATACTAGTATTTAGCTATAAAATATATAGTATTAGGATAGGTTTTAAGAAATAATAGTACTATTTTAAGAGATAAGAATTTAAGGATATAGAATATTTATATAATAAATAAACTTAATAATTCTATTAATACTATTCTTAAAAGTAAAAAGGGAGTTTTAAAAATAATATATTTAATAATAAATAATACTTATTTTAATATATCTAGTTATTCTATAACTGGCTTATTTAATTATCCTATATTATTAGAAGTATTACTAATAAAGGGCTATTACTAGGTAAAGTTCTAGACTATTAGGAACTATATAGGTATTCTTCTAGCCTATATATTATTTATATATTCTATATTTATTAGAATAACTTATTTAAGAATTCTATTTCATATAATAGTAGTATTATATCTATTAGTTAGCTTCTCGGATTCTTTTAATATTAGTAGCTGCCCTGAAACTATATATACCCGAATTATATATTAGAGCTAGTAATAAGCTTAAATATATAGTTAGTTATTATTTTTATTAGTATCTCCTATATAAATATTAGCTATATTTATACTATAAAATATAAGCTTCTAATAATACTATTCTAGTATTTCTCTTAATAAAAACTTATTAATATCTATATTAGTATATAAGTAAATTATTTATATAAAGCTATATAAGGTTATATTACTTATTCTAAACTAAATAATTATTAAGAATTATATTATAAAGCTTTATATTTATAGGGCGACCCTAGTACTATATCTTGCCTAGGGGCCTTATATATAGTCTAAATAGCTTACTAGCTACTATATTAGGCCTAGATCTGTCTTTTCTAATCCTATAAATATTCTATAAGTCTATAAACCTATATATCTCGTTTTGGATCTATTATATATAAAATACTAGTAAAGTAATCCGGTTCTATAAATATTAGTAATTATAATCCCTGATATAGGCTAGTTCCTAAAAGTAGTTCTATATATACTAATTAGAATTAGTTATATAATCCGGTACTATAATACTAGACCTAATAACCTTAATAAAAAGCAATATAATTATTAGTATCTAATACTTCTTTCTAATAATAGAAAGAATAAGAGACAGATATAGGGAAACGGAATTACTTATATACTACTAGTATAGCTAGCTTTTCTAAAGCTCCTACTACTAGGATTTAATCTGCTAATTCTCGGTACTTTTCTCAGAAATAAAGTAGTTCTCTATATATATAACTAATAAATCGGCTATCTATAAGAATATAAAGTATACTTTAGTAATAAGAGAAAGTTTAGAGCCTTAATTAGCCCTAAAAAAGTAAGAATAGTAGCCTATTTAAGTATAAATCTAAAGATATTACTATATAACTAAATAGGTAATCTAATTAAAAATTCTAATATATATTTAGATAATATTATATAAATAAATATTAATATAAGTATATATCTCGATCCTAAATAGTAATAGCTTATTATATTTATTAATTAACTAAATCTAGTCCGGTTCAGATATAATATATTTTCTTTTCTTAAACTATATCTATTATATTTATAATATAATTATCTCGGGATCCAGGAATTATAATATTATATATAAGCTCTCCCTATAAATAATAAAATATATTAGTAAATAAGGCCCTAATTTTCCAAGCTAAGGCAAAATAGTAAAGTATAGAAAAACTAACCGGATTATTAGTAAACCTTATTAATAGAAGTATATATATAAATACTGCTATCTATAACCTATAACCCGCCTATTATTTAGCTTACTCTATAATATTATAAATAGTTACTTATTTACCGCTTACCTATCTATTATAATTATATAGTAAATAAGACTAAGCTTCTTATATATGTGAATAACTCTAGTAATTAAAGCTATATAATTATAATTCTTAAGATCCTTAAGTATTTCCTTATCTATATCTTCTAGATAATATAGGATTATAATTTATATATAAAGGAAAGACATATTTACTATTTGAATATATATTTAGATATTTCATTCTTATAGTTACTATTAGATTATATATAGATTAACTAAGATTCTATATAAATCTTTTAATCTATTTATAATTTCTTCTTAATTAATATTATATAAGCCTATTTAGTAATAGCTTTATAATATAGTATTATTTTAATAAAATCTATTAAGTTATTTTAATAGGAATTAAGTTCAGAATATACTTTACTATTATAATATACTTTTTAGTAATATAAGTACTAAAAAACTCAAATAATATTACCCCTATATAATTTTATTAATTAATTACTAAAAAAAAGTAATTAGCCGGCTTCTTAGTTATTTTAATAGTTTAATTTTCTTATTTCTAATCTCGGGAATATTAAGGAAGTTATTAGATCCTATTAATAGTATTATCCTAGAAGGGCTTATAGCCTATAGTTACCTGACTATAGTAATTTGCAATAAATACTCAATTTTATATTATACTACTTGGCCCAATTTTAGTATAATTTCATACGGTAGTATGGGCTCTCACTTCATTAATTAGACAAGCAAGCAGCCTTACTATTATTGCGTTATCCAAGCCGAAAGTCACGTGTGGGTGCTATACCCCTAATTAGGAATTCTGCCTTGGGGAGGAGGGGGGGGGCGCCAGTGCGAAAATCAGAAAATCAGAAAATCACTTTTCGCTTCTCGGATTTGTCCGCTAGCTAGCTGTGGGCCTCAGTAATATTGGGGGTGTCGGCCGAGTTACTAGTTAGAGTAGCGGCGCTAGTTCTAAAGATAATAGGCGAGAGCAGCACCCGACACCCAAGAACTCAGCACATTGCTGCAGATTGATTTCGGGCGCAATACTTTCGTATAAGTCCTTCAGGCTTCTCAAGCTAATGAGAGTATAACTGGAATCTTCAGAACAACTGTAATTGTCGTCTTTGGACCAGAATTGCATTTGTCGTGGAGGTTGCAGTGATGTGGTCTGCGATAAACTCGCTTCAGCCCCTTTTCAAGAGGAAGTTGCATTGATCAGATTTGCGGCTGTTATGATGATTCGAAGATTTTGCTATAAATCGCATGAGCACTTCTCGCGAGATAGGGTGAGAATTAACTTTAATCGCCAATAAAACGATCATGACAAAGTCAACCAGAGGAACTAGGAAGAAAAGGAGAGGCAGTCACGTGATGTTATTGGCATAACGACCGCCCGCCATCTCCAGCGTCGGTCTGCTCATATGTACATAGAGTTCACCAAATCATCAAGCCGTCATGTTACGAATCCAGAATATTAGAGATGTGCAATTGCATTTGGATTATTTACATGGTGTGCTCTTAGTTCTACATCGCCTCGAATCTATGACATGATAAAGTAATTATACACGAAACCCTTCTCCAGTCAACCAGCAGTACAAACTCCAGGAAACCAACAAATTCTCATGCCTACGGCGCATTGACAATCTTCCTTTCCTTTACATAATACTCTCCACTCATAGGAGTCGCACTAGCAGATCGCTCAGATATAGGCAAAGGCACAACAACAGGACCGCCCGTTCCAACCAATGTACAGAGAACCCGCTTCCTGACACAGTCCTTGCACGCCGTATTTGGATTTTCGGATGCAGGGGGGTTTCTGTTGACTCCAACCTTGTAGACTCGAGCGTCGGAACATCGCTTATGGCTGACGGACGTTGGCTTCGACCAATCAATGTACTCCGGCTTGCTGGTCCACCGAGTGATTTGCGTGTCCATCAACTGAATAACCGAGGGATTGACGGACAATGTGCATTGCCCACTGGCGAGCTCCCCGCTGATAAGGAAGGTGTAAGGTCGTGACCCAAGCTGTTGAAGAGGAGGACCGAATGTACCAGCTGTTGAGGAAGATTGACCAGGAGAATTGCCATGAATGCCACCAAGACCCATTGAACCCATCCCTGTTGTAATCCGTCCTCCAGGAGTCGCTGGCGATGCGAATGTGCCAGAAGCCGGAGAAGACTGTCCACTGCCGTGCGCAGAAGCGGGTCCTATGACTGGTGTTTGAGGAATCGAGATTCGCCGGTTTTGAGATCGAGGAGTCCCAGGCACTTGAAAGCCTCCAGCACCCATTGTCCCAATACCTGGAGAAGATTGGGCTGAGCGTCCTTGACCGGGTGTACCAGATCTCAATCTCTCCCCACATCGACGATGTTCCTCCTGAAGCTGTCCCAATTGTGCTGCCACATCCTCGCAGTCCTGATGCGCAGTCTTGAAGGATTCGTACTCCTGCCGAAGTGATGCTGCCTGTGCGAGCTGCTGCTCACATCCTCCATGCGCATTGAACACGATATCGTAAGAGCCTCGATCGACACAGTTGCTGTGGTTGGAATGGAAGTCATGGAGCATATGAACTTCATCAGCACTGAGGCATTGTTGATGTTGAGTCGCATCCTCACGAAGCTCCTGGATCTCATCGGCGGTGGGGCATTGTCGGTGTTGAGTCGCATCCTCACGAAGCTCCTGGATCTCATCAGCGGTAAGGCATTCCTCATGTTGTGTTGCTGTTCCTCGAAGCTGCTGAACCTCATCAGCGGTAAGGCATTGCTGATGATGAGCCACAAGTCCATCGTAAGTCGCCTGGTCAACGCAGTTATCGTGCTGAGACTCCGTTCGAAGACGCTGAAGTTCGTCAACACCTGGGCATTGTCCGTGTTCCTTCGAGATTGTCTTGAATCTCTCATTCAAGACATTGAAAACCTCCTTGCCAACACACTTCTCAATGCCGTGATTGCTCTTCCAAGCGTCGACTTGTTGCTTAACACCGTCAAACTCCGATCGATCCACCTTGTTGTTGCAAAGATCTCTCAATCTCTCCTTCTCCTCTTCCGCAGCAGATAGGGTAGCTTGAGCAGCGCAAAGACCCTCACCGTGGGACAACTTCATCTGCTCCAACTCGCTGAACTCCATCTTGTCAGGGCATGTCGAATGTTCCGAGTCCATTGCGTCAAATCGTTGTTGAAGCGAATCGTGTGCAGTCTTTCCCACCCACAAACAATCGTCATGCTCAGCCTGCAACTTCTGAAATCCTGCAATAGTCTCCTCGTCAAGGCATGAAGAATGTTCTTGCTTCGTGGCATTGAATTCCTCCTGGAGTGAATCGTGGACTGCCTTCTCAACCCACAAGCCACAATCGTGGTCAGAAATTAACTTTGCAAAGGTCTCCTTGTCGGGGCAAGTCGAATGTTCCAGGTTTATGGCGTCGAACTGCTCCTGGAGAGAATTATGCCCAGACCTCTCGACCCACAAACCCGCAGTATGCTGCCACTCCATTTCCTTAAGCTTGCCAAAGTACTGCTCATCAGGGCATACAGAATGATCGAGGCGTAGCTTGTCCAGTCGTTGTTGAAGTCCTTGGCACGAAGAATGCTCCTCGCTCAAAGTGTCGAATCGTTGTTGAAGCTGTTGATGGACCTCGGAATCAATCTTCGTGGCACAGAGTCTATGTTCCTCTTCGAGTGCCTGGCCTTCCTTCAGGTTGTCGTCGAAGTCCTTCCTCAGTGTGTGGTATGCATTTTTCGCTCTCACCCAAGCATCACCGTACCTGACTGATTTCTCCTGCGATGTATCACGTTCCTTTCTAGCCTCCTCCAACTGACTCTTCTGTTCGTCAAAGGTCTCTTGCAGTTGCTGAGTCGACTGTATGGCAAATTGCAGCTCCTCGTGGAATTGATCTCTCTCCTTTGTAATCGATTCCAGATTGCGCTGTGCGTTGTCTCTCTCGGTGATTCTTGCGTGAAGGTTAATGGCGGTTGCATCCCTCTCCTTCGTCACCGAATCCAGATCGCGGCGTGCATCATCTCGTTCGATGGTTCTCGTGCTAAGGTTAATGGCGCTTGCATCCCTCTCCTTCGTCCTTGAATCCAGATCACAGCGTGCATCATCTCGTTCGGTAGTTCTCGTGTCGAGGCTGGTGGCTGCTGCATCTCGCTCCTTCGTCACTAACTCCAGATTACGCTGTAAGTTGTCTCGTTCAATGATTGTGGTGTTGAGATTGGTAGTTGCTGAATCTCTCTCCTTTGTTACCGACTCGAGACCGCGTTGTGCATCATCTCGTTCGATGGTTGTGATGCTGAGTTTGGTGGTTGCTGCATCTCGCTCATTGGCCACCGACTCCAGATCGCGTCGTGCTTCATCTCGTTCAACGGTTGTAGCGTTAAGATCAACAGTTGCTTCATCTCGCTCCTTGGCCATGGACTCCAGACCGCGTCGTGCATCATCTCGTTCTGTGGTTCTCCTGTCAAGGTCGAACTTTGCAGTGTCTCTGTCCTCTGTCATCGAAGCCAAATCGCGTTGTGTATCGTCTCTCTGTGTGGTCATGGCCACGAGGGCTTGCTTCACCTCATTTTTCTCATTGGTCATGGCAGTGAGATCTCGATTCGCAGTATCCATCTCTTCTATCGCATTTCGAAGTTCCTCATCGAGTCCTTGAAGCTGGGCAGCCTGCAGATCATTTTGAGCCACCAAGATTGTGCAGTTGTTGGAATTCTCCAGGGCTACATTTCCTGATCCCTCCAATTGAAGCTTCAGGGCGTCCTTCTCGTCATCCCAAGCCTCCTGTGCTTGAAACAGCGTCTCCAACAACGTAGAAGTCTCGGTCTCCATCTCCATCTTGTTCTCACTCCACACAATCTTCTCTGCTCCAAGCGCATCAGCTGCATTCTTCCATGTTGTGCTGTCGGTTTGAAGGGTGATCTTTTCTTGCTGCCAGGTTCTCTTTTCCTCGTCAAGATTCTCTGCATACTTCTTCCACGAGTCGACAGACTTTCCCAGTCGTTCATTTTCCTCGAACCAGAAAGTCTGCTCGTTGTCAAGGTCCTCTGCAGCCTTCTTCCACGAGTCGCGGTCGATCTGCAACTCTTCGTTCTCTGCAAGCAAGGTTGCCTTCTGCTGTTCGAGAGTATTCCCTTGCGCCATTATGCGAGAGATGCGCTCATCTCTCTCGAGCAGTTGTTTATTCTTCCCCATTACAGCCTTCTTCAGTCGCATGTTCCCGCCATGAAGTCGGCCGATTCGGTTGGATTTTCTGTGTGCAGCGTTAGTGACATGCTCCAAGAGGTGACCAAACCTGTCATTCGAAGTGAGAAGGCCCTGATGCTCTCTCTCCTGCACCTGCGAGATCCCATAATACTCGCGGTATCGATCCTTCGCCAACTCAAAATCTGCTGCTGATTTCTCCACCTTTCTCTCGAGCTTCGAAATCTGGCGATCCTTTGAAACGGCGTTCTGCAGGAGCTCATGCTTCTCCTTATCGAGCTGTTGAATGTGCTGGTTTTTCGTCTGAGCCAGCTCCTGCTTTTCCATCTCGAGTTGTTGGATCTTCCGGTCTTTCGTCTGAGCCAGCTCCTGCATTTCTATCGCAACTTGTTGGATGATCTGGTCTTTCATCAGAGCCAGTTCCTGCTTTTCCACCACAACTTGTTGGATAATCTGGTCTTTCATCTGAGCCAGCTCCTGCTTTTCCATCGCAACTTGTTGGATCTTCTGGTCTTTCGTCTCAGCCAGCTCCTGCATTTCCATCTCGAGTTGTTGAATTCGCTCATCTTTGCTTTGGCACAGCTGCTGCACCTCCTCTTCGAGTTGTCGAATCTGCCGATCTTTGCGTTCTTTCTCATCCAGCTCCTCTCCAAGCGATGCCTGAAGTTCCCTGGCATGTTGCTTCTCGTCCGAAGCCTTCTTCTTCTCCTTCGCCAACTCTTCGCCAAGCTGTTCCTTTGCGTTCTCGAGCTCTTCGATGTCCTCGTCAGCCTCCTGCCTCAGTCGGTCCATCTGATTTATTCTCGCGGTGCAATTCTCGAGCTCCTCTTTCACCTGCTCGATATCCACTCGAAACTGCTCCTCGTTTTCATCGAAAGTTTGTCTGGCGTGGTCCCAACGGTCCTTGCTCCGGATGAAATCTTCTTCCACTTCCTTTAATCTCTCGAACTCGGCCTTTTCTTCCTCCGCCTTCACGACAAGATTCCCTTGCACCTTTTGCAACATGGCCATGATCTCAGCATCCTTCGAGCTCCCTGCCTGTTCTGCCTGAGACTTCAACACCGCATTCTGCCCAATCAGCTCCGTGTTGTGCACTCTCAATCGCTTCATCTCGCCCTGAATATGCAAGTCAATTTTGAGAAGCAAATCCTTGGCGTCTGGCAGGATGCTCAAGATGTAGTCCGCAATCTCCTTCCGGATCCGCGTCGGTCCCTCGTCGATCATGGTGGTGTATGTCTTCATCGCTTCGAGCGTCTCAAGGGCTTTCTTCCCCAGTTTGTTGCCTTCGGTGACCATCTTCTTGCGCTCCTCCAACTCCGCAATAAGCTTGTGGTTCATTGGTTCACTGTCCCAAGGAGCGACTCTTTTCTCGTTTGCTTTGTCGAACGCCTTGTCGAGTTCATGTTCTGCAACAGAGAACTGACGTTTCAACTCGTCCATTTGGTACAGAGGTGCATGATCTCGGGCGAAGAGATCAAAGTCCTTGCTAAGCCTCTGCTTCTTGTTATTCTTGAAGAGAGGGTAGAGCTCCTGCAAAGCCATTGTAGCCGCAACTGCAAGAACGACAAAAACAACGCAGAGTCAACTAAGACCAGCGAAGAGATAGACACAGAGTCAACTAAGACCTGCGAAGGGATAGACACAGAGTCAACTAAGACCTGCGCCGAGAGTGGAAGAAAGATGGCAAATCCAATTTGCCTGTGCGAGTTCCAAGGAACACACACGAAAAGGGGAGAAGGATGGAACAGGTGACAAGCACCAGTGACATCCAGCCACAAACTCTCGAGAGAGTTGCAGCTTTGTATCGGTGAAGATAGGTAGAAGGTAGATGGCGATTCCAAATCGCACAGTGTGCTGCTCCGAAGAGGTGCACACCAAAGAAGTTGACGAATGTACCCAAGTGACAAGCACTGGGGACACCCTACCACCAACTCTCGAGAGAGCGGCAGTTTAATCTCAAAAGCCCACAAGATCGTCAAGGAAGCATTCAATATGGGACAATTGAAGGGTTCGTTTGACGATGAAGAGAAGAGAAGGAAAAGGATGGGAAATTGGAAAGTTGTTGACTTGAAATCGGCTATTCCGTTTTGGGAAAGGCTTGGCAGAACACCAAGAGGGACGACAGAATCACGAGTTGGGTTGACAACACCCCTGGGCGTTTTCTTTCTTAAAAATAAAGCTGATGGGATGGCGTTGTTCGAATATGCATTATCACAGCGCTACGTGCATTTGGGGCTTCTTATGTGAAAGAAATTGACTGGGCTGTGCACGAAAAGTGGCTAAGGGGCTGCAGATGGACGACAACGTGGTATTCATCCCTTTGGAGCTTTCCAAGCATACGCTAATCAGATTACCGAGCCAGAGAAGTCCACAATTCGCTTCCTGTCCGAGATGTGGCGTTGCCGTGGCCTATGTTCGGCCTGCTGCGATATCAGCACCAGACCGACACCAGGGAGGGTTTCCGATGCTCTAAACACGCCGCAGATTGGCAGAATACCTCCAAGCCAGTAGGAATACATAAGAGGTTGCTTTGGAGACACGCGCTTGCTGGGTGTGTGGGAGTGGATTGGTGGACGCGTCTGCAGAAGCTTGCAGCAGCACGCGTGCAGCTTGGCACCAAGATTGTGGCAACAAGATACAATTCAGTGCTCCGATCCTCAAAATGCTTCTGCCAACATTCACTAACACGCTGGCAGAGTTTGCAACTTCAACGATCGGAAATGAGTTTCAATATCGACACATGCTACAGGGTGATCTGCAGACAGCTGCGGAAAGAATAAACGACGAATGGAGCAACAAGCCACGCACGATACACTCCTGAACGGCAGATATACCCCTCCAACGGATCTAAAGGCAATGAAACGTAGTTAGGAAGCTATTCGTGGCAAATCACATCTGCGAAGTGTCAGGAAGCGGAGGACTGGACATGGCTCATGCACACGGCGTTCAGCGATCCACAAATAAACAAGCTTCGAGCGGTCTCGGCGGCAAAGATCGGCAGCAAACTGTAGCCGTGCGTGTTTGGCTAACGCACTCCCAATTCGGTGCTACAGACAACGCTCAGCACCAGCAATCAAGGGCCAGGACGAGATACATGGGAATGGAATAAGTGATAGATACAATGGAGGGAATGGTTAAAGCGGAGATCATTTAGAGCGCAGGACAAGACACGGTTCAGAAAGAATAGAACTCGCTGCGTTGACAACTGATTGGCAGCATTGGAATTACAAGTTCATATTCGTCAACTTTCCCCGGGGAGTACTTGCATTTATTCTCCACTGGTGCATGCATTTGATTCCACGAGTTCCACAACAGGGAATGGAAAGAAGACCGTTTCAAGGCAGGTCCCCTCATATCGGGACCAGACACAAAGATTCCAAAGGAGTTCAGGCTTGAATTGATGGAAAGACAAAAGGAGTCGCGAGGAAGTCCTTGCGGGTGAGTGATCGGCTCTACTTGGAAGGAAGAATGGATAGCGCTGGAAAGCCCACGCTCGCAGACCCCAACGCTGCTTTCCTCCATGAAGCATGCACTCTTCTTACTTTGTCGAAGCGAGGAATCTTTCCCCAGCATCCAGGATAATGGAATCCACTTCCATGTGCCTATACATTCATCCCTTAAACACTCATGCTCCCGTGCAAGATCCAGCCTCTGAATTTCGAGCCCAGTACAGTAGGAGCAGATCATAGCACGAAAGTTTCCAAATATCATGCCAAAGATTCCCACGCTTGCTTTCATTTCTGCAACCGCCAAAGCATCTGCTACTGGCCTTCGTTGCCATATTGATTCACGCTATGAAAGGTCGTGATCGAATCCATGGCGGACACAACCCTCGAGACGCAGGCTACTCTCCCCGAAATCATCATCCAGTGCTGCCAAAGTCTCCGGACCGTCTTCCCGATCCCACGCACATCGGGGCTAGGATTTCAGACAAACTCTCGCGTCTTCCCCAATTTCCACAGCGAGCGCTGAGGAGCCTGAATCGAAGTCGAGCCCTCAATTTCAGTCGGAGTTGTTGGTGCTCCTCCCGAGGCGTACTCAACAACTGGCGAACCCGTGCGAGACCTGGAGTGGAATTGGAGAATGCTAATCTCCTGGTGCGGGTGAGTACCACCCTCGGATGCGTGACCGAACAAGATTCTATGCGTTCCAAGAGAAAGGAGTCAACGGTTCTCATTTAAAGCCACGGAATCCATCCATTCTTCAACTGCAACTCTAGCATTTCCCTCACCACCTAATATGTCGGCTCGGGATTCTGAGCAACACAGCGACGGGATGCATTGCCTGGGGATGCTGGGCACAGGCCGCGCCAGCTCTAAAAGATGTCCAATGCGCGATCATGCTTGCTCGACCGCGAGATTCCGACGACGGGACGAGAGTTGCTGTCATTTCCGAGGCACAAGCTCTTGTGACAGCAAATATTACCGGCCTAATGAACCCGCCTTGCTGTTCACCTAATCTGATATCATGGAAGCCCAGAGACGGGACGAAATTTGCTGCCAACCTGGAAACACGAGTCGAGGCCGTGGGACTTGTCAAATTCGCGAGGGAACAGAACAAACTCCATTTTCAAGTGCCCCAAGAGACCATGCACTGCTGGTCGAACTCGCTGATGCGATGACGATCCCACGGACAGACCATGAATGTCAGTCTTGGCCGTATGAGACAAGGTTGCAGTCCGAGAGAGGACCCAACGAGGGCTTTATAGACGACCGAGCTGGGGCCACGCACTGCAGCCTCGCCAAAGAGTGTTGAATGGGCCTCTGCACATAATTCCAACGCCGACCGTCGATTGAGCTTGTCCCAGGCATCCCACGATCGAAACCCTCAGCCCCTCTTCACCAGAACATCATGTTACAGCAGTGCACCAGCCCAAATCCCGTATATAAAAGCCTTCGTTGTGCCGGCTCAAGAGACGACATGGTAATTGCAACCAAGACTGACATTCACACCCTCTTCGGGTGGGGATTGTCACAACTCCCCCGACATCAGGCGTGGGGAATCGGGAAGACTCAGCAAGAAGAGGATTCTTGGGAAGCAAATGACACGCTTGTGAGTACGCTGTGAGGTGTGTTGAGGCTGATGATAGTGGTATCGAGAGACAGGGCGAAAGTTGTTGTCATCTTGGACCGAACACACACTCGGCACTTCTGCAATTTCGGCAGGAGCAGAAACGCACTCATCAGACTATACTCCAAGAGCTAGGCTCTGGAGAAGTTGTCAACATCTCGCTGGATTATGACGTCCTAGCGAAGGAAGAGTGTATGTCAATCTTGGAATGCTGGATTTCGAACCGGCGCAAGGTGGCCTTTTATAGACCGAAATCCGAGATCCTGCTCGCCGGAAGATCCAGCGCAGACAAGAGTAGCAAGTGGTTGGTAAAGGCATGCCAATCAAGACTCAGTAAGCAGAATAGAGGTCTCAATCCTTCAACTACGAGATCACCCCGTCATGTATTGCTTCGTCATCCCAAGGAGGGCCTCTTGCTCTTGTTTGCCCCTCCGAGCGAGCGCCGCCTTTTCGAGTTCATCTCCCGCAACAACGTATCGCAGTTGGCTGTACCTGTAGATGAGGCGGCCAGTTGGGAAGCCGTCCCCAGCTCTCAAATTGTCAGTCTATAAATGACCTCTTCCACCCTCCTCTCTCGAAAACGGCGTCTCACGGCAATGTTTTCACGTTCCAGCCTTAGCCAGCTTGCGACCAAGACACGATTTCTCACCGGTCGGGCTAAACCCCTCCCACCTTCTCTCGAAAACGGCGTCTCACGACAACGTTTTCATGTTCCAGCCTTAGCCAGTTTGCGATAACCCGTCTCGAGTACATTTAGAATGACAGCAAATTTCATCCCATCATCGAATACGCTCTAGAGACGGGACGAACTTTGTTGTCATCTTGAGAGCATAGAGACCTGTTGTGTTTCGGTAGCCGTAGGCAGGCCATTTGTGGGATTTGGTCAGCCGGGCCAGTTAAAAGACGGACACAAGGAAGTGTGTGTTTGGCCAACCGGCGAGAAACCACGAGGGATTTTTGGTTGAAAAACGGCTTCTCCGAGTGTGTGGTTGTGGAGTCAGAACTGGCGCAGGGAGGATTTTATAGAAGGTACATCCGGGTTCGAGAAACCGCGAGGGATCTTTGGTTGAAAAACGGCTTCTCCGAGTGTGTGGTTGTGGAGTCAGAACTGGCGCAGGGAGGATTTTATAGAAGGTACATCCGGGTTCGAGAAACCGCGAGGGATCTTTGGTTGAAAAACGGCTTCTCCGAGCGCGTGGTTGTGGGGTCAGAACTGGCGCAGGGGGCCTTTTAATAGAAGGCACATCCGGGTTCGCCTCGGAAAACTTCCCAAAAGGAGATTTGAGTTCATCATAGAGACCTTCTGATTGAGGCTCCGGTGCTGTTGCTTTACAGACAGGGCAGGGGTTCTGGTTGCAGGGCAGTGATCTGTGGAGGATGCTCGAAACCGCAGACGGTGTCGAAATCATGGTTGGAAGACGCTGCCTGTTGATGATGTTCCGAATCGCGGCAGGTAATCGCGTGTAATATCCTCGACTGAGGTCGATCAGTATGACTGTTCGACGCTGGGATTCTGCCAATGAATGATTGGTCACCCTTGTGGGCGGATGCAAACTCCTTCATACTGCTTCTTGGATGAACAAGGTCTCGTCGTGAGTGGGTGGCAGTCGTTGCAAATATTGCAGCCCAGCTTGGCCAGCGTGGTTTCGTGCTGCGACATCCTGAGCTGAGATATATCGTTCCATGTGCCGCCTTGGTAGGTGAGCTCATCGCCCTTCTGTCTATTGTTGTATGTGGCTTGCTTCGAGCTGAAGAGGCAGCCGTAGTGGGGTTCAGCTTCGGACCGAGGACAATGAATACGTTTACTCATCTTCGCCAGATGACAGGACCTATTGTGTTTCACCATTTGCGAACCAAGAAGCATGAACCGAGTATCGTTCAAGCGCAAACCCGTTTGCTCATGTAGCTCGAGACCCCCCACAAGAACATGGGGCCGATGGCGGAGACGGGAACATGGTTTGGCTCCTCTGGCCAATCTCTCGCTCCGGACTTGGAGGTAAAGATTCATGGTGGAGGCAACATGATCTGCCAACAGACTCCAGTCAAGGTCATGATACTTCTGTGGGTGGCGGAAATGCTTGTACATCATGAATGGGAGTTTTGTAGCCTTTGAGAGATCCGCTGTTGAAAGATGCCGTGTCTTGTGAAAAAGGGTGTATATCCTGGCTTGCCCGAAACTTTTGGCTTTCCTTGCGAGAGATGACAACACCCCAACTTCGGTTCTTGACTCTGCTTGAATGTCGTAAGTGGAAGTTTCGTAAACTTCGATAGCTCTCTGCGCATCCAGAGATAAAGAGTTCTTTGATAATCTCCTTTCTCATGCTGCCCTTTGCCGAAGTGGCTTGCTCTATCAAAGGTTGCTTAGACTCGGGACAATTGAGACAGACTTGGGTAGGTGCTTACGAATGACCTTGCCTTCGGCATGGAGCTGGCAATGACGGATTGGGTTTTCCTCCTCAATGTGGCCGGTACCAGCCCGCACCATTGAATGATCCTGCCTTCGGCATGGAGTTGGCAATGATCTGTTGAGGCGTGGAATCATACTGCATCTGGAAAGAGACCTTTGGCGAAGAAGCCAAAGCCATCATCGTATCATTGGTCCGAAGAAGTTGGAAACGGGAAAGGTCGTTTATATTGCGTATTGCCACTCTACAACATGTCCCGTGCAAGGTCATCGTCTGTGGAGAAGCCGGCCAGAGCATGGAACAGCAATTTCTTACAACGTTGCAGCCGGCGGTCGAGCACGTCCTCTCGATTAGAGATCACCAACAACTCCCCTCGCAGATTGACAACTTTCAGCAATCCCTTGAGAGCTAGCAAGGGATCCTTACCAGCTCGATCGCAGTCAGTTTGAGGGACTGGTCGTTGGGGAGCTGGGAAAATCAGAATGTCCAGTCGCTCAGCTGAACATTCAGCGCTGAATGCGGCCCCAAGTCTCGCCTCCGATCCTGGCTCCGGATCCGAATTTGGTTGGGAGAATCGCCGAGACGGCTTGGGTTCTCCTCGATGTGGCCGTGCCGGTATGCGCCACCTAAACACATGCCCTCAAGATACCCTCTCCTTGTATTCCAGAGCGTATTCCAGAGCTCTCAGCAAGCAGTTGTACAGCCGGTCTTTGCCTGGGAACTCGTCCACAACTACCGTCGTAGTTAGCTCAAGGTTGTGACTTCACTTGCTCCCATGGAATGGTACTCACAAGAATGCCTCCACGTCTCTCGTTCGGCCAGAAAAGTGTGGTAAATTGGAGGAACTTTGGGATCAGAGCGTGCTTATTTCGCCGCAATGTCAGGCTTGGCAATATTACCTAATTTCGGGTATTGATCCGGATTAATACCAGAATCGTAAGGTATCAATACTATTAATACCGGTATTAATCCTAAGCGAGCTAATCCTAGTATATTTGAGATTCTTGGTGTTTTTGATACTTTGAGAGGACTATTTATATTAAAGGTACTATCTAAAAGATTGCAAACCCTCGTACGGCCTCTATAAAGTATAAGTAAGGCCATAAATACCCCTTATTAAGTAATTATACGTAATGCAGCTGCCCTACCAGTTCCACGAGGGATCTTTCTCACAGCACCACGTTGAGTAAGGCGTCCTCCCTTTCCACGACCACCACTGCTAGCTCCTCCACGTCCTCCTCCACGTCCTCCTCCACGTCCTCCACGTCCTCCACGTCCTCTAGTGCCAATATCTCCATCGCTACTCTCACTCTCAGTATCCCCTCCCCAAGTACAAGTAGCAGCATGGTCCGGCCACTTGCAATTACCACAGCAGTTATTCCATTGACCCATAATCCGGCGGCACTCAGGGAAAATGGTATTATTAAGGCCCGTACGAGCACAAGAACGGCAAGGAGTGGCTGTCATATTAGCTCCTCTACGCTAAATGAGAATCGCATTAATATATAACTGGCACTGAGTCATAACTTGACTAATTGCGATACGATTGGGGTTAATAAGGACGTTTTGGCCAGGAAGAGCAAGAGCTTGGTTCTGGAGGTTATTATAACACTTGAATCTAGTTAGCTTAAGCCCTCTCGTACGAGAAGAATTACTTACAAATCCAGCTAGCTACTAGCCCGCAACCACCATTATCCACTGGCCTTGAGGAAGAGCTTGGCCTGTACTAAGAGCAAAGGCATTACCTACAAGGTTAACGAAAGGAACAAGTCTAGCAGGTTAATAGTTATACGAGTAGCTAAGCTTAAGAGACTTACTGCTGGTTTGGATTGGCAGGTATAGGAGGGCCAGGAGCAGGCAAGGCAGGGGGATTACTACCAGGAGCAGGATTATTTAATATTATATAAGATATTAACATCGTACGAGAGATCAGGTTATTAGTATTAATGTTAATAAAGGAAGAAGGCAGAAGGTAAAGATAAAGGGTCCTTCCTAAATAGTTAAAATTAGCCTAGGGAAAAAAATTTAGGAAATTTTAGAAATTTAGGAAATTTCTAAAAGAATCTAAGATCATATAAGAGCCTTAAAATACATAATTCTTATTGGTTCTCCCTTTAAACTAGCTAGTCTCAAAGAAGATATCTAGAATTCCGCTTCTTTTCTAGTGCTTTAAGCACTCTCTCATCTCAATAGTCTCTGCTTCCATTTATACTCTATCCCAGGCTACCGTACGACGACCTCCTGAAAAGACTCTCTCTGGCTCATTGCTCATTAGTGGGATTAAGAGAATATTAATAGCCATAATCTTGATACTACCATGCAAGGGCTCCCCTTTTTCCAGGATCATACGAGTCTTGTGAGTTATAGTCCTTATACTCGTCCTTACTTGCTGGCCTAGTAACTATACGAAGAGATAAGGCAATCTTATTAAAGGGATCCATCTCTGGTATATCTTGAGAGGGATTACCGTACGAGAAAGGCATATGGGAAGGTAAGGGCATAGCTGCCTCTTCTCTATACTTCTCCCAGAGTGCCTTTACGCTTGCTAAAATCGGCTTTGCCCACTTCTTTAGCTAGTAAACCTCAATATATCTCTTATAATTACCAGGATTTAAGATCAAAGCAGTAGCGTAAATGGGAGAGAGATTAGTCTTAGTATAGTACTTATTAAGAATAGTATGTACTATATTAAGCCGGCTAAGGAAGTCCTGGCTTTCTTGATCTCTTTTCTTTTTATATTTGGCCTATTATATTATATATTAGTAAGGTAAAGAAAGAGAGAAAAGAAGAGAAAAGAAGAAGTATAACTTATAATCTCGGTTTAAATATATTTAATTAATATATCCATTATAAAGAGCATATAATTAATGGATATAGAGTCTCCCTTAGTAAAGAGAGTAGCTCATATAAAGAGGTAAAGAAAGTCTCGAATCATACGAAGCCTTCCCCACTTCTTGAAGCTCAAGATATTATCCTCAAGCTCCTCTTTATAAGCCTGGTAATAGGCCTCAATATAGGGCCTCAAGAATAAGAGAATATCAAGTATCTTATACTAGCTATTTTACCTCGTATGATTATCTATAGGAACCAGCCTTCCTATAAGCTTGACAAATTATACTATTCTACTAGCAGATCTACGGATATGAACCACAATATTATACCCCTTACCAAGCGGTCCCAAGAGCCTAAACTTAGCTCTTATTGCCTCCTTATCCGTATACTCTTCTCGCTTCTCTTAATTATCGTATGACTTAAGGGCTTCTAATTCCACCACGCCTGTAAACAAGAAGGCTTGTACTATTAAATTAATAATATGGCCAATATAGCGAATTCGCATTTGTACTATGTTCCATTCCAAGCTAAACTCTTGCTTCTAGTAAAGTTAAATAGCCCGGCAAAGAGTATTATTAGAAGAGGCATTATTAGCTATAATAGCCCCAAGCTTTCGTACGATGCCATAGTCCTGAAAGACTAGAAGAAGGACTATAAACTGGTTTTCCCCGGAATGGCCACCTACTTGCTTGAGAGCAAGAAGGGCCTTTTGTCTCTTTGAGTCGTACGAAGTAAAGTGGGCACAGATTACTAAGAGAAGATATCGGTTTGGAGAGGTCCAGATATCGAGAGAAATATGTATCCGTAAGAGTGCTAATTAGACAGCCTTTCGTATAATATCCTTATGTCTTGCCCAAGCCTCCTTGACCTTATTAGAAACTCTAGAGTGAGAGGTAGTAATCTTGCCCTCACATGCCTGGTTTAGTACTTAGCAAAAGGTATGAAACTCTGGCTATTTAACCGTAGTATATAAGAGATTTCGTATAATAATCAGAGAAATCAGAGCTTCTGTAAGGACTATTATATTAAGAGAAGCCTCAAGGATCTCCAAATCGAACTCCTTAGCCTCACTAGTAGCCTTAGCTTGGTGATATAGCTATCTAAGTTACTTCTTTACTGCTTCTTGAGTCTTACTTAGAGCCTTCTCTATTATAATCTCAGGGTAGTGCTTCTTGATATGTTTTGCCATATTTCCTGAGCTTGTACTACCGTACGGCGGCGGAATTTCACCTCGTATGCAGTAAAGGCAATAAAGAAAGGACTGAATCTCATCTTGGTGGGGTTGCCGGCAGTGGGCCCAAGTAGGGGATCGCTTCTTGCTATGGGCTGGATCGGATGTAACTGACTCTATTGTAAGTAATGGTATAAGGGACTCGTCTGGTTCAAGTAAAGAAGACATTTTGAGGATATACTTTAGAGAAAGTCGTCGTACGAGGAGGGAAAAGGTAAGGAAGGAGGGGAGTAAAGCATGGCGGGGTAGAAAGGCGGTGAGAGCTCGCTTAGTATCAATACCAATCGATCCAGTATTGATCCCTGTAATACTGACTAATACCGGGTGGTATTAATACGGTATTGATACCTCAGGTATCATTGCCAAGCCTGCGCAATGTGGTAGCTGTGGTAATAATCGCTACTTTCTTGAAGCTGGCAAGAAGAGCATATTGTTAGTTTTGACCGTCTCAATAATTCAAAGGTCAAAGGTGAAGCAGGAAGTGGAGACTCGAGACTGGGAGAAAAGCTTACATGGAGGCTTGCTGAAGAGCTTTCCGGCCCATGGCCTCAATCTGGGACGGGTATCTCACCCCCATCACCGTGTGTCGTTGTTCTGCCTGCCGTCGAACTCCGAGGTTGTCAGGTGTTGGTCGAGTTTGGAATGTGCTCTTATTGAGTGTCAGCCAGAACTTGGAGAATTGCTGACCAGCCTCACCCGAATGCACTAGTGACAGCTGCTGCAGGTCACTTCGCTTGACGGGTGGTGACGTAACGAAGGGAGTTCTGCTTGTTTTCTTGGTGAGGACGTGGCTGAAACGAGCTGATGGTGATATTTCGTGGAAAGGGGATTGAGTGAATCCTGCAGCGGGTCATTGCCGGATGCAGCAGGTTCCAAGTCAACACTGCATTATGTTTTTGAAAGCGAAGAGACTGATTCGTATGCATTTCGAGATTGGGCATCGGGATGAAGTGGTTGGTGGTGTGGCCCTTGTTTGGGTCGCCGATTCTTACACCAAGAGTTTTGCGAACCTGCTTTGGAACTGACCAATGAAGCCACTACGACAGTGCGAATTCCGAAGAGGCAGGTTGATGACGAGATTGTGAGTTTAACGACGCATTTTCATTGAGCCAACACGGGGGGATGGAAGAATAATTCGGGATTTATATGAATGCAATGAAGCAAGCTTTCCATCAGCCTCGTGCTTCATATCGCGTTCGGTGGCTCTCTGCGGCCGGAGATCTGGTATTATCAACACTTCTCCACCTCCTGCCTGTCTTCCTGCTGCTCCTGTCGCAGATCTGGACATTCTTGTTGCGCGGGAATCGTGGAAGGAAGGCGTGGACAACTCGAGGTCGGACGCTTCGGGAGGGATGAATTGAGACGTGTAGGCCTGCAGTGTTATTCGGTCATTAATTATTCATCAAGGTAAAGCTGTGAGCGTTTCGGGGCGTACCTTAGCCATCTATCGATGTATTTGGGGTTGAAATGTTGTTCCAGGATTCGGATCTCGGCAACGCCATTTCAAACCCTTATTTTCTTCACTCTCAACACTCTTCTCCTCCAATTGATCTTATAAAAACACCTCCAAGTCTGCCGCAAAAATAACTCGCGCATGTTGAACGGCATCAAAAGTACTAGAAACACATTGCAAGTGCACATTGTTCCTTCTCAACGCTTAAATGGAAAATCATCGAGCTCTTCTTCTGCACCTGATTTCTACATTTATTCAGCAGCATTGTCCGTGCTTTGCCCACGAAGATTTGGAGCAGGCTGCACAACAAAACGGTGCCATCCGGGACAAGGACTTTGCCTGTGAAGGTTTGTCGCGGAAGACAGGAAAGCAGTTGGTCGTACCGAGGAGCAAACTCGAAGATAAACACGACGGTAGCAGACTAGAGGGCAAAGACGACGGGAGCATAGAATGGGAGACCAGTTGCCGTACCGAGGAGCAAACTCGGGGACAAACACGATGGCAGCTGGGCCAAGGGCTTTTCCTACGATATCTGGCGTGCCAACCGCTTCCAATGGCGAAAGAACGAAGCAGCAGTCTTCATCTGCGACGTATGGACGAGACTCTGTAGCCAGGCAAACACAACCCCAAACAACCCTTTTGGCTACCTGGCAATGGTGACCCGTCTTCTCGTTGGAATTCCACCAGTTTGACCTATCGCGCTGCATTTCTACACACCTCCTTCTGACTGCCGTTGCGAATAACTCATTGCAAGCCTCGGCAGAGTCAGTCGGTCCCGTGAACCTATGCGCAAGGTTTTACGCCAAAACTGGCATCCAAATACGGATAGTATTGACAACTCGAATGTGCTGCACTCGAGGCCCTGTGCCAAAAACGCTCGGAGAGATGGCGGAATTGAGAGACGGAAGAATGGTGTTCATTTTGTGAAAATCTCCCAAGTTGCCACGACCCCGGTACCGCATAGTCTTGCCAATGGCCCTCTCTGTACATCTCTCCAAGCGATCGAACGCTGATTAGTGGGTGATTTTCAATGTTCAGGGCGGAGAAAAGCGGTTTTCCATCTCCAGTCGTTCGATTCGTGACTCCCACTCCAATCTACTTGTCCGTCTGTCCTCTGAGAGGCTCTGAGGGGTTCCATGATGCCTCCAGTGTGTATCTCGAGCTGTTGTCCGCAGAAAGGAAGTTGGGAGGTGTTAGTTCCTTCGGTGCATCAGGAATTGTGTCGTCTCGAACCCCGGTCCAGCGTTTGTGCAGCAGCGCGGACGGACTCGCTTGTACCAGAATCAAGACGCGGCCCTTGCGGGAATGTAAGAAGATTCTGGATTGATTCCTGCCTTTTGCTGGTGCAGTGAGGAAGCTTCAGATGCAGAATGACTAATCGTGGGCCGCCTCATCTTCAAAGAAAGGGGTCGCCCCTATTCCCAGCATCTTCCACCTCCTCGTAGAACTGCAGTGAATCTCGAAGTCCAGGTGTCTCTGATAATAAATAATCCGATGTCGATGCTCGCTCCGGTCCAACAAGCTGGTTGCCGTCGCCACAAGAAAACCACGTGACGCACGAAATCTCGGCTCGCGAACATTATCCTCGCGACTGCGGCAACAGAACCTTTCCTCCTCAGATCTCGTCCGAATACGCAGGTTGGTGTCTCTGGAGCCATCCAGACCACTGCGAGTAAGTTTGACACCTTTAATCAATCCTCTGAGGAACTATCACATTCCCCAAGCACGCGCACGCAGATTCCAGTCGCCATGCGGCTTGTTTACACCCCCTACTGCGGTCTGGAGTCGCGACGACCGACCCCTCGACCGACACCCCCGATATTGGCAAGAGCGCATTGGACACAAGGAAGGATGGATCAGGTATGGAGCAATGGAGCTTCTACAGCTGTCTGGGCATGTAGTCCATGCTCACAGCGGGGAGCGCTGTCGTGGCAGTCGCCTGATCTCAGGCTGCCTTCAACCGCGCGCGAACAAGTAACCTGCGTGCAGAGGTTATTTCCTGGGGCTTTTGGAACTTCCAACAAGCTCTGGAAGTGCTCGCTGGACTTCAGGCACGTTCGCAAGTCGGGTTTGGAGGCCGTTGGCCTGGGTGCCATCTTCGGTTCATCTTTGGAATTCGAGCACGTGATTTCGAGGAGTCAGCCAGCGCTGCACTCACAGCTTGTTCCAAGTTGGAGCAAGGCTTGTGCTAGCCTCAGAGTGGAACAAAGTTTGGATGCTTGTTGTTGGAGCTTGGGTATCGTGTTCGCTGCATTCCAGGCTGGACGTGCACTTGCTCACGTCTTGAGCTTCCTGCCTTGGCATTTGTGATGGAGTCTGTCTCAACCTTCGTGGAGTATCTTTAAAGTTCTCCATCTCCCAGAGCTTTGCATTGCGTCCACTTGGGCCGCCTCGATGTCTTGATGTTGCGTTCGTGATGGAGTCTGTGTGAACCTTCGTGGAGTATCTTTAAAGTTCTCCATCTCCCCAGAGCTTTGGGTTGCTTCGATGTCTTGATGTCTGCATTGGAGTCTTCAAGTTTGTCCCACTTGGGATTCTTGGTTCCTCTCGGCCTTCATCTACACTTTACATCCTTTGCTCATCACCTGCATCCTTTATCAGATCCTTGAACGCCCCCAAGCTCCATCAAATCAACAAACATCCACTTGGAACATTTCTTTACGTCGTTCTCCTTACGTCTTCCCTTTTGTCCTCACCCCCTCACGCCACGGCTACCACTTGGAGACTGAACGTTTGCTAACTGTTGCATTTCACAGGCATTATTCTGTTGCGAGATCAGGCTAGGATCCGGCCGCTAAACCGGTAACATCTTCTGCTTCGGCAGTCGTAGGCCCCTTCGTCCGCTTTCGGTGGTCTTCCCTCGGGAAGTACTGCTGGGGTGTCCAGTTCGCTTGTCGGGCTGTACACCCATCAAACAATCTTGCGTGTCAATCTCCGGATTGCACGTGTGCGAGTTGGACTCGCCATCTTCTTTTACCTTCTCCGATTCGGTCTCACGACTAAATCGGTCCGCAACCAAAGTGCTACTCTCTCGAGAGTTAGTGCTAGAGTGTCTCTTGAAGCTTGTCTTCTTGAAACACTCGTTCTCCACTCTTCGGTGTAGGTCTTAATTGACTCTGCACCAGGCAAATTGGATTTGCCATCTTCTTCAAATTTCTCTGTAGATCTTAACTGATTCTACAGATCAAAATGGCCTCCCAGCCAACCAACCCTCCCCCTGCCAAAGAGCAGGGACAAGGCCAAGGCCAAGGCCCAGCACCTGCTGGTCTCTTTGGTGCTGGCCTCGCTCCGCCTCCTCCTCCTCCGGCCCAGCCTCAGGGACAAGGCCCTGCTCCTACCCCCGGCCCTGCCCCTGCCCCTGCCCCTGCCCCTGCCCCTGGACTCTTCGGTGCTGGTTTTGCTGTTGACAGCGAAACTGTCACGACTGGTCCAGTCGAAGGCTTCCGCATTCAGAAGCGCAAGGCTGAGGACGGAACCAACGCTGCACGTACGAGACAGCGCAAGCAGGATGCGGCATTGACTAGGGCCTTGATCGAGTATCAGACCTTCACCACTGATGCGACTTCGAAGCCACGAGGCAAGGATTTCCCTCGCGGTACCGTGATGAAGACGTACAATGCTCACAAGGCGCACCCGTTCGTGGTTATGCCTCAGACGCCAGTAGGCGGTGCCGCGGCGGTGACCAGCGTCTTCACGGATTGGAAGACCTGGTTCAACTTCGACAGCCAGAACCCGTCTCTTGTCCTGTCCAATGGTGACCATCAGATCCACATCCGTGGAGCTGTCAACTTCATGGACAACAAGAAGGAGGACGGAGACTTCATCTTCTATAAGGATGACATCGCACACAAGGATCTTTCTCGCATGAACATCAAGGCCAAGCTCAAGAACGTAGGAAATCTCGATGTGTCGGATGATGATGCTCAGAAGCTCCTCGACTTCGCGCAGCCAGGTCCGGGGGCCGGCAAGAACGCGCCAAAGGTTGAAACTGGGCTGCACCTGACGTGCTTCCGCATGAAGAAGAACAAGAAGGTCCAGGTCTCATACACCGGCCCACGACCACAGCCAGCTCTGATCATGGCTACCGAAGTTCACAAGCTGGTGGAGTTGCTCGACAAGACGACTCCGGTCTTCATCCTGCTGCGCCAGTCTCGGTTTGTCCTGAGCGACGTTGACGCAAACTGGTACAACCGAATCCGCTGTGTCGTACGCAAAGGCCTCCTTCCTTTCTACAAGGACATCGTCCGCCAGGTTATCAACTTCCAATTCGAGGATTGGATCAAGAACCCGGAGAAGCCTCTCGCCCACCAACCTTGGATGCAGCTGAAGACGCAAAAGCAAGATGGCACCTTCGCAGAGTATGCCTCTCATCCCGGCAAGCGCCTCTTCAGCGACATGAAGGAGTGGGAGACGATCCTCAGCGTTGCTCTTATTCACGAAATCGAGTACGAGAATATGTGCAACAAGGCGACCTTCAGCCACACGATGGAGCACGAGGCCCAGGTGATCCACAAGTCTGGAAAATACATTCAGATGGCCGTCTCCGTCAAGCGTCACCCAACGGTACCGACTCCGACCTTCCCCCCAGGTTCGCGATTCACCCTCTCCAAAGGCTCTACTTGGATCGACAAGCCTGCAGCTGGTGATGATGAGGAGATGGAGGATGCTCCAGCACCACCGCCGCCACCAGCAGCAGCGGCTGAGGAGGATGATGAGATGGTTGATGCCCCTGCTCAGTCCAGTGACGGCCGAGTGTTCACGCCAGGGCCGCAACCAAAACCTCTGGGAGACATCTTGGTCAAGAAGCCGGCCAACCAACGCCTCCGCAAGCAAGCAGCAGCAGCAGCAGCAGCAGAACTAGCAGCAGCAGCGTCCGTCCGCTTGCCCAAGTCCCGCTCCCCTTCACCCTCAGTTGAGGAGGTCGAGGACGAGTCCCTGGGGAAGGGTGACCAGCTGGAGGCTGACCAGCTCGAGGCTGACCAAGTCAAGCTGACCAAGTCAAGCTGACCAAGGAACTGTCGGCTTTCCAGATGAAGGAGAAGAAGGAGTTCCGGAAGCCCGAGCCAGTCAAGCCCACCGAGCCATCCCCGGGAGAGCCTGCTGGAGAGGACGAGGAGATGGCAGACGTTGGTGAGACACTGCCAGTCAACCGCCGACGCTGGAAAGCCAAGTCAATCAGCAAGGAGACCAACCGAAGCTTCGTTCTTTCCTTCGTGGTAGACAAGCATGAGGTGGCCGAGTTCAAGAACGGCCAGATCTACAACGTCACCCTGGAGGCGCAGCGAAATGTCCTCCCCAGCAGACGCCAGCTCAACGCCATCGCCCTCATTTCCCAGGGCAGAATTGACGGGGCGAAGAGTGCCGACAACGCGTACAACAACTACCTGAGATCCTTCATTCTTGGGAAGAAGTTGCCGCAGTCTCCTAGCAGAGCTCCAGTTGAGGATCTGAGGCCCGAGGACCGCGAGCTCTTCGACGCCTACGTCGCCACCCTCCGCTTCAATCGGCCTCAGCAGGATTTCTACGACAGCGTGATGAAGTCCCGCGACAATGCCAACATCCTTCAAGGCCCGCCTGGCTGTGGGAAGACGTTTGAGGATGCCAGTGTCGGTGCGTCCTTCTCCATCATCGGCAAGCGAACCGGCTTCTTCTGCCCAACAAACCAGGCATGCGAGGCCACCATGGATGCTCTCGTCGCGGAACGCACCAAGATCGTCAGCCTGGATGCCACGAAGGAGAACAAGATCAAGTACATCTTCTTCCCGACGACCTCGCTCTTCAAGGCGCAACTGAACAGCGCTGATGAAGACATTGAGGGTATCGTCAATGACATCATTGACGACGGCGATACCACGGGCAAGACGGCTACAGACCGTACATGCTCTGGACTCACATCGTCAACCATCAAAAGATCAGAGGCGCCGAGAGCTGGCAGAGTGAGAATGAGCGCAAGTCATCGAAGCTCTGGCTCGAGACCCTCGAGAAGATCCGCAATGGCGAGGAAGTGACCAAGAAGGCGCGCCGATGCTTCCTTCAGGACGCTTGGAAGTTAGCCAAGAGCGTCATCTGTGATCCCTCGATGAAGGTCATCGTGTCAACATGCAGCAACGCAGCCGTGTTGAAGGAGATGGGATTCCAGCCAGACCTGGTCATCATCGACGAATCGGCCTTCGGCACCGAAGCAGACAGCACCGTTCCCCTGTCACTGTTTGCTGATCACATCATCTTGTCTGGGGATCACAAGCAGCTGCTTCCGATCGTCAAGTGCCTCCACCATGCTGAATACGCCAACCAGCAAGGGCTCCCGATCTTCGAGCGCGTTCTGAGAAATGGGAACGTTCCGCTCTTCTGCTTGAAGATCAACTACCGCATGCACGAGGAGATCGCCACTCTTCCGGGCGCTCTCAGCTATGGATGGTTGGGCTGCGACCCATCGACCGCGGTGGAGGAGGATGTCTTCCGGTACTTCTCGCACTTTTGGTACTCGGAGGACGCAGAGAAGTGGCGCAACGCTCGCCAGAAGTCCCCCTTCCGCAGCATCAAGGAGACCAAGGGCATCGCAAAGAAGACCATCCGCCGCTTGTTCTTCAACACCAAGGGCTCGAGATCCGCGCACCCCGATGAGTCGACATCCTTCGTCAACTACGGCAACGCGATGGCCATTGTCGAGTATGTGTGCGTGCTGCTTGGACACTGGTCCAAGGTTGATCCATCCAAGGTCAACTTCAAGCAGCTTCAGCCCAGCAGCATCACAGTCGTCACCGGCTACTCCGAGCAGAAGGAGGTCATCGAGAGGCTGCTGAAGATGGCGTTGACACTCCTAGGCTGGAACGAGTTCCCCTCAGTGGTGACCATCGACAGCATCCAAGGAGGCCAGAACGATGTCATCGTCCTCGACATCACGGCAGCCAACGAGCACCACGGATCCTTCATCGGCTTCATCGGCAAGTGGAACCGCACCAACGTCGCTATCACTCGTGCGAAGAAGATCCTCAGCATCTTCGGCAACCTCGACAGCTGGCGCTCCGAACTCTACAACATCGTGGAGATCAACAAGCATAGGAAGTTCGGCTACCTCTGCATGGACGTCCTCGACGGCGATGTCATCGACGTGACTCCGATGTCTGTTGAGAGGATTCCGGCGACCGCAGAAGAGTTCGTGATGGATCCTAGCAACTGGTCGATCGAGATGCCTCACATGGATCCCAAGGAGTGCAAGCTCAAGGCAAAGGTCGACAAGATCGCTAAGATCTACAAGACATCTCCGAAGGAGCGCGAGAAGTACGAGAAGAACCTTTGGGCAAACCTCCAGGCCATCCTCAAGCAGCGCGACGCTCTCGAAAAGGACTTCAAGGCCAACAAAGAAGTCGCGACCGATCTCTTCCAGGACCCTGTTGGCGAAACCATGGACATTGTGCTCGAGAAGGTAGGAGGCGACGAGGGGAAGCCCAAGCCCGGTCTCGACCTGCCTTCTACGCGCAGCGAGGCCATCGAAGGACCCATCGGCCCGGAGCAGGAGAACGAGGACGGCGAGGACGACATCGATCTGGATGCTGCCATGGCTGGTGAGGAGGGCGCCGACCGATTCTACGATGTTGAGGACGAACGCAACATCCAGGCCCAGGAAGATATCGCGGACCAAATCGCCAAGGACGCTGCGCTGGCCCACCAGGCATACTTGCTGAAGGCCTCAGAAACCGACGCCATGTCCGACGACGACGAGCCCCCGAAGGATCCCGAGAAGGAGGCCCTGAGAAAATCGGATGACCGTCCGGATAACCAGCGATTGGGTGCAGCCCGCCCTCAAGAGACAGAGCCTTCACCGTTTGTTGCCAAGGGAAAATACCGACATCCTCACCAAGGCGAAGGCGATCTCCCGGATCGGTCTCTCGAGCAATCCGACAACCCTCGACAAGGCACCTCGACAAACGATGAGAGGAAGGGAAAGCGTCATGGAGGGAACAACCGTGGGGGCAACCGTGGTCGTGGTGGAGCTGGCGCTGGACGTGGACGTGGCCGTGGTGAACCTCGTGGTGGTGGTCGTGGTGGTCGCGGTGGTTGATCAATGGGGGTCAGGGTGAAGACTGGGTCACATCGGGAGCAGGAGCGGAGGAGCATCCGGGCATGTGGCCAGCAAAAGAGTTAGGAGTCAATCAAATAGGCTTCTCGCTCCAACTCTTGACTTCTCGTGATTTGCCTGTGATGTGATCTGAAACCAGAAAAGAAACCATTGATTATATAAAGCTTTCCCGTCACTATTTCCTATTGTTATATCGAGAAAGTCTAGAAATACCGGGGCCGTTGCGGCTGTTTGCAAAGTTTTTGAGCATTCCAGGGTCAGATGGGTCGAGATCCGGTTCGCCATGGGGTCACTGTGCAGGATGGAAAGGGGCAACAGAGTGAGGTGTAACGACCAGACCCGGTTCCGAGCGCACTTTGAAGCGAAGCAGACGGCAAGGTATCCAGATGCAACAATCCGAAGGCAAGTGCTTGCGGAGACAGGCGCGACATGGGCGTTGACGATGGCAGATTCATGTTGGAACTGAAATATGCAACTGCAGGAAGTGCAAGTGGAGCATGATGGGTGCGCAGAAGTGGCAACATCGACGTGCTCTATCCAAGAAAGAGCCAGCGGTTCGCAGTCTCCACGTTCAATGGCATCGAGATACCTACGATTGCTAGCTCAGCGGTGCAGATTATCCAGCCGGAGCGCTGGTTAGAGAAGTGGGAGGGGGAACGTGGCCATGATCTCAGCATCCTTCGAACTTCAGGCTTGAACTCAGTTCCCCAATCTGCTCGATCAGCTCCGTATTCTGCTCTCTCAACCGCATCATCTCGCCCTGAAGATGGGGCACTGTGGGCCGTGCTGCAGCATATTCTTATTCGAGGTGGCACGACGGCAGATGACCAGAGAAGGCCTGAAATCGGGGCCCCCAATCCTTCCCAACCGGTACGAGAATCTCGGCGCCACCCAGCATGTCTGTCGCATCGGTCCCTCAACGCTCGCATTTTTGGTATGTATAGCGGACGATTGTTGATGCTTGCAGCTTTGTGTTGGTCGCGGAGGGACTCGGTGGTCGTTAAGATGCAGCAGCGAGCGCTCAGCGTCGAGGAATCTTGCTTGGGCGCGCTCCAATCGAGTATGAGAGGGGCGGCAATGTCCTGAAGATGCTGTTAGGATTGAACGTCGTTGTAGGAATTGTGGGAGTTACCTCTGATGTTGTTTGTGCATTGACGAGGATGGAAGTTCTGCAGCCATGCTTTTACCTGCGCCACGCCATGCCCCATCGGGAATTCCTGCAGCTTCCACCCAGGTGGGAACAGAACATTCGAATCTGCATGTAGATATATTTTGCGATGATTCTATCTATATGCAGGTATATCTTCAGTGATTCTATGATTCCTGGCAAGATAGTTCTGAACAGGTCCCCGTTCCCACCAATCGTGGACCTTGTCACGTGCCTCGCTTCTCAGAATGAATTTGACGCGCTCCCCGCGTTCTCTTCCTCTTCCTCTTCATACTATCCATTCTGTGTCGACTGCCGCTTTTCTCGCATCAACACTTGAATGCGATTTCTGCAGCTTGTCTCCGATCCAATACCCCTTCTCTCACTCCTTTGTTTTGTGGCTGCCACTCCCCCGGGAGTGTGTGGTGTCGGGTGTCACAGGTGCTTGTCACTTCGTAACACTCATCCCCCCCTTTTGTGTGTGTAGTTCTCGAACTCACACACTGGCAATTTGGAATTGCCGTCTTCTTTCAAACTTCTCTATCTTCACCGATAGAAACTAGTTGGTCACCACGCCAGCTCATCCCCGCGCAGGTCTTCACTGACTCTGGGCACCACCAATCGCGCAGGTCTTCACTGACTCTGGGCACCACCAGTCGCACAGATCTTCACTGATTCTGGGCACCAGCCGCGCAGGTCTTCACTGACTCTGTGCCACTCCATCTCGCCGAGGCTCCTCGACATTCCCCCTTGCTTGTTAAGCACACGCTTCACAAGCCAAATGGATCCTTTCTCGTTTGTCTTCCCGTGCTCTGGGCCAAGGACGCCAGCCTTGGACGTGAACGGCGAGCCTCTGTGGAAGCTCTACAAGATCGAGGACAAGTACACCCACAACGGGCAGCTTGTCTATGGGATCATGTACTACGAGGAAAAGCCGAGGAGGATGTATGCGGTCAGTACCTCCGGGGTGGAGCTGAAGTACCCTGGTGAGGTGCAAACGTGGGAGAAGCAGTTCGGCAAGGCATGGGAGCGGAGACACGGAGCAAGAGGTTCCAAGATGGGCAACCCTTGGATGTCTGGAGCCAAGCCTCCTTCGACTCCGGCCGGCAATCGAAGAAGCGGCAGCGCAGCCTCCGAGAAGCGCAGCTTTCACGACACACCCGGCAAAGCCAAGCAGGAGCCTCAGGAGGGGAAGAAGAAGACGAATAAAGATGAGGATCCTTATGCCATCAACGACATTCCAATGGGCGACGATGAGGATCTCAGCGACGCCATACCCGAAGACGATGAGGATGTGTTCAGCAACACAGGAACAACTGCGAAGTCCTCGAGATCCAAACCCGGTCCAATGGCACCTCCCCCAAGACCGCTGCCAAAGTTCAAGACGCTCTTGCCCGCAACCTCGGCTGCATTGGTTGATGATGATGACGATATCAAAGACTCTCCGACGCGTCCATCCGTCGGAAATTCACGCAAGTCAGCAACCTCGATCATGCCCAACAGTCCAACGAAAGGGGCATCAAATTTATTGCCGATCCCGATTCGCGCTACTGCCACGTCCCAAGTGGGACAGACAACCTCTACACCGAGTCTTGGTCCTTCAAGCGTTGGCCCAAGAAGTATGGCACCGCCTCCTACATCTTCAAGTGTTGCTTCGATGTCAGGTGCCCGAGGTCGAGGAGGTAGATTTCCAGTCAGCGGATCGAACATTCCGGTTCTCCAATCCCGTCCCGGAGTAGCACCGACTCAAGTGAGCGCGAATAGCACCTCGATCCAGCAAAGTTCAACAAATAGCCAGGCTCTCCCTTCAAGGAATTCCGGTGCACAACGATCGACGGCGGTTCCTTCAAGTCTCGGACGGGTGGGACCGAGTGCTCCTCTCGCGGCATCTTCAAGACCTCAGGCGATGATCCCCGCTCGTCGAACATCACCCATTCCTGCTTCGAACGTGGCACCGATTGCAGCAGCAGCAACATGTACAGAGTCCGATTCGGACGAAGAGCCTCTGCTTCGACGACGGTCCCGCAAGAGTACTAGTCTCGATGTACCTTCCGCTCCAGCTGCAGCAGGACCCAATGCTCGACATTCCAACTCGGACGATGACAGCACTCAAGATGAAGGCAACGCTTCAGGACAGGACGCAAACCGCTCTGGCAATGGAAAGGGGGATTCAGATCAAGAAATGGACGATGCCGGCCTGGACACAATACAACCCCCCGAAGAGGCTACTCCTGGCCAAATTGGAACTGGTGAGTCTGAGGAATCTCCTGCTGATGCCCCAACAGATGCTACTGAAATCCGCGACTCGGACGAGGAAGACGATAAATCGATCGAAAATCTCATCGACGTGGATGGAATGCTCGAAGGCGTCAACCAATTGGCAGAAGCTGCGTATGCAGAGTCACAGATGGAGATGCAGGAAGAGGCAAACGAGGACAACAGCGAAGATGAAGACGAAGAACCTCCAGTAACTCAGGCACGCTTGGACGATGGCACCCTGGTGTACGACGCCTATTCCGAAAAGCTCATTCGAGCTCACGACCAGAGTCTGCATGCCCTAGTTCGGATTGTCATGGATCTTGACGGTATGCCGTGCGATAGATGGGTCAAGAATAGAAAGGACAGCAAGGTATGCGACTACAAGGATCTCAGATTCGTCCTCTGGGTCATGATGATAGGCTGGGATCCTCTGATTCTGAAGCATCTCGTTCATGGCGACATTCCCTCTCAAAATCAGAAAGGTGGAGAGTTATCCAAGAAGCTCAGAGCCTTGAAAAACCTGCCGAAGAATATTGAGACCCCGTCGATTTACATGCAATACCTTGTTGATCTGGATGGAAACGCGCCCCCTCAGAAAGATCTCTTGAAGATCTTGGATTACGCGGAGGATTATGTCCAAGGTTTGAACGATCCGAGCAACAAGACGTCTCATGCCCTGGCTTTGATAGTGGACCAGGCACTCCCATCCAAAGTATGGAACCGAGAAAAGGCAATGAGAGGAGAGAGACGCTACATCGAAGGACGAACTCAAGCGAGGAAGTGCAATGCCTGGATTGCAGCAGCACGACAGTGCCTGGAAGGTCTCTCCCCAGATGAATCCCCAGCTCGACCGTGGGCAGAATGCGGGTATGCCACGCATCCAAACGAGCGCCTTGATCAACATGCCAAGCACACTAGCTCGAACTACTTGATGAACTTGACGGATGCTATCTGCAAGACCAAGTTTCAAGGTAAGTATACTATTTCCCAGTTTGTTGTACACCAGATTATCCACTACACACATGCAATGTACGGTGAGGTACTGGCAAGCCGAATTGGTTTGGTGTATACTAATCAAGGGGGCGGATTTTGCCATTTCCAGGCAGGAGTCAGTCACGCGAGCGTGTCCAAAACAGATACAGGACACTTCTCCAGGAAACAAACGCTAATGTCGAACAATAAGGATTTCCTTCTGAGAACCAACGAGGAGTTTTGCAGGATGCAAGAGAGGACTGAACTTCTCAATGCGTACGCAGATCAGGTTGAGAGCCAGCTGGACGGTATTGGAGAATTGTATGCTATAGCTCAGGTGACTGAAGAATGGGTGACGGCCTTGGAGGAGAGGGAGAAGAAATGTGTAGCGGCAGTCAGAGAGACCGACCCTCTGTTAGCATTTTTGGAGTTCTCTTCCAAGCTCAAAGGAGCAGACGATTAGCTGGGAGAGCCGAGGATTTTGGAGTTGTTTCTTGTGGATGTAATTATATGTACAGTAGTGGAAATCAAAACAATCCTCAAACTCCATTTTCGGGTAACTAAATGATATTCTATGTGAGGGTATAGTCAACATACTGACGAAAAATACCGCGCGGACAAATGTCCCAGAAGCAACCCCAGCGTTCAGTTCGGGAAAATTGTTCCCCATTCTCTGCTCCCGTCGTCCTCCAGTCTGCTCCCATCGTCATTATCCTCGAGTTGCTCCTTAGAACCGCTAACCAGTTTCATCGTTTGCTCCTGGTCTTCCAGCCTTCGCTTCCAAATCTTCGTACGCAAAGTCCTTGGCCCGGCTGGCGTCGTCTTGTCATGCAAGATAGTTATTCACCTTTATTCCTATCTTCTCGCAATACCTCTCAATATCCCACACCCTATCTCGAAACTTTTCCCGCGTCTCGGGGAATCTCAAAGCGTGTTGTCCCTCTTCCTCTAGTGACGTTTGTCTGTTATGAAGCAAGCCGATTTAGATGTAGACCAAACTCCTATTGCGCCGGTAACATTTCTTCGAAAGGATTAACGTATCCAATGTCTGTACATTGCGGACTATAATACCAACATGGAGGTCGATGCCAAGGTAGACACACGAGAAACCGTCGCATCCAATTATGGTATTGAAATTTTGGTAACGGCAGATTGTAACATAGACACGTGAGGTTGACTATCTCTCTTTCCTTCTCGCCTTCTAATACCACCAGCGGTCCATACCTGACTACTAGCGCCAGGCATTACCTGAAGATTGGAACTGAATCCTTGAGAAGGCGTCGCACACTCCAGGCAAGTGTTTCCCCCCTTGCAGCCCTTGCAGACCGCCGCTGACGCTTCTACAGACCAGAGAATACCCTCTTTACAGATTACTCCTTGCGCCCCACAGTTCTGCGACTTTTCTGCAGGAAGGAAGCGTGGTTTGGGAGCCTTGAACGAGTGGAATTCGGCCTAGGGAGCACTGGCAGAGCAATTTGAGGTGGAGATCTGTGCTCGACACGATACGATTCGCGACGCATCCAATGAAAACACGTATTTTCCGGCTCCAACTCTGCGAACAGACCGTGGGAGGCCTATTGGGAGATTTCTGGAATTTGTCAGACCTTCTCTGGTTGCATTCAGACTGACAGGGCAATGTTTGCAATGCCTCACAAACTTGGCAGAAAGAGCCATAACTTGCAAGCTATTCCGGGAGGACTTTTTGGCCCAGGGGTGCTTTTAGGAACTGGGAGCGGGATCCTGGACTCGAGGCGACGCGATTTACATCACATCCCACGAAAACACGCCTTCCCAGAATTCTCTGCACAGCACCGAAGACTGTCCGAGGCAATCCTCCTGTTAATAGCGCCCTTGGCATAACGATCAATGTGAAAGAACAGGTCTCAATTACTACACACGAGCGCACGATCGTAGAGGAGAACATGGGTACCAGAAACTACGAGGAAAAAGACTACGAAACAATTCGGCAGAAGGACAGTCAGATCGAGAGGCTGAATATCCATCTTGCATAACAAAATGAACCAGCCGGGCGAAGGACTTTGCCTATGAGGATGTGGAGCAGAGGGTGGGTGACCAGGTGGCCGTGCTGACGAGCTGACGAGCCAACTCGTAGACTTTGCTTCCGGAGATTTGCAGTAGAGGATGTGCAGTAGAGGATGCAGGACCAGGTGGCCGTATCGCGGGCCCGACTCGAGAAAGACAAAGACGATGAGATCGAAGCAGCTTGAGATAACAAGGAGAAGCTAGGGCATTAATATTAAGAATTGGAGCAGGGTGTGGGTGACTAACTCGAGGGCATTGAGACCGAGAAGCTGAGTAACTATCTTGCACACAAGATAGTGCCGGGTTAAGGACTTTGCGTACCCCACCGGCGACATCCGCCACATGGAAATTCTTGATCAGCGATTCTCTGGAAAATGAACAACGAACTTTGGCTGTCAATTTTGGCATAATTCAGATGATGTCGACTCAAATTGGGAGATGGGAGGCCAATCCCGAACACCGAAGCTGGTATGCCAAAAAGTCAGTCAAATGAGATGCTCGGAGACAAGGGTCGTACAGAAATTGAGCAAAAGCAAGAACCCACCAGTATCCAGCAATCCAAATACTGCGTGCAGGAGGTGCGTTTTACACGGAACTCTCTGGGTCCTGGTGGGAAATTATGGCCCCGTTGTGGTTCCTCTGCCAGTGGCAGACAGGCTCCCAGGTGCGCCTGTAATGCAAGGAAATTTATCCATAAAGACTAGGGTAGCAGCACCAGTCATTTTACCACAACCAACCACCTGGTCTGCTGATACATTCTTTAACAGCTTGGGTTTTGGCAAGGGCAAACGACTATTCACTTCCATTAACTACCACCAGGACGTTGCTGACGATTAACACTTAGTCGCACGGCTTGCACGTGAGCTAAGGGTGAATAGAGATGAAGGCTGAGCCTTAGCCATGAAAGCGTTCAAAATCTTGACCCAGGGCTGACAACTTGGCACCTTTATTTTATAACCAGCCTCCGCAACCTTGCACCCAATCACTGGTTTGAGCAGGTCACCGCCTCCAGCAGTGGGAAGCCGACTCGATGTGGTGGCTGGAAGGGGTTGAAAAGCCGTATTTTTAGCACTTTATTTTGATAGACCGAAGGCATGGCGGTCGCTGAAATTAATACCTTAATGCCTTTGCGTTTCCCAAGTTTATGGTTTGGAGGAGTGAGGTGGTCTCTATTGGTGCAACCATCTCATTACAAGCCACGGTGCTGCGGACTCGTGATGAGTAGACAGATGGTCATCCTGTTGCTCCTGAAAAAGGGAATACAGGAGTTTCTCGCAGAGTTCTGTAGTTGCCCATTACTCTTGGCATCCAAGACTGCTGTGTTCTCGCCTAAGTTGTTGCTTGGCGTCACATACTTCCAACCTATGATGCTGTTCATGTTACCCAAGACATTCGGCAGTGTGGAAAGTTCCGATATATTTGCCCCTGCGGCGCCAATCATCCTTGTGAGTCAGGACAAATCCTTCCAATGTTCCAAGCTTTAGTACCTAAATGTCTTTCACGTTGCGGAATGCTCCAATCTTAGAATATCCAATAGATCCGACTCTGGGGAAACCACTTGGTAGTTTTATGCGCGGTGCTGGTGCCTCCAAATACTCAACCTCAGCGTAGCGACTTTGTGCAGTAGAATAAAGAACCCTTTGATCTCGAGTTCGAGCTGTTTGTATCTCTCTAGTTATCGCCCAAGTAGCATCTTTACTCGTTTCAAGACAATCGTTCAACTTTTCTCTCTTCTGCGGCCCTTCAATAGAAGAGTCACTCGTCCAAACGTTTCCCAATCACTTAGTTTGCTTGGAGTGGTAGTACACTATACGTCGGACGGAAATAAGTCAAAATATTTCAGCTCAGGGGTTGCTAAGATTCCTACAGCACGAATATCCAATCTATACGCCTCTATAAAATAAATGGCGTACGCCTTTTCTTGGCCTCTTGACGGCATATGCCATTCAGGAACGACGTGTGCTATTTAGGAAACCGGCTCGTTTTAGCGAATTGGGCTCCTCGCTTATGCCCAATTAATCAATCGCTCGTACTTCGTATTGACGAACAGGGGGCCCCACATGTCGAGAACAACATATACTTAAATTTAACTACGTCAATTGCAAACAACGCCAATGACTTCTTCAGCTCCCTGGACTCAGCTCAGCTTCAGGATCTCAGTTATCTGAATCAGTGCTTAGTTTAATAAGGTTAATTAGCGAACAACACCAATAGCTTCCCTACTACACCTCGAGGATATTTCTATGCTATACTTTGGAACGCCATTCTCATTCAACATGAAGCTGAGCTCGTGGATGCCAATGTCTCGGCAACCTAGTCATGACATGAGCTGAAATTCGTCATGTGTACAATGGGGTGGCTTTGCTCCGTCTTTTCAAAAAGAATCCCATCGAGACCTCGTCGCCCCAAGATATAAAAGGGGGCTGCTTGAACTATCGTTCCTCCTAGAACCATCATCAACAGTCCCCAACAGCTTCAAACGTTGGAGGGATAGCAATTCACTACTTTTTAAATCGGGTCCCAAAGACACTTCTCTGACTTCATTATGCGAGCCACCTTCGGTGTCTCTCTAGGCCGTAGCCTCTTCGCCTTCGCCTTCCTAGCTCTTGCCTTGACCGGTTTCCTGGCTCAGGCTGCCGCCCTTCCTCAGGACCTTCAAGATCCTGACAAAGAAGTCGACCTACCTACTGAGGATCCGGGCATCGACCTCTCCACCAGCGGCCCCACCACCATCATTGAGGACGACGGCAGCACCAATGGCACTGTTAGCGCACCGGCTGTAATCAGCGTCCCCCTGGCAGCCCTCGAGGGATCTGCTGTGCCCCAAAGCATTGTCGACGACGTCAAGAAGTCGCTTCCTCAGGTACTGCGTGATGAGGGTCTCACCGATGTCGAAATCGCAGGCTTGACAGAAGCTGAGATCGCCGAGATCCTAGGCGCCCTTAACGAGTTCTTCCAGAACGGCGAGGGCCATGATGGCTCGGATGATGACGCGGTCTTAAAGCGGGACTGGTTGACGGAACGAGGAGTTGCCGATTGGATCAAAAGACGCATTTGTAGAGCCTTTGCCCGAATCACACGCCCAGCCTTCATGGCCGCCGCCGGCTTGTTCAACCTAAAGAACACGGGTTCTGGAAGCGGTATCTTCCATTATCAGAAGTTTTTCTTGTACCCTCTTCACAGGGCCCTCTTCGACAACAGGATCAACGTTCGAGTCTACTACAAGGCAAATTGGGTTGTTAAGAAGTTCTGGGGCTCTGCTGGCGTCGCATTCGGCAAGAAGATCTACATCCGCAAGAGCTACGAGGCCTGGTCCAGCACGAACAGCCAATTCTACACCCAGGTGTCCCTGCTCGCTCATGAGCTTCAGCACACCCAGCAGTACTACAACAGGCACTGGAGCATCTGGGACTTCGCCTACCACTACTTGTACAGCTACTGCCGCGCCGGCTTCAGCTACTCCAAGAACGCGATGGAGGTTGAAGCCAAAGAGGCTGCAAAGAAGATCTCCAAACTCCTGAGCACTGGCAGAGGATTCTTCCACTATTGGAGGGTGAAGGCCTTGTACAGTAAGCTCGGCTACCCCGTCGAGACTTCTTACCGCGACGTCAGGCCCGACCTCCGCGAGCTCAACTTCCAGAAGGGCAAGATGCAGATCGAGCACGACAAGAACCCTGACTGCTACCGCTACAGGGTTGGCAGCAGCCCCTGGACTACCTGGGACTGCCGCAGGCTGTGATCGAATCGCTTTGGGGGGAGTCGTACGGTACCAAGGAGAAATGGTAGTGGAGTAGGAGTGTTGCAAAGGTGTTGTCGGATTTCTGCCTGTACCTGTAGTTTCCCATCGTTATTATTTCCTTGCTTGCCTTAATCTTTTCCTGATCTCTTTTGTCGCTTCTCTCGGTTTCTCGGGTCTGGGCCTCCTTTTCTCTCGCCGACTGCCGCCGGTTGGGCTAGCAAGGGGCCCCACCTTTTCTCTTTCCTTGGTAATAGTTTCGAGAACTACAGTAGTTGAACAGGGTTTAGGGTGGTCATGTAACTAGCCATGTGATAGGTCTAATAAGAGTGAATTGTCTGCTTTAAATTCTGTAGTTTTCATGCGGTCGGAGAACTGCTGTGAGATGAAGGGAGAACTAACTGGTGAATTCTTCTTCCGGAGATTAGGAGCAGAAGATGAATGACCAGGTGACTGCGCCGATGGTCCAACTTGAGGGCAGTGAGACCGAGAAACTGAATAAAAACCTTGTACGGCAAGGTGATGCCGGGCTAAGAACTTTGAGTACGAAGATTTGGAGCACAGGATGAATGACCAAGTGGCCGTACTGCCAGTCCAGGGGCAGTCATGACGAGATCCAGTTACCTGGAAGCGTCCTTAAGAAACATCGACCACGTCGTCTTTCACGAGAGTCCAAGAAAGAATCCCAAGAATCTCATTGCTCAGAATCAAAAGAGGCATTCAAGATAGAGAATGATATTCAGATGGGACAATTCAAGGATAGAGACGACGAAACACTCCAGTAGTGCTGGCAATCTCGCGCTTGCTTCGAGCCTTTCTGGCATTGAGTGGCATGTCCGCAGATACCCACACGCTTCTGGGGGTTGGGTTCGACGAGTTCAAGCTGAAGAGCAAAGGACCCCCCGTGAACGTAAGCCCTCACTAATAAGTTTGTTAGACCAGTAATTGAAAGCCATCATATCTCCATCGTGTCCCAGGTTGAGAAGCTAGTGCACCTCTATATTCTCCTTATGTCTGGCAAGAATAGTTATTTTCGGCCGTTACAGTGCCAGCCGTGAGCACCCCGCTTTTGCTTCAACAGGCGCTTTTTGCAAGTCGTAATAGGACAATGTTCCCAGGCAACAGCGAGCTGTCATGTTGGATGCCGCATTCGGTCGATGGCGTGGGACAGCTGGGGCAAGCTTCATCAACGGAGTTTTCCATATGTGCTTGCAACCCTATCTACGCCCAGCTAGACCAGGAAGCCTGCGCAGGGAGATGTACCGCTGAAGCCTGCTGGAACGGGCGTAAAATTGAATGAATGAATGAATCGATCGATCGATCTGAGCACTCTGCCTCGAAACGCGGACGACTCAAGCCGTCTGCTTGCCCAAAGATAATGTGGCTCCGATGGATGATTATGGCTTGCATAATTGGCACATCGTATATGTAACTCAAGCAACCTCAAGGCTTCGCCTATCTTTGCGATACACATTTCTCTGTGCACAGCCGGCATAGTGGCCACAGGAGGGTTGCTTCTCCATTGTGTTTATTGGTCGATTAGCACTTGTGGCTTGTTGCGCGATTGGGCATTCAAGAGGTGTCGGCAGCATGTCTTAGGCCTGCCAATTGAGTAAGAATTTTGATCACGAGAAGAGTCAAGTGGCTGAGACTAGCGTGGTGACACGGAACCGGGAGGGGTGTGCGATAGCCTCTTCAGTTGAAGACCGCGCTTGTGTTATCTACCTCTGAATCAACTCCCCATATCCTGGATGATTTTGTCCATAGAGCCAATGTCCTGGCCTGAAGTGTAGCATGGAGCCATTGTCAATCGCCACAGGGGCCGCTTCACTCGCAGCTACTGCCAGCACCGTAAGCTAGCCTCATCCAAGGGGAAACACGTGGCTAACACTATGACCACAAGCTATTGCTATGGATGAACAAGCTCATCAAGGACATTAAAAATGTCGATAACAAGCTCACTGCACTAGTGAGGGAGATGACTACCCTCACTGGCCTTCTCACCGCGGTCGAGAGTACAGTCCGCAAATGTTATTCCCAGTCCTTGACGCTGGCGCACCTCGACGAGAACATGTGGAAGCGAATGGACGACATAATTCTAGACTGTAAGATTGCTTTGGAGGGGCTGGACAGAGTCCTCTTGAATTTACAAAAGCAAAACCCGCCAACTTGGATGAAGCTTCTGAGGAAACCGAGCCTGCACTTCCAGCTTAACAACCAGATGGACGATATATCGGACTTTATGAACAAAGTCTACAAGCTGAATTGTGCGCTTCATACCTCCATTGCGGTGGTAAACATGTAAGTGGATCATGACAACCTTGTGACGATTAAGCTAAGGCGCACCAAGCTCGCTCTCGTTTCGTGCCAATACCTCTCAAGATATGATGTTTCGCGAGCTGAAGAGGCTGAAGAACCGAGTCGAGGAAGCGTTAATGGCTTCGCAAAGAACCGAGCACGATGCCGATCCCTTTGCTTCCAGGTTGACTCGCAATCTACACGGCTTGGCAAAAGCAGCCCAGGAGTTTCATTATGCCGCAAGTTCTACAGCAAGCACACGCTATGAAGCCGGGGACCAACGTTCCAGCCGGACGCCGCTCAGCACATGGAACGGGAGTGATTTCGGGCCCTTGACCGATTCTCAGCGAGAGAGAATTAACAGGTGGAATAACGACATGGGCGCGCTGGAGGAAGTACAGGAAGAAGATATCCTTTCGAAAGATGAACGCTTATCGACAGATCCGTCAACCGCGATAACGACTCCGGACCTCGATGACCAGATCGATAAATCCCACAAAGCGAGGACAGAGGTACGAGAAAACGAAAACGAGGATGGTGATGAGGAAAGTGAAGATGACGGCTCCGACATTGAACTAGACTTTCTGAGAAATTTTGATGAGCTTGCTTGTTCTAGCTTTCTTCGGAAGGATTATTCCAAGGCCGAGCAGTTCCTTCGGAAAGCCCTTGAGCGCAACACTGGGGAATCTTCGAATGGAGAGCACTTCAAGCTACTCCGTATTCGGCTTGCAATCTGTTGCTGTCTGCAGGAGAGATGGGAATTGGCGGCAGGAGCTCTGTCAGCGCTGTCGAAATCAAGAACTGCAAGTAACCTACCTGTTTTTGATCTCCTCCAGGCTATATCACTGGGATACTTGGCGAACGATAGATTCGATGATGCGTACCGCGTTTGTAAATCCGCTCTGCAGGGCAAGAAGAGGGTCATCGGCAAGGACAGTGACAATTTCCATGAATGCTTGTCGATCTTGGCAATGATATACGAGAAGAAAGGAGATCCACTGGAAGCAGAAGCCGTACGACTTTCGATTCCCGTCGAAAGGATGCTACAAAAGAATACCGTGTCTGGCAAGGAGTATATTTTAGCCCACCCGACTCTAATCAAGTCTGCTTTTGGGGAAAGGGAAAAGGAAAAGATGTCCACAGATCAAACAAAGAACGAAAGCACCGAGGCTACGCGAAGTGGCGAAGCTCACGTTGAGCCTGATCGGTGGGAAGACCTCGTGCCAAGAGCTGCGGTTGATGGTACAAGCCGTGCAGCGAGAGATGAGCGATCTAAAGCACCTATTAGTTCGACAGATACCGGGAAAGTATTCCTTCTTCAAAGTACAGGAACAGAGGATCTTATTCCTCGCCAAGGGACTGGACCTCGTTTTTCGAAGGCCGTAAGTGACGAACACTCTGGGAAGCAGGTAGGGGAATTTGATAGTGGGAAAGAAGTCGCCGTCGACACAACGGATGCCAGGGGTACCCCAAAGAATGGCGTTCCTGCTCCGAATATCTTGAGGCCAGGCTCCAAAATCCCCTATATGGAAGCTCTTTACGGTAGATGGCGCTGGGAGGACCTGCTACTTCCCCCTTATTCGGAGCAAGGGGCCGAAGAAAACAAAAATCCGGATTGGTACTCGACCCTTGAAGTCGTTGTCGATGATATTGACAGAGGCGACAATGAGGAAGCCCATATTGACGTCGACTTGGCCGGAAATGCTGATGCCTCAAATCCACGATTCCGATCAGGTACCTCCGGAGGGAGCTCTTTCTACTCGGCCATGTCCAACAACGTCGCAGCACCAGAGCTGGTCGTAGGAATTGACTTTGGCATGACATGTACAGTCGATCCTGTGTTCTTTCCCTGATATCTCTCTAACCTTTCTACAGTTACGAGTGTCGCATTTTGTAATGTAGCAACTGGCGAGCAAAGACCTCGATGCATTAACAAATGGCCAGGAAGAGGAGGTTCAGTGGTTGACAAGGTTAGATTTGATAATAAATAATTCACACGTCATCTGAGTCATAGTCTAAAACAGCAATGCAGGTCCCGACCATTCTCGTTTATCCCAAGAATTCCAGTACCCCATCGTCGTGGGGTTTCTACTCCGAGCATCCTAGCGAGGTGATGAGTCAAGATAAGGACTGTAAGGACTGGTTCAAAACATATCTAGATGAAGAGAAGCTTCGAGCGGCTTTGAGAGATCCTAACAAGCACGGCATAGCGCCAGCATCAATCCAAGAAGTTGAGAAGCTGCAAGTACTACGCTAAAAACTCGGAATTAATACTTACTAATGAGTCATTCTTGCAGGTGCCGCGATTTCCTGGGCTTCATATATCAAACGATCCGGACAAAGCTGCAAGGCGAGCTCGCCAACTTATGGGGGGAAGCACACATTGAATTTATTTTTAGTGTACCAATGACTTGGAAGCCAGGTCCGACTATTGAGCGATACCGGTCGATTGTACGACAAGCAGGCTTTGGCAGCTGTCCCAATCATCGAGCGGAAATTGGGTTAACTGAAGCTGAAGCAGCCGCGATGCATACTGCGCGAGAGTTCCCAAGATTATTCAAGGTACTAATGTACCTCCCAGTCTATATCCAAAAATTATCTAATAGATTAAATAGGAGCGCGATATCTTGCTGGTTTGTGATATGGGTGACGGAATGACGGTAAGTGGTCCATTCTATACTTTGTACTGTTTTTATTATAGAGTATAAAGGGCATTAGCTTATAAGCGGAACTAGGATTTAAGCACCTTTCGCATTGCTAATATGGTTGGCGAATCTCTCAATCTACAGCAGATAGACGCTATTCCCTGTATGTTCGTTGCTTACTTGTTTTTCTTATATTACTTCCCGCTTTTAATTATTTTTATAGGTATAGCAATCGGATTTTCATATCTTGATATTGCTTTCATGGATAGCGTAAGGCAACGGCTATATCTCGCAGATCAGATTATACCTACAGGACTTCGGCTGCAAGAGTTCGACGAGATAGCGTTCGAGATGGCGAGAAGTAAAGAGTACCAAAATGAGAAGTGTGAATACGGCTGGGATAACGACACGGATTTTTTTACCGTTGCTGTGCCACGGCTCCGACAAGACTATTCAAACCAAGACGCATGGATTAGTAACGGAGAAATAAAGTTTAGAAGGTAGCGTATTCTATTATATCTACTTGTTCCAGTGTTACAAATTCTAACTTTGCACTAGAGACGAAATACAAAGTTACTTTGAAATACAGGTAAACTAATATGAGACCGCTGATAGTCAAATATTCTAATATATTTAGATTGCAAAGCTTTTCCACATCCTTGATAAGCAGCTTATACGTTTGCAAGAGAACTTTCCAGATGAACAAGTTGTAAGTGGGTTGAGTTCTACGGCGTATCGTGCAAATACTTAACAAATGTATTTAGGCTCATCTTATACTCTCGGGCAGCTTCGGAAATTCTCCCTACGTATATCAACGACTTGTAGACCGATATGGAAATCCCCTCTTCCTAAATACTCCATTACTTATGATAAAAGTGTGTCCGGAGCCACAACTCATGGTATGCAAGGAATTAGTCGCCGATAGAGTCTGTAGACTAAAGGCTCGCAATTCCGCACTACAATAGTAACATAGTCGTCCGTTATATCCCATCCAGCTCCCTGGAGGCACTCAGGGGGCAGATTTTGCTGTTTTCTCTATATTTCCATATTCCCCTCAATTGGAGAAAACCATTCCGGCTTAGCTCTTACCCAGTAATCTTACAACCATACGAAGGGTAAAGATGTCATGGGTCCTCTGATCATCTTGTAGGATGTTGTATATAAGATTTGTGGAAAACCCATCGTTGTCTGCTATTCGGCGAAAGAATTATTGGACGGCATGCAAACAATTTCCTTCGCTCGAATTGTCACCACAATAGAAAACAATGTGCTTAGCAACAATGAGCTCCTGGATAATCCAGATTCTCCACCAATACTCGCGTACCATCAATCTCCCAAGACTTTCCAACATGCGCGCCATGTCTAGATTTGAAAACCGGTCGGTAATTCACACCCTTGACTCGCGATGTTCGTAGAGCTCTTCCATAAGCTGAAATGCCAAGTGGCTATTATCGTAGCTTTCCCCAAGCCAGACGACAACTTCGGTGGCCTACTCATAAATCATCTTCATCTTGGCAACCTGATGGTTCCGCTCCCCATCACTTGACTGGTTGATGCAGATAACATTAATCTATATGACCAGTGCGACATTGTCGGACTGGAATCGATTCAAAGCATGCCAAAGATTTTGCCTTACTTCGAAACGACACCCATTGAGGTATATCGTGTGCCTGCGATCGAATGCACCACCCCAAGTGTATGAGAGTGCTTTGTAAGATGGATGATCGTCCGGGTTGGCGTGAAACATTGGACTTCTCCCGAATTATCCCAAAGACATTTTTTCGACTTTGTCTTGGGTGGAAGAATGCGGAGGAGGCGTATCTGGTTTGAAAGCTGGTCGAGTTCCTCGTAATTGAAGACCGCAACTTCACCTTCAGCTGTGCTCTTCTCGTGCACAGGGGGCATAGTAGAAGTACAAAAACTTTGCGTTTATGGAGAGGGATCAAGCTCTAGATGTTGGGAAGTTTTGGGTTAGAAAGGCTGCGGATTCTAAGTTGTTTTGTTCGAAAAATCTTAACTTTATCAATGCGTTGGCATGGGGCTCTGTGGCGTTTTCCCGCTGCTTCAGCCTCTATTCCGCCACTACCAACCTCACGTCCATATTCCAGGCTCAGTCTATCACAAGAGGTCTACTCCGCCCTCCTGACCAGAAAATCCATCAACCCGCATTTCTCCCCCAAATAAACACCGACTCAGGCGATCAGCGGTGTTGGTGGGCCACAAAAATAAATCTAAGCGAGACCAGGGTGCGGAGACAGGGTGCAGAAGCACTCATTATGAAGAACTATTCTTAATGTTTAACTTTGAAGTTGAAGATTCGTCGATGCGGAATTTAGAGCCCAATACAGGACAATTTACTTCCTGTCAGCATTCGGCGTAAGGCTTGAGACAGACTAAGTTTGAACGAAGCTTGACATGATATCAATGGATCACGAATTCTGTCGCAGAGCTCCCATCTATCCAAGACCCCCGGAAAAATTTCCTCGTTAGGCACTCGGAAACGAAAACACAGTGTTTCCGGACAATGTCCTTACTATCATCGCTACCACTATCTTTCGCAGCCCCATCTTCAACAGACTCTCTCTGCAGCATGCGAAACACGACTTGTTGGCTGCGTGAATGAGAGGGCTGGGACCGAAGGAGGCATATCTCATCGCCAACTTGGGTTGACGGTGATGTTAGGACAAGTTGAGCGGCATTCCATTGTTCTTTGGACGGAACGGCTGCTTCTTTTGGAGAAACTGGGGCAGCAATACAGTATTTCCTCCCATGAAACGGATTCGTGTCCTTGGCTAGGCTCTCTCCTTCTACGGGCCAGGGAAAACTATTTGACCTCCAGGGGTAAATAGCCTTGACGAGATTCAACATAGTCCAAGGATGCACCCTGGAATTTGGAACGGACAATTTCCGCATGTCATTGAGGAAATTATCCAATCCGGTGATAGATTTAAGGCCTAGTTTGAGTAGCAAAGTGATCCACTCATCAGTGATGGCCTTGGTGATAAGTTTGAACACAGACATGTTTTCTGCTGCCTTCTGAAGGGCAGATGAAAAGCCAATGTGCCCGAGCCAATCAGTGATGATGAGATCAATTTTCGGTGGAAAGATTCCATCCTGGTAGTTATGGGCTGCGTCTTTCCACTCCCACGAATTGAATTCCGTAAAGAGCACTTCCTCAAGGAAGCGCACATGGTGTGCCCATAGATCAGGATATGGAATGACACCTGGGTCGCCAAATACCACATCGCCCACCAAAATGACCTTTCCCACTGTTTCCACCAAGCAGGTTATGGTTGTAGGATCTTTAGAAGGGGACTCAATAGGAGGAAGTATAGGATCAGGGTCGAAGAATCCATCCTCCTGATCGTAGAGTCGACAGATATCGTAAAGAGAAGACATAGTCTTTGGCTGAGTCCAATCCGGCACCCATGATGGGAGGTCGGGAACACCAGGAGATGACACGTTATCAGCAACTTTGTCGAGTACAAAGTCGCCGAAACTGAGCAAGTCCCGAGCAAATTCTGTGAAGGCTTGGGCTGCGCTAATGGTGTAGTCCACTCTGTAGGTACCGCAGGCAAGACCAACATGGCCGTACAACATGTCTCGGGCATCAGAAACTCCCATGCCTCTTCGCGTCCGTACCAATTCGACCAGTTCCATTGTTGCTCCGCGCTTGGAGCCTTTCCTTAAGTATTTGTCTCTTGTGTCGACCATTCTTCTGAACTGGTCCTTGGCCTGGACTGCGGCTGCCGTGTCAGTTCTGACAACGGAAGTGCTTTGCAATATGAGGGAACTCACTTTGCGAGACATTGAGCTCCCCACTAAATTCCGAGAAGAGTTTCGATGCTATCTCACTGAATGTGTCCCATTCGAGGCGCACCTTTCCAAGCTGAAGCCAGGGGTCGCGGGACAGAACAAGCTCCTGAAATACCCAAACTCGTGTGAACCACGGCCGCTCCAAGACATGTAAGAGGTCTCCACAATCAATATCGGTAGATGGCGTCCCATGTTGGCTTGAATCTTGATCCAGCAGCAAGTGAATTGCTTCAAATACAGAGTAACCCGAGCCCTACTCATAATCCCCAAGGTAGATGACAGTATGGTGAGCAGTAGCGTAGATCTTTCCCATCTGTTGGACCTGTTGATTTCTCTCTTCCGTGTCGGCTTGGTTGATACAATGGCATCGACCCATAGTCTCAGGACTCGGGTCTCACCCCGCTCTCTGAGATGCAGCAAGGCTGAATATAAGTTCGCCGTCACCTCGATTGGAGTGTCTTCTACCAGAATTGTCTTCGTCGAATGCGCATCGCCCCAGACATATGATAGTGCCGTATAATGCTTCACGATTTCGCGCCGCTCCTCACTGAGCATAGTCATCTCGATAGAACATCGGATTGGAGCCTTATCGTCGTCCGCTGGATACAAATTCAGCAACCTTATCTCATCCCATCCAAGACCTAAGTATTCGAACCCCGAGCGGGGTTGAGGGCCAGAGGAATAGATTGGACCGAATACTGGGCGAGACATTCGGACTTTGTTTTTAGTTCTTGTAGTAGATGGAGTGAAATTGAAGTTACAGTTGCAATTATGATCGATCTAAAAGCCGCTTCGATGAAACTTCGAGAGTGCGTTTAAGTAAGTGTAACGAGCCTACTACTACTAAAGACAGTTCGTGAGAAAGTCGGCCTGACTTTCCTCTTTTTGTCCGTGCGTCATCCGTGCAGTGCGCTTACATAACCTAACAACACGCCCATGTGGCGTTGGGCCATGTGCTAACTGCGCGTCGGTGTGTCGACGTATTTCGTGAAACTAACGCGTTAATAAACATGGTTTGATTCTCGGCCATTTGACCCATTCTATTATTCAACCACTACAAGCGAACCAGATTTGCTTGCCAGCATTGTAATGGGGATATAAAACAAGTAGTAATATAGAGTAAGAATGGGCTTCCACAGCGTGGAATCACAGCGTACGAGTGAGACGTGGAATTAAGGAGTGAAGGTTGGTTTGTTTCTAAGAACCAAGAAGGAGAGAGGGGTAATATAAGCGGACTACGGACTAAACGGAAGTCCGGGGGTCACATGACAGAACCACGTGACCAATAGAGGTAAAATCCCCACCACAGTATTAGTATTAAGTTTTGCTTAAAAGAACTTATTATTATTTACTATTTATATTAATTTGCCATTATTACTACTATAAATAACCTTTATAACTATTTTTATACTTAATATTATCTAAGTATTTTATAATATTATATTATTATAAAGTATACTCAAATTTTTTAAATAAAGGCCGATTTAGCTTATTATTCTCCTTAATTTGACTAATTAATTTATATTTATTAGCTTATTTATAATAATTTTTTTTAGTTAAAATAACGTAGATATTTAAGACATTAAGATATATTCCGCAAAAAATTACTATAATTATTAATCTGGTAGCAGACCCTACCCTTAGTAATTGCCCGTTTTATATAGTAAAATAAGAATCCTAAGCTATAATTAGCTCATCTAACCCTAGTAAGGGGGTTAGTACAGGCCAGTTTGCCGTAAAACGTGTATTATAAAACGCAATTCCCATAATACCTGCTATAAGGCCTTATAACCGCTAGAACGAGAGCTAGAACGGGCCGAGGTAAAGCATTAGGTTATAGGCGAGCCTTTTAAGTACTTGCCTATATAATAGATACTATAATAGGGATTTAATTATTATATGGTTTCCGGATCATATATAGGCATTTAAATATATGAGAGAGGGTAAAAAAAAAGTAATAAACTAAGTACTTAAAAGTAAGAATTTTAATAGTAATAAGAAATAAAATAAAGGTTAAAAATAAGGGGCTCTAAAATATAATATATTAGGAAAGCTAATTATATATATAAATAGAAGTCTTATATAATCCCTTAAACTAGTACTAGTATACCTGGAAAGCAGAATATATAATAGTAGTTATAAAATAAGAGAAAAAAAACCCTATTATATAGCTTTCTCTTATTATTTATAATTACTCTCTAATTATAGTAAAGAAAATACCAAGCTTATATAAGTATAAAACCTATTAGAATCTAGAAACTTAAATAGTTTCTAAAGAAACCTATAACCTATATTTTTAAAACTTTTAAAACTTTTTTTATTTTTCTATTTTTCCCTAAAAAAAGAATATAAAAATAATAATAATAATTATAACGGAATTATATATATCTTTTATAACTAGTAAAAGCTTATAATAAAAGAAAAAGGCTATATTCTAATAGCTATAAAGAAATAATATTAGTTTTATTTCCTCTAGTATTTAAGATATTTATTTATTTTTTTCTTTTTTTTATAAATAAATATCTAAATATAATACTTTTATTTTCCGGGTTTTTATATATCCTTAATTCTCTTATCTTTCTCTTTTTAAAGCTACTATTATCTCTAATATAATAGAGCTAAATATTTTATATTTTAGCCTTTTTTCTAGTTTTATTTAATATTTTATTTAATTCTTTTACTTTTTCTATAATAATATTATTTTTATATAAATTATTTATAAATTATCTTTATATAACTATTTCTAAAAGAAGAAATCCCGTAATAAATATTAAATAAACTTTTCTATTATAAAAGTTTTTTATTCTTTATTTATATTCGGCTTTTATATTTATTAATTATTATATTTACCTTTTCTAATAATAGTAAATTCTCGAAAGCTAATAAATTTATAAAAATTAATAAATAAGCCTATAGTTATATTTCTTATAATATAATACCTAATATCCTTTTTCTAATAATAATTAAAAATAGTATTATTTAGTAATATATATATAACAAATATATTTCTAATTATTTTTATATAATTTCCTATTTATAATTTTCCTTTTTAAATAGATTTTAAATTACTATTTTAATTATTATATTATTTTTTTTATAATTATTTATTACTTATAATAATAATACTAATAATAACTATAATAGTACTAGCTAGGGGCCAAAAAGAAATAGCTATTATATAACTAGTTTTACCTAGCTAGTTAGTATTTTAATAATTTTAGCTAGTATTTCCCTCCTTTTATTTCCTTTCCTTTTCTCTTTCCTTCTTTTCCTTAGCTTAGTATTCTTAATATATAGGATTTTCCTAGATCTTTAAGCCTTTATACTATTACCTTAATCCCGCTATTATATAATACTAAGCTTACTTAACTTGGCCTATAAAGGCAATATAATACTACTAGCAAAGGACCCGTACTTGTCCTTAGGGAGCAAAGACAAAATTCCGCTCCTAATATTTAGTAGGTAATTTTCCCAAACTCAAAAAAGAAAGATATATTCTCTAAGACCTAATTAACCTTGAAGCCTGGCTCTTAACTAGAGTAAACGATATTCCTTATCCTCTATAATCTAGTTAATCTCGGAGTCTGGCCCTTAACTAGAATAGATAATAACCTAATAGTTAGTCTTCTGCTAACTTAAAAGAAGAAAGATTCCTGTCCTTTATAACCTAGTTAACCTCGGAATCCGGCCCTTAACTAGAGCAGATAATGCTTCCTTAATATTAATAAGAGTAAAAGAACCGGCACTTCCCTCTAAGAATTAGTAATTCTCCGATTTAAAATAAGAGATATACTAATTGGTTTCAGGTTCCCGATTTAAAACGAAAAAAACCCGGTAATTAGTTCTAGTTTACTAATTTAAAACAGAAATAACTATCTCATAATTACCTCTTCCGTAATTATTCCTCCTTTAATTGCCTTTTTCTTATTTGCCTCCTCCTTATTTACCTCTTATACGGCCGCCCCTCATATAATACTACTACTTCTCTGATTTAGATAATTCGGATAATCCTACTTTAGGAGCTTATTTATAATATCTTCCTACTAATAATTTATTATCTAAAAAGACCGAAAGCTAATAAGATCCTAGTAAAGCTAGCTCTAGAGCCGAGTTTAAATCAGATACGGAGGCTAGTTCCGGTTCTATAAATAATTTAGATAGTTCTATAGATAGTTCTAGGGACAATTTGGACTCTATAAACGATTTTGGGTCTAAAGCTAGTTCTAGAGCCTTAGGTAAAGGTAGAGGTAGCTATTAGTCAGATAATAACTATTAAAAGCTAGCCGTTTTAGGGATTTTATTAAAACCCTATTTCCTTTATATACCTGAATAAGGATATTTAGATTTGGTTTCCGAGAGGGTAATATAACGGCGCTAGCTAGGGGCTAAAAGGGAATAGCTATTATATAACTGGTTTTACCTAACTAGCCGGTATTTTAGTAGTTTTAGCTAGTATTTCTTTCCTTTTATTCCTTTTCCTTCTCTTTTTCCTTTTTCTCCTTAGCTTAATATTCTTAATATATAGGATTTTCCTAGATCTTTAAGCCTTTATACTATTACCTTAATCCCGCTATTATAATAATTATACTTATTTCTATATTTAAAAACTTAAAGCTATAATTACTATAGGCTTTAAAGTTATATATACTAGTATTTAAGCCTATATAAATTACTAAAAAAACAAGTTCTATTTTAATAAATATTACTAATATTACTTTCCTAAAATACTCTTTATATTTCTTTTCATAAAAATTTCCCATTTCATATATTAATAAGAAATTCAAACAAGTAGTATCTTAAGAAGAAGCAAAATAATTTTTATTAAAAGTACCTATTACTTAGCCTTAAATTACAAGGAAAATAAACTAATAAAAATCAGGTATAGGAATTAATATAAGGGCCCAGACTTATTAAGTTTCTCTGAATTATATAACGAATATATAAAACTATCGGGATTCTTATTACTAAAACAAATCACTTGAAAAGGCCTTAATATAATAAAAGCTATATGTAACCCCAGGTAATATACTTTAATTTTAACTCTAAAAATACTAATAGCTATAACTATTAAAGCATTTCAATAAGACCCGACTTATTATCTCACTCAAGTCTATTAATATTACGAACCTTAGTACTAATTGTCTCTTCCGTCTCTTTAGGAATACAAGCTAATAGACTATAGATCTTATAAATAACGGGAACGCTTTCTATACAACTCGGAATACGGGGTTCGAATTAAAGATTCCTGGCCAGGAAGGTGTAATGAAAGGGCGTGGGATTTTTTATTATGTGCGTAAGGATAGAAAGGCTAGTATTTTGATAGCGTACGAGGATCCGACACCGTTTGTTGAGATGGCTATAAAAGGACAGATATGTCACGATTCCCAGATGCCAGATGCCTCCTAGACGCACGTGACGCGGCCGCCTCGCTAGGGAAGTATGCTTGGAACGCACTGGAGATATTTAGAAGGCTAAGCCCCTTCGGGACTAGCGCACTGTGGGGTGCATATATTCCCTCGAAGCCTCCTGTATTCTAGTTTTCCCTTCCTTAGCTTTGAATCGTCTTCGTAAGGGACCTTCTACTTTGCTTTCCAAGCCCTGAATGCCGTACCCGTGACAAGATGGCTTAGACTAGGTAAGAAGCCTAATGTTCGTTCAAAGGACTAAGACTGTGTGAAGTAGTCCTGGAGTTCTCCAGCGGCGCATAGGCCAACGTACGGGCGCAGACGGAAACACGTGACACCCGTAAAGGACACGTTGAAGATCCTCAGGTAAGATAGGCAGAAGTGTGCCAAGTACCAGGTTACTGAATTACCAGGTGAAAGTCACGTTACGTATGAACACAAGAGATTTCTAGAATTACGTTCAATTCCAGAAGAGAAGCGTGAAGCTCGTAGAAGCTTGGGAGCGAGGCTAAATACTCCTTAGCGCCATAATTAAGCGAAATGTGTGCCTAAGGCTCAAGCGAATTTTCCCCCTCACAATGTACGCAGTTCTAGACTTTACATATACGGGTGCCGGAACTTATGTTTTGAACAGTAATCGAACCGTCTTGTGCTTAGACAGCCTCTGTATCTTCAATCAATCATTAGCATTGACTACAAGTCCTGACACTAGCCACCCCGAGGATGTCCCCCAAGGCAAAACCGGAAGGTGTCTGGGCCGACCAGCCCTTCAAGCTCCTCGACACGCCTGGCAAAGACAAGCCCGTAAGTCCCACTCCCCCACCCTTCCCGTTCCGGCCCTCCTCCCAACCGGCTAACCCCTCTAGCTCTCCAACCCCGTAATCTACGTTGCCTCGCACATGGCCCTTGTGCACAACACCTTCATTCGCGCCCTTAATAGCATATATTTGCACGCCCCCCTCATCGCAACCAGCAACAAGATCCTCTCGCGCGACCTACTGAGCTACTGCCAGTGCTGGGTGGCGCTGGTGGCCCTGCATCATCAGACCGAAGAGAAGTTCCTCTTCTCGGCCTTCGAAGAGCGGATTCCCGGCGCCAAGGGGGTTCTGGCTGTGAACGTGCAGCAGCACGAAGAGTTCCATGATGGCCTAGCTGCATTTGAGAAATATGTCGATAGTGCTCTAGCGGGGAAGGAGTCGTATGACTCCGAAAGACTGCTGAAGCTTATTGATGGCTTTTCGGAGCCGTTGATGACGCATTTCAATGATGAGATATCGACGCTGATGCGATTAGAGGAAACGGGGCAGGGGAAGGATGTCATGAAGGTGCACGAGGAGTTTGAGGTGATTGTGCGGAAGGATATTGATGGGGTAGGTTTTCCTCTTTTCTACATGCCCATGTCGACTAGTTCATATAGATTTATGCCTCCCAACGTGCTAACACATCCCAATAGTCAAAAGTCGGCCCAATGACGCTCCTCAACGCCGACAAGACGTATGAGGGCGGCAAACATCCCTTCCCCGTCATGCCCAAGTTCGTACCCTATCTGATCAAGTACCTGGTTTCGCGTAAGTACGCCGGTGCCTGGAAATTTGGCTCGTGCGATTACTGGGGGCAGCCGGTCACGCTGTTCATGAATACCCTAGAGGGGAAGAAGGCGCTTGCGGTGGCGTAGGTAACTTTGAGTGGGGAAGGGAAGGGAAGGAGAGAAGGGGCGTGGAGGGGGAGGATTGTACAACTCGGCCGGTGATGTGGGTTGTACGGGGCTGCTTCCTTGCTTGCTTGCTATGGCAGCCAGCATTTTTTCTTGATGCCTTCGTACGCGCTTACTATCTGCATCTCACCTACGGAATGCCACAGAGTGTAAATATTTCACAGCCTTGTCGGTTACAAACCTGTTCGGCAAACTTGATCAGAAGGAAGACTTTCAGTCTCCTCGATTCCCATCCTTGAATACTTTCTCTCATAGATCAATCATAGTAATAGAAGCAGACTTCCATCTTTCAGAATTAATCTAGGGTTTTCCAAAGTGAAGGAATTACCGCATTTCTTCTAGTCCATCTTCCTATATATATTCTCCCCATATCTGATTAATCAATCTCCCCAGACTGATCTCCCCAGATTAACCTCCCCAATTGTATCTTCCCAATAATCAACCTAGTCATCCGAGGCGTTCTTGAACTGGCTCGGCGCACTAATAAATTCCCTCCGGATCTTGTTGGCAAGCTCGATGACGGCGAGGAAGTCGCTGGCGCTGAATCTTACATGTTTTCAATCCTAGTAAGCCGCTGGTCTGTTGGGATTCTTTATTATGAGATGGGAGTATTGATGAGGAGAGGTGAAGCGCTGAGGTAGTGAGTCAAATCAAGTTTGAGGAGTTGATTCCTAGAAATTTCTTTCATTTACAGGTTCACAGGGAAAAGAGGAGCGGCAGTCGATTTTGAGTCTCGAACATACTACTGTATTGTCGTGAAGATTGCGAAACTATTCAGAAGATCTGTGTTACTCAAGGCCATGCTTCGCAAAGCCGTGGTTTCTCCTTGCATGATGCGTTTGTCTGAAGGCATAGACAAATATATAAGAACAAAGTGAAGAAGAATTGAATCTCCTAAGGCTCCCCAGCAACCACCTCCTCAATATTCTTCACCACATTTTCCATGGAGTCAAAAGTAGCCATTTCAGCCTCCAGCACTAAGGATCTTTCCTTATACTTCGGCCCCGAAATTACCTCGTCCACAGCCGCCAACACAGCTTCTGGAGTTGGTGTCGAAGTCTTCAAATTCACAGCAATACCAACCCACTCAACTCTCGCAGTAATCTCAGCCTTGTCTTCCGTAGTACCTCCAACGACCAAGCGTACGACATTCCCAACACCATGCTGAAAAGCACCATACCCTCCATTCGTGACAAATACAGCCCAATGAGGCAGTACGTCATCGAAGGGAACAAAGCTACCGACGCGAGCATTAGCCGGGACCAGCGTACCTTCCGGCACGGTAGCACCCTTCTTCCCTAATGCAACTACAACAATGATGTCCTCTCGATCCTGAAGACCAATCATTGTCGGGACAATTAAGTCCGAGAAGTTCACTGCGAGGGATCCCTGAGACACAAGGACAGCTTTCTTCGATTTGTTGGTGATAGTTTCGTCCCACCAGGCTGGAGGATCGGAAAACGCATCGCGATGGCCCTTAGGAAGACCGCCAGAGAATATGATGCTTGGCGGAGCGTCGCTTCGGGGATACTAGACGGAAGGAATACACATCTGCAGGAATCGACAGTGTGGGCTCCGATAAATTATCGATCGAAATTATCGATTAGTAATCGTTATCGGCTAAGCGATCAATAAACGATCGATATCGATAATTATCGTCGATAAAAGTGGGCCCAGCCATTAAACGAGCCCCATTACGGCTTTCTAGTTCAATTATAAACCGATTAGTATTAAGATTAGTATAAAAGTATACTATTATTACTATACTATTAGACTTTTTAACTTTTTATTTAATAGTCTATTATATAATATAGACTAGCTAGTATTTAATCCAGTTATCGATAATTCCATCGATAAAAGTGGGCCCAGCCAGCTATTAAGCGAGCCCCATCACCTCGATAATCATCGATAAAAGTGGGCCCAGCCAGCCCTTAAGCGAGCCCCATCGCCTCGATAATCATCAATAAAAGTGGGCCCAGCCAGCTAGCGAGCCCCAGTACATAAACATCTCGCTTTCTAGTTCAATTATAAACCGATTAGTATTAAGATTAGTATAAAAGTAGACTATTATTACTATACTATTAGACTTTTTAACTTTCCATTTAATAGTCTATTATATAATATAGACTAGCTAGTATTTAATCCAGTTATTAATAATTCCATTAATAAAAGTGGACCCAGCCAGCCCTTAAGCGAGCCCCATTACCTCAATAATTATTAATAAAAGTGGGCCCAGCCAGCCATTAAGCGAGTCCCATTATATAAATATCTCGCTTTCTAGTTTAATTATAAACCAATTAGTATAAAGATTAGTATAAAAGTAAATTATTATAAATATACTATTATACTTTCTATTTAATAGTTTATTATATAATATAGACTAGCTAGTATTTAATATATAATACTAAGATTTATATTACTATTTCTTCTAAAAAAGATTAAAATTTTTATACTCTCTTTTATTCTCTCTTTAATATATAATAGTACTTTATCTTTTATTATTTAAATATAGCTTCTGAATCTGCCTTATTAATCTATTAAGCCTTTACTAATATAGACTCAACTTAATTCAAATCTGATTCCAAATAAAGAGAACTTATAAGAGCTATTTGGGCTTATATTTATCTCGGGTATCCAGATATAAAAGAACTACCTAAATACTACTATTATCTTTCTTATAAAAAGGAAAATCTACTAAATATTTATTTGACTTTAGTCTTTACTAATTAATATAATTATCTTAAGTTAGTATATAATATTACTATTAAGAGCGAATTAAAAATTAGTTTACTTTAATTAAAAGTAATTAACTAGCTATAATAGCTTTATTTATAAGTAGAGTTATCTAGCCAAATAACTGAAATTAATATATATATATCTTTTAATAATATCTTAATTAGGTAGTAATTTATAAAGCTTTAATTTCATTAATTATTATCTATAATCTATCTTTTTAAGTAATTAAATAGCCCGAATTTCATATCTTTTATTAAGTACTTAATTTAGAATCTTAGCTCTTTCTTTCTATAACTTACTTTTATATAAGAAAAAAGTTTAGGAAGTACTAGGTTAGCTTAAAGAATATTATATAATAAAAACTCTAGTCTATAGTTTCAAGTATTTATTTTACTTTTAATATCTAAACTTCTCTATAAAAATATTTTCTTTTAGGTATTATTATATATTTTATTAAATAATAAGATAAGAATTATATAAAGGCCCTTCTAGCTCTTTATATAATACTAGGTTATTTAGAAGAAGACTAATTTATAGTTTTATAACCTATACTTTAAAACTATAGTATTACTAAATAATTTAAAGCTATTATTAGTAATAATACTAATATAAATAATATATTATATTAAGCTATTTAGACTTATTTACTAAAGGAAAAAGAATTAAAATAGAATACTTTATAATAGCGAATTCATTATTTAGGATATATTATTAACCTTTTTATATAAGCCTTTTTATTTTATAGATAGAGAATTAGAGGCACTTAATAAATAAAAGAATTTAGGAGATTTAGAAGCTCTATTAAGTAATAAAGAAAAACAAATAAAATTTCGACTTTTAGAACTATTAGGCTAGTTTTATAATATTATTATATATATTCGTTACTTTTCTAGTCAAATTACCAGATTTAAAGCTTTTACTAAAAGAATAATTTCTTTTAATAATTAGATATAATAGAATAGCTAATATATAATACTTAATATTACTTTTTAGTAATATACTTATCTTAATATCTATTATAAGAAATATCTTACAGATCTAAAATCAGATTATCTCAGTTCGGAAGACTAGAGAAGGCTTTAAATAATTTCTATCTTTTTTAAACTATTCTATAGAACTACTTTTAAGATTTAAGAAGATATTATAACTATTAATTGGGTACTTTTTATAATAGATATTTTAATTCAAGTATTTAATAGATTACTAGTAAGTAATAATTTTTATACTAATTTTTATACTAATCTTTATACTAATTTTTATTACTTGAATTAATAATACTAACTATAGTATAATAGAATATATATATAAATAATAAAGACTTTTATACTCGAATCCGGAAAGAATAGAAGGTTTTTAATATATATTACTATAAGTCTAATAATATACTTCTTTATACTACTACTCTTATACTTTATCTAAATTACTATATAAAGTATATTAGAGCTAATTAGAAGAAAAAATAGGTTTAGCCTATTTTAACTAAAGTTAAAAAGCTTTAGGAGAAATATTAAGATTAGATATTTACCTCTAATAGTTTAATACTAGTTAAGGAGATTAAATAGCTAGTAGAGAGAAAACTAGATAATTTTAATAAGATTACTTAGATATTAGGGAAATATATATAGCCGGCAAGTTAAGATAAATATAAGAATTATTATTAGAAGAAGCTATATAATATTAGAGACTTATTTATACTTTAATAGTAATATTAAGATATATAAAAAAGGTATTAGCTAAAGCTCTTATTTATAGCAATTAATATTCTCTTAATTCTAGTAATAAGTATTAAAGTAAAGTAAATCTTTTTAGATACTTACTATATAGTATTATAAAATAGAACTTAAATAATAGCTAAGACTTTAAAGATAGTAAAATACTTGAAATATTAGAAAAGAAATAGGATTTTAAGTATTTTTATTAATACTAATAAGAAATAGTAAAATTAGTATAAAAATTAATATAATTATAATTGTTTTCTTTATAATTTATAATTACTAGTATTTTAAAAATATAGTATCTAGTTAACTACTACTTTTACTAAAGAAGTTTCTTAAATATTATTAAATAGCTATAATATCTTCTATAACCTATAACTTAGAGTTAGATAAAAAGACGTATTAGTATAAGCCATTCTTTAGCTTCTTTCTAATATATACTAGTAGTATTACTACTTTATAGCCTTTTCGAGATTTAGTAAAGAAATAAAAGCTAGTAGTATTTAACTTAGCCTTAAATTCTGGCTACTAAATAATAGAACTAGAAAGATTAACCTATTTATTATTTCCCTATATCTAACTAGCCAAGTTTCTCTAAATAGCCTTTTTATCTAATATAAAGAATTTAGTAGAACTAATAAGTATAATATAATTACTATATAATAATTAGTAATTAATATAAAGATAAGTAAAATCTATATCTACTATATAATAATCTAATTTTATAAAATAAAAATCTCTTTTTCTTTTACTAAGTTTTCTATTATACTATAAACTTAATATACTTATATTTCTATTTTAGTTAGTTTTATACTAATCTTTATATTAATTTAAAAAGAGGTTATATATTTTAACTAAAGCTCTTTATATACTATTAGCCTTTTCTTTTATTTTATTCTCTAAAACTCGCTTAATTTCTTTCTCTTAATTAAGCTTTTTCTTAGTCTTTTATATTTTCTTAAACTATATATTATTCTTGGAATTATATTTAATATCTTCTTATACCGGATTACTATTATCCCAAGCTATATATAAGCTACTATACTTACTATAGTCAAGTAATTATTTAACTACTTTCTAATTCTTTTCTTATTATTCTCTAAAGCCAGATTAGTATAAAGATTAGTATAAAAATATTCTGAAAATATCTCCTTAATTTAATACTTATAATAGACTTCTATACTATTTCCTACTATCTTAATAGTAAAGTACTCTTATATACTACCGAGCTTACTATCTTATATTTTACTATTATAATTATACTTTAATCTATTACTTTTACTTTCTTAATTTTAATATAAATAGGGTTTTTTATAAGAGCTTTATTATATTTATATACTTTTATAGTATTTGGGTTTTAAGACAAATCTATTAGTACTTTTCTCTTATAAGTAATAGTACGGATAGATCTAATAGAAGAGGCTAGTTAAGATACTATATTAATATAGCTACTATTCTATAATATTATAATTAGTATAAAAATTAATATAATATAAGTATAGAATTATCTTAAGCTCTAGAAATAATTTAATAATAATTAGTAATATTTTATAATTACTAATATATTTAGTATACCAATTATAGTTTATTATTATAGAATATACTATAACAATAATCTATATAGAAATTAATAGATTAATTAGTATATTAGAATACTAACTTATAGGTTATAGTATAGAGTTATATAGTAATATAATTAAGTAGTTAAGAAGAGATTAAAAGATAAGTAAAGTAAAGTAAAATAAAATTAACTTTATAATATAAAATAATTTACTTTTAAAGTATATAAATTTTTTTTAAGCTATTATCTTATTCTTCTCTATTACTTTACCTTAGCTAATATCTTTCTTTTAACTATATTACTTTAACCCCTTAATTAATCCCTTAATTAACCCCTTCTATAGTATATCTCTTAATTTATATTAATTACTATATTAATTAAGATATAGTAATTATAATCTCTAGTTAATGATTTAACTATAGTATAAACCAAATAAACTAATAGCAAGTATATTACTTCTAGAAAAGCTCTTGCAGGCAAGGCTCTAAGAAAGACACTTAGTAGAAAAGGCTATATTTCTACTATTATATAAAAGAGAAAATATAGGTTCAAATCTAGTAGTTAGTTAATTAGTAAAAATATTAGTATATTTACTAACTGGATTTATAGCTAAGGCCCTTTAAGAAATCAGAAAATATTAAAGAAGTACTAATTTATTAATTTCAAAGATACTATTTTATTAATTAGTAAAGAAGATTTTAGCTTAAAAAAGTAAATAAGATATATATATCTAAGCTTTGGCTTTATATACTTTATAAGAGTCTGCAGAGACGCTTCTTATTATAGAGTTTGAGTATAAGTTATTTTTCTTAATTATACTAATTTTTATACTAATCTAATTCTAGTAATAAACCTTATAGCTATTTATATAAAGCGGATTACTATCCAGAAAAAGGATATAAAGCTAGTTTAATAAATAAGATTAGGAATAATAGGCATTAGCAAGGTTGGCGAATGCCTTATAGCAATACTATAGGGTAGTTAGTTTACTTGGGTTACTAGCAAAGTAACCAGGTCAGGCGTTAGGGAATTAACCTTTATATCTAAGGCAAAGCAGTTAGCTAGCTATTAGATTAATAAAGTAATAACTCAAATTATTACTTTTTTAATATATCTCAAATTAGTTATATTCTTTAAAGAACTAGTATAAATATTAATTAATTAATTAATTAATTAGAACAGAGAGCAGGAGGGGCAGATTCTGCCGGGCCCCTCACCGCCTAGAATAATAATTATCGCCAATTATCGATAATTATCGATTATCGACAAATTAGCGCGATTATCTAATCATCGCTTATCGAGCTTATCGGAGCCCACACTGGGAATCGATCTGGCAGACGGTATCCAGCGTCTATAAGAACTGCAATCCTTCTCGCCTTGCACCTAAGGTTTCCATGATTTCCAGGAATGTAGCCTGCGCTTTTGCAAACAGCTGCTCCTGAATGCCTTTGTTCATTGCCTTGTTTCTCTCTCGGCCCTCTGGAGAGCTGTCTGGTGGGAGACTGAGGCCGAAGGGTAGGCAGTCGATGCTTGATTGAGTGAGGGGGACGATTCCAAGGGAAATAGCTGCTGTGGGGCAGAGACCGGGGGCACCAGCCATTTCTGGCAACGATCCGTAGAATATGCCTTCATTCAGAAGAATGATCGGTCTGCTAGGGTGCCTTTCTTTGTGGATCCTCAACGCGGTTTGCTGAGCCTCGTGTTGGTATGGACTTAATGAAACATTCCTCCAGATCAAAGGCCAGCTGAACTGGGCCTTTAGGCAATGTCTCCCTAACCGGCCATCTTTCGTCGATCTCTGCTTCGGTGTAGTCGCCGTATCCGGAGAGAGGCACAAGTGATGCGCGGATTTCTTCGATGATTTTGCGATACGCAGATTCGGTTACGAACGTAACTTCGTAACCACGAGCGATAAGTTCTAGAAGTCGTCAGAAGAGTTTGATCCTAGACCCAGAGGACTATGATTTCTGGTTTGGAGTGGGATAACAATGGTGGCAGGAAGAGCTTGCCTTTGCCAATTGCGCGAATTGGCATCAAATGGCCATATATCGGCGTACAGCAAACAAGAATGAGCGGTTTGATGCTCGCTGCCATTCCGAAGGATTAGTGGAACGAACGGAATATAATGGATAGTTTTATGTTTTCTTGAGTATACGTCAGAACGGTATAGTGAAGAGGCCGGAGGTAAGTTCTCCTGAGTTAGAAGTGTGTGGGGGTGGAAATCAGAACCTGCTCGCAGCCGGGTACTGAGTTTAATACTTGTGCTACCGTCTCTTGTCTGCAGATGCAGGGACACGTACCTTCGGGCCTTACAAGTCTTCGCAAGCATGGGTAAAACCCAAAGACTTCTATTTTGTGACCCTGGGTTTGTCGTGGGATCACTGATTCATTCTCAATTCTCGAGAGGCCGCGACCCCTTGGCAGATACCCCTGAGGAATATTAACAGGGGGCTTCTCGCTTACGAGCCTGGTCGCATAAGCCTGTGCTTTTAACGATGTTTTCAGGCCTCGCCAAAGGCAAGTCATTCACTTTACTTCGTAATAATCAAACAATTATAAACCACAATGTCTTAAAACTCGAGGGTATTAAACAAATGAATCTATTTTTAGTTTTAAGAACTTATTTAAAGTTTTTGCGATATAATTTAAAATTATTAAAGTTCTCTTCAGGGCTCTTTTGTTAGCAAATACGCTAAAAGCACAGACTTATGCGATCAGGCTCGTTAAGCAAGAACTCACCAACCAGCGTCGCTCTGCCTTGTTACGGCCAACCGTAGCAGAGTGGGGGTCTCGGAGGGAACTTGGAACGAGGGGTATGAGGTGGGTGATATTGCGATGATAAAGCCTTCAGGTAAAGCCTAACTGCAAAGTGTGGTCTAACTCCGTTACACCTTCCACGATAAAGATTGTTTTGCTCCTTCTTGAGATGCCATTTGCTTGAATTTCTCGTCGATATATGGAATGGGAAATTTTTATATAGAGAGAAATATAACAAGCAGCAAGTTGGAGGTTTGAAGCTCTTCTGGATCGAGAATCTTATATCAGCTGATATCAGATATATTATTAAGTAGCTAACTAGACAGATACAAGATATGTTATTACGAGCCTGCGATCATGGGTCTGTGCACACAAGGCATTTTTCATCAAAAATCACGAAAGTTAGATATCAAAGCAGCGTTTAATTAGGAGTTGACCACCCATGCCGCTGCAGAAGTACTTGTACCCAATGCTCTTGCTTTAAAATCAGCTTGTTTATCCAGTCCTGTGGTATTGCCTCCCACTCTTCTAATATTGTGTTACAATAAAACAATGTTGTTGTATTGTAATAATAATATATTGATAGATGAGAAGAAAGGAGGTGTGGCACGGGTGGCCAAAGCTTAAATATAGTGAGTATGGTCACGTGAGCCTGCACGTGACCACTGGCATGCAGTTGCCATGCAACATATTGCCTGCCTTATCTCTGCCTCAGTCATAGGTTGGCGATTTCGTTAATAGAGAGCTTGTTTAATCCACCGCCAGCACTTCTTAATAGGGTTTATATCAGGAGACGTAGAAGGATGAAGTAGAAGGATGAGGTAGAAGGACGATTCCATGCTTTGAACGGTATTGTGTATAGTAATTTGACGTAGACTTGTAACCATAAGCTGAATTACCATCTTCCATAAATAAGGGCTCTATTGCCGGTTGTAATTGGTGAGTAATAAAGGCGAAAGCGTCCAGTATTGGCTATAAGTAGTTGAGAACTTGTACTAGGTAATTGACTTGTTTAAAGGCCCCCTTCTTGCCTATACCGTTAATAAAAATCAAAGAGCTTTTATATCCAAAACCAATAGCTCCCCACGCATTAATAGGTATTATATAACTATAGTGAAACTAATATTAAATATAGTTCTTATAATATCTCTCCGACTTTCCCTTTTTCGTATTTTTTGTAACCCTAGCCTTCGCAAATCGTCCTCTAACGAGTGTTGTGATGGGGATTTGATTGTTATATGGTTTTCGGACCATATATAGGCGTTTGGATGGGTGGGAGAGGGTAAAGGGGAAGTAATAAACTAAGTACTCAAAAGTAACACTCTCAATAGTAGTAAGAAGTAAAGCAAAGGTCGAAAATAAGGGGCTCTAAAGTATGATGTATTGAGAAGGCTAATCGTACGTATGGACGGAAGTCTTATGCAACCCCTTAAACTAGCGCCAGCATGCCTGGGAAGCAGGACACGTGACGGTAGTCACGGGACAAGAGAGAAAAAACCCCACTACAGTGTAACGGCACTAGCTAGGGCTAAAGGGGAGTGGCTGTCATATGACTGGTTTTACCTAGCTAGCCGGCGTTTTAGTAGTTTTAGCTAGTATTTCCCTTCTTTTATCCCCTTTTCTTCTCTTTCTCTTTTCTTCTTCTCCTTAGCTTAGTATTTTTAATATATGAGATTCTTGGATCTTTGAGCCCTGGCTATTACCTTAATCCCGCTATTATAATAAGGAAGGTAATCTCGTCTAACTAAAGAACTTATAACTACTTTATAATCTAGAAAAGATATACTATTACCTAGAAATATTATATAGTAACTTATATAAGAGTTAAATAAGGCTTTTGATATACTATATAACGGTAATAGCCTTATTAATATATCTGGCACCTGAGTATTTATATAGAGTACTTAAACTCAAGCTCTTTCCATATCTTCTACTAGTTTATTATTCATATCTCCTATTGCTATAAGTAGTATATAATAGCTTTATTAACTTCTCGATCGGATAGGAGGAAGGTAGGGTCCTTTTAATTAGGGCATCGTCGTTCTGGGGCTGGGTAGTGTGGGAGGGAAACTGCGACAAGACAAAAACCCACATAAAGTATACCAGAGCGCAAAACGTGACTTGACAGCAAAACAACAAGATCAAAAGCGTAAATAGTAAAGCATAAACAGTGTGCAGTGTGCAAAAGCTCAATTGATTGAATACTGAGGAGGGATTGTTCTCTAGGACTACAGAAAAACCAGCTTTCTTATGTGATTTCCGCAAGTCACGTGCAAAAGGCCGCGGCCTTTGCCATGTGACCAAAACCTCAAAACCGCCAAAATAACATGATTTTTGGAGAGTACGGCTTGCCGTACCACAGTAGCCAAGGATCTTTTGGATCGTGGTATTGCCAAGCTTGTATCATACTATTAAGGCGCAAACGGGAGCCTTTCCAAACCAGTAAAGCTAGTATATAGCCTCCTTGTGTTTCGTAGGGATCTCATAGCCTTTTTCGTACTGAAAATCGAGCGGTAGGGGTATGTTCAGGGTGGTTGTTCTAATTTAGTGGGGGGCTGGTTGAAAGAGCGCCTGTACGCACAGACCCATGATTGCAGGCTCGTTAAGTGGCTAACTATACGGATACGACCGAAATGTTCTCCACAAGCTGAACCTGTCGACCCTGCTCCTCTGGGTTAATGCAAACGGTATCTACCCATATAATTCGTTCAAAAGAGTAATCTCGAAGACGTAATAGCGCAGCATATAGGTTTACCCGTAACAGGAAACTGATCCATATCTACCCAGATAGGCAGAGAAGAGCTCCCAAACGTCTAGCATAGCGGCTCTATATACCCGTATACAATATATAGACAGCAGAAGCGTTGCCAACAGATCCGATAAGGTGGTAGGCGATTGGTCTCGTGTTTTTATTACTGTTTATTAGTCCAAATCACGAGCTATCTCGCTAATCGTGGTGATTGTCAGCCATTTGCTGACTCACCCAGACCTTCCAGGACACCAGGGGGGTGGTGGCTGAGTTATTAATAAGCCAGCCAATCGCACTTTCCCGCCAACCAGCTGCGAGTCAGAAACCCTCGCTACAAACTGGCATCTCAGCTTCTGCATAGACTTTTGCGGTAAGAATGCAGTTCGCAGGCACGAACTAACGTATCGTGAGAAAGAGCAAGATGGAAGCGAACACTACGTAGTGGTTTCTCCGAACCGGAAGCTGCTTCCTGTAAAACCAACAACTGGACGTCAAAGGAGTAAGCTGCTCTCCGCTAAATGCAAGGTATATATCCTCAGCTGCGGCTGACTGACTGGCTTATTGCCCATCCTGGTTCCTACAAGGCGGTTAAATCAATTCCGCGTCCTGTTCTTTGCTGTCCCTCTTCTTAAAGGCAGTTCAAAAATCCCTATATAATTGGCAATACCCCTCCAGTTTTTTCCATGGCAGATATCTTCCTTCAACTTTGCTTCTCTTCAAGATCAAAATCCCACTGCGGCCATAAAATAAAACCTCCAACAACGATGGATATCTCCCAGCTTGTCACTTCCATCGATGCAGCCATAGCGAGTCTCGGCCAGGCGCCACCATCTGACGCCGATCGTCAACAGCTTCTGGCAGCTTCCAAACGACTCCAAGAGGCATCAGAATCCCCTCTAGATGCAACTGCATCCATTGTTCTTGGTGTAAATAAAGACAATATTCCACCCAACTGGGCTGCCAGAGCTAACGGACACAATAGATCCATCGCCAAGCAGCCATCCGAACAGCTGTTGACATGGGACTCTTCCCTGCTCTCCTCGGTGCGGGAGAAGGAGGCATCACTGCCCTGGAGCTGGCGGAAAAGACCAAGTCTGACGAGATTCTCGTCACCCGTATCATGAGAGTTGTAACAGCCACTGGCTATGCGAAGGAATTTGGAGTTCGGCACTACACAACGACTCCCAAGACTGAATTATTCGGGCCCAAATCTCCATTGATTGATGTGATTGTTCATATGTTTGTCTCCATCCACAGTTCTCTCTCCCAAAAGAAAAGGCTAAGATTACCGACAGGGCACCACACGCCCAAGCCCTCGTTAAGCTCCCCGAATACTTCCGCGTAAACGGCTACGCAAATCCCAACTCCATGACCTCGGGGCCTTTCCAGTTCGCCTTCAACTTCAAGGGCACATACTTCGATTGGTTGAAATCCATTCCCGAAGAGCAAGAAGCTTTCAACCGCATGATGGCCCTCACGCGCATGGGGCGGGGAGAAGAATGGTTTGACTTCTTTCCCACTGAATCACGCTTCAGCTCCACTGATCCCTCCTCCCCTCTCCTCGTCGACATCGGTGGCGGCTTAGGGCACGACTTATCTGCTTTCCACAAACGGTTTCCAAATCTCCCTGGGAAGCTTATCTTGCAGGATCTCGAACCTGTCATCAGCAATATCACCTATCTAGACCCAAAGATTGAACGACAGATTTATAACTTCTTTACACCGCAACCGGTGCAAGGAGCGCGTGCTTACTATATGCGACAAATCTTACACGATCACCCTGATGGTCCTGCTATTGAGATACTTAAAGGGATTCGGGAGGCTATGACGAAGGATAGTGTGTTGCTTGTCAATGAGAATTTCTTGCCGGAGATGGGAGCTTCGTTGTAAGTGCATTCTCATCACTTGTTTCGCATGCTACGGCTCTTTGAAACTACCGCCCGTCCACCTTCGTTCTTGGAAATCTCTCTCCTATGTATGCTGACGATGTTGTCTGCAGGTATAACGCGGAGATTGATCTTTCGATGATGGCGCTATTTGCGAGTATGGAGAGGACGGAGAAGCAGTGGGTTGCTTTGCTTGAGGAAGCTGGGTTGAGCGTAGTCAAGGTTTGGACACCTAAGACGCAGTTGGATGGTAGTGGGACGGTATTTGAGGCTGTGAGGAAGGACTGAGCTGGTTGTTAACTTGTGAGCATGATATTCATGACGCGTTGGTAGAACACGGCCCGTACCTCTCCTTACAAAGCCACATTCTATTTGCTCGTGATGAATTACTACTTGACAGGCTTCTTCGTATAAATAGATGGTCTTGGCGGTGTTGTGGGCACCCTTTGCCTGAGCTAGGTAGGTACTTAGGTAGAAGTCTTAAATTAGGTGAATTTTATTCGGTCATAAGATCAGGATCTAAATTGTAAGATACTCCGCATTGGGGATTCATAACTGAAGATATAAATTTGAAGTTGAGGAGTGCGGATTGAAAAGGGTACTGTGATAATTTTGGGGCTCGGTTTGCCTTCAAAATGAGCGAGGCAAACTTGGTTCCACTTGCGAAGCATCAAAACTATTGACACTTATATGCAGCATTGATTGTGAATGGAAAATTCTGTGCCTTCCCAAGTTGATGATATTCAAACATTGGCGTTCGAGTTGGCATGCGATTCAATCAAATTGTATGAGGACGGCAGAGCGGCAAGGCACCAAGCGCCAGACATACGTACAATCGAGCTCGGAAAAGTGGCAACAAAAAAACTGGACGTATTTAACCCCAAAGTCATGAGCATTTGACTGGAAAAAGTCGTGTGCTCCGAACCTAATGCAAGAGATTAAGCGAAGCAAGGAAGTACTTTTATTTTAGTACTCATTAGGTCGCAAAAATACATTTATTACTAGACATCCTCCCTACAAGTTTCTAACTAGCCTTTACAGACTTATGAATCCTTTTTGAGTGTCTTCCAAGCTTCAGCTGTTTTAAATATGCTTCGACATCCCCATCTTGGCATAGACTGAAAGCTCTAGTAAGTTGCGCCATGGTTATTTGTCGTCGAGGCTTGATGTCGGCCGTAGATGTGTGAGGTTCAAGACTAAGGGAGGTGGGAGGTGTAATGTATTATCATTCTGGAAATGGCGGCCTGTCAGCTAGTGTGTGTGATGTTTGCATCGTGGTGATCTTGCCTTCAAGTGAGGTCTTCGTCGCATATTTCAGCTCATCTTGTGCGTGCCTTCCGATTGTTCACTTCTTGATCTTCTAGCCGTTACGGGGACCAGACGTCTGCTACGCTTGGGAGATGGCACACGTATCAATACTGACACTAAGAGGACCCGGGCTGCTGTGCTCACCCGCTTTGTCCTCGTCTTTCCTGGCGGGAATGGATCAAAGCCGCGTCCTGTTGTCCACAAAATAGACAACGGTCGTATAGCAGCAGCCAACCAGATCGGACTCGAAAAAGGGGATCGAACTCGCCAATTCAGCCACTCATATCGCTCGAGTCCAGAAACCAGAAAGCTGCGCCCCCTGATCCCTTCATCTTCCCACTTATTAAGGCTGACATGAAGCTTCAAGATTTACTTTTACAAGGTAAAATAATTGGTATTTTTAATCTGAATCTCCAAACCAATCAGGAAACGGTTTCTATCCTCTTTTCCTAAGCTCCAAATGCGGCTGAAGATTTTCCACCTCAATGGCACTCACGTTCGTCTCTTAATTGGTTGTCAGTACGTTTACGAAGGGGCGTTTTCAAGGCACCCCGGCACTTCGGCATCGCAGGAACCCCGTTGAACCCGTTGCCGTAATAGACGCCGCAGGGGATGATCCCCAAAATAATCTTTGAATTAGGTTTTCCCAGATCATAAATGCCAAGAGCGGGCTCATCTTCGACTCCAGGGATCAGCCTGGATTAGAGGTGACTTCACCTACAATGCGGCAAAATCTGGAGTACAAGCCATATAAATAGTACAAGATAATAAAGATTATGAAAATATTATTAAATATATTTTATAAAACTAAGTAAATTTATAATTAAAAGCTTCTTAAAAGAAGTTATAATTATTAAGACATTTATATATAAAATAAAGAGAAAAGAAATAACTTTAAAATGTTTTTTATTTATATATAGATTTTATTAAAAATATATTTATTAATTGAATATAATTTTATAAGGAAATAATATAATTATAATAGCAGGAATGAAGCAATGAAATAAGGCTTCAAGATGTGAGACATTGCTTTTGATTGCCTTGATCTCAATGTTCTCGAGTCTAATGGAGGCTGCCTGAGGCGATTAGTTTATTGTTTCCCAGTCAGAAATTGAACAGGCTTACAAGTCAAAGGTCCACGAGGCTGTTGTAGTGATTTTGAGAGGATGAGGGATAGATCGAACAGTGGCTGAGATCTAGAACAATGCGAGATATAGGAGAAGTAGAACCGGTGAGGCGTGGATCAGGGAATATTTAAGCGCAATAAGAACTATACCACAAGGTATAGAAGCATGTGGAATATCTGACAAGAAATGGATTAGAGCGCCGACTGGGCATTTGAAGCGAGGTTTTCACGCCCTTGGACAAATCAAGGACCGCAATAAACGTCCCCTCTGAGTCCTAAACAGAGTTCATAGATTCTCGTTGGGTTACCTTTGATTCTAGGGGAGACGGGGCAGAGATCAGATATTGGGACGAGATGCGGTGCTGGAACCCCTACTGCTACTTGGCGGCTCGGTGTATCCTGAAACTAAATCCCCTAAACGTTTATTGTAGAAGTCCCTAGCAGAGATGATCTTCCTTCCTAGATGTTCCTGCTTTCTCGAATTCTGTCCGCGAAGAGCTGTATAGGCTATGTGCGTTCTGCCGTATCAACATCAGAGCATTTCCGCCTTTCTTGAAGCTAGAAGTTCGGTTGTCCCTGCGAGTGAACTTAAAGAATACTCCCAAAATTGTTCCCAAAAAGCGCCATGCCCCCTTCACAATAACCAGAGATCATTTTGATTCCCGAATGTGACTACTACAAGTTTTTATCATGAAACTACTCGTACGCATGGCAAGATTCGGTCATAAAGGGGTTCCTCGCTTAAAGGTAATCAATCACTCACACACCCCCTAATAAATACTACCAGGCCAAACGCCTTCCCCTAAGTGATTCTCCATCTCACCTTGAATAACCCAGTCCTAACCTCTCTAAATATCCACCCATCATTACCTCCCCAACCCCTCCCGCTCCATTCCACTACTAACACACTTCCAATATTAACATCAAAATCAATATCTAAACATCAACTCAACCTTCCCTCTATTCCCAACAATCCAGCACTCACTCAAACAAACAACTATGCCCACACCTCGCCATGCGCGCCCCCTCTCTATCCCCGTCTCCCTCTCCCTCTCCAAAACAAAATCAGCACTGAGCCCCCTCTCTCGTATCAAATACGGAATCTCAACCCGGGCCAGCGAATGCCGTGCCTTTAACACGCAATACGAGCTCTCGATTCCTCTAGTACTGGTTCTCCGATTTGACCAAGGATGAATGGTACATTGAACAGACAGCCCCAGAATATTGCAAGAGCTATTAGTAGTCTGCAATCTCTAACTCCTTTAAACACTGTGGTCTCGAATGGCTTTTAGCAACTTCACAATATAAAGTCCGCTAACCCTAAGACTAATATAAACTAGTATTTAAGGAACTTATATAAGAAGTTAAAGAAATATATTTTATAATATTATTTATATTTTCAAATTCAAATTATTAAATATATAATAATATAAAAGTAATACAAGGCGGTTTATATAAGAAATATATAACAAATTAAGAGAATGCATTTTATAATATAATTTTATAATTTTTCTTATTATAACTCTTATTTAATTATATATCAAAAACATAATTATATAATATAAAGCTAATATAAAACGGTATTAAAGGGAATTATATAATATAAGGCTAATGTAAAATAGTGTGACGGCGCTGGCTGGGGGCCAAAGGGGGGTGGCTATCACATGACTGGTTTCACCTAGCTAGCCGGCGTTTCAGTGGTTTTAGCTAGTATTTCCCTCCTTTTATCCCCTTTCCTTCTCTCTCTCCTTCTTCTCCTTAGCTTAGTATTCTCAATATATGGGATTTTCCTGGATCTTTGAGCCTTTATACCATTGCCTCGATCCCGCCGTCACAAATAGTATTTAAGGGAACTATATAATAAACTAAGGAAATAAGTTTCAAAATATAATTCTTAATTTCCTGAAAAGTTATTTTAAGTTTTTATTATTATTACTTTAATTTAATTATATATTAAAAATATAATTATATAATATTAAGTTAGAATAAGCTATTAATTAAAGGAATTATCTTATAAGCTAAGGGAATGCGTTTTATTATATAATTCTTAATTTCTAAAAAAAAAATAAGTATTCCAAGTCCGTGAAATTCCAGGCCCTTATTACGGCGCTGAAAAGGGGATCCACGCCGCGCAGGGTATTTGGGTGTATGCCAAGGTCGCCGTCAAAAGTGTTTTGGTTAAGAAAGCAAGGCCAGCCCCGATTCGAAGAAACCACTGCTGCTGATTATCGCTTTGAACGATTACCCCATTTAGAGAATAATAGAATAGGTGGTGTGTGACAGCTGCCGACGTGCCTGGCGGGATCCGGCCGCATATAAGCCTGGGAGAAAGTGGATCCTCGCTATTGTGTTGCCGCACGGTGGGTCCTGACTCCTGACGAGCCCACCCTCAAAAGTCCGTGTTTTTAGGGCATTTCGCTAAGAAGCGAACGCCAAACCCAATTTTGTGCCTTTTATCTTATTCTCTAAATCGCTTTAAAAGAGTTTTAAAACTCACTCTAGCTTCTTTAATCATATATATATATAAATTATAATAGGTTATAATTAATAGTTATTATATATTTGTCAAGTGAAGTGGGAGACTTTGGTTTTGCGATACCTGAAAATATCGCTAAAAACACGGACTTTTGAGGCCGGGCTCGTGAGAATAGACGAGAGTAGGCAAAATATAGAGGAAATCGATGGCACATTTTTTAAGCCAGAGAATTCAATAACAGCCACCTGGGCCTTGAACACGCCCTTACAAATAGAGGCCTGGATGCATATGCGGGGAGAGATAGGGGTCAAAAGTGCGGCTGATTGTGCGCCACTCACCAAAGGTGGTTCAGCGACGGCAGGCCGGCTCCAGGTTGGCACCGACCAAATGGCACCAACACGAGCTCTTCATTCGCCTCCTATCTTTCCTCGGCAGCGGTCGTCACATTTAACATGGTACAGGGGGTGTAAAGCTAAAGTGCAACGCTTTCACAAGGGAAAATGAATATGGAGGCATATATAAGCTTATGTTCTTCAGCTTCTTCTGGTTTAGCATGCATGAAGGACGAACCCAAGTCTGTAAATATGATTTGTAGGTCTGCCCCGTTGAGGCTCGGTTCCAGATCTTAAAACCAGCAGGTTACTTCAGCTGCAAGCCACACATAAAAAGCTCGCCCAAGCAGCAGTCGTACGCCCGTGTTTTGCCACATTGATTTTCTTGGCAATGGCTACCTTGGACTCTTTTAGGGTTGTAGATCTTCGCCAAGACGCGGGAGAGCCCGGTGAACGAAATGAGCGAGGACAGCTCCTGCAGCCACAGGAGTATTGAAACAATAACTCCAGGATTTAAGCATGCGATGATTGGCCGTCTGATATCAATTGAACCAAGAAGGTAACCATTGGCGATACTGAAGAGCCTAATCTAGACCACCAACTCCGTGGCGAAATGCTCATGGCTACTCGTACATATTGTGCGCGAAGGTCGCGACTGAGGATGCGAAATTCAGAGCTTTTCAAAGTCGCATTAGCTACCGTCGAGATCGCATTGCAACTGCGCCGCAGACAATTCCCTCACAATGTTGAACAAAGTTCTACCCCTACTGTTTCTCTTTTTCTTTTCGACACACCGAGTTAAAGCACAGACTGGAACGATTAGCGTTGGCCCTCTCCTGAGCTGTGGTATCACGACCTTTAACTGTCCTGGCGTGAGCGGGTGCTGTACAATTGGAGGCTGCTGTGGAGGAGGATGCTGTGAGAATGGTTATACCTGTATCAACGAAGGGACATCGGCCGAGGCATGTTGCCCAGCATCTGATCCAACCAAGTGTGGCACCGCAGCAGCGGTAAGTCTCTAGAGCAAGACATACCATCTTGTTCTCTCCTGTCGCGAAAGCCAACGCTGATAAATGATGCGTATTATAGCCATCTAGTTCTCCTTCCGGGGGACACACATGTACAAATGTCGAAGCTTGCGCTGCGGTAACCGAAGACGGTGTCGGCTGGACATGTGTCTTGGGAAGGACATGCGGGTTTTCATACGGAGAGTGCAATCCATGTCCCTACATTGCGGGCAGTGGGTCTGGTCCATCAACCGTCAGCTATGCAGGGAGTAGTCCAAGCACTACTAGCTATTCAGGAAGCAGTCCAAGTTCTGTTAGCTCTCCTGGGACTAGCCCAAGTCCCAGTAGCGGCTCGACAACATCTTTGGGGTATAGCTCAAGAGGAAGTGGCGTTGGATTACGCTGGCTGGCGGCCGTTAGTCTTGGGGGTGTAATTGCTATAGCTGTTTTGTATACTTAGAATTCTTCCGATCCCCGCAAGACTTGATGGGCAACTACACGAAAGAAAAGTGGCCTTGATGGTTTTCTTATCTTGGACAAGATTTCACCAACGAGCATGCCATGTGTGTTAACGTCTGTGACAAGGTCTTCGGCATTCATAGTTTGGTCAAGGATTGCTGTAAGAAAGCCGTCCCTGTTGACTACTCTAAGGCCCCGGTTCAACTAAGGTGATGTTCTCTTGCACGCCTTTCGGCACCATCGACCAAGTGGATTTCAATACGTTCAAAGTAGTCTGAGGAAGGTTTGAGGGGAGTGAGGAGTTCTTGCTTCTCGGGGGTTCTGCCTCGTCCACTGTTGATATTCTGGTTTTTTTTGGAAAGCTCGAGGTGGTTCGCAGCTCTTGCTTGAAAATTTCAAGCCACACAGGATCCTTCTCAAGCATGTCATCTCCAATTCAACCCCCAACTTTCTTTCTTGCTCTAATTAGGTAGCAGACCTCAACTCAACGAAGAGTGCGGCCATGCCTCCTCCTGCTCCACGTGTGTCCAACCTTCAGCTGAGGATGGTTATCCTACTGTGCTTCTACTTCATCTCGTCCTTTAACATCCCGTGCCGAGCAATTTTCTCCGCAAGTCCAGCTCTCCGTCCACATGATAATATGCTTGTGAGCAGTCTGGTCGGCCAGTTCGCAATTCTAGCACATGGCCGGGCGACTTCCGAGGATGGTTGATCAGTTCGCTTTTCAGTGGATTTGGCATCCTCGCGTTCTTGATCAGGAATTATGTCGTGTTGAAGCCTAGGCTGGATGCAAAAATTGTCTTCCATATGTTTCCTGTTGACTACCTTGCTGGTGGGAAAGTGCTGGTGGCCTAATCGAAGTCAACAACATAAGTCCGTGGCATACATGGAATGATCTTTGCGAGAATGGTGCCGCTGATATGTGTCCTTGGTGATGGGAGGAAAAGATTGATCGGCGAGTCGGACGCTTGACATAAGTATCACCAGGTGGGCCAGAACGAAAGTCGTCAGCTCGAAACCATCTCGAGTTCAGGAAGATTTAGGCAGCCAGTTAGTGGTTGGTTCTGTTGGTTGGATCTGGACAAGGCAGTGAGTCAGCGCTCCATCTGCTGAAGGCCCCGTGCAGCAGCGAAGCCTTAACAATCAAGTGTTCGAAACATGATGTGAGTAGGGCAGCTCAGTCCTGAAAGAAGGGCACTGAGAGACTTCGTGCTTAAGCTCCTGAATACTGATCCGCGTGGATGGATCACGATCGAAGATTTGACACAATATAGAATTTGCTTCTTCTGATAGCGGTAAAGTGGTCCTGAGAAAGTTACGGTCGTTCATAAAGGCAACATACGTGGGGTCATCGAAAGTTGCTTCTTTCCACGGATTGCGACCGCAGGTCAAGTTTACTAGGATAACACCTAGCGACCATATATCATGAGGAGCACATCTATATGACGCGTCTGTGAAAAGTGCAAGCCGGTTTTCTGATGTTGATGTCACTGGTAAGTTTATGAACGTTTGAAGGATCGCAATCAATACGTGCCTGGACTAGCGTAAAATTTGCTTCCTAAATAGCCTGCTATCTCTTCCGTTCTTGACAGACTAAAACCAGCCAGTAAAATTTGATTACCAGAGACCAGAATATGCTCAGGCTTGAGATCCAGGTGGTAAACTCTGAGGCGGTGACAGTGTTCTACAGCATCCAGAAGCTGAAGAAAGGTGTTGCGAATGGAATCATCGTCAAAAGTCCTCCTTGACTGCGTAATACTGTCGAAAAGGCCGCCTTCCGGGTAGTAAGGCATGACAGTATAAAGATAGCGGTCGGAGTCAACTATCTTAATAAGGGGAATTATATTTGGGTGAGCAGATACTTTATCATGGACGCAAATAGACTCTTTATGTACGCGTAGACGCGCCGATGTTTTGTTGAGAGCTTTCACTGCATACCAAAGCTGGGTCCTCGAATCGAATGCTTTATACACCACTCTTTCATTTTCGAGACAAGTCACAGAATTCACTACGCCAAGGATGTGAAGCGACCCGCTCAAGGTCATACCAATCATCGATTCCGGTTTGCAATGGTGATTGCATGCAAATTGCTGATTTGAGTGGGGTGTATAGATTCGATTTTTATGCTCCATGCGATTGACACAAATGACGATTTGTGTGTAAGTACGATGCTCTGGATTTTGGATCCTCGTACCTAGCTGTTCAAGAGCCCACTCGCCGTTGATATAGTTTCTAGTCATACGGATTCCAGAGAGATTGAGACCACCGTTAACAATCCTACGGGTTCCAGAGAGATTGTGATCAATGTTTTCAATCCAGCGGTCCATAGCTTCGGCAATGTTGCGTATCGCGTCAGCGCGTTTGTTCCATCGGCCATCCCTAATACCACAGGAGATGAAAAGGTAGCACTGTATGAGTTCATTCAGGAACACCCTGATTAATATGGCCCTCTCTTCAGACTCTTGCTCAAAAGCCCTTAGCCTTGCTGAGAGCATGATCGACGTCTCGTAACCCCCATTCGCGCTGGGTCGGACTCCGGTGCTCGAGAGACATAAACCGCCGTATGGTTGCTCTTGCGACCAATGCCATCGTACACGACCAGAAAGTGCTTCATGGAAGAACGCTTTGTTGGCTATGGTCAAGATGCTGTCTAGGGCATCATCGTCGACGAGCCAGGTTCCCGAGATAATACCCTGAAGCATTGTCCGGAGCCTACTCTTTGACCACCTATGTTGAACCTCCAATTCAACCCTTCGGACTGCCTCCTGGATACTTGATGTCTTGTAGGGCGGGTACCACCGGCCAGGTTTTGGACTAAGGGAGTTCTCGGCGTCATGCCAATGGCCAAAATGAGAAATCGATCCACGAGATACGGAGACATCCGAGGACATTTCATCTGATGAGAAGGTTATAGTCGCAAGGTTTGACCCGGGTTCATTTTGAGTTAGATTCCTATCCGAGGTCTGTAACCCGTTGGTTCGCGGGACGGAAAAACTCTGACTCGGTTCCTCCGTGAGATCGATAATCGGTACGTTATGCTCTATGCCACCAATCATCGCTGTATCATCCTCCAGGTCCATATTCTCCGTTTGAATATCTTCGAGTTCGTGCTCGGGAAGATTCCCTCTAAGAAGAGTCACAATTTGCGACTTGTTTCTGTAAAAGATCTCTGGAGTTAAGCCGGCGGATTGCAAGTCCTTTCGAATCTGTCTCCAGATTTCCTTGCGATTCGGGGTTAGTGAACGCGATGTGTCTACTGAAAAGGCAGAGGTCTCGCGGGATTGCCGCCGAACCTCAACGAACCTCCCCAACATTTGTCGCAGCTTCAAGGTTTCGAGGGACCTGACTCCGATGGCTGGTACTCCATTTTATAGTTCGACGGAAGTATGTCTCCAGAAAGCTTACTGTGTGTATTCGGTATGCTTCATGGTGAGCCAAGAAGTATCCGCCTTTATTCTCGTCTTGGTATCTTTCATCTGGGTCGACACTTCGCTTCTCTCCACACTCGATGCCGAGTCATCCTCAATTCGCAACCAACGTTCCCGAACTGCCTGTAGATCTTCAATGATTTTTGCATGGCGCCGCTCGGCCAACGCAACAGCTTGCTTGCCATTGTCGTCCACCTCGATATCTTGCAAGAGTAGCCGTGTGTCCTCCAAAATTGCGGCAAGGCTTTGGGCCAAGTATTCTACTGCTTGGAAAGAGTTCGAGGATTCTGGCCCGCACCGACCGTTAGCATACGGTAGCGTTCCTTCGCTTCGGGGCGTGAATCATAGCCTGGAATCTTACCGGTATAGAATTGCCTCATATCGTTCAATTGCCCGACATTGTGATTGCCCTGGAATATGTGGCCCGAGCCGTGGGCATTGATCGTGCCAGAGTACGTGCGGGGGCCATCAAGCTGGGAGTCGTTGGAAGCGCATTCTCTTGACATGCTTGCCACCGACTCTCTTCGTTAAAATGCGCATAAACCCCATAAGGAGTATAGAAAAATGTTCAGATGATAGCGAGCAAGTGAGGCTGGATTGCGAAGTGATTGATTGGTCGGATACGAGTACGAGAACGAGGACCCCGCGTTTACGAACCCAATGTGCTCAGACAGTGGAGTTGAAAGATAAATAGCCTCACTGCAACTACAAGCAACTTCTCAAGACGAAGATATGGCTGCGGCCAACGAGCTGCCTTCCACAGCTGGCCCCTACGGTCTGCAAACACTAGCAGAACCCGTATTCCCAACGCTAGAGTAAGCGCATAATTCCTGGCCGTGGCAGGTGGGTGGTGCTGAGCAAACCGCAGTATTGTTTTTGTCCACGGATTGACAGGAAACCGAGAAACAACTTGGACACATAAAACGACCCGAACTTTCTGGCCCTCAGATTTGCTACCCAAAGATCTTCCAAACGCCCGAATACTTACATTTGGCTACGACGCAGACGTCGTCCGCGCGTTGGATGCTGCGTCTTCCAATTCGCTCCGCGATCATGGCAAGAGCCTTGCGCATGAGCTCGCTATGAACAAAATGAGGGCTAGAGCTATCGATCGGCCGACATTCTTTGTAGCCCATAGCTTGGGAGGCCTTGTGTGCGAGCAGGTAACCAATTCTTACCTACGTTACGCCAAGCTTCTGATCATGTAGTCAGGGTCTCTTAATATGCCGGAATGCAGCAGAAGCACACCTGAACGCGCTGCTAGACGCTGTTAAGGGGATCATTTTCCTTGGAACGCCACATGCCGGCTCTGATTTGGCCAGATGGGGAAATGTGTTGACTGGAATATCGTCGATCTTCTCGAAACCCAATAGAGACATCGTGCGTGTTCTGACTCCAGGCTCAGAGATGTTGGCAGCTGTCCAGCAAGACTTCCATACCATGCTGGATACCAGACGCGAAATTGGGAAGAAGATGAAGATATTTTGCTTCTATGAAGAATACCGCGTTGGCGGCGTTGGAGAAGTGAGTTGATGACATTAGCATGAGATAATCATGGGCTAACATGTATCCTTCGCGCAGATCGTCCCAAAGCACTCTGCCATTCTCCCCGGGTATGAAAGCCAAAGCATACACAGTAACCATATGAGCATGGCACGGTTCACCGGATTGGATGATGGAGGTTATATAATGGTTTCTGGACGACTCTGGCTGTGGGCCCAGGAGCTTGAACAGATTCCTGCCCAGCTTCCAAAGGAACGAGAGAAAAGGATCGAATACTCGGGGACTGTGAACATGATGGGTAGCGGATCCATCTTCCAAGGAAATGCAAATATTGGGTCGCTTAACCTGGGAAGAACCAATGCAGCATGTCGAAATTTGTGAGATCTGGCTTATTAACGCACGCTCTCTGAAATACTCACTCTTACTTAATAAGTAAAGGTTAGAAGTTCAGATTTGCTATCTATATTACTTAATATATATTTCAAACAAGTTTTAATTAATATATAAGTTATAAATATAAGTACTAATATAATTTTAAAACTTAAATAATATATAGCTTTAATTTTTAATATTAGTTTTTTATTAAAGAAATTAGTAAAGGAAATTAATAAAGAAATAATAAGAGATTTAAATCTTATTTTTCTTTTAAAATTTAATAAAAGTATTATAAAGTTATATAATATTAAAATAAAATTAAGTTTTAATAAAATTATAAAGAAAATATAATAAAAAATTAATTTTTAATATTAATTCTAATATCAGTAAGAGTAAGGAACCATATGACTGTGATAGGGGGCCTCGTACGGAGATCGCGGCATAATGTATCGGGAATACAGCGCGTTGGGACTCTAAACCCACTATAGCGTGCAATAGTAGGGGCTGAGCCCGCTATAAGACCCTGTAACTCTAGGCTATACGCCCTGAAAGCACGCTGTGAGACATTCGCAAGGCTGTGGAAGATCTTCAGGGGTGTTAGCGCTGCTGGCGGAGCAACTATAGCGCTCGGACGCTGTAAGGAGAGCAATCATAGGGCTCTTTAGCGAGGTAGCCCCTGTAACGACAGGGGAGAAGGCTTTAAAAGGTGTGCCACCCCTTGTTAACTGCTTATAGGGCATTTTCAGGGTAATAGCCTAGAAATATAGAGGCTTATAGCGGTTGAGTGTGCCAGAAATGAGCTCTATAGTGGACTTTCAGCACAAATGCCCTGTATTCCCGATACTTTATGCCGCGATCTCCGTACCTGGTGAGGAATTACTTTTCGGTGAGAATTTCTGTCGACAGCCACAAATGCTAGCCTTGCACCCACTTTTGCTTTCGAGTACAGCTATGCTTAGAATAGTCACTTATTAAGCCTCCCTGGTGTTTCAAATGCACAGCCTTCCATGCCCTTGCACCGATGACATGCGATGGCGCTGGAGCCTGCCGCACGCCCCGGGGGCCCCCAATGAGATTGTCGCACCCCTGATCAGGCTCTGAGAGTCAGCCTCGTCGAGTTGGTCTTGAAAAGGCAGACCTTTCCCCGTTTCGGTTTTTTTCTCCTCAACACTCTTGTGTGTGATCCATCGGTAGGTCAACACCTTCTTCTCTGCACCTTGGCAAGATAATTGGAGTATATTTTTCTAATATTAAATGGTATTTCTAGTTAGTCCCCGCCCATTCAAGGTAAACCCCCGACGAAGCGCCAGAGGGGCGGCTTCGTCTTCCCCATCATTCCCCCAAATCATCATGGTCATGACCTAAAACTCAGCGGGTCATGTCAATCTAACAAGTCTGAGTTTCTTCTTAACCCATACCCTCCGTTAGCATCGTATCAATTGCAGGGCCAGGTTTGGAATGATGAATTCCGCGCCGCCGTCACGATCGCTGCTCCGCATCCGCCTTGGTGGATTGATAATATCAATCCCGAATTCGTTTCGGGTGATGTTGAAATCCACCAGGGATGCCCAATTGCGCTTGAGAGTGTTTCTTACGAACCTCCGGGCGCAATTGTGGCTGGAACGGACAGCTTATCAGCGGTATTTCAACCAGCCTATGAACCATCTGGATTCAGTCAACAATCCCTTGACCTTAATGTCCCCGCCAATTTTGACATTGACGTCGAACTGGAAGCTTTGCTAGCTTTCCCAGATGGTTCAAACTGCATGGTATTTCAGGATTCCACATCACTACTTCAATCAGATTGGAATTCTATGCCACTATCGTCGATTCCGCGCTCTGATTATGATTTCTCCGGCCTGAGCAGTACAGTTTCAACACCACTTGGGAATGAAACTCTCTGTCATAAGTCACATCAGAATCGCAAGAGTCAAATATCGGTCCTTCCGTCCTTCAAATGTCCGCATTGTTCCGCATTTTTCACAAGCGAACAACGAGTCGGGTATGTTCTGTTGTCATATGGCTGGATTTTGCTAATGACTACAGGTCTCACATTCACACATCCCATCGGCATGCCAGCAAATGTGATGGTTGTGGGCAGCGTTTCACGATCCCAAAAGATCTAAGACGCCACCTACAAACAGCATCATCATGCCGAGAAGGATCAGCACGTCCCTTTGCTTGCAAATGTGGAGAGACATTCATTCGAAAGGATCATCTTCTACGTCACATCAGAAGAAAGACCGAGAAATCAAAAGATGGCAAACGCCATGCAGTTCAGGTTGGCCCTAGCAACTGAAACGATGCCGACGAAAAGGATGATGTTGGGTATTCTAGACATGAAGAACTAGCCACGCTGCGATCACAGAGATCCACGTGCTAGTTTTATCCGTCCAGACTATTATCGGACATCTTATGGAGCCCCCACGTGCCTGGCACCAACCTGTCGGCACTGTTGTTCCGTGGATGCCCTCTGACGAGCGGCACAAACCCACCAAAAAATCCCGTCAGGTACAATGGAACTCTGAGTTGGAAAGAAGAACTAGACTTGTAGATTGGCAGGATCTTGCCTGTCAAAGTTTAAGGGAATGATCACAGAAGTGTTTTGGGGATTATTTTGGGGAATCGATGGGGAATGAATGGGGCCTGGGGAGATGGATTACTGGTTGTCGTTGGTAACTTCGTGACAGCCGTTAAGGCCAAGCAAGGAGCCACAACCAATACGTTATTTCGTCATAGAATTTGAATACAACACATTCTTTGATGATAAAATCTGCCTGTCTCATCATTGTGCACCATCCCTCATGTGTTTTGCAGGTTTCAAGTTATCACGCAATTTGTCATCACTGCTTGAATTCTTCCACAAGACATATTTGGCAAAACATATCAGTTCTCAAAGATAAGTTGACAGAAATGGAGAGTCCATTGACTTGGAAAACGATCTTACATAATAACTTTTGACAACTTTGAACCCCGATTGCGGAGGGCGATACCCTGAAGCCTCCTCCTGCCCACCGTCACCCAAGCAGAGAAATCCTCGCTCTTCGTGTCCAACTGGCTCTCTTCAATGGCACGACTGGGAACAACTTTGGGTATTGCCTTCGTCTTGCCTCTTCCATTTCGGTTCTCCCAAGCCTTGTATGCTCGATGATTAGAATCAAGACAATGCTTCGAACTTCGGTTCCGCCCTACCACGGCAGCATAAGAAATCCTGTTTTTGTTTGGGCGAATCTTTACAGACTTCGGATCTAAGAAATTATTGTCAGCTCCAGAATTATTTAGAAAACCTGTGGACTTCTCACCAATACCTGGCAATGGTGGAAACTCCTTTTGCGTATTATTGAGATGAAACTCCTCTGCGTTTGGACCGGCCTTCATGATAATGATAACCCTTCCTCGTTGAATAGTCTCAGTAAGAAAATCTCGACTTCCCCGCAGGTGCTTCATCTTCCTCTTCGCAAATGTAGACCAATTGCCCGACAAACCATCATTCAAGAAAGCATGAGCGTGGTACAATTTGAATGGGTTGTTGGGATTTTGAATCAAGTAAACATCGGCATGACTCTCATTCCGTAGAAAACGCAAAACAGGAAAACACTGAATCCCGGCAACTCTCCAAGGTCTTTTGCTACCAGGCGCGTCTGATTTTGAGAGATCGATTTCCGAAAGGTATGCTTCTCGTGTGAGGTTCACGTCCTCACGGTTGATTGTGAGACGGAGGAACCCCAATTCAGCTCGATGTTCACTCCCCTGACGTTTAGCCCATCCAAATACAGGACGCCCTCTTGGGAGTGGGACATATCGATTCTGGTCTACAGCCAGATACCCAGATGTCCGAGCGGTTGACAATCGCTTTTGTGTGGGTTCCGAATTGACACGTATGCCGTGACTTCGAGCAAACAATGATGGTGTTACCATACTAGAGAATTGCCACCCGAAAGAAACTGAGCGTGTCTGTGACTGCGCCAGGAGCTCTAAGTCACCTTGGCTTAGTTTTGTTCGTCGACAGTTTGCCCAGGATTTGCTTCGTCCTGAGGATTTCTTCCACATGGTAAGAGTCTTTACGCCGATGATGTCGGCAATGTTGTCCTCCTTTTCCTGTTTGTGGAAAACAACGATTGGTGTTTTGGTGGTTCCATCTTCGTCAGGCTGTGGCTTCTGGGGTGATTTAGATCCTTTTCCAGCTGAAGGAGGGCTGACAACTCGAAGAACGGGCTCCGTGAATGAGGATGGCGTCAAGTTATTCTTGTTTGCATTTTCAGTTGTTGTTGTCTCTTTTGTCGTTTTTGTCTTCTGAATTGATTTGGTCTTCTGTGTTGTTTTCGTCGATTGGGTCGGACTCGGCTTTAACTTCGGCTTCGCCTTGTGGGCCATGTCGACTTACTCCAAATAGACCAGTTCTCAGCTTTTCTGGAGGGAAAGAGAACTGCTCACTCGTATATCCTAGCAGGCGAAAGAGCACTGAGAATCATTGTGAGTTCTGAGAATATATGATGAGGCCCGTAGGTAAGGCTCGGGGCTGTGTTCGGGGGCCTTCAATAATAGCCAATCGATTTCACAGCCCAACCAGGTTGCAGCCACGTGACCAAGCCCCAGCTTTGCTTTTGTTTGGAAGTGAGACAGAGCGTACGTAACTTATTCCCCAAGATATAATCGAGAAGGAACTTTCCCCGAGAAGAGGCAGGTCAGGTATCTGGCCTCTCTACTCGCTTCGCCCGCTCTTTCCATCCCTAGTCAGCCTTATCATTGGGCCAAATCCTCAAATACTGAGCCAACAGGGAGTACCAGCCATGATTCCCTAGCCAGTTCACTCGATGCATCCAAAAGGGGCTAGCGGCCGGGCAGGTAAGGCGAGAGCTCGAAAGACTGCATAATACTGTGGGAGGATGAATTATCACATGACGATTTCTGGAATGCGGAGGAAGGTGCGTCCATTCTGCGAGGGAGCTGCCTGTGGTTCGCTCTTCCCCGGCGTGAGCCTGTAGGAAGTGGCGCCGCCCTTAACCTCAATCGACTTACAACCCAGGCGGCAATGGCGAGAGGTTTGGTGGAGATGAGAGGTGTGAGGGATTAGCGGTCTTCACCCCCAACAGCCAGTGTAATCGTCCTGCGTCAAGCCACCCAAAGTGGTCAGTTGATTAAGCCAATGCTGCAACCCCCACAAGGGCTTCCCCAAATTCCACTAGCTTACGAGTTCTTGACCCTGGGCTGGGTTTATTCCATCGTTTGCTCAGACATGCGGAGTCCGTACTCGGGCGAGCCGATAGAATTGAGCTAATTACTCACCGAAAAGATGCGCCCGTACATTCCGATGCACATATAATGCCTTCCATCTTATTGGCTCGCTCGCCGACTTGTGAGCTGAGGTAGCACTTTGTTCTGTTCTCACCTTCTATATTGACATCTTATTCGGGCATCTAACAGTATCTCCATCCTCGACAAGTGCGCCCTCAGGTAGCAAGTCTTACAATGGGCTCCCACCCAGACGTATCGTATCCAATGGACTGCACTGGTCCGTACTCGGTGAGATCCAGCATTTGAATCCATGCAAGCCACATATATTTGCTTGGCGAATCGCAACGCACTCATGGATGGCAAGTCTTAATCTGCATAGGACTTGACCAATAAAGTGAACAGTGAGACTAGGGCGGGAAAGCTTTGCTCCTCTACCTCAGAGTCTGCCTCTGACAGAGAATTTTACACTCCTCAATGACATTCCGAACGGTTTCCAAACCTTCAACATCGAGAGCTTGAAACTTTTTCCATACATCGACATCTCATACAGCACAATTCAATAATCCTACCTCTTCTCAAAATGTGCTTCTACGATGCTAATGAGATGGCTTGCCAATGCTGGAAATGGGGACACTTTCGACGGCATTGCCAAAAAGAATATCGGACAGGGGAAGTTTGTGGCATGAAGCTTGTGATGAATCGCTACAAACTTGCCGAGAAATGCAAGATCTGCACGAAAATCGATAATAAGGAGAGAGCTATCCGGAAGGAGGAAGAGAGAATCCGCCGGTGGAAAAAGGAACACGGCCGCACCGCTTCAGTTGCCAAGGCTGAGGAGGATATCTGCGGCCTCAGGCGTGATATCCAGAGGCTCTTGCACGATCGTGCTGTGGGGCAGGACAACTTGGAAGACGGCGGGTACGAAGTCGACAGTCCCCTATGAACGGAATTAAACATGACTGATTTCATCCTAAAGGGGTTCGACTCTCGCGATTCCAATACATTCAAGCAGCACAACAAGTGCCGGCCACCCAATGATTTCAATGAACACAATGAAACGAATCTCGCCTAGCTTTTTGATGACTTCTGAAGGCCTGATCATCGAAGACCACAGCATTGCCCCACCGGTATCTGCAATTACTGGACCGGAACCCAAAAAGCTATTTGATATAATCTTTCGAAATGTTCATGCCACCACGTTTGACCTATCGTTAACCGAAGTGGACAACCTTAGCCTCCCCGAATTCTTTGCAACATACTCCCGGAAATCCGGGCTGCCTCTTGCATCGTTAGATGGCTTCAGATTCGAGGCTCTCCTTTCAGGTCACGATGCCATCACTGACTTCACAGTGAAAAAGGGTGAAGATAGCCAAAGCTGGGAAAACACGAAAAATGATATCGCTGGGTTGATAGCAATTGCTAGATTGAAGACGCCAGGAGAGAGCAGATATGAAATCCGGGTTGATCCTTGTAAGTCGATATCCCACACGCGGACGAAAGCCAGTATATGTTAATTGCGTAGTGTTCCATCAGACGAATCAATCACTCTTCGATATATTACTTTTCTCAGACAATCCTCCAAATACATCGAACACAACCCTTGACATGGTATCAACTGGGACGGGAAAGATGAAGGATCTAAATAGCCAGATGACTCAGGGGGATCTAAAATCAGATTCCATCTTTAGAGGCCATACTGTCAACGAGATCGAAGCAGTAATCAGAGCCACGCTGCTACGGTTATGCTGCCAAGATGCCCTCAAAAAAATCGAAGACAGCGAATTTTATATCAAAGATGATCAAGATACAGGCACGCGGAATGACCAAGATCATATGGCTCACTGCGTATACAAAAGCACCTTCCAAGTTCACTGGAGCGCCGAGGAGTTTTGGAATGATCAGTGCAAGAGCGGAGCAACGATATCACTTGAGTCTGTCATTGTCTTGATTGGGCGTGCAGTTGACGCTCAAGCCGCAACTGTTGGGGAATACACGAGGAGTCATTGGCCAGAATCAGGCCAAGTACTCTTGGATGTTCTGCAAAGATTTCTTGAAGTTGGCGACTCCAATTCGAGGGGTATGTTGACATGACTTGTTATGCTTCGGTGATTTTTGCTAAACTTTTCAGAGTTCGACAAGCACTTCTCAGCCATTACAAGAGTAGTGGGAGTGTCTAAAGCAGCATCAAGTATCGCAGTCGAAGTTATCGGGCCCCTGAAAATGGTATCAGAAATTGGCCAACAATTGGCTTTCCTTGGCGCAGCTCTTCGTACTTCGGGTACAGGTCATGTTGGCCGCTCCGAAGCTCTAATCTCCCCATTCCACGCATTTTCGACAAATTTTCACATCAAGTTCAGTGTTAACCCCCTCAAAGAGACTGAAATCAGTTGCTGGCACAACCTCTTTGTAAATCCAGTTATTGCTTGCGGTTTTCCAACCTCAAACCGGGCAGATGAGGTTGGTTTAGAGATTCCGCTCGAGATTATGGCTACTTTAGGTGGCGCCAGTCACGCCGTGGAATACGAGGGTGGTGTCTTGCTGAAAGGGTTTTCGAGCATGTTCGTGCCATTGAAGCGCACTGGCGACTCTATCCAATGGCATTTCATCCGGAACGAGGATGATTCTAGACTTCCGTTTTGGGAAGTGGACGGACGTTGTCCAGGAAGAGCTCTGGTTGATACAGTTGGCCTGGAATCGATCTCCTCAACACGGGCATTTCTTGGGTGGTGGGAAAAGACAAGCACCCACCTTGGAACTGAAGATGCTAAATATGAGAACATTGATTGGAGCGCGACCAAAGAACCAGTAGCATGTGCAGCCTTTTCGGGAGGGAGTATCGGATTCCAGAACTTTATCACCGGCGATCTCAAATTTTCCGTGGGTCCCAAGGATAGTAAGTTGCACATCTCCCGAACTGGTCCTTATCAGAGGATAGTCAAACATGCCTCCAAAACTCCGGTTGTTTTGTATGATACGGAAGAGAGGAGGGGTTGGCTGGTGCCATCATCGGCGGTGATTGCACATATCGCCCAGACGAGACATTTTCGAGAACGTTTTAGTGTCCAACAGAAGCTCGTTCGTATGAATCCCGCGGACCCAGAGCTGGATACATATGAAGCGGCAGAAAGGATGTTGTTAGAAAATTCCTCAACAGTTCTAGGTGAAGATGACGCAGGTAACCCCAACTTCCATTTCAGAGATCTGGTATTGGGCGTCTGGTCCATACTTGAATGCTTGATGGATAAAGTAGTAAAGGTTGCATCATCTGCGGACCGAACACTTCACTGGCCAATTCGGAAAAACTTGCATGGTTGGGAGTTCATGGACATAGTCGACGAAGTCTCACCTCTCCGGCTCAAAGAAACTCCCATTAAGAAGACATGTGGCGGTTGGGTTGACCTTGCAACCGATATCAACGCCATAGTCCTCTTTGCCAGCGGCTTTGGAGATATTATCAAGCCGGCAGAGTGCTCGCTCAAGGGACTTTGCCATATGTGGAGAGCGGTGCCGAAAGAGAAGGACTATCTCACAGTAGGTGCCACCACCATCAATAAACTATTCGAACAGTCTGGATCTCGCCTAACAAGGAAACATCTCACATCCACTCATCTACAATGGCACCGAGGCAGAGTATTATTCGAGAAGTGCCATGCGAGCGATAGCTCTTTCCGCTGTACATGCGAGAGACTCCAGCAGATTTTACCCGACTCTGGGCTGACTTTCGGGACTATGGTTCCTCCTGTAAGACTGGAGGAGGGTGGGGCTATAATATTCGGCCAGGCTACACGTCGACTTCCGCTGCCAGCCGTCACTCATCTGCAACCGAACACCCGCGCATTTTACAGCCAAGAAAATTGCCCATTGAATTTACAAACAAACTTCGCAGAGTCACGAGAATCGAGCTCTCCTAGCGAAAGTGGGAGTTCTTCGTTAGATAGTTTTAATTCTGGAACTTCGATAGAGCTCTCTTCCGAGAGTATTAAGGTTGGGTCTGGGGAGGGGAATAGAACGGCAATAAAGAGACTTGGAGGGGATGATGAAAATAATAAATCTAGCAAGTAAAATGCGTTCGAGGAAATTTTAAAGACATAGTTAAATAGTCGAAAACAGTGTGTCAAATGATTAGGTTTGATTTGATTAGACCCCCCTACTCAAATCAAATCAAGTCAAAATCAAGCCAATCAAATCATACTTAATTATAATCAAAGATAATCAAAGATAATTAATTAGATTTATCACGTGATTGCGCACATGACTCTGGAGCTTCGGAAGCCGAGATAAGGCCAAAATAAGGTCTGGGCTAGCCGTATTCGGTATTGCTAAAGGCGCTCTTTACTAAACCAGGCCTAGCGCTAATTAGTAAGCGAAGCCAAAGGCGCTAGAACCTCCTTGATTTCCAGTGTTATAGTAGTAGTAAAGAGCTTGAATTGAGCTAAAGGCTATCTGCCAGGCTAAGGAAGCACTGGCTACATGCTAAGTCACGTGCAATAGCACCACGTGACTGGTACCACATAACAAAAACTAGTTTGTTATTTTAGATTTAGACTAATTTTATACTCTTATATATGCTTTATAGATTTTATTTATATTTTATTAATATAGCTATTAGTTATTTAATAATCTTTAGAAATGCCTAAGAAAGTATACTTTTGCATTATCACGTGATGATTATAATTAATTCTAATTAATTAGCCTTGATTATTTTTTGACACACTGGTCGAAAAGCGATCACGTAATATGGTAGGGATATGGGAGACAGTCACGTAGGCAGTTATATGTACTTGGCTGTTTTAGCACGTACTACTTATTATTACGACCTTTTCCGGACATGCGCCTTATTCAGTGTACGACGCTAACAATCGAACAATTTGAGCTACCCTACAGTATATTCAAAGACTTCTTTCTTCAAATACCTTGGATGTTGTAGAATATTAAAAGGCCTGCTCCCTTTTAGTCTAGATAAAAGTTAAACTTTTGCGGAGACGCCGGAGAACATCGAAAATCAGTGCCTCCTTTTTGTCCACTGCGAGGCGAATAATTAAGGAGTCTTGCTATCTCATACGGATTGATAACTCAGTGGCAAAAGAATGAAAATTATTGTTTATTTCAATGCTTTCAATGCCCGCTTTCTTGCTCAAAGATTCTGTTACATCAATGCCCTCCAATTTTGCCATTTCCTCCTCGTTCCACAATACAAGCGGAAAGTTGACTGTGCCTTACCTCAGTTAGATTGATATAAGACCTGAATTAAGAACGGCTTGAGTGATACCGCTAATATTTTTCTCCATGACTTCCTTGATTCGATGAAGAATGCCGCAGAACATGCCAGAGCCGGTCAAACAAATGATGACTTCCGATTCGTGGCCGATGTAGACACATGATACTCGGTCGGCTGCAGAGACGAATCCTTCAACAGCATCAACAGCTGGCGCGAAAGGAAACCCCGTAAACAGTGCACCACGCTTCTTGAAAGTTTTCGCAGCCTGTATCATCTGACTTTTGCTATCAGAATCTTTCATTGAGGAAAGCGATTTCTCTAAAATTCCGATCGCAGCCCCAAACCCCTGACCCCTTCTCGTGGCCTCCAAACCAGCTCTGTACATCTGTAGTGCCTCCTTGAAGTCAGAGATCAGGCTTCCCAAAGACCTATTTTCTTCGAGAGCTCTGCAAAATGACACCAATTCTTTTGTAGTGACATAGTGTCTGTCGCATCGACCTTCGGCATAGCTGCGAGTCGACACTGGCTCGTGGATGGAACAGTCAGATTCGTCAAATATAGACAACAATGCCCCCTGATAGGCAAAAAGATAAATTGCGTGGGAGAGTTTCGTGTACCGCAAGATACGAGACAGATTTGGATCCTGGGGAATCCTTGAAATAACTGATTTGCGCAGAAGGGCTGGCCCTTGGATTGAGGAAGGTTGACTCAACGATTCATTTCCGATATGAAGCTCTTTCGGTAAAATGGCATTCAGGAGGTGTTGAGCTGCATGCTTGTTGTCGATGCTTATTCGGAGGGAAGACAAATGCTGCCAGAGTAAGACCAATAGTCCACCGTCAGCAACTGAGTGATCGACTCTCCCGGCAGCTGTCCCATCGGGGAAAATCGAAAATCCGAGAACGTTGTCAGAATACACGCAGCTGTTGTCTTCCTTTGCTAGCTTCAGTTTTTCATCCTGGTCCAAAGGCAATGCGGTGTGCAACGCAACTGAAACGATCGCGGACTCAATATCGTCGATCGCCTCTGGATTAATTTTCACATAGCGATGTCTTAACTCAGCCCAGCACTGTCGTTCCATCAATGTTGAGTACAGTGCTATGTTGATTGATTTTGGTTTTGCCGATGAGATGTGAAGGATGTTTTGAACTTGTGTTGCCAGCACCGATACTGGAACAGGCCGTAATTGTCTGTCTAGTATACAGACTCTGAAAGTATGTCCATTCGAAAAAAGGACTGCATGCGAGGATCTAGGAGAGGTCTTCAGAACGTCAATGTCGTGACCCGGTACTCGAGTAGTAGCAAATATATCCCGAAGCTGCTGCGTCTCAAAACGATTCCCTTTTCGATCACAGCCTATCGCATGAACCGTATCAAGTGAGGTGATTGCCATGGCGACCTTGTGAAGAAGCCTGGCTGTTGAAATTGTTTGACTTTCTGCAGGACTAGAAAGGATTGCAACTTGCGACATATCGCAAAGTGGGCCGCGAAATGACAGATATCGTAACCTTAACTGGTTCGTGAACCAATTTCTAGACGACAAACTACCCATCATCCGGGACACCTCAGCCTGAAATTTGTTTTCCAATTCTGGCTCTAGTGATACGACAGATTGGCGGAGATGCCCCAAATCAAGATTCTTGTTTCCAACGGCAGCCTTTTCGATTATGTTATCGACTAAGTTTGCATAGGATGGGTTTGGAAATGAGGGAAGACGTTCATCTTGGGAAAGCGAGTAAAGAATGAGTCGCTGAAGATTGGCTCCTTGTGAGCCATCTTTCCCAATAGTCGGGTTCATAATGTTGGTTGCCACTGTGGTGGTAGACACACGCAGAAATAGAAAGATTTGAAAACCCGAAAAGCTCAAAAAGCGAGCTAACGTTAGGATATCTGTAGATCTGAAGAATCTTTGCAGTTCCCAGGATAAAATGAAATATGTGTAAAGAAAAAGGCACGGCGTAGTTGAGCAATCCCGCGCCGAAGGAATCTTTTAGAAACCCGATACGCGTATTTGGTCCTTGCTAATTTTAAACTTCTCTATTCTAGGAATGGGAGGTTATTTTCTGTCAAGGATTCAGGAGTCTGAGTCTGGGGGCATAAAAAGATGCCGTGGGGGTTCGACTAAGCCTTGAAACTAAATTGGGCACCGCCGCATCAGCCCGTTGGGGGTTGGAAGCGCCCCCGTCAGCACCATTCAATCCCTGGCTGTACAGGCCCCTGAAGAAGCTGCATTAGCATGGTGTAACAGAAAATACAGGCGACAAGAAGGTTGCTTGATTGCGTCACGACCAGAACTGACTATATACACGCGGCTGCCTCAGTAACACCTTGATGAGAAGCGTCCACTTCCTTTGCGAGCTACCTTATCAAAAAAAAAGGGGGGGGAGGCTTTTTCGTCACAACATTCACAATATCTTTTACTCTTCTCGCTATCACCAAAGTCAACATGACGGGCAATGATCCAACATTTCGAAATTACGCACCTGCAGCCGCAGCCAAATATGCTGCTCTTCGTCCAGGATACTCTGAAAAGGTGATCAACACCGTGATCGAGGTGCATGAATGCACCGGAGGCCAAATGGATCTGCTCCTCGATGTCGGATGTGGTCCAGGAACTGCCACCCGCTCTTTGGCTCCCCTTTTCCAGCACGCTTTTGGGTCCGATCCAGGAGAGAGCATGATTGAGACAGCCCAGGAAACTGCGCCTCTGACTGCAAGCGGCGAGAGAACGAAATTTATTGTCTGCGCAGCGGAAGACCTTACCTCGATTTCGGAGATTCGACCAGGCACAGTCGACTTGATCAGTGCTGGAACGGCCGCTCATTGGTTCAACCTCCCTGAATTCTATACATCTGCTGCAAAGATGCTGAGACCAGGTGGCACTATAGCTTTGTGGTGTACTGGGTCCTTGTATTGCGATCCTTACTCAACTCCCAACGCGGGGAAAGTCCAACAAGTCTTCGCCGATGTTCATCGAGAAATCCTTGGAGCGTACGAGCTACCTCAAAATAAACTCTATCGGGAACTTTATCAAGACCTGGAATTACCTTGGACCATCAAAGATTCGGATCCTAGCATCCAGGCGGCTATGGCGGCATTTGACCAGTCCAAGTTCAAACGGGTAGAGTTCAACAAGAATGGTCAACTTGAGCCAGGTCAGAAATATGTTCAAAGTATGACTAGCTCGCTCAAAATGTTGCAACATGGGCTAGGCACCACGAGTGGGGTCAACAGATGGCGCGAAGCTCATAAAGAGCAATTGGAAAGGGGAGAAGTTGAAGACTGCGCGGTATATATGATCAGAAGGGTGAAAGAAGCTATGGCCGAAGTTCCAGAAGGTGAATGCAGAGATTGGATAGAGGGAGGTAGTCCTGTTGGCATGATATTCCTAAAGAAAAAGGAAGAATATTGATACAGGACCAATGAGAATTTAGATAGTGATTAAGGATCTTACTGGCCGTACCGAGTGCCACATCATTCATATCGCACGTGCACTTGTAAGGACTTCTCTCGATGGAAAAGGTTTCTATGTCGAGGACCAAGAAACACTGCTTGAAACACTGCGCACGGCTGTGACAATATCACTGTGACGTATGTAGGGGAAAAATGAATTCTTAATGGACAAATATGGGTTCCATCTCGAGCCATATAGAGAATCTGAGATGAACACTTTTCCGGATGTCATGAGCAAGAGATATAATATCATCAATACTTGCCCCTCCATGATTAACGAGCACTAGACTGTGTCTGTGGTCAACTCCAACTTTGTTTCCCTGGTAGCCCTTCCAGCCACATTGGTCTATCAGCCAAGCTGCAGCTAGCTTGGCGCATTCTCCAGGTTGCTCATAAGCTTTGATAGCTGAATATTGCATCTTCAGCGTGTAAAGTTGTTTTCTGGGTATCACAGGATTCTTGAAGAAGCTTCCTGCATTGCCAATGAGCCGTGGATCTGGCAGCTTCCTTCGACGGATGCGACATACTGCATCAAATACGTCCCTCGGTTTTATAATCCCACGATCAATAGAAGATAATTCCCAATCATTCTTGAAATCTGGGTAGTCCAGCTTTGCTTCCCAACCCTCGCGTCTCACTTCCAATGAGACGCTGATGATCAACCATCGCCTTGCGTCAAGAGATTGGAAGCGACTCTTCCGATATGAGAACACGCACTCCTCTCTCGACAAGACAACAAAGCGCCGCTCCTTCATATCCCATGCGGTGACATCGAGAATGAAGTCACCTATCTCGACACCGTATGCTCCAATATTTTGCACGGGTGCGGCACCCACAGTGCCAGGAATGAGCGCTAGGTTCTCGAGGCCACCCCATCCTTGCTCGACACTCCAAGTAACGAGATCGTGCCAGTTTTCCCCTGCCATGGCCTCGATAATAATTCTCCCATTGCCTTCTGTCTTCCATTTAAGGCCACGCATCACCTGGTGTACAACGAGGCCTTCTACGCGGGAAGGCAGAATGGTGTTGCTGCCCCCACCGAGAATCCAAACTTGTTCGTACTCTGATGCAAAGTTTGACAGTTCAATAAGCAAATCGAGAGAATAGATTCGGACATAGTTCGAAGCTAAACTTCTCAAGCCGAACGTATTGAAACTCTCTAGATCTTGAATAGTTGGTATTAAGGCTTTTGTTCCTCCAACTGTCGAAGGGGATGTAGGTGTCTTTAGAGACTTCATAGTGGGGCAGATAATTACAAACAGGGTCGCAGGTGGGGTCTGGAAAAAAGAAACGTTGAAAAGCAAAGAGGCGGGTCGGAGTGAAGGATGGGCCTTATAATAACATTGGTCAAAGATGGCGCAGCTGATGCTCGTGTAAAAAGCCACTTGCCGATAGGTGCATCCTAATTGCCATCGTCGCTCAAGTAGCCCCAATCCATCGCTTTTGCTCCTGTGGGTGATTCTAAAAGCAGAAGTTTCTGAGCGTAGAGAGTCATAATGCAAAAAGTCAGTTTGTTAGCAGGTAATAGACGTGGTAACTTGATTTCCTTTAGTTATATTTAATGTAACTCAAGCAATGTTAGATTCCGCGATGCCCAACAAAATTAACATACACGGTACGATGAGCGGCCGGAGGTCTGCCTGCCCATTAACTTCCAACAAGTAGGAGAGGTGGTTATTGCGGTAATTTTGTATAATACTGTATTTTTTATAAGATAAGAAAACCGACTTAGATTCCATGACAGGATTTGGTCTCTTGTTGCCATATCAACTCTCCTCTGGGACCCAAGTGTACACCCTCGCGCCATATACTTGCACCAACGTCAGCAAATTTGTCCTCGATACTTTCATACCCGCGGTCTATCAGCGAGATATCCTCAATCATGGTGTAGCCGTTTGCACAGAGGCCAGCAAGAACTAATGCGGCTCCAGCCCTTAAATCCGATGCTCTTACAGTGGTCCCAATCAGTGTTGGAACCCCAATGATGACCGCTTTCCTGCCGTGAACACGAATTTGAGCCCCCATTCGATTCAATTCCAGCACATGCTCAAATCTGTTTTCGAAGATATTTTCAGTGATGGTGCTAATTCCAGGAACAGTAGCAAGCAATGTCATAAGTTGTGCTTGCATATCTGTCGGTATCCCTGGGAAAGATGCTGTTTCGATAGTTATCGCTCGCGGGTTTGTTGCTCGATACACCATTATAGTATTGCCATCCACAAAAATGGTGGCTCCAAGCTCCTCGAGTTTCTTCTGGAGAATTGTTTGGTGAGTAACTATACCTCCCACGATCGTCAAAGGTTGCCCAGCTAAAGCACCAGCCACCATATAAGTCCCACATTCAATGCGATCCGCCATGATTCGGTGTGAGGCAGGCTTCAGTGACGATGTACCACAGACTTTTATAGAACTCGTGCCCGCGCCTTTGACTAAGGCGCCCATCTTGATCAGAACAGTTACCAGGTCCACAATCTCTGGCTCTCTCGCTGCGTTGAAGATGAAAGTTGTTCCTTCTAAACTAGCAGCTGCCATGAGGATATTTGCGGTTCCCGTTACAGTGGGAACGTCGAATCTGACTTCCCCAGGTCGTAAACCTGTCAGAGCTTTTGCCTCAATAACTCCTCCATCCAAAGACACGTCAGCCCCCAGAGCCCGAAGACCCTTCAGGTGTTGGTCAATAGGTCGAGTACCTATGGCGCAACCTCCTGGGAATGGAAGTTTGACGTATCCAAAGCGTGCTAAAAGCGGCCCAAGAAATAGAATCGATCCTCGTATTGTGCGTGCGAGGCTGGCAGGAATCTCGTTAACTGTAATATCGGATGTTTGAACATGCAGACGATCATTCAGATGGTACACCTTGGCCCCTAAATGCTGCATAATCGAGCACATCTCCGTAATATCTAGTAGATTCGGGACATTTTCGAGGGTATTTTCGCAGCGGTTGAGGAGGGTAGCGGCAAGGATTGGAAGGCTCGCGTTTTTAGATCCTGAGACACGAATGGTTCCTTTGAGGATATTGTTGCCGCTCATCTGGAGGACTGGTCTTTTGGTCATGTTAAGTAGTGAACTTGGTATATCCTGAAGCATGCTAGGCAGTATCTCGCCGGCAACCAGACCTTTAAGAATTATGACTTTAAACTAGATGAATTGCTAACGCAATAGCATTTCCCACAAAATGTATGGTCGCTTATTAATAAATAGTTGAGGTTATTCTAAAAACTTTCCTAAGATCGTTCTAGCGTCCAAACCGAGTTTTCCGCATTACTAGTTTACTAGGGTCCAGTTGATGTAAGATTTATTATGGGTAGGGTGAGCAGGATGTAGGGATGCTAAAATTATATAATTTAGGACTTGCATACGTAATATCGTAAAATAATCACTCCGACTTGATTATGGTGATATTATCTTGCATATGAGACATAGCCAATCAGAAGCCTCCATTTGACTAGCGCGGTTTCGTGCTCCTCCCCAACAATCAAATCCACTAATTTACCCTTTTCCACGTGCCGAATTATGCACGATTTTATACGCTCTTTTATGCAGTATTTTATGTATTATAATATTGGCGACTTGATTATTATATAATTACGCCGGACTTGATTATTATATAATTGTAATAATTATAAATCGTGCATCCCTAGCAGGATGTGTGGTGGCTGAAACGCGCGTGTTCAAGGATTAGAGAAAAGGGAGTTTGGTCGCATACCCAATTAAAAGTACGCTGCCTGTCATTCCTCACAGTACTATATATAATACGTATTAATAGGGACACAACTACGTTGTATCCCTTCGTCTGGTGAGACATGTCCAGCGCTAGCAAGGGGGCCTGGCTCAGGGCGGAAATCTCTTAAATTAGATCAATGCATGCAGAGTGTTCTCATCACACCTTCCCCCACCCTCATCCTGCGACGGCGCGTGTAGTTCCTGCCGCAGCGTTTTGTCATGCAGCAGGCCGAAGACTACATACAGCGCAATGCTGCACTAAGTCCACGGAGCCTTTAAGCAACTTTGCAAACTCGATTACATTGTCGCCCATTTCAAGCTTTAGAGTCCTTATGGCAAACGCGGCTTCAAGAATACAAAGATTTATTCGGGGGAAACATGAAAAAGCCCCAAGAGCGGAAGACCAGCAGTTTGAACTGCATCATGAACCCAGCCAAATTGCGACATTTGATACACCTCAATCTTCGCAAAACGGCACCACTCAAATCACATATGCGACTTTATACCGATACGCAACCCCATGGGATTTATGCTGCCTGGCTTTGGCTGCTACTACGGCCGTTGCAGCCGGCGCTGCCCTGCCCTTGATGAGTGTTATTATTGGAAACCTGTCAGGAAGCTTCGCAGACTATTTCAATGATCACAAGGCAAGCGATATATCAGCAGTCCTGCAACGGCATGTAGTATACTTTGTGTATCTTGCTGCTGGCGAATTTGTACTCATTTACCTTTCGACCGTACTGTTTGTATATACCGGTGAAAAAATATCGTCCAAGATTCGAACATCTTATTTGCAGGCCATCTTAGCCAAGGATATTGCCTTTTTCGACCATACTGGCGCTGGCGAGGTTACAACATGCCTGACTGCTGATACCAATTCAATCCAAGAAGCTATCTCAGAAAAGGTAGCCCTTATTCTCAATGGGATTGCTTCGTTTATTGCCGCGTTCGTCATCGGATTTGTCAGGTTTTGGAGACTGACAGCGATTTGCATGTCTACCGTATTCGCTATCATTCTTGCCATGGGGGTTTCAAGCTACTATATTACTCTGTGGAACAGACTTTCCCTCGATCATTTCGCGGCCGGCAGTAATGTTGCAGAGGAAACTATCAGTTCCATTCGGTTAGTGAAGGCCCTTAAAACCGAGAAAGCCTTTGCCTCCGCATATGACGAGCATCTTCAAGCAGCATTGCGGGAGAGTATCCGAAGCCGAGTCACGTTGGCATGCATGATAGGATCAGTAAGCTGTATTGTCTTTCTGAATTATGGTCTAGCATTTTGGATGGGCGGTCGCTTCATTGGGAGTGGAGAGACTGACAAGGCCGCGGTTTTGACAATCATTATGGCTATTATGATGGGAATCTTTGCTGTCGGAAATTTGGCACCAAATATACAATACCTTTCAGCTGGTGTCGCAGCTGGGTCAAGAATATTTGGCGTCATCGATCGCTCTTCGTCGGCCCCCATAAAGCCAGGCGCGGAGCTTGAGTTCGTGAGGGGTGACTTGGAGCTCCGCAATGTGGGGCACATTTATCCCACACGACCCAGTGTTATCGCCCTCGATAATGTCAGTTTTACAGTTCCAGCTGGGAAGACAACAGCAATCGTTGGCTACTCAGGGTCAGGCAAGAGCTCTGTCTTAAGTCTCATTGAACGATTCTACGACCCAGTAAGTGGGGTCATTTCACTCGACGGGCACGATATTGGCTCTCTAGATGTTCACTGGCTACGGCGACAAATTGCGTTTGTGGGACAAGAGCCGGTCCTATTCAACAAAAGCATCAGAGATAACATTGCTGATGGAATTGTTGATTCTCCATATGAGTTTGAGACAAAAGAGCAGCAAGAGAAACGCATTATCAAAGCTGCCATGCAAGCAAATATTCACGATTTCATATCCCTCTTGCCTGGAGGCTATGAGACTTTAGTTGGTGAAAAGGGTGTCTTGCTCTCAGGTGGGCAGAAGCAACGTATAGCTATCGCGAGGGCTATTATCCGAAACCCTAGGATTCTTTTACTCGACGAGGCAACTTCAGCGCTAGATACGTCCGCAGAGAATATAGTTCGAGTAGCACTTGAAACAGCAGCAGCGAATCGAACTACGATTGTGGTCGCCCACCGACTTTCAACAATCAGAAATGCTGACAAAATTGTCGTGTTGGATAAGGGTGCCATCGTTGAAGAAGGCAACCACGAATTTTTGCTAGCCAAAGGCAATATTTATGCTTCGCTGGTAGCTAGCCAAAGGTTGGATAACATTTACGAAAACTCGACGTCTAAGCTCGACCAATTTGACTTTGACTGGAATGCAGTCAAAATTCCATCTTGGAGGTTCAAAGACCACATCATTGTCGAAAATGATGGTGAATTTGGAGCTATACCGACAGGCCTCACCTGGAATGAATCGTCAACAACTATCCGGTTGCCAACTACCAAGATGGGAAAGTCCTCTAGCGAGGTGCAATCATCACTATGGCTCGTTGTCAAATTTATTGCGACGCTCACTCGGCAAGACCTAAGATATCTAATACTAGGACTCATTTTCAGCACAATCAACGGCGCCGTTCAACCTGTACAAGGGGTCTTCTTCGCCCAGGCTATTGTGGCCTTATCGCAGCCATTTCCTGGATCAAAAAATTTCCTGCATACAATCAATTTCTGGGCTTGGATGAACGTCATGATCGCCATAGTGCAATTAATTGTTCTTCCAGCACAAGGACTTATGTCGGCCATTTGCACCGAACGACTCGTTTTCAAAGCCCGTTCTCGTGCATTCAGATCGATAACACAGCAAGAAATACCGTTTTTTGACCTGGAAGAGAACTCTATTGGAGCACTCACCTCGTTCCTGTCCACTAAGATCAACCACCTTTTAACTCTTTCTAGTCAGACACTCAATATTCTAGTATCATGCTTGTCGACTATTATCATAGCCGTTAGTGTCTCCATGGCCGTCGGATGGAAGTTGGCCATTGTTTGCCTATGTACGGTTCCCGCTATCCTCGGAACTGGTTATTTGCGAGTCAAATCTATCGCGAACTTCCAAAAGTCTGCCCAGGCCGCATACCAAAAATCTGCAGGGTTTGCTTGTGAATATATCAATGCTATAAGAACTGTAGCGTCACTCACAATGGAGAATCGAATTCTCGAGGCGTATTGTCTGCAGATCTATGCCCACACCAAAAGCTCATTGTGGTCAAACCTGTTGAACAGCGCATATTATGCGGCTTCACAATCGATGATCTTCCTAGCGTTGGCGATTGGATTTTGGTATGGGGGTATTCTGCTGAGCCGTGGCGAGTATACGCTCCTGCAAGTCTTTCTCATCCTTTCCGAGATTATCTTCAGCATTCGATCTGCCGGGACTGCTTTCGCTTTCGCCGGCGACATTGCCAAAGGAGGGGTGGCTGCTGCAGAGATACGCCAGCTTATCTGTGGAAAAGCAATAACTGAGGAAAGTGGCGAAGGGGGTCAAGTAATCGAGAGAATTGAAGGGCATATTGAGTTTCGAGACGTCCATTTTAGATACCCAGCAAGACCAGATGCCCCGGTCCTACAGGGGCTGAGCATGAAAGTTCAGGCGGGCCAAAGTATCGCCTTGTTGGGCTCCTCGGGAAGCGGCAAGTCAACTGTTATTGCGCTTCTTGAACGATTCTACGAACCTTTGGCGGGAGAAATCCTTCTTGACGGACAAACTATAACTTCACTGAATCTCAACGATCTGAGGAAGCACGTGGCACTCGTAAGCCAAGAGCCACTAATGTGTCAAGGAACGATCAAGGACAACCTCCTGCTTGGCTTTGACACCACGAACAATGCGACAGCAATTGTGCCCGAGGATAAAATAATTGAGGCATGTAAAGAGGCAAATATTTACGATTTCATCCAGTCTCTACCGTAAGTGTTCGTTCCCTTATACAGCAACAGTTCATCTCTACTCACAAGCGGTTGCGTCTCAGTGAAGGATTTTCTACTCAGGTCGGCCCAAAGTCAATCCTCCTCTCAGGAGGCGAGAGACAACGATTAACTATCGCCCGTGCCCTCCTTCGCGATTCTAAGATTCTATTACTCGATGAAGCAATGTCTTCCCTCGATGCCCAATCCGAAGAACTAGTACTGCAGGCCCTTGAGAGAGCCTCAAAAGGTCGAACTACTATAAGCATTGCGCATAGGCTGAGCACTATTCGGCATACAGACTGCATTTTTGTGATTGATGGAGGGGCTGTAGCTGAGAAGGGAACACACGAAGACTTGATGAATATTGAGGGCGGGCACTATCGGAATCTCGTATTAAGAGAGCATCTAAGAACTAAATCACATTAACAAGCAGTTAAATTGTCTTAGCTTAGAATCTTATATAGAGTATATGGCTTTAATTTATAGTATTATAAATTAATTATAATAGAGATTAATATTTCTGTTTATTTAAAGTAATATAATATAATTATTTATTAACTTATTACGAGTAAGTTTTAACTTTAATAAGTTAACTAAAAATATAAAAGCAAGAAAACTACTTATTATATATAACTAATAAGGGAATTATTTATTTATTAAATATACTTTTTAATTTTTATTAAAAATAATTTTTATTATAAAGTAATATAAGAATAATTAAGAAAAAGCTAAGTCTTTCTTATTTATTAATTTAAATCTAAATACTTTCTTTCTTATTAATACTTTTGAAATATTAAAAACACTAGTAGCCTTAATATTATATAATAATAAAGTGTTTTATATATAAGCTAATATAAGTAAAATCGCAATCGTCTAATTGCTTCTAGGCCTCCTACTATTAACGAAGCCAACGGAAACAACAGGGTCGCCCTATTAGCCGCAAGCCTGGCCAGGTGCGGATATCCTGTGCACGGGCCATATTCGTTTCCCACTTCGTCTCCAGGCCGAAGAGTCATAGTGTACGAGTGAGTTGAGGTTCACGCGAACTGGGTTTAATAATAAACTTTGTGTTTTGATTTTAGCGCAGTATATAGCTTGACGGAAATCAGTGTGTCAAATGATTAGGTTTGATTTGATTAGGCCCCCCTACTCAAATCAAATCAAGTCAAAATCAAGCTAATCAAATCATACTTAATTATAATTAAAGATAATCAAAGATAATTAATTAAAATTATCACGTGATTACGTACATGACTCTAGAGCTGCGGAAGCCGAGATAAGGCTAAAATAAGGTCTGGGCTAGCCGTATTCGGTATTGCTAAAGGCGCTCTTTACTAAACCAGACCTAGCGCTAATTAGTAAGCGAAGCCAAAGGCGCTAGAACCTCCTTGATTTCCAGTGTTACAGTAGTAGTAAAGAGCTTGAATTGAGCTAAAGGCTATCTGCCAGGCTAAGGAAGCACTGGCTACATGCTAAGTCACGTGCAATAGCACCACGTGACTGGTACCACATAACAAAAACTAGTTTATTATTTTAGATTTAGACTAATTTTATACTCTTATATATGCTTTATAGATTTTATTTATATTTTATTAATATAGCTATTAGTTATTTAATAATCTTTAGAAATGCCTAAGAAAGTATACTTTTATATTATCACGTGATGATTATAATTAATTATAATTAATTATAATAAAAATCAAGCTAATCAAATCATACTTAATTATAATTAATTCTAATTAATTCTAATTAATTAGCCTTGATTATTTTTTGACACACTGACGGAAATGATACTATGGGAAGGGCTTACTATCGCATTCGGAGGCAGGGAAAATTAGATCTCAGCTACTATTTATCCATGCGCGAGCGGTTTGTACTTTAGTTACGTTGTCAGCTTCGCTGCCTGACTGACTCCTTCAAGGAGGTCCTCTGAGATAAATACAAAAACATTATATTATTCACGCTAGAATGTCCCGGCCATCGTTATACTCATGCTTGGTTTAAACTATAACGTCCACTCCTGCGTAGCGGAAAACCCTGCTTGTCAGGAAAAATGATAGGTACTTTGACTAAGAGTGTCTCAAAATCTATATACACCTTAATTTCTCTTGTATATTCTGCATCATATCTAGCTTAGTGATAACGGCTGACCGATTCGGTCGACCGAGTGCAGATGCTGGCTTCGTCTTTCACCCTCTGCTTTCCCAGAATCGTTTTCGGATTGTGGGCCGAAGTTGATCTGTAACATGGATTCTTAGCGGCTATTGTTTTGGCCGTGGACTAAGAGCGTGAGCTGTCGGGGTTTTTTGAGGGTGACTTGGCCGTACCGAATTAGTGAGAAATTACAATTGGTTTCCCTAAATGCAAGGAGAATAGTGCAAGGAGAGAAGCCAAGTCTGGGCTTTTGCGGTTGTTTGTATTCCGTACAGAGCTGTTGACAGGGCACGTAACGCATGTGCTTAGAGCTCACAGGCACCTAGTCTCTCCACAAGTCTCAACCCGTCACCCATTTTCTCTACTTCTCTCTTTGAGAAAGTCTTGCACGCTCTCATTAAGAAAGGCTGGCAAGATCGCTGCTGTGCATGCCGTTCGACGACCGACACCGGAATCGACTAACGCTTCGACGAGGGCCTTTTCAAGCCCCTTCTTCTCCATCTCTTTCAAACTTGGTTTTTCTAAAACTAGTTCCCTCAGAAAATTTGAAAGGAGGTCCATTGCCAACAATTCAAGGACTGAGTGTCCATATACCTTAATAACAAATTCAGCTGTTTTTGTGGCTCTTCTATATTGCTTCAGTAAATAGCAAACTCTTTTCTTTCGGTCTGTATAGAGGGGAGTGGGTGAGCGTGGGGGACATATGCGGTATGACTATACGCGCTATCGGCGTGAGACAGCTCGAAAACTGTCTTGCTGCCCGTGAAATTCATTATACCCGGGGAAGCTCCACTCAATCTTCCATCAGATCCTCTAAACCAGACACCCAGATAGTCAACGAAAATGAAAACTTCCTTTGATAGTACCTTCTTGATATTGACTTCCTTTGCCTTGACCTTTGCCTTGACCTTTGCCTTGAAAACGGGCTCACTTTCGCTGTCGGCCTGGCAACCCCCAACTACGAATAGAAATTCGTGCGATTCGGAAGCGCAGTCGTTCCGTGACTGCGAGTGAAAGTACATAGTGAGACTCAAGAGGGCCTGTATAACCTTTCGCTGACGCTCTGCTTCGTCACTAAAGCTAACTCTAATTTTCGGGTCGAAACATCCAATCCGTAGCTTCAATAATCCTTCTAGAGATTTATTGGGTGACTCCCCTGGGCGTGGTCTTACAAATGCACCTGCTCCTTTGAACAATATGGTCTATAATGTTGTCCAGGTTCCTCCTAAATTTAGCAAGGGCATTATCCTTTGCATAGCGCCGTAAACCTTTGTGGCCATTTCGTCTATCTCTTTGGAACCTGGCTGAAACTCCTGCAAAGAGATTTGCGACATTAGCACTCGGTAGGCCCTAATGTATGCTTCGTCGCCGCGACTGGGCAGAACTGAATCCGAATTGTTGAATGGTATCAGTTCTTCCGAGGATAACGGTTCACCATTATTATCCTTAATAGCTCTGTGACAATCGGCATATGGTGGGTGAGATGGACCATTCCAAACTCCCAAGGGCATTATCAATCCCTTAACTTGATGGATATGGCTCGCTAAGTGACTCGCTTCAAAGCCCTCCGTCAATGGAAAATCCTTTAATAGAGGGTCGCCTACATAACTTCGCAATATAGCGCATAGTAATACTAGCAAGAGAGTTGAGATGAGTTATACCACTCCGGCCGACTAATGCAGTTGTCTAATCCCCAAGTTTTGACTTATAAAGCCTGTCAGAGTGAGAACTATTCCGATTAAAGTCATTATAGCGTTAAATATACTCTTTTTGAGACCGAGCCACGTTTCTTTGTCTTCAGCTTCACTTTCGGATTTCTCGGCTTCAGGTACTTTTGTTCTTGGTAGAAATATTGTTCTCCTAGAGATGGCCACGCGTGGATTGGTCTCGTTGTTAAAAATTGCGTATATAGGAAGATTTATTAACGGTATTTTTTTCTAAAGCCTAATAATACGGAATATAGTATTACCTTCGAGATTACTACTACTATTATCCGGTATGATTTCTTCTCTGCCTTATATTAAACTGGCAAAACGCAATATTGGCAGAGGTTCTACTATTAACTCTTTTATATAAGATTCCATAACTTGTATATAAAAATATAATTCTATAGTAATAAAGGTTATACCAATTGCCCAAAGCGGAAAACTATATAGAGCTATAATATAGCCGGCTCGAGGCCATTAGTAGTAATATACCGCTAATATATTAAAGGCAAAGACTATAGCCTATATAATAGTTCTTATTAATATTATAAGCTATAGCTATATTTGACTTGATATAGCTATAGTAATATTAAGAGTCAAATTTGGATCTCTTCCTTTTAGCTTATTAGCTAGCCGAGTTTTATCTGAACTATCTTTTATGGGATTATGAATTGTATTTGGGTCTTTAATATCCGAATTGTTTAGTTAATTATGTCTCGTATGTTTCCGAGGATATTTCTAACTAGAGGGGTCTTTAATACAGTATAAAGTAGTACTCAATCCAGTCTCGGGAAGTATATTACCAAGAGTAGATTACAATATCTATATACCTGGAAATAACTCTTTATAGCCGATCTTTTTGCTTTCGGTATAGATATATTCTATTATTTGCGAGTCTCTATATTAGTAAATAATTTATTATCCATTCTAGATCTTGCGGATATTCTTAGAAGTAGAGGAAAGGATATTCTTCTCTTCGTTATCTGGCAAGTCTCGGACTCTGAATCGAAGTTAATATCTTTCTCCTGAAAGGTTACTAGAAATTCTTATCTCCCGATAATGGATTTCATTAACGGATAACTACTAATATGTATGGCACTAACAAGTACTGTCATGATTCTAATCGGTGCGAGGGCGAGGAGAATATCGGCACCCCACCCCATAGAAGTAGCCAGGTACTGCTTTGTGATCTCGTTACCAAATAGTCCAAGTAAAGGTGCAAAGTCGGTAAATAACCCATTTATAAGGCTTCCGACGTCAAAATTCGAGCTCCCAGGAGCGGTCGCGTTACCAGCTATTGCTGAGGCCATGGTTGGGGAAAATGGGATAAGAGATTGGAATCGTGATGGAGTGAACTGCGGGGGAAGCAATGACTTTGTAGTGCATGCATGATCTGCTGACACCATGATTTCCTTTGAGGCTGCTGTAGTTGTGGTTGGTGGACCGTGCCCCGATTTGTGTCCAAAGACGCAAACGAGCCTTTGATTATGGATCAGGGGATTCAAGAATAGTTTCGGTGTCTGTGCGGTATCTTGTAGGCTCTTCATACCTGTGCCCGAAGATTTTGGGGGAGATCATATGTCCAGATCCGCTAAATGAAGCAGTATACCTGGAATCATGGCTCGATCACATATCGCCGGCCACAATTCTTTCATTCTGGGATATATTTTGTATTAGAATTGCAATGAAATTTTTTTGGAAAGCTTGGCTATTAACTCACGTGAAGATTTCGGTAGTGCTCCGCCATCGCTTATAAAGAATTTCCGAGCATCTAATCCTCACATCAACATCTCACTTGCAACCAAGGACATCGAAATGCCCACGCCAGCATCGGATCTTGTTTAAGTGTGAAAACGATATAGAGATCTGTTTAGAGCACCGCCACCAGAGGAACTATAGTGATACGACTTCGACCAAGATGAATTCCTCCAAGCACGCTAACCGCTCGAGTCGCGGCCAATCCACAAGAAGTCGAGGTCGTAGTGGAAGGTCACGAGGAGGCTTCAGCGGACAGCAAACACCGATTCAGAACTGAAGCCGGTACCACCAACAAGTTGTGCCAGGTGCACCGGTTTCCATGGTCTTAAAAGTGGACCAATCCACCTGACTCGCGGGGATCACCTAAGAGGTATCAAATTCCGGTTATAATATAGTCGAGTGGGGAGAGTGCAGAGGATAGCCAGCGAAGAGACGGCCTTTTGCCTCCCCCCTCGCTTTTGCCCTCGCTTCGCCTCTCGCTTCCGTTTTGACCCCCCTTTTCCGCTTTGGGAACCCTAATTTCCGCTCGAGATGTGTCCAATTCTTGGTATATAGAAGAGCAGGCGCCTGCGAGAGACTCATATGGCACAATGGGCGGCATAATGTCTGTTTTGGTAGAGAACCGGTTGACCTCGCGATGCAATTCCTGGATTATAAACTTCTTTGACTCTTCGCTCCACAAAGGAGGCGATTTTACATCAGCGGACATGAGTCTTTGCTGTGCGCTAGTTTGAAATGAAGTTGAACAATTTGCCGTCAAGTCAGCGGATAGAGTCGAGAAGAGTTTGTAGGGGGTTCCTGTGAAGAGCTTGCAAATCAAATGAGTTCTTGTCGCTGGTGTTGAAATTAGGGGCCTGAGGCCCCTAATAGGCTTAGTAAGCCCTGGAACAGAGCCTTAGGGGCTGTGTACTAATGGAGCTTAAGCCATAGGCTTATTACTGAGTAGATTATGCCCTGTGAGGCTAAATCAGTTCAGCTGAGGTTGAATGGTTCAGTATAAGGCTCTCTGGTTTAGGGGTTTAGTGCATGTGACTTAGGGGGTTCAGGGCTATATATACGGGCTACTTACCACTGTAGAACAGCAGTCAATTCAGTACGTTTTACTTGGTTTACATTGCAAGCACGTGACCCTAGCTTTATTACTTAGCTAGTTCAACAGCTGGCGTCGACATGATGTGTCACGCCACATGGAGCTAGAAATGAGATGGAAACATCAGATCACGTGCACGGTTCTCTGCATGCTATTTTGGTGGATTGGTTTCGAATGCCTAGACCGTGGAACACGGAGGATTCTCTCCGCGATAACATCGCGTGCAGCCTTGGCGCAATGAGGCTCGCCCAAGTGGGTGATTTCCGCCACTATACTGCACTCGTAGAGTCTCATCATTGGCCGCTTCTGCTTGCAGGATCCAAGCATCCATCCGGCTGGCCACTTATCTTCTTGTGTAACCTTTCGATTGGGATGTCGGTCGCGGTCCAAAGCGGGATTGCTTAATCGAAGGTCTTTATTGGAAGCCGTCATGTTTCTTTTTCGTGTGGAACCCAGGGTTGACTGCGGGCACGACGGGCCTAGCTGCACAGAAACCTCGATCCACCACCACAACTTCGATACTGCTGACCTTCTCTGCCGTCTTCAAGACCTGGACTGGACGCATATGTTTCGCGCAGCCCAATTGAAGCCCTGTTTAATTTTTTGCTTTGTTTCCTAGCGTTTTCTAACAGTCACTTGACGCTTTCACGGCTCTCTATTCTACGCAAAAGGGAGTCAAAGGTCAGCCCGCGGGCGTAATTCTTAATATTCAATTGGTGTGGATTATCAGATGATTAAGGTGCATTATTGAAATCGTACGACTTAGGACGCGAGCGTAGTCTGACATGCTAAACGCACTCTAACTGGCTGGGTTGTTCCATATTAAAGAGGTGAAGAAAGACGATCGACGGCGACCCCAATAGCTGTCACATCACGAGCAGGTATATTTAAAGATCGGCTCGACACTAATAGCTTTATAAAACATACGTACTAGCGGTAGAGTACGGCTGAGAAAGCAGAGTGCTAAAGGAAAGTATAAGTCTATGAGATTCAAACCTGATAACATAATTACGCGGATAGGTAAAAACTAAAAATACAATATATGAGGCTGCGTTTAAGAGGCAATGAGGCTCAGCCAGTAGAGTTAATCGGTCAGGAGAAACCACGTGGCTGGTTGAATCCAAGCCTGTTGCATGATCCAGCCTGCCAACTGGCTGTCCCATATATCTAAGGAGACAAGCATGCTCTCCATTGTCTGGTAAAAGATGTTATATTCCTGCTCAGCCTCAGCCTAAAGACATTTGCTGATTATTATACTATTTCACAGAATGTTTTGGGCATTGTCTCGACCCTTCCTCAGCCTGCCTCGCATTGACTTGGTGCGAGCTGACCGTCAGCAGCTGCATCAAAACCGATCCAATTTTGTAATTATCACTGAAAATGAAGCTAATATTGCTTTCCAAAGGCATTTTGACTGTACTGTCAGTTGTTAGCCAAGCCGTAGAGCTTGTAGTGTCTACAACCGAGAACCACGAGCACGTTACTCCTACACCGCATCTATTAGTGGAAAGAGATCAGGTTATCATCGGAGGAACGTTCCTAGGCTATTATTCAACCATAGATCTTGGAACTACTTCTTGTATGTCGTCCTGCTTAGAAAAAAGGATCGATTGGACTGCAACGCTGATATCTAAATACAGGGTTGTCAGCTACTTGCGGCACCGGATACACATTCACTACGTCTTCAACCTTCTGGGCTTGCTGTTCTAGCGGAGTCGATTGCGGTGTCGATGCCTGGTTTACAACCTGTTCCGGCGACGTTGACATCGCCGGAACTCAATCGATATTGTCACAATGGTATTTCTTTACTGCTAACTTGATGGTACTCGCTAACAAAACAACAGTACTTCCCCATCCTCATGCGCAACAATGCCGCTATACAAATCACTAGGAGATCCATATCCTCTATTGGATGTACACTGCGACGGCTATGTGTTGACGCTATACGAACAGATTCCCGGCGGCTCGCCGCCCTCAACTACTAGCAGCTTATCTGGCTCTGCCACCACCTCCTCCAGCTCCTCTATCACCCGAGCCAGTAGCACCAGCTCACCTTCCATGTCCTGGCAATCAAGCTCCACACTCGCTGTCACTACCGGCCCACAGAATGGAACCAGTCCTGGTTCTTCCTCGAGCGGCTTGTCAACGAGTGGGATAATAGGCATAGCCATTGCAGTAACCTTGTTGGGCTTGATAGCAGCAGGCCTGGTTCTGGGGATACTTGTCCATCGCCAGCGTCAGCGGAGAAAGGTAAAGGATAAGGCTGCAGACGAGCCTGGGACTCACGAGCCAGCTCCCCCTCACGAGATGTTCACGAAATCAAACACAGCAGAGCTACTTGGTAGGGAGAAGTATGGCGTTGGAAGCCCCGTAATTGCTACCGAGGACAGGACGGAACCAGCTCACGTCCTTGCCAAAGAGAAGTTGGCATATTCAGAAAACGAGAGGCTGATTGCGGAGAAGAAAGACATTTTATCTCAAGTCCCGCCAGTACCACTAAAAGTACCCATTCCTCCACGGAAAGATCTCAACCATTCTGTTACTCCAGCAGCGCATGAATTATCCCACGAAGCGATTTCCAATCAACAAGAACTAGATGCTCAACTCTCCGCCGTCCCCAGGGCCCACGAACTTGAGTCCGACTTATCTGCGCTGCGCGAGATGGATCCACAAAGCCGGGCCGAGCTGGAAGAAGTTTTACCCGAGTGGGTAACGAGAGTGGAGCTCGAAGCACAGCGAGCCATCGAGATCGGCGGCAGTGAAGCTGAAGCAGCGCCTTCACCATCTTCTACCAGGCACTCGATTTCCAGAAAACCCATCGCATCTCCTTATCCAGGATCGCCAGGCCCGAGTAACACGATTGAAAAAGTAAGTGATAGTGCTGGGGATGAAGAGACGGATGAGCAGGGAGAAGCTAGACTGAAAGTGTTGCGAGAGCGCATTGGAAGGATTCGCGCGGATAAAGAGCGGCTTTTGGAGATCCAGAGGTTGGCGCAGTTGGAGGAGGAGACGAAGGTTGAGATTTTGGCTGAGCAGAGGAGGTTGATGGGGAATTGATTGTGAAATAAAGACTTGTGATGACGAAAGTCTAAAGATGTGGCGATTTCAGGTTGGTCGAAACATCGGACCTGGCAGAGAGGCAGGAGTTATGTTTCCCATGAGACTGGCTAAGGAAACAAGTTGAGGGAGACTGTATTGTCCTGCAGGTTAAAGTTTAACAACTACTATTACAGCAACGCGTGCATCTCGGCGGAAGATGTAACAGCGCCGCCAGAGCTAAGGCTGGAGTGTTACTAAAGAAGCTAAATATTTGTTTATAATTAATTAAAGGCTTTATTAAAATATATTTTAACTATATTTCTAGTCTAGCCTTTATATATTAAAAAGTAATAATTCATTTTTATTTTTGCTTTTCTTTTAATATTTAATTAAATTTAAATTTTATTATTTATTATAATTTTAGAAAAAGAAAAAAAATATTAAAAATTTTATTATATATAATATCTTATTATTATTTTAAGTAAATTATTAAATATAATAATACCAGTTATATATATATATATATATTTTATTTTAAGAATTTTATTTTTTAAAAAAAAAGATTATAATTTTTTATAAATCTAAATTAATTAGCTTTTATTTCTAGTTATATTTTAGGAATTTAATTATAATTTAATAAAATATATTATAATATATAGCTTTCTTTAATAAAAACATTAAGTTATGTTTTATATTAAAAAGTAATATAATATAATTAAAATAAAGTTATTTAATTATTTTTATTAAATCTAGCTAATATAAAATTTTATAATAATTTAAATATTATAATAATAAAGTAAATATACTAATATCATATTACTAAAAAAACGCGTCTTTACTAAATATTATTTGAAATATTAAAGAAATATTATATATTTCTAATTTCTTTTTTATTAATTAAAATAAATATTTAAAATAAATAATAATTAAAAACAATATACTATTTAAGTAATAATACTTATAACTATTTCTGGAAGTTATTTACTAAATTCTTTATAAGCTTTCTAGTCTTTAATATTAATAGATTTATAATAATATTTAAATAAATTCAGTTAAATAAGCTATAAGTATTATAAACTAGTAATTATATTATTATAATACTTGCTATTTGCTTTTAATTTGAGAATAATTATTAAAAAGTAAATAAATATCTAATAATAAAAGATTTAGTATTCTTATAATAAAATAATAATTTTTAATATAAATATAAAAGATATTATTTTATACTTTTATTATAAGTAATTTCTATTTCGAGTTAATTAGAAATAGCTAAAATTTTATTACTTATTTATATATTAAATAGTTTTTATTAATAATATATTTCGAAATATTTATTATAAAAACTAAATTTAAATTATAAACTTAAAAAATAATTTCGAATATATAAAAGCAGTTAAATAATAATAACTTGAGCTTTACTAGATAATTAATAGCTCTTAAATATTTATAATATAATTCCTTTTCATTTTAATTATATATTTTTATTAAAAAGATATATTTCGTTATTTTAAAGCTTTTTTTTAATTTAAGGCTAAAGAAAATAGTTTTAAATAATATTTTACTAGAAATATTTAAAATTTATTAGAGTTTTTTGAGGTTTAAATAATAGAATTATATAAGTTAATAAAAACTTTTATTATTATCTAAGCTTTAATAAACTTTTATAAGCTAATTAAATATTATATTATAATTATTAATTAATTTCTTATTTAACTTTAGTTAAGTTTATTTAAAGAAATTATAATAAATAGCTATTTTAAATTAAGATTTATTACTAATAGCTAGCTTATTAATATTAGAAAAAAATTAAATATATATATTTAGATTTTACTTCATAAATAATTAATGTCCGTTCTTGGGTCGGGAGACGCACGCCGTCGAGAGACAAACTATAGGTAGTTTGAATTCAGGCGGCTCTGAGTCTCTGACTTCGTGAAAGCATCAGTGTGGGCAAAAACTACTCAAGCTACTCAAGCTACTCTAGAGTAGTCTTGAGTAGAGTAGAGTAGAGTTTGAGTAGCGTAATATGGTACTTGAGTAGAGTAGAGTAGAGTACTACTCTAGAGTAACTCAAGAGTAGTCACGTGCAAGTTACGTAAATATAATAAATTAATATTTATTTAATTATTAATAAATAAATAAGGTACCTATTAAGCAGTACTATATAATTTAAGCTAGAGCTTATATAAGGCTACTTAAATATCACTTTTCTTTTATAAAAACCAGATTTCCCTTCTTGAAATATTTTCCCCCCCTTTTTTTCCTTCTCTTTTTACTTCTTCTAATTCGTCTTTAAATAATCCCCAGCTTTTTAATAAGATATTATCTTAATAGTACCCTTATTAAGTCTATTATATAATTTAGATAATAAGAGTACCTTAAGAGAAGAGTCTGCCCTTAATAGCTAAAGAAGCCTAAGAATATATTAAGGTTCGACCTTGCTTACTAAGCCTTGCCACTACTTGATTGGACAGTGCAGTGGCGCTAGACTCGGGGCCACCCCGGAGCCTTACCTAATTAGGCTAGTATTATCACGTGTGGTATCATGTGCATACTACTCAACTACTCTAGAATATTCTAGAGTAGTTGAGTAGAGTATTGAGTAGAGTATGAGTAGTGAGAAATTTATTTGAGTAGAATATGAGTAGGGCCCACTACTCTACTCTACTCTACTCATTTCCCACACTGGAAAGCATCGAAGTTTCTCGTGGTTTTGTATTAGTCGTGTGTTGCGGTACCCCTTGACACTCTCGAGCTCGGCGACCTAGAAGATTACATTCGCATCGTCGCCGCCGCCCTGATTCGCTGGGAGCCTCCTTTTCATGGCGTCAGTACTCCTCCACCACAGCACCACCACTTGTACCACTATCGAACCTCATTAATGAGCCTTATCCGAGCCTTAGAGTCCCACAGGAACGCTGAGAAGTCATTATCAGCCTTGTGGCGGCCGTGGCGCGATGTATTATGTAACGTCGCCACGCCGGTCGATACCTCTAAGCAAAGAGAATATCGACCCTGGGGTGGCGGACTGTAACCCTAAAACTGCCACAATAGAAATTTCGAAACCCCGAAACTGCGTCCACTCTCGACAGTTTCCAGCATACATCAAATACCTTCCATAGACGAGTAGCACACAGCACATCGCCGCCCCTACAGCATATGTCGCATGTTCTTGTCGGCCTCCAGCACATATCGCATCACTCTAGCACCTCTAGCAAACGCAGCTCACCCTCCACTGCCTCCAGAATACAGAGCAGTATACAAAATAACATGCAGAGCATGACCCCCAGCATCCATAACACACATCGTACACCATTCACTAAGGTTCCTACAGCAGAGAACAACTTCCACTTTCGGCACAACCTCTACCACCTTCGGCACAATCTCCAGCACAAAGTCTACAGCTTCAAGTAGCTAGTGAATAGATATAAGTCAATTTGTCAACGATGGTTTTTGAAGCTTACGTGAAGCGCAAAGAGATGAACAATCCAAAGAATTTTGGGAAATGAATTCCTGAAGTCCTTCCTTCCGTAATGAACCTTGGAACGCGCCTGCCTCAGATAGAGACCAACGAAACCCCAACCAAAATCGTTCAAGAGATAAGGATATACAGCGGCCTGCTATACTTTCTTGAGATTCTCAAGTTTTCCCAAGCATTCCCTTGCCTGGTTACTTTACCCAGGTGGTCTTCTCATCATATTCATCGAAGACTTTTAGACCCCCTCGCTGCTGCCCAACCCATCCATCTGGAGGTTTTGCTACAAAGACACCACATCGATACCAAATCTTCCCCTCGTAGTCTCTTGCATTCCCGGCTTCCATAAGGACCAATCCTAATGCTGCTCGGCATCCATCTGACCTTCCCTTAACTGCAGCTGAAGCCAACAGCAGGAACATAGTCATTACACCCAAGCTGTCGAAATTGAAGATGCCATCATCGTCAATTCCCTCCTCGACGTTACGCCAGTCCAAAGCGCAAAAGACCTTAGCCTCCGGGAGGAGAACTGGGACGGTTACTTCGTTTCCAAACCCTCCCAATTCAGGGTTGTAGAATCCACTGACAGGTTTAGTTCTTTTAGTTCTGAACTTGAGGATAGTACTGTCGTATCCTTTGCTGTGGTCATTCTCTCGCGCATTGAATTCACTGAGAGAAATTGTGCATTCAGGGCGAAAATCCACCAAGCCATCACACATTTCGCCGGTCTGGTTCAGGAACTTGATCCTTTGATTTCCCATCCAACTCCAAGAACACAACCCTCTTATGGTTCCTGAATCTGGACTGTTAAAATCCGCGCGAAGAGAAGACAGATAGCCATGGGGTGGATCAGCGTCATTAGCTCCAAGACGCCAAAGGAAGCCCCAAAGATCTCCTTTCCAGATTCCCATGAGGTACTCATCTCCTAGGCGTCGCTTATACTCGAGTGCTGAGGCCCAGAGCGCCGGGAACATGTCGGCCTGCTTGGTAAAGGCTCGGTAAGAGTAGTCGGTTGCAAACCGGAGCCAGGTAAAGTAGAGATACTCCTTGCGCCATCTGGAGCTTCCGTAGATGTCTTTGACAATCGTATGAGATTTTTTGAAGGTGTCCTCGTCCAGGATAGGATCCTCGCCTCCACCCGGATTGCGACTGAACCAGTAATTCTTATTCACTGGGTCCTCGTCCGAGGAATGGTAGCCACTATACTGCGTGTTGGAGCATGGACAATTGTATTGAATACCCCCAGGCCAGAACAGAAACATGCGAAGGGAGTTGTTCTGCTCCTGAAAGGTCCAGCCACGAGTAACCCAGCGGTTACTTGGGAGGGTTTCACCTAGCTTGTCCATCAAAACAGGACCACAGAGTCTATTTTCGACTCCATCTAATCGAAGTTTGAACCTCGCAGAGATGTCTTTGATTGAAGATTCGTAGGGAAGGGTAATTTCCGGGACGGTTGAATTCAGAAACTTCTGGTCAAAACTGCTTCTTAGGCTGGTAATTGTGCACGCAGCACACTGATAAATCGTACCCATTTGACTTGCCTGAGTTTCCCAATCGTCACTGTCATCTTGGCAGATACATAATGCATCATTCCAGAGATACTTGAAACCGAGGTCCCGGGTAGCGGTGATGGCATCCTTCTGGGCCGCTGAAAGCCCTTCCCATGGAAGCTTTTTCATCAGTTGACTCCGATATGCACGGGACAGCTTCAGTTGTTCAGCATTCTTCCCTCCCCAGCAATAACTCAGAGCCACATATTTCGGTATCCAATCCAAGTCCCCCTGATCCCGTTCAACTTGTGGGTAGACTAGACGAGGAGGGCGGGCTTGGACATCTATCAATCGATAAGGCAAAAAAGGGGCAGATTTTCCGTTTATCCGATAGGAAGTCCTATCCGATTCTGTTCTCTCCCACGTCCTTCGACAGTATTCGTGATTCGAATCGCCTTTGCTGCATGATGTATATTGGTGTCTGGCCCAGCCGATTGCTGATGAGTCCCAGTTTCGTCCCGGAGAGCGCCGTAGCCCTAGCCAACTACCAGCATCCAAATGATAACCGTGTGTATCTAGTTTCGTTAGCATTAATACTGGCTTCTTAGGATTGAACGTTTTACCATCCGCTGACACACTGTAGCGTATTTGGCACAACATGCCCTTTAAGTCGGGAATCTCGTACCTACTGGACCGCCTTGAGTTCAAACACGCGACGAAGACATACAAGGCATCTAGGCCAACCCTCTCAGACCTTCGTTCTGGCTCCCAAGAGTACTGAAGGGAAACCTCAATCTGAAACGACTCGTCATCTAGATCAAGGTCCGCACATTGATCCGAAATGGACAGACGGACCTCCTCGGATCGCAGTCCAGCTCGAAGAAACCGGCAAAAGTCACAGTACTCGGCTCGCGAACGAAGATCCGGAAGTTCGGGGTAGTTATCCTCAAAGGAGCAGCCAGTTCGGAGGGAAGTATAATCGCCAATTCCGGTAGCGTGTGGACCTTCGGAAATTACTCGACTATTGTTTGATGACAATTTAAGATGTATCTGTGCAGTGTCCCAGTTGAAGTTGCCATAGCCTCCAAATTTCACGTCGTCAAACTTAATGGATTCGCACCTGGAGCAGAAGCTAACTGCTTCTGCCGGAATTTTGTTATTGTACTCACTATCCTTCCAATCATCTTCCCTTTTCCCATAGTCATCATCGCCGCTGTACGTATAATCGTCGTCAGATGGCATTTTTTAGATTCGAGGAAGAAATCTGGTTCAGGTCGAAGCCGAAAGGAGCAAAATGTAATTGTTCGTGGACGAAGCCGAGTTCAGGGACAGTTGCATAGCCCCGTGCACCTATACATATAGCTTTCCCTGAGATATTCATAGCAATCAATCATTATCATTTCCATCCATGAGCCCACACTCTCTACATGTAGCCTGATCGATCGGCGTCGATGGTCTGTCCTGATTAGCCGGGATCGGATAACCATGGTCTCCTGCTGAAAATAATCCTTCGGAACCGACGTGGAGGGTTCTTATTCGTGGATTAGCAGGTAAGGACTCGGATTTTCCCCCACGGCCGATAACTTTGGGAGATAATTTGTCTGTCCCGACAGCCGCTCGCGCACCACCCTTACATAGCTCAAAATATTCCGCTATTAGCTTGTTCTCCACGAAACTGAATCCTTCTATAACCGGCTTTTCTACTTCCGATACCATTTATCAAATCTTAGAAAGTGACTTTCTGGTTATTTGCCTCTCATATATATGAAAGTACTAAGGCCGACTAGGGTCTAGAAAACAATTCGCGAAAAAAGAATTTTAAAAAAGCGAAACTATAATATATGCAGGGTCGCACGTAATTAAAGGGCACATAATAAACCTCGGATATTGCAGGTATTAATTAGGGAGATTAGCAGCCTTTTCATAATATAATTATATTATTATTTATATTATAGGCTTTAGGCTTATAAATTATTAAATATATATATATTATTAAAAGCTCTTTTAAACCTTATAAAAGAAATAAAAATTAGTTTTATATTGAATTTAATATTATAGTTTTATAATTTACTAATTTATTTTATTATTTTATTATTTATTAATAAATATCTTATAAGCTAATTTCTTTATTTTTTAAAAAAGTAATCTCAGTCGTGGTGTTTGCTATCCCGGGTTTAGTGCCCGCCACATCGGGCAAGGTGTGTACACGGTCCAGCCGCTGCTTTCAACGTCTATAAAAGTTGCGCTCCCTTACTACTCAACTATTTTCTTTAATCTTTTCTTAACCCTTCCTTCGCTCGGTTGCCTGTGTCTCATCCCTGCGCTCTTTTACTCCTCTGCCTGGACCCTACACAACATCCTCCGTCGGTCTCGCCGTGTCAAACTTGGGCCATGCAGCCAGTTTGAAGCTTGATCCACCATTTTAGACTCGATGTCGCGACGGCAATTAATCCTCTGAGTCGCGTTGTATTGATCGAGATACAAGGATGGACCTCGCTCAGTTTCCTCTCCTTGTCATCCTACCATCATAACCCCAATAGCGATGCTTCTCAGCGATTGCGATAGCAGAGGGGTTGCTTTGGCCCAATCGAAGAAGTGCCTCACAATGACGCAGTTGGCTGCTACCTGGCTGCGCTGCGGGATGAATTACGTCCAAGTCTCGGTGAGCTTGAGCTCTGTGTGCCTTGATCTGGTCTGATCTGAGACGAGAAGGACCGATGTCTAGCTACTTGGCTGCCACAGATTTCAGATTGCACCATTGGCCCTGAGACCGAACACGAAACGTGCCAGAGACTGGGACACAAGTGGGCAGGGAGACGTGGGATTGCAGGCAAGTAGAGTCATCAGAAACAGTTCTTCCGGTGCAACAACAATGATCACCATGTCTCACCTCTGGCGTGACGAAATTTCATTCCGCCATTGACAAGCCTTTTCACCTCTATCCCAATGCCATGTATCCACTCTGCTCTTCCCGAGAAATACCGGCATAGGGATATATCCTCCGAACAAAACAGAGATGGGCCGATTTTCAATCAAACCACAAGCCAGTTTATTGGGAGTAAGTTTTCATTGAATTTCAATATTTGCCACCCGCGCTTACCTCTCCAGGCTTCATCAAGCTAGATCCTCACGATCCATTGCGGTCCCCATTGCTCTGGCCTAACGGGCACAACAATCTCCCACCCACATACATGGTTGTTGCAGGTGCAGAGCCCTGGAGAGATGCTGGTCTGATTATGAAAAGATGTTGAGAGAAATCGGTATGGAGACGATAGTTGATATCTTTGGTGGGTTGATACACGGGTTTTGGAATATCTTCCCTGGTGCGGAGTTCTCTAAGGAGTATAGGAGGAAGGTTGATGAGGGGTTGGAATGGTTGGTTGAGCAGCCGAAGTGAAGGGAAACAAGGCTCTAGATATTTATCATTCAAGAATTACTGCAAAATCTAAGATTTAGCAATTCCATTGCTGATGCGGGTCACACTTAGCTGCATTAGGAGAATAACATACCGAAAAGCAATCAACGACGGATCTAGAGTCTTGCCCCACTCTGCTGCCAGTTGCCAGCAGCCTCGGATTGTTCGCTCAGGTCTCGGACAACCAGGAGACTGAGAGCCAGGAATTCGATTGATTTTATCAGCTTGAACTCGCAGGTACTTCTCTCACTCCGTCCGCTTAGTCCAAATCGCCATTTGTCCGTTGCGTGGTTCGATTGGTCTCATCGCCAGAGCCCAGAACTACGTAGCTACCAAGGTAAAATATCAATTTTCCACCTTGTGACGAGTATGTGTCCACGTGACTAGCTCACTCTCGTCATAGATAGCGTGATAGGCGTGGGATGCAGGACTCAATACCTGTACGCGGTGCATCCTACGAACCTCCAGCCCTCTATTGAGAGTCTGCAGAGCCAAGTTTGAGTTAATTGCGATATTTGACGCGTTGTTAGAGCCTTCTTTCGTTGTGAAAGGCTTTATAGACGCGTTTTGTCGCGCATAGCAACAAAGACACACGTCGATTCTTTAAGATCCAACTATTGCCACACACACATTGAGATTACTTTATACTAAGGCATAAACGTAGCAGCACATCGAATCGACGAAAACACGACATTTTAGAGATTAGAGGACCTTTTTTCTAAATATAAGCGCAAATCCACTCCTCCTTCGACGCGTATGACGAGCTATACCTCTCGTTAAGATCGAAGGGTGTAACCCGCGCACAGTGAAAGCTAAATACACACAACGTTCAAGCAAAGAAAATCGCTAGTTAAAGGCTTTAAGACCTCTAGCGACAGTGATAAATTAATAAGAAAGGGCTTGTAGTGGCATAAAGCAAAGGCGTTAAGACGGACAAGAATTTATAACCGGAGTTTAACGTGTTTCTTAAGTAATTATAAGAGTAGTTTATACGAAGGGCAAGGAGGCCTTAGCTATTATTATATATAAAGCACTAATCCTTGAAAGCGGGCTAGCTATTCCTTAATTATAAGCTTAATAAAGGACACTCTCTTTTATTCCCTCGAGAAGTATAATAATAGTATAAGAAACACGTTAAGTAAAAGAAGGAGTTAAGAGACTTAAAAAGAGAGACGTCAAGAGGATAATGCTTGACGGCAAATGCATAAAAGATAATTATATTACATTTATACGAGAGAGTTTTAATTAAGTTAATACGTTAGTTAAAAGTTATAAAAGCTTCTTATTATTATTAAGTTAAAATAAAAGGATTAAACCCGGTTATCGAGCTTTAAGGAAGCATGAATTAAGCTAGCAAGAATTGCTTTAAAAATTAACTTATAATAAGTGAGCTTTAATTTAAGAAATTTTGTATATAATGCATTTGTATAATGCTTCCGGGCAATTAAAGACTAATAGAACACAAAAAAAAAAGCGTGATAGGCGTATTTAATTGCACTGAATACTGTAGTCTTTTATTAATGCAACTAGTTATTGCACAAGTAAAGATCTAAGGGAGTGAGGTTTTAAAGCTTATTAACTCACGTTATATACTTATTATAATAATAAAGGCCGCTTTGTAACGATTTACTCATTAATATCTATAATTAATTAATAAATCAATTAATTAATTAATTCAGGCTTTATTTGGTTAATAAATTATTATTAATTAATGAGTTATATAAAGCATTAATAAGCTCTTTTTAATTAATTAATTAACTTATTACCTTAATTAATCTTTTATTAACTTTCTTTATTTTATACTTATATTAATATTATTATATTTAATTAAAAGAATATTCTTAATATAAATAATAATTCTTATATATAAAGTTATATTTAAGAGTTTTTTTTTAAAAAAAATTTAAATAAGTCTTTTTTTTTTATAATAAATTTTAAAGTTTAATTAATTGAATTTAACTTTTTAATTATTTTATTAAAAAGTGAAAATAATATTATAATAAAGATTTATATAATAACTTAAAAGTAATTAAAGTATATAATATAATTACTTATATATAACTTTTCTTTTTTATATTTTTCTTTAAGTAATTTTTTTTTTTAATAAATTTTAAATTTAAGGATTTATTCTTTCTTTTAATACCTTTTTATAATACTTTTAATATAAGTTATATTTTTAATGTTTAATATAATAAATAAGTTTTAAAATTATTTAAAAAAAAAGTTTTAAAAATTATTTAATTCGAATATTATTAAGTAAATTATTATAGTTTAAAAAAGTAAAAATTAAATAAAGAAAAGTCTTTTCTTCTCTCTCTTTATATATATAAAGCAATTAATATTAAACTTTAATATATTTACTTTAAGTAGAAATTTTTATATAATAGTATCTTTAAGTTAATTATATTAGTTTATTAACTAATATACCAATAAATTAAGTTCAAGCGTTTTTATTATTAATTAATACGAGTAAGTTATATAGATATTACTCTTAAGCCGTGGTTCTCTTAGCTTTGTAATAGTAGTTAACTTTGTATCCGTTTAAACTGGTTGAGTGGAACGCGAAGGATTCGCCCACTTATCACTTTCTTTTATCGACCTCTTCGTCAAGCTCAAGATCGATCGAGGGGCTTGGCAGTGGAGTTTCGGCAAGCGTGTTAGGCCAAATGCGGTTAGATGCCCGAAAGCCAGAGTCCTGCTTTTCGCTTAGACTTGTTACACAGCATACTGCATGTATGCGCTGGCCAGCTAAATATGTAAGATGCAGCTCTTCCTATTATCTTCTTAAGGGATGGACTTTCGTCTACAGTCAGAATAATTTTATTCCAAAATATACTATCTCCCTCAAATTATAACTTATAATCCCATTTTGTCTGTCATCCGCCATCTGTTCGAAGCAAAAGAGTCATGGACCCTATTAGCGTGGCCGGCAGTGCTCTTGGAATTGTCAGCCAGGCAAATAAGATATATCAGCTCATTGCCGAGGCACTTGCTTTAAATTACCGTCGCGAAAGGCTTGGGAAGTTCGAATTTATTAGTACTCTCGGCCTGCTTAATTTAGCAGATGTCCAAATAGCACATTGGAATATCAATTGCTGGAAGGACGAGGAAATGATGCAATGGAAAAAAACATATACTGACGGGTGTAATGCCGTTGCAATAGCAGTAAGTCAACTAGTCACACAGTGGAAACCCAGTAGATTGAATTTATCAAGGGAGCAATCTTTGCGAGTATCGGCCTTTCAGCTTTGCAATTACCAAATATGGACGATATACACTGGACTGTTCGTGCATTATTCTCGACTAGTATGGTGTTTGGTATTCTTTCAGTTACTTCTGCAACGTCCTTGAACCAACAGGTCGGAAGACTGAACAGCGCTCTTGATATTCGATTATGGCTAAGTCGAGGAAAAGGGAGGATGAAACACTGCGAACCGTATTCCTTAATGCCTCTAGAAAGTTCGATTTCGGCGTTGAAAATATCTGAGATTCCAAATCTTTTGCTTAACCTTGCGGTAGTGCTATTTCTTATAGGGTTTGGACTCTATCTTTTGTTTTCATGGCTAAATCATATTGAACAGAGTGGTATTGCATATCGAAACGTGTTCATTGTGTTTGTTATTGCCGTTGTTGTCTCTTGCTTATACTATTTCACTTGGGTTGTAGTCAGGATTCTTGAAGCTCAAAAGCGTTCTGAAGAGTTTGAGTTGATCCCGCCAGAGAAGTTCCAAAGGCCAAGTTCCCAGCAACTGCTTCAACAGAAGCTACACAGTGTGCAGAAATTGCAAGGGCTTAGAGGGGATGAGGAAGAGTATTTAAAGAAGGTTAAAGAATGTTTGGAGGTGTTGCAATTGCAGGAAATAGCAAGGGGTGTAGCAGAAGAAGCATGAAGGCAGGGATGAAAGAGTATTAAGTTCCCCCGGCGGACAAGCAACTCAGGCGAGAGTACGAATAAACTTTAAGGATAAGAACAAGATTGAATACGAATTATGTATCTCTAGAGCAAAGTAACCATTCTATTTTTTTCCTTTTTATTCTTTTCCCTTTTTTTTTTGAGAACCTTTTCCACAGTCAGAACAAGAGCTTAGCGAAAGAAGATGTATTAAACTATTTGCGAAGTACAAGAAGGCCCTCGGGAGGCGAAAGTCATCCCTTCTCACAAACCAATCAACTAAAAGTAACCCAATTAACACTCACAAAGTCACTCGACTGCCCACTCGCAAAAGTCAAGTACAAAGTAAGCACTCCAGACACAGGAGTCAAATTTGCCGGAATAGTCTCCCAACTCTGCCAACCACCTGTATTCGCGATAGCGAACTTAGCTACTGGGACAGCGGTAGGACTATCAATGCAGGCCTGCACAAGTCCGCTGATACCCGCTGCAGCTCCAGATGAAACTCGAGTAATGAACTGGGTTAGGCCACTAGCGTAGAAGTCCACGTTGTTAAAAGCCATCCAGTCTCCGTTAGAAATCCATCCGAGATCCTGGCCACCACTAACGTCTGCGGTTGTTTCGGTCTGCACTCCGTCGTTATTGGAGCTAAATGTCGAGGCCAGAATGTGTGAGGTAGCATCTATGGCGGTTCTTAGAGTAGGAGTTGGCGGAACTGGAGAGTAGGAGTTTTGTTAACAAGTCCGCCGACCATGGTGGTTAGAAGTACGGGGTTGGATCGGACATTGAGCCGGATTAGTCGAGCCCGCCAGTTAGGTGTATACGTGTCTTGGTGCCCCCGTTTCCGTGCCGCAGGCTCACTGCCCAGGGCCGGGTCTGCTGGGCAAGAGGAGCCTCGAGAGGTGCGTGACGCATCGCGGTGCTCGTCAATGATCGGAGTTACTAAATGCTTGAGATAGACCTCAGACTCTGCTTAGCTCAAGAGATGGGGAGAAGACGCTATTTGAGATGTGTTCCGTTAGCGACCTGTTGGATAACCTTGGAAGAGAAGGGGCAGACCATGAGCGTCCTCAAGCAGTTCAAAAGATGGTACGGCGACGGCCATGATGATGGGGATGAGGCCCTCCACATTTGGCTGGCCAGCGGGTGGGTCCTTGGGAGGTAGGAAGACGAAGTCGCCGTTTTGGGAATTAGTTTTGTGGCGGTCGGCAAAGGAATTGCCGGTGGACACTGTGCACATGATGATGCTCGCTTAATTTTAGTATTCCGACCCCTATACTACACCGCTATGGAGTTCTCTGAGAACTCCATGACTTTTTATTAGAAGCACTCTAAGGAAATCGAAATATCTATGAAGTCCTCTATTTTTATTAAACAAGTTATATAAAAATTTTATATATCAAATCTCCTAATTTAGCCCGATTTCTGGACCCACTTTTTATAAGAATCGGTCTTATATAAGCTAGGTTATTAATAAGTAAAGCTAGAAAATAGTTAAAAATACAAATGATTTTTACCTTAGGCTATTTCTTATATAAAAGGCCCAAAATTTAAATATAAGCTCTCATAGTAGTATAAAGCTAGACTAGCGGCTAAAAAGTCTAAAAATAGATTTATAATATAATAAAAGAAATTTTAGTTTAATTTTTCTAAGGTTTTTAAACTCAAACCTAATAGTTTAATAACTAGAACCTTTCCAAATAAGTTTTATATTATATTTAGGTTTATTATATATAAAACTAGTTATATATAGATTTTTAGCTAATTCTATCTCTTATACGAGATTTCTTTTTTAGTAAAAAATAAGAATACTTATATACTAATTAGTATATATACTACTAACTAATATACTTTCTAGTAAAAGGGATTTTAGTAAAGAGGCATCTTTCCTATTACTATTTAATAAGTATTTCCTTATCTCGAAATATATTCTTATTATATTATTATATAATCTAGCTTATAGAATTACTATTTACTATATCTATAAGTCCTATATTATTCTAGAGATATATAGTTAAGAATAGTATTTATAAGTATAGCTATATTAATTCTTGGAAAACGAGCTTAAGGCAACTATAAAGCTTCTTAGTAGCTATAATTTAAGAAATATAGCCGAGCTAAGAGAATATAAGCTCTGGCCTAAAGACAAGTATTAGATAACTAAGTATCTAGTTAGCTATAATAGTATTTACTATTTATAGCTATAGTATAGCTATAATACTTGCTTATAGAACTAGGTCTTATATATTAAAATAAGGAATTATTTTATAAAACTCTATTATCTAGTATAGGCTAAATAAGAACTAACTATAATTAAATAATAGTTACTAAAAGATCTAATAATATAATAATAGTATATAGAATTAGTAAATTCTATAGCCTAGATTCGATTCCTAATTAGGCTTCTAATTTGCTTTTTAATAAATATTCCTATAATATTTAGTAATAAATAAATTCATTTTTTTTAGTCTTATTTTTTAAATAAGAGATATTATATAAAAATACTAGTTTAGTTTTAAGAAGTATATAAAGCCCTTTTTACTTACTTTTTATCTTTTCTTTTTTCTTTTTTTTCTCTTTTCCTATTCTCTTTTCTTCTAACTATTTCTTCTTCTTTTCTCCTTACTTTTTCCTAATTAAATAAGTAAGAAATAGAAATAGTATAAGAACTAGAATAGTAAAAGAATTAGTAACTAGTTATATTTTAGGGTTTTATTCCCTAAGCTTTCCTATATAAGTTATTTTATTAGGTATTTATTCCGGAGGAAAACTATTTATATTACTTATTAGGGCTTTAAATTTATAATTAGCTTACTAGTATAATATACTCGAGACTATTTATAGACTAACTATTCTATTTTCTCTTTCCGGAAAGCTATTAATACCCGAAATAATAATAAGAAAGCTAGAGCTTCTATTATATTATAGCTAAGGGATTATTATAATAGTAAGAATATATATAGTTAGTTCTAACTATATTATAAAAGCTTAGTATTAGGCTTTTAGTAAATTAAAAAAGCTTATTTTAATATATATAACCTAAAACTAAAATAAATGTAATTATATATTTATTTAAGTTATATAATTATATTTATTTGAGATATTCTAGTAAAATCTACTAACTAATTTAATTATAAGTATTATAAGCTAGTAATATATATAGCCTAGCTTAAATTAATCCAGCTTCTTTAAAGAAAGAAATTATATAATTATATATTATTTAGGCTCTTTTTTATTTAGAAATAAGAAATTAGTTTCTAGATTCTATTATATAATATAAGCTAAATAAGTATATTATATACTTTTTTATAATATATTAAATTTAATTCTTTATAGAACTTTTATTCTTTTTATTTTTTTTATTTTTTTTTATTATTTAAATTTTTTAAGTAATTTATAAGATTTAATATATTTATTTTTCTAATAGCCTAATTAAGTTAAATATTAAAAGAAAATATAAAGATAGAATTTAGATTCTAAGTTTATTAGAAATAAATAAAAGAAATTAATCTACTATTATTATAAATATAAATTATATTAATATAATAAATTATTATAAATAATTTATATAATAATAATAAGAAAAAAAAAGATTTAAAATATAAAAAAAATTCTAAAATTAAAATATATTTTATTTATAATATTTAAATTATAAATAAAAGAAAAAATTAAAAAAATAAAAAAATAAATAAAAAAAATAAGAAATAAGATTTTATTTAGAAAAAATAAAATAAATTTTTTATATATTAAAGGAAAAAATATAAGAATTAAAATTAAAGAAATTTAGTATTATATATAAAAAGAAAATATTTAAATTATAAATTAAATTCTAAATATTAAAAGAATAAAAGAAAAAAAGAAATAAAATATTAAAAGAATTATAAAAGAAAATAAAAAGAAAAATAGAAAAGAAATTAAAGAAATATAATAAAAGAAAAAGTAATAATAATTAAAATAAAGAAGAAAAAAAGAAAAAGAAAAAATTAAAAATTAATAAAAAAGAATAAATAAAAGAAGAAAATAAATTAAAAAGAAAAATAAATAAAAGAAAAAAATAAATTAAATAATATTCTAATTATATTTTTTTAATAATAGAAATTAGCTTTATATATTTGGATTAAGAAGTTCTAGATAGAAATTTAAATAAATTAAATAATATTATAAAATAATAATAAAAAGTATTATATAATTATAAATATAAAAATACTATTTAAGTTAAATATAAAGCTTTAAATATAATAGAAAATATTTTATTTATATAAACTTTTGTATTATATAAATTTTATAAATTTTTATAAATTATATAAAAATATCTAGAATTCCTTAAGATTTCTTATATAATCTAATACCTATAATTTCTATTTAAGATTCTATAATATAATAAGTATTATATTAAATCTATAATAAATAGTAAAGAAAAAAAAAAAACCGAATTTATAAAAAAAGTAAAATTAATAAAAGAAAAAGAATTAAATAAAATTTCGTAAAATATAAGATTAATTAAAAGAAATAAGATATATAGAAAATATAAGCTAAATAATAATAATAATATAAAGAAAAATAAGTTAAATATAATAAATATATTAAAAGAAAAAGAAATTAGAACTAATTACTATATTACTTATTACTAGAGTCTAATAAAGTAAATATAGGCTATATAATATCTAGAATAATCCCGGTTCGAGAAAATCTCTATTAGGCCTTACTAGAAATACTTTTTATAATTCTAATTCCTATAATTACTATATCTAATAGCTCTAGTAATTTGGGAAAGCCTTTCCTAGCTAGCCTAGAATATCTGCTTTTACTAAATATTAAATATTAAGTATTTATTTACTTATTATAAGTTTTATTTAAAATAAATTTATAATATTAATTTTTGATAGCTCTCAAATGAGCCAGTATAAGGCAAGAGAAAAGGAGCTGCTTTTAGAGCTGCCAGGAATTTCTAGTCGGTGCCTCAAAGCCACCTCAAGTTTTGTAACGATAATTCCCACTACGAAGGACTTTCTCGGCTCTTCTCAAGCCACAAAGTGCTGACACTGCATATCTGCAACCACAATTGGCTTACCCCCCCCCCCCACTAGCTTATCATGTCCAGGATCGAGCCTATCGGAGCACCGATTACTTCTCTCCTGCAGGCATAGCGGGTTTTAGGCTTGGTTGTTCGATAAATGCCCCACCGACCCCCTTGATCAAGACACTGGAGTGGTATTCTGACGCTTACAATTTCGAATCTCATCAAATATTCTCGTCGTCGTATTATCATTCTCGTATAATGGCCCCCTCTGAATACTACACATCAGAAACAGACAATTCCTGGTTCCAGCTGAACTTTTACTTGATTGATGTTCTAAATGGTGACTTTGCACCAGAGGACAGATCAGCTCTGGTCTTGCTCGGAATTCGTGCTTTCGACCGCGCAACACATCGTCTCGGGAAACCTTCCAAACTGAAATTTGAAATTTCTTTCACCTGCGAGCAGACACAGGGGACGGATGGGGAGCAAAATGAATTTAAGATTTTGGAAAGGGGGTTATTTTCCCTTGACATGCTGTCACATACGTATCGACCAATTCCAACCGCCGATCCAACTTATACCACTCTGAAGATCAGCGATATTCCAGAGTCTCCATCGCGAGTCTCTCTGGTAGTGGACGAATTTCCCGTCCAGGGAGAAATTTTGCTCCGTATTGCAGTATCGATTCAACAACGCCCTGAAGATGATATCGCAGATAAATTGGGTTTTTACCCAGCAAGCTTCTCGTACTCGATTGAAGACCTTAGTTCAGACGTGCTTCCAGCTAGCATAGAGTTTGGGGGAAGCGTCGGATGGACTATTCCGGAGTTCACCCCTGGGGCTGAACTTAGGGGGGCTGCACTCAGGTGGGCCGCAGCCCATGGATGGGTCGAGTACTTGAATCTATACTTGAAAAGGGGAGGCACAGCTTTTGACCTGGAAGACAATGATGGAAGAACGCCACTCTCATTGGCAGCAGCAAATGGTTGCGATAAGGTTGTGGAATGGCTATTGGAAAAGGGAGAAGACGCTTCCACACACAAGGTGGATCACATGGGTCGATCAGCGCTATCATGGTCGGTAGGCAACGGTCAAGTGGAGACTATGAAGGTTCTATTAGCCAAAGGGAAAGAACATCTCAGCCAAGGAGATAATGATGGACGGACGCCCTTATCTTGGGCAGCTGAGAATGGACATGATAAGATAGTGGAACTGTTGTTAAATGGGGACTACAAGGTTGATGCAGATCAGGCGGACAAGAACGATCGGACGCCGCTATTTTGGGCAGCAAAATCTGGGCGCCACAGGGCTGTTCTTTCCTTATTGAGGTTTGGCAACCGCTTTGCATCCGGTCATTCCGAAGCCAGACAGCAACCCGTGGATTTTGATCATATGGATAATGAGGGTCGAACTCCACTTTCTTGGGCTGCCCAGAATGAGCATGGTGAGGTGATTCGCATCCTCACAAAAGAAGGATTGCAAAGACACCCAGAACTCAATACTGGAACTCCCGAATCGCCATCTTGGGCCACGAGCTATCTCCACGAAGCTGCAAAAGTAGGGTCGATACAGCTGACGAAGCTGTTGATTGAGGGAAAAATCAAGGTCGACAACCTATTGAGCGGTGAATCGACCTCCAAATCGACCTCCAATAACACTCGAACACCTCTGTGCACTGCAGCAGAGAATGGACATGTCCAAATTGTTGAGTTACTAGTAAATAATCAGGCAGATCGAAACTTTCGGACTCCGGAGGAAGGCGTCACACCCATTCTTTTTGCCGTCCGAAAAAATAGGGAAAGGGTGGTAGAGATCTTGGCACAAGCAGGTTGCGATATTTCTTTGAAAAGTAACAACAACGAGTCACCAAAAGATGTGGCTATCAAGATGAATTATGGCAGTATTCTCAAGATTTTGGCCAAGCGAGATGAAGATGGACCACTTGCGGAGACGTGGGAAGCGCTGAATCATGACATAGACAAAGTTATCAACGCGACAATCGTGGATTTCTTCACCGAGTCAGACATCCAACCTTATGTTAGGGAAAGATCAGTCAATGCACTCCTCGAAAATCCCCGACTTCCACACGAAAAGAACAATGCCAGCCCTTCTTATAGATGGATACATTTGCCAGCTAATAATGTAAGTAACTGCTTGCTCTTAATTCGTACGAGCTAACTGGGTCTAGATGAAATGGGTTGAGGTGATCACTTTCAGCCTTTTGCTTCTATATCAGACCAAGACCTGACACCTACAGATTCTCATATCGAAACTTTATGAGAACCCAACATTGGCTTATCATATACTAAGCTCCGAACGGTGGGTTCGTCGACAACATCGCGGTGCTTCTGGCGTCGATCATGCGAGATTTATGCGACCACTTTGTCAATCCTTTAGCAGCGTTTCTGGCTGTATGTTTTTTCGAAGTATTCGCATCAATATAGACCAGGGAGACCTGTAATGAACGCTGACGCTTTGATAAGCTCGTACTGTTTCGCGTACTAGAAATATTCCGCAACCAGATCGGACAGACCTAGGGATGAACTTCATGCTATTCGTAAGTCTTCTAGTCCAAATGCTTCTCGCATTCAGCTTAACCTTGCCCAGATGCCGTACCTACACTGGGACTTAGAGGAGCAACAAAAAAAGAGAAGAGCCACCATCGAAGAACTGCGAAACAGAAAAAGACCTGTGAACACCCAAAATTCACCAAATGCTGTGGCACAGGATGGCGATGACGACAGGCACCAAAAGCTTTTACGCGCATATCTGCGCGACAAAAACGATTTACCACACCAACTGCATGTCCGACGGACATTGGATCAATACTACTACCACGCGATGGAGGATACTGCAGTACGAGATGGGGACCAAGTCATTTCTCGGTATCAAGCAAAAAAGGGGATAGAGCCAAAGGTTCTAACGATGGTCGACCAATTATGGCTATGGGTGCTCGATGGAACTGATGGACGACTCAAAACCGTTGTCACCTGTTTTCCCTCTAGAATGCTGCCTCCCGAGATGGTCGGTAGCGATTCTACCAAGGATCCAGACCCCAAGGAGTTTACTGATGTCCTGGGGCACATAAAATCGCACTTCCTAGCGGAACCGCTTTCTGTCAAGACCGCATACGATCTGGCTAGTGTCATCACAAGTAAGTGTTCCAGGGCTTATCTGGACAATGGGTCTATGGAAGAGAATTTGCGTTTCTCAGAAGTTTATGAGACTGCAATTAGCGATTTGGTAAGTACATAATCCACACCCGTCCATTTTCTCCCTACCTGAGCGCCTCAGCTTACAGTTCTGCCTCGTGCAAGATGAGCAAAGGAATGTTACTTTTCGATAAATTCACGACCTTGACGAAAGCGCTAGATAATGTCGAGTACACTTCGGAGATTATCAAAACAGTCACAGATCCTTCTGTGGATGCAGATTCCGTCATCGAACTATGTGAAAAGTATCACGATAATTCGTTCCGTGAATCTGATCTCGATGTTCTTAAATTACTCAATGCACTTCAAGGCACAGAGAAGAAGAAAAGAGCTTTGGACTTATTGAAGAAAATAGGGCGAATTCAGATCTTGGATATCACAGAAGAAATTGAAAAACTTCGCGAAGTTAAAGACATCCAGGACGAATTAAGTATCATGTCGATGTTGTATGAGGACCAAAAAAAGGTCCTCGTCACCATGGACAGCATTATTAGGTCAAATTTGGCAATGTACTCGCGCTCACAAGTAGCATTACAGGAAAGAGAAAATCTAGAGGTGGAAAGGCCAGGTGAAAAGACGCTGACAAATGCACTGAGAATGGAAGTAGTGGATGACGGGGAGTATCGTGCGACACAGGCTGGTGAGGGGTCACCACAGCCAGAAAAGATTAACCTCAAGTCAAAAGACAGGCCAGGTGAGCAAATACTCAAAAAAAAAAAAAAATTTGAGATATCTGTAAACTTGACTCATTCTGATATGAACACAGTTGAAGTAACGCAAGATCATGATCACAAGAAAATTTTCAGAGAGTTAAAAGCTGGCTCAGACGAAAGCAACAAATCAAAGAGATTTTCCAAGAACCAGCTCACAGACTCAATGTTTGAGACAGGGGTTCCTTCTAAACAACCCAGTTTAGCTCTTGCGGCGGTTCAAGTAAGCATCGACGAGATCGACAGGATGTCGCAACGTGCTAGGCAAGCCAATCAAGCAGTAAGTATCATCCCGAATCTTCCAAACATTACTGATCTTTAAGCTTGATTTCCTCGTGGATTTGAAGCAGAAGCAATCCAACGTGCTGGATGCTCGGTCAGCCAGGATCCAAGCAGAAGAATCGCTCAAGATGACGAAAGAAAATGAGCGACAGGGGAAAACACTCATGGTATTCACCGTTGTGACAATTATCTTTGTAGGTCTCGCCCTGTTTACTGTTCAAATATGAGTAGCTAATAAAAACAGTTGCCTTTATCGTTCTTGGCTGCATTTTTTGCTATCAATATTACTCAATTTCATCGTGATGCCGCTGGAACTCTGGGTCTCGGATACGTGTCTGAAATCATGTGTAAGAATCAGTACCATTATTTCCGAAAGCCGTGATATTAATACTTCTAGTTCCTATCTCGGGCACGATCACAGCAGTACTGATTTACGTCGCTTTCAAGGTGGAGGACCTCCTGGGTGGATGGAGATGGACGAACATGCAGCTTCAAGCAGCCCTTAAGAATTCAGGGACTGGGCTAAAGAAACTTCCATTAACAGATGTGGAGGAGGGACCCACTCCTACAAATTTGAGGAAATCTTAACCTTGGAGGCGTGAGATGGTACTTAAATGGCTAGTCACGGGCCAGACATTCCCTCCAAAAGCTCTGGAAAAACGCCAAATCGGGGCGGTCGGCCGAGAAAACATACTACTCTTAAAGAGGCAAACGAGTATAAAGTTGCAAAGCAGAAGCAGAAGCGGCTTTAGTAGTAGTAACTACGAGACTCGAAAGCACTTTAATTCATCTCATACTATTCTCTATTAATAGAGCCAAGTAATAGTCGGTCTACCTCAACTATAAAAGATTAATAAGGGCTATATATATCTATAGGAAAGGCTTTTTCTCTCTCTTCTTCTTCTTTTTCTTTTCTTTTTTAGTAATAAGTAATATAAGATATTAGAATAACTATTTTATATAGTAGCCTAGCCTTAAAAAATCTAGAGTTTATAGCTAGAATAGCTTCTAGTAAATAAGAATCTTTTATATTTAGCTAATATTATTATTAAAATAATAATAATTTTAAATAATATATTATTTTACTTTTCTATTTAGTTAGCCTTAAAGTATTATAAATACTTTTTACTAATATAATTTTATATTATAGAACTTAATATTAATATAACTATATTTTTATATAATAGTAATAAAGGCTTAAAGCTAATTAAAATTAAGCCTATAAGACTAAGATTAAGATTAGAATTAAAATCCGTAAGTAGTTATAGCCTACCTCTTATATAAGGCCCCTTTTTCGGTGAAAGGTAAGAATACCAGTATACTAATTAGTACGTGTACTACTAACTAATGTACTTTCCGGTAAAAGGGATTTTAGTAAAAGGGCACCTTCCCTACTACCCCCCACCCCCCTTTAAATAAGTCAAATGCCTGAAAAGCGGGCATGTAAGCGAGGCGGTTTTGAAAAACATATATTAGTAAGAAGCTCCCTTACCAAAATCATATAGTTAATAACTCGATATTAAATAACGGGCAAATAGCTACAAGTTAGGTACTGAAATAATCATATATTACCAGGTTTTTAAAAGGTTATAGCTATATATTATATATTAGTTATATAGCAGATTAATTGCGATTTTATAGTAAGAGTATATATATTAAGAGCCGAAAAAGCGTAATATATATAATATTAGTAATAACTTAATAAATAATAGGCAAATAGTTATAAGTTAGGTACCAAAATAATCATATATTACTAGGTTTTTAAAAGATTATAGCTATATATTATATATTGGTTATATAGTAGATTAATTATAATTTTATAGTAAGAATATATATATTAAGAGCCGAAAAAGTATAATATATATAATATTAGTAATAACTTAATAAATAATAGGTAAATAGCTATAAGTTAGGTACTAAAATAATCGCATATTACTAGGTTTTTAAAAGGTTATAGCTATATATTATATATTAGTTATATAGTAGATTAATTATAATTTTATAGTAAGAGTATATATATTAAGAGCCGAAAAAGTATAATATATATAATATATATATCTTAATAAAACTAATATTATATTATTAATAACTTTCTTTATATTAGTTTAAAGCCCTAAAAGGCTATAAATTAAGTACTAAATTAATTATATATATTATAATATATATAATAAATTTATTATTAAGAGTTTAGAACTTGCTTAAAGATTAAGGCTAGAAATATTTCCTGAATCTAAACCTCTTTTACTTTTAGTATAATTAATAATAATTTTTTTAGATATTATTTCTAAATAAGCTAATTCTTTAATAGCCTTTTATTCCCGAATTCTTAGTAAATTATTACCGGATTTCAATCTTTTATTTCTAAATCTAATTCTCTAAGAATGCCTTACCTAAAGAAAAGCAAAGAAGAAAAGAAAGAAATAAGATATAAAAGTAATATAACTAGATAAGTATACTAGTAGGAAAAGTATTAATAAGTTCCAGATTCTAATTTAATAGGTTATTATTTACTTACTTATATTTCCTCAAGCTCTTTCTATTTACTATAGATTTAATAACTAATATATACCTTTTCCTAGCTTCTTTAAATACTATTTAGTAATCTTTTCCTTAATAATTTCCTCCTTAATAACCTCCTCCTTAATAATCTCTTCCTTCTTTATAATCTCCTTCCTTAGATATACTAACCTCTTTAACTTTAATTATATAATAGTCTAATTCTTTATATATATTACCTTTTTATTATATCTAAGAATATTCAAATACTATAAGTACTTTAAATATAGAGCTATTCGGCTTCCAAATACTATTAATTTGACCTCGAAATATATAAGAATTATTAACTAGATATTAAAGATTTATATTCGATTCTATAGGACTTTTATTATAGAATATAGGCCTGCCTTATATAATATAAGAGCCTGCTATTTATAAATCTACTAGAATTTAAGGGCAAAATACCGAGTTATTACTAACTAAATAAGAAATTACTATTTGCTTATTTATAAGAATCCGAGAACAAAATATTAAATAATAATTACCTAATAATAGATATTATAGAGAGATCTAAGAAATCCCTAGCGAGATCTAAAAGACTCTCTACTTAAGCCCAAGTATTATAAATACTATCCTATCTTATAACTCTTCCGAAAATATAGTAGCTTTCTAGCTAATTACTACCAAATTAATAATTATATCTCTATAAATCTATTATAAATACAAATCTCCTAGATATTTATAACCGAGAAATAAAGGGCAGATATATATATATTCTATAGAGCCTGCTATATAAATAAGCTATAAATTCGGTAAGACCTATAGGATTAGGTATTTATAATATATAAGTAATAAGAAATTAGAACCTATTAGTTAATCTTAAAAAAGTTAATAATTTATTCTCTAAATACTAACTATTTACTAGAGTACTAATCTGGAACCTCCAAATTTATAAGACCGGAATAGGGATCCCTTACCAAGTTATAATCTTTTATTATATAATATAACTTCAAATAATAGTAATTATAGTATTAATAATTTTAATAATAGTTCTCTAGAATATAATAGTAAAACGGAGTCTAATAGCCAGGAGCTATATAGCAAATTATAGGTAAATATTTCCTTTTTTATAAATAGTAACTAGTCTAGTTTTGGGTATTTCCTGGACTAACTATTCCTAAATAGTAATAATAATAATAGTAATAATCCCGACTTTATTCCCGAAAAGACCCCTAATATGCCTTATCTAGATAATAATAATAGTATTAATAAGAATAATAATAATACCGAGAATAACTAAATTATTAATAATAAGAATATTAAGACTAAGGATAAAAGTAAGAGTAATAATAAGAATAAGGCGGAATTAGAAGCTTAATTATAAGCCGAGATTACTAGACCTAATAGGCTACTAATTAACTATATTTCGGAGCTAGCTTATTATTTATTCGATTTCTAAAGATATATAAATAAGTAATATACCGAGTCTAATAATAAATAAGATTTCTTTTATTTTACCAAATAATATATTATATTTCTATAATACTATAATTTTCTTTTGAATTATAGTCTTAATAAATAAAATAGTAAACTATTATATCTAGAATAAATAATAAACTAGTAAGAATATATAGTAATTAGGGATATTAACTAGTAAACCATATTTACTAGTCTTATTATAAATAATAATAATAATTATTTACCTAATAGCCAGGTTATAAATAATAATAATAATAATTCAGATAATAGTATCCTTTATAAGCTTAATTTTAATATATTACAGGTAAATTATAATAAAAATAATATTAAACTAGTAGCTAATATTCCAGACTATTATCTATATTTATATATATTTTACTCTTAAATAAACCACTATATAGGTTCAAGATAATATAATATTAATAGCTTTTATAGGTATACTAATTGCCTTTTTTTTACCTAATAAGGAATTTAAGTTAACTTATATTCTTGTTTTTAATAAAATATCTCTATTTCTATATATTTATATATAAATATTACTAATTCTATAACGAATCCTAACCGGTCTAAGGTCCAGAAAATAGCCTTTTATAAGGTATTTTACTATTACTTTAGTTATATAATTAGTTATAAGAATATTTATATTTATATTATCTTTCCTTTTATATAAGATCCTATAAAGAAAACTATATTTCCTGGATATAGTAATAGTATTTCATTTTCTATTTTCTAATATTAGTTTAATAAGATTCTTTTACCGGCTATATTCCGTAATATTTTACTAATAAATTACTAGTATATTTCTTTTAATTAGGAATATACTAAACTTAAAGCCGAAATATACTAATAAAAGAATATTAGTTCTATATATAATAATAATATTTAAGCTAAGGTAATACTTCTTTATTATATAATTTAAGGTCATATATTATAAATAATTTAGTATAATATTATTTAGTAACTTCCCCTTTATAGTAATAAGCTATATTATAATACTTGTATTTACTTTTCAAATAAGAATACTAAACTTAATTTTAAGGCCAATATCTTATTAGAGATATAAGATACTTTTATTTCTATACTATTTCTATTTCTATTTCTATTTCTAATTCTAATTCTAATTCTAATTCTACCCCTTATACGGGGCCCCTTTTTCGGTAAAAGGTAAGAATACCCGTATACTAATTAGTATATATACCGCTAACTAATACACTTTCCGGTAAAAGGGATTTCGGTAAAGGGGCACCTCCCCTACTACCTTTTAATAAGCATTCCCTTGTCTCAAAGTGCGTTCTCGTTATATTATCATATAATCTAGCTTATAGAGTTACTATTTATTATGCCTGCAAGTCCTATATTATCCTAGAGGCATATAGTCAAGAGCGGCACCTGCAAGCACAGCCACACCAACTCTTGAGAGACGAGCTCAAGGCAACTGCAAAGCTTCTTAATAGCTATAACTTGAGGGGTATAGCCGAGCTAAGAGAGTACAAGCCCCGGCCTAAAGACAAGTACTAGATAACTAAGTACCTAGTTAGCTATAATAGCATTTACTATCTATAGCCATAGTATAGCTATAACACCTGCTTATAGGGCTAGGTCTTATATATTAAAACAAGGAATTACTTTGTAAAACTCTATTACCCAGTATAGGCTAAGCAAGAACTAACTATAATTAAATAATAGTTACTAAAAGGCCTAATAGTATAATAGTAGCATATAAAGTTAGCAAACTCTATAGCCTAGATTCGATTCCTAGTTAGGCTCCTGATTTGCTTCTTAATAAATGCTCCTATAGCATTTGGTAATAAGTAAATCTATTTTTTTTGGTCTTGTTTTTTGAGCAAGAGATATTATATAGGGACACTAGTCCAGCTTTAAGA